AGGGAGTGTAATCACTAACCACCTCAAGCCTATAATTTCTCTAAAAAACTAAATTTCACATGTGGTTTCACTCAACCAATAAATACCACAGTTACATAACGATAACATCAAATTAAATACACGAATTACAGTATTTCATTATAATTCTTATAAAACATCAATTTTACCTACATCACAACAAAATTTCAATTTTTAAAACTCTTTAAAGGGATTTTTAAATTGCAAAGGAATTTACCTCACGATACCAATTTACTTTATACAGTTAATTACCAAAGATAATTATTAATTATCTAAAAATAAACTCCGACCTGGGATCATGATTAGAAGAATAATTTCGACTCTCATCATCGATATTAAAATAGATTAAAAAATTCCTTTATGTGCGGAGATTTAAAATCTTAATAAGCGATTCATCGCGTGGTGGAGTGCGAGGCGAGGGTGCGAATTAGAGAATAAAAGGACGCAAAGTCGCAGGTGGGTCCAAGAGGCAAGGGGCAGGGGGCAGGGGGGAAGCTAAAAGATAATTAGATATTGATTTCACATTAGACCATGCTAGCTAGACGGCTATTCATTAACGCGTTACGGCAGCCATGTCGTTTATTGTCGAATCTATTAAAATTTCAGTATCACATTAAAAAAAGAGAAAAAAAATTATATTCGTTTATACCACGAATGTTAAATTTATATTAAAATCCTCGACACCATTTAAACTCCAAATAGCACCAAATAAATCACCCTATGAATGTAATGAATGTAATGAATGTAATTAAGATTTTCTGATTATAATAAATTGGAATTTTGTCAATTAACACCAAAAACATTTCGCCCAATCAAAAGTGTATATACGAAATGTTTTTGGTGTTAATTGCCAAAATTCCTGAAATCAAAGAAAAATTAATTTTCAATCCAAGAAACAAGTGAAAGCAAATGAAAAACTTTTTCAACTAAATATTTAAAGTTCCATAAAAAAATTTCTCGGCAACAAAGCAAAGTACGTAGACACTATCAGTAATGGAATATTTAATATTCAACAAGAAGATATTCGTGTAATATATTTTCGCCCTGCTAAAAATGGTGTAAAAAATGAGCCCACCGATAATACTCCATGTATAAAAAGTGGTAATTATTTTCGAGGAAAAAAAAGATGGAAAAAAAGACGGGGGTGAACTTTGAAAAGCAAAAAAATGAAGAAGAATACCATAAGAGAAAAATAGCCGTGAAACCACTGAATATATAAACTTGGAATGACGTTTTTACAGTGGCATACCAGAGGAGAATATTCACAGAGTTGTCTTTTCGAGCGTTTTTCATGCATTTTCATGCCTCGACAGATAAGCGAGCTAGTTGAGGAGAAATGAATAGAAGGATATTCCTAGGAGTAGGATTAAGCTTGCCAGCGGTTCTCATTGTTGCTCTACTCACACACATACACATATAGCGAATACGAAAACGTTATATTTCATGTGTATGTGCAACTGCATCCATGCAAGATTTCCACCTGGAAATTGCTTCCAGCGGTTATGTAATTTTCTCTAATATGCGTGGATGCTTTTTTTTCTTCGCTTCAAATTCGCCAAAGGAATACGAAAAAGTGATTTTAACACCGAGATTTGAATGTCTCTGAAATGCAAAGCCGAGAGAGAGAGAGAGAGAGAGAGAGAGACTTAATACTCCAAGTATATAGCTCTCTTCAAATAAACTTCCATTCTCTCTTATTAAACTTCTAAAAAAATACTCAAAAATTCCGACAAATTACTTTTTTTCGAAATTCAAACGTCGACATTTTATTTAGAATTTCACTTTGAACACAAATTAAGACGAAAAACGAAGCGACATTCTGGTCTGAATTTGAAATTATGAAATTAGAAGAATTCATCTGCAAATGTACCTACGTGATACGAAAATAGAATGAAAGAAACTGCGATAAATTAATTAACATCTTGAAAAATACAAAGTTTTCAAAATGTGTATTGATTATTTTGTTCAAGATTCACGAGAGCGACTATAACCAAATTCACTTGTAAATCTAGAGATTAATTACAACGTCGATGACCTAATTTCTCATCAGCGAATATCATTTTCGCTTTTCCTCTCTCCATCTAGTTTACTGGATATTTCTTTAAAATCTCGAAACATTGCAAAAATATTACACATATTTTCTTGAAATATTACATTATTACATTTCTATGAAATATTACACATATTTCAGAAAATTTCTAAAATTTTCGAAAAACTTGATCTGCGAAACGAAGAGATAAAAGATAATCATTATAATTATAAAAAAAAAAAAAAAAATTGACTGTATTAATGTTGATATAATGGAAACAAACGAAAACTATATTCAGATTGTTGACTATTAGAAAAGTTGCCCTGCAGGAATGTTTTTGTGTCGTAACATGCAGCCCTTACGAAACTTCCGGTTCGCGTGCACGTGCGGACTCGCGGCTAAAGTCTCCAATAGTAAAGGTTTCGCGGAAGCATGCAAAATATCTAGAAAAATGCTATGAAAGATACGCGGAAAAAACGTAAAAACAAGTTCCGGAAAGCGATATAGTTCATCTATACACTTACGCTGAATTCAACTTATTCTCTTTTACAATAGTTGAGTAATGAGGTTTCAAAAAGATAAAAGCGGCATACAGATAAGAATCCTAATTTCTGCTTCTAGATAATTAAAAAATTTTTTAAATTATCTTTTGTTGTATCTTTTTTTTCTTTTTTTTCCCACTAGGTTCGAAACACAAAACTGGAGAGAGAGAAAAAAAATGTTCCAATTTTTTAATTCAAACGAGTAAAATAAAAAAGAGTAAAAAAAAACAGACTATAAGCGGATTTTCTTTCCAAGCAAAGTAAAAGGGAAACTATATATTTTTATTTGACAGGCTAAAAAGTGAACGAAACAAGTAACGGGCAAAAAATAGGAAAACGGATCGTGTCCAACAAATCATTTAGAGGCTTAAAGAGGATTTTCAACTCTCACTCCAAAATGAGGGAGTTAATAGAAGGTAAGAGTAAGTAGAGGACCAGGACATTATGTGCACTCGTTAATGCCAAAGCATTGTTTCGAAACTAATGCCAGAGGAGGAGAGAACGAACATTACGAACAATGCAAATATAAAACAATCACAATAATACTCCATACTGCATATACAAAAATAAATTATTCACATGAATACAATACAAAAATATGTTTGTTCCAGCAAGATTCGAAAATGCCAAAACAAGTCTAAAATTCGATGCACCTGCGATGGCTTAGATTTTATTTTGCGGGATATTTGTATCGTACAAATACACATACATTGTGAATATGGTTGAAGAATAATTTCTGTTTATAGAGAGATGGAATTTTAATAGGTCGAGTATTTTCACTTCATTCTGGATTAAAATCGCGACAAGGAATAAAGTTAAGTAATCGCGATTGTAAAGATAGATTGAGTTGAAAAAAAATGCAAAAATTGAAGAGCAGACACTTCGTTCAAACATTTGAATACTATTAAAGAATTATACTCACTCTAAACGAAATAAATCTTTTAAAATTCATTTCTTCCTATCAGTCTTATTTTATGGATAATGATACCTATAGATTATTTATTTATTTTCTATTTTGAAAAATAGGAAAAATCAAAAATCATTTCTAGATAAAAATGACCTAAAATTTCTTTTCACCGTGAGAGCGACACTTATTTTTATCCCATTTTTAAATTTTAGTTTCGCGATCCGTGAATTCCAATTTAAATTCTTTATATAAAAAAAAATAAAAAATGATTTACGCTAACCGAAACCGTAAAATGCCGTAAAATTGCAACTATCTGTAAACTTTATCATTTTTTCAAACGTCAAAAGCATCAAGTATTTTGAATAAAACTTTTTTCTCGAATATATTTAGAGAGACAGAGATGTATATACATATGTTAAGTTCGTGTGAGACATATGGTGAGACAAGTAATAATCTTCCAGCACACGGTACGAAGAATCGCAAACGAAACACGTTCTTTCAAAAAAAAAAAAAGAAAAAAGAAAATAAAAAACAGTTGAAAACTTTGAATTACTATCTAAAAATAAAGTTTCCGAAGGAAATAATCTCGAAATATAAGCAAATAGGCAAATAGGCAAATTTACAATAAGCATTTAATTAGCTGGGAAATATTAGATATAGTTTCGCTGCGAGAGAGATATAAATTTGAAATAAAGAAGCAAAAGGGGTTGAATAAACAGAATTGAAACACCTTTTCAATTTTCTCTAATGGGAACATAATGGTCGCTTTTGTGCATAGAGAGCAATGATGTTCTATGATATGATCATCGCTTAATAACATCCATTTTTCCCCTCTATATACCATTCGCGTGCAATATCGCATGACTGGGAACAATCACTTCAACAAATTTGAGTCAAACGTCGATAACTTGGTTAACAGATTAGCTTCGATTTTTCGCGAGATTTATAGTGTCACGTAACGACATTCTCTAAACAATCCTCTCCACACATAACTTAAAGGCAAATTCTTTCCATATTGCTAATTCAATGTCACTGGGAGAATTTACTATTATCACCCATAAGGATACTCTATAACGTATAGGAGTTCCTTTCGAAATTACATTTCTAAGAAGTTACACTCTTCTAAAGAATCCTGCTTATGATTAATCCTTAAATGTTTATATTCAATCGGTTAAGAAGTGTAATTACGAAATATCTCTGAATAGAGATCTTTAAAACTATCGAAATGTTCTGTTACTTCCGTATTTTTAGAGATCCACAGAGTCGAAGATCAACTTTGGAGTCGATCATCAAAATTCCAAACACTGATTGGCTTTATCTCGGTAAATTTTTGTTTGAGGCAATCATTCAATATTCTAAAAAGGAAGAATTGCAAACGGTGGTACTTTAGGACAGCAAGAGTTAAAATTACAAGAATCACGGAAACGGCGATTGATGATATAAGCCAAGTTAACAAAATGAACAAAATTGCAACTTGCAATTGGGAAAAGGGGGAAAAACTCACTTTTCTGCGGCCGCAGCAGAGCATGGCTGAAACGCTGCTGCTGCGGCGAGCCGTTGATGAGAGTTGAGGCTGATGACAGACGTAGCTGAGTCGCGCGCCCCTGTCCCGCTGCAGCTGCAACACGCGCACCTGCAGCTGCACTTGCTCCCGATCCCGCTGCCCTTGACCGACACCGACTCGACCACCGTACTTGATGCGCACGTGTTTTCGCCACTGCATGAGTTCGGTGCGTCATGCCCTCTTCCTGCAAAAAACAATCGACCAAACAATTAAAAATTAGTATTAGAATCCAAATTTATTAATAAAAGAATAAAAGATTACATTCGGTAAGAAGGAGCCTAGGTCCTACCTAGGTCCTGTCTCGAGTCCTGTCTTTAGACCTTTCCTAGGACCTTTCCTATCAGAAAGTTACGTTTCTATACGTTAATTTTGTCCTTTAAAGCTACACTGGAACCTCGACTATCCAAAATTCACGTGTCCCACATACTTTACTATGAGTCACGTGACCACTGAATAACATAACCTTAAACACAAACTTTAAATTTTTAGGTACATCTATTGTTATAAAAAAATCTCATAAAAGTAAATGCCATTTCATAGTGCAAAATAATTTCATTGCAAACAAATTGCAACTATTTTCGATTAAAAAAAATTGCAACTTCGATTGTCCGAAGCAGGTCCTGCGCTGAATTAGTTTGGATCGTTTGGATAATCGAGGTTCGACTGTAATTAATAATTTCTTTTTCAAGTACACAGAAATGTGAAAATTGAATGGAAAAATTAATTAGAAGAGAAACGTAGTGTAAAATTAATAGCAGAGTGTAAAATATAATAAATAACATAAACAGTGACTAAAATATCTCTCGACATAATAGTTGTCTACGAATTGTACTTTCATTTGAATGATATCTACAACTACAGTAGAAGCACTCTGTTCAAGTCACACAGACTCATCCTGTTTCACATTATGGAAAATGTTAACAGGATTATTCTATGCACTATTCACTTGTGAATTTACGTCTAACTTGCCATCACATTAGTGAAAAGAAGAATAGTTTAGAAACAATATTTTCCTTATATCTCTCTTAGAAATGTAGAAATCCAAATATTTCCCTCGAATATTATAAGTCAACTTTTTTCTTAATTTTACAAATACAATGCGGAAAAAAACTCTTAGATATGCAACTGGTTAAGTAAAATTTTACAGAGACTTTTTTTGAGTCAAGAATATTCTTATCGAATATTATCAGAGTCCTTCTTTGGAATATTAAAAAAAATTTATACTTTGGAATATATTTCATTTAAACATTTCAAAAATATCCTCAAGAATTAAAAACAAATTGATAAAAAAAATTGTCAAGATCAACGTCGTTCTCTTGCCCGAAACTTTTTTATGAACAAAAAAACATTTCTCCTTTAAATGTGACGTAGGTAGAATTGAGAAATTCCAAAAGCGCAAATATAATTCAACAATCCATGCTTATAAACATTTATAAAAAGTAGTTTTGAGTACAAAGTTAAATTGAACTCATATTGAAACTTTGTAGAAACCCGCATAAGTTTACCTAACTTTATTTGCTGAACTAAATTTGCTTAACTTCTGTGTAGAAGCTGGCGCAAAAAAGGAAGAAAAAAAAGGAAAACAAGTAAATTTCAAACTCTAAAAGCCTCAGTCTTTCTGAGAATAATAATTCAGTCGTACTTTGTTATAGTTGAGAGAGTAAAAATAAAATGAAAAAGAAAAAAAAATGTTAACACGAGTGAGAAGTGGCCAATTTACACAGACACACTTTAATGTAATATTTATAAAAAAAAAAGAAATTCCTGTCAACAATTTCAAAATATTTTACTACTTTTGGAATATTTCCACATCTTATTTTAATAATTTAAATTATTCAAGGAAAACTTTACACCCAAAATATTTACGAAAATACTCAAAATTTCCCTCCTCTAAAATATATGTACCTCTATAAAGTTTGTTTCCCTCCAATGAAAGTCTCCAACAAAATTAAAAACAAAATTTTTATTGGAAAAATTTCTTTCCTAATGAAGATAAATCCTATATTTTAAAGACTTGAAAATTGAAAAACCTAATAATTGTTTTGAAATTATTATTACGCTTTCAAATATTAAGAGAAATTTTCCAGCTTTTTGCATTCTCTCTCAGATAATATTGAATAAAATACTTCTATTTTAGCTGGCCATATATGGGTCATCGGAGCAAATATATAATGAGAAATATGGGACAAAAGCTTTAGTGCAATACTAGTCCACATACACATATTTATACACACGTATATTTTAGTAGAATAGAAAATAATCACTCGACCATATCTAATAATCGATTCTCGCATGAGTTTTTGAGAAGATAAATATATTAATTATTCTCGAGACTTGGATTTTTGAATTTTCACGAATAAAAATAGAATAAATTAATGTCACTAATATTGATTCCACTGATATAATGAGAAATTTAAATTAAGAAGTAAAATTTTTAGCTACCAATAGAAAAGAAAAATAAATTGCAGTTTACATATTTAGTATATACGAGGTATATATTTCATTTTTATTCTTGCGAGTAAAGTTATGATAAACGGTATGGAAGAAGTTTCTACTAAAATACAATTTATTTGTAAGTTAAATGCTCTCTTATAACCAAGGGCATATTTCTCTCCTCCCCCCAATTCCCGCAGTGTTGTAGGAGACAAGTAAATCATATCCGGATGCCAACTTTAATTAATTCCCGCCTGCGGTCAAAACTATAATGCTCAGCGCCACAAACATTTTTCATTAAAAATAAAATTACTAAACATTTTGGGTAAATACCCATAAATTTCGGATTTAAAAAATATCTCTTCTCCTATTTTGCAATATTGAATAAAAATTATTTAAACAATTATAATTAAATATTATTTAGTTGTTTAAATTTTCTTGAAAATTCCAAATAAAAACTTTAGTTATTCGTCAACCTATATTCCAGGGATAATTTAAAATAAGGATTTCTTCATTTTCTATATAAATTTTAACGAGACACCAAAATAGTGCTTTCGTAGTTGTTTCAGTTCAATCTTCGACATGAACATGTAATATTCAATTTCAAATTTAATTAATTTCTTCATTCGATTGAATCGAGTAAGTTTATTGGCAAAAGTTAAAGAAATTGATCTTTGGAAATGACAGTTGGCGGAATAAAGTGCTTCAGATAATATAAATAACACATTTGGTTGTAACTTACAAAAGAACATAAATTCTATCACTGAAACTCAATTGCTTTAAATACTTCCGCTTGAATCAGACATTTTGATTAAATAACATCAATGAATTTGCTCACTGAAGCGAACTTTGAATAACAGAATGGGACAGTAACAATTGTTTCGAAATTCGTTATATTTCGCTTCAATCTAATTTAAAAAAAAGTGACAAACAATTACGTAATTTCATTATCTAAAAACAATAGCACTATATCACTTTTACTTATTAAAATTATTTTTCCAAATTATACTCCTTAATTATAAAGTTATTCATCAAATTAAATTTTAAAACCAAAAATTGAATTTTAAAAACAAAACGAAATTACTTTAATTTTATCGTGTGAAAGCAATATTTTCAAATGAAATTCCCCGAGAAATTTTTTTCAAAACTTTACTGACATATAATAAATATTTTCATTCGATAAAATTGAGTTATCCGAGAAACTGCAAGTTTGAAAATTTCCACCAATAGTAATATTTTTCATCTAAGTTCAAAAACAATAAACTTAAAAATTTCTTGCAAAAACTAAAAAAAACTTTTCCATATTTGCATTTATTCCGTTTAGTATAACAAAGAGTAATTCCTATGATCTCAGGGGATTAGGGGAAGTAAAAAGTTACACTGAGAATCGACCAACTACTTTTCTTAAGCAGAGACGGGTTTGAAAAAAATGCAAAACAAAAAAGAATATAAAGGAAAATAACAATGAGAAAAACAGAAAAGTTTTTCAAAAAAAAGGAGAAAAATGTTTGAAAAAGAGAGCGTGACAATGTCAAAAGAATGAAAATTGTTTCTCAAGGGTTAAGGGTCGTTACTTAGTCTCTCCCCCTTATTGCATCGAAAAGAAAATCTTTTATAAACCCATCAAAAATTGACAGAGACAAAATGAAATTTCGCCACTTTTAATTATATTCAAAACCTTATTTGTCTGATTCATAAAATAAATTTTATTCTAATCCAAAATAATTATATTTAAAAAAAGAAACTCAAATTGTTAAATTCCTTTTAGTTACGCATTAAAAACTTTGTCAAAATTTAATTTTCTCCTCTTGTCACATTTTAAAATGTTAAAAATTATCGACTAACTTTTTCATGATAAATCTTAAATGGAATTTCTTGAAAAGTTTATAATATAAAAAAGTTTTAAAGTATCAAAAAAGTTTTTCGATTACCTTCTAAAAATCATCTCTTATTTGATGGGCCGATCGGTCCTTGCTCGTCCATTTTTCAACCATCACCTTCATTCTCCGAATCACCTTCTCTTCCTAAAGGCACAATACAAAAGTCAATTAGTTTTTCAAAGCAAAAGGAAAATTTTATAAATCGAGTGAACAATTTTTTTCTTTTGAAACAAATTTTTATTTAATTTTAATTTTTTCTTTAAAGGTTCTTTTCCTATTGTATTCCCATTTTTCAAAATATATATTCAAGTGGATCTAAAATAATATAAAGAAAATTTACAAAATTGTCTTTAAAAAAATATAAATCTCGAATAAAGAGAAACAAACTTTTAATAATTTTCAAAATGCAATTCAAGTAATTTACGAGTATTTGAATGCCTCTACTTTAAGAAAACTTACACAAACGTGTATGAGTTTTGAAATATTTATAATTGGGAATAAACTCAGTTTAAAGTAATGTCAGAGGAAAGTTTTATACGAGATTAGTTTAAACTTTTCAGTTACCTTAAAATAATTGCAAAAGCATAAATGAAATTACAATCCTTAATGGAAACAACCAATTATAAATAAAAAGTTAATTAATAAAAAAATTCTTCCTTTTTTCATTCGAGTATTTTCATATTTTTTCTATTTGGATATTTTTACAAACTTTTCGACTTCAATTTTTTTCTAATTGCTATTTTCCATTTTCTTTTAGTATTTTAATCATCGCGAGTAAATAATTTCAAAAAAGTATTTTCTAAATTTTCTAAATATTCTATATTTTAGACGGCGAATATTTTAAATGATTCCAATGTAAAGACTTTTTGAAATTTAACTAATTCGAAAAATCACCTTCCAAAATTCAATTATTTGTTTGGTTAAAATTTTTAAATAAAATTATTCGAAACTTTAATCATTTTACTTCAAAATAAAAATCTTTTGAAATTTCATTTTTTCTAAAAATTCACTTTTAAAAAAATTCACTCATTTTTATTATCTAAAATTTTTAATGAAATTCAATTTTAAATCAATTCTTACTATAAAGTTCTTCAAGAATTCAATTATATATGAATACAATTATAAATGAATAATTTATTTAATAATTGAATATTTCTTAAAATTTAATTTTTAACAAAATAAATGGATTGTTAGGAAGAATTTCAGTAAAACTTTTGAGAAAAGTTGAATTCTTTGAAGAAATTTAATTAAACATGTATTGAAAATAATTAATAAAACTTTCAAAAATAATTGCAGTTTTTGAGGAATTTATTAAAAATTGTACATATTAAAAATAATAATAAATAAATAAATAAATAAATAAATAATTAAAAATTAAATTTTGTTTAAATAATTGAATTTCTTCGAAAAATTTTATAAAAATCTTTGTAAATAATTATTTATGAAAATAATTGAATTCTTGCAAAGAATTTTATTAACATTTTTAAAAGTAATTAAATTTCTAAAAATAATTTTTTTTTATTTATAAAAATAACTGAATTCTTGAGAAGAACTTTATTAAATTTTGTAAAGATTTTAAAGGTTGTTTTTGTTGAGAATCCACATTTATTATTAAATTTTGTTCAATAATATTGAAATATTAATTTTTCTTTTGAAAAATGTTATAAAAATCTTTTTAAATTGTTTTATTCCGAAAAATTGTATGAGAAAATTGTGTTTCGAATAATTGAGTTCCTAGCTGTGAAAATTTTATTATCCATGAAAAAGTTTGTCTATTGTTAAATAAATATTTACTTGAATCAATTAAATGGTTCAATTCATATTTGCTTCAAATACTAAAAATATTGATTCAAATACAGTTTAATTGACTTAAATAAAAACTGTTTGATTTTGGTAAATATTTATTTGATAAGACAAGTAATTGGTTATTTAAAAATCAAATAATCTTTTTTAAATATTTCTAAAATGTATACTGCGAATGGATAGACTGCAAAATGTATGAAAGACTAAATTAGGTAAACGTACACTTCCAATATCAACAAGTTTGAAAATTACAATTTTCCTGTCGGGGAAAAGAAATTGATAAAAAGCAGATAAGCTCGATAAGAGTAGATAATAAATTTCAAAGTCAAACCCATTATATATATTTTTCTCTCCTACATGACAAATTAATATGGAAAAAAATCTATAAAGATTAAATAGAAAAAAAACCTCAAAATACAAATTTGAGAGATTGCTCTTCCATTTAGAGCACAATTGAAGAAGAATTTTTTTTCGAAACCCTCCAGCGTCTCATCAACCTAAATATCTTCCGGAGAAAGGGAAAGTTCGTTATCGGTCTTTTCCTCTCGATCTATCCAAGTTTCACGTGTGTGTGTGTTTGTGATACCTTTTGGATAGGTGTATAAAACGGGAAAAGAAAAAAAGAGAGACGTGTTCTAAACCCTGCAGCTCTCTTTTAATACACTTTTACCCCTGGCAAATATAACCCTGAGGGATTCGGACATGAGGATTCGTGTGCACGGGAAAGAGAGATTTTTTCCGAGCGATAAGCTCATATGTATATGTATGTAAGGGTATATTCAGACACATACCGGACTGGTTTCGGTCGGCCGGAAGAACCAGCTCAAATCGATAAGACAGATACGCACGTTAAGGGCGGCCAAGAAAATAGCCGCCATTCTCAACGACGTGCAGAGGCCCCCATAAATCCCAATCGAACCACCCACCCCTCTCCCTCTCATGGATCATCATTGCAATCATCTCTCCGTAATTAATTGCCATTTTTCATTTCAAACAAACAATCCGATTCAATTCAACAGAAAACCAATAGTAACGAAAATAAGAAGCGGAAAAGAATAAATACCCAGAAAAGAAACTAAACAGGCAAAAGAGAAACGAAAAAAAAAGTTGAAAAAGGGGAAAAATAAGGAAAAACAAAAATTGGAATTTTCGAAAAAATGTCATCAACCGGCGTTCGAGCCAATGGTCCCGGACTGCTGGATCGATATCCCCTTTTTTTCTCTCGCAAAAGAAGACAGACTAACAGAGAGAAAAAGAGGTTGAAAGGAAAGGAGCAAAAGGGGTGGTTTATATAGAGTGACACTAGAGAAGCTGAGAGAGAGGGAAGAAGCGAAAAAAGATCTCCCTTTTCAAAAAGCTTTACCTACCGAAACTTTGTAGAATCGTTTCTCCGAAAAGCAATTATATTTTTCCTTATTGTCACTTTTCAACTCATATTACAAATACATAGACGAGCTTTTCGGATATAGCATTTCCACGAGTCACGGTGTTTCGCCGTCAAAATCAATACGACCCACCTCGCTGACCCTCTCCAATCCCCGTTTCGCTCACTCTCACTCGTGTTCTTTTACTATCTCGTTTTTATTTTTTCCTCTATCCTTTCCTTTTTTTTTGTGTTTCAATTTTCCACATGCACCTGTCACACTCCCGCACGGAAAAATCCCAAACGGATTTTCACAAGAGAGAAAATTTTAAATAACTACCCCCACTTGATAAACAATTTTCTTTTTCCCCTAAAGAATTAACTTTTTGTACACACAAAAATACGGTGATAAAATTTTTTTCTAAAATCCAATAAAAGAAAACGAAAGAAGCGAATAGATCACGAATCAGCGGCGCTTTTATTCCTCCTGGTAATTTTTTTTCCTTCCTTTTCCTCCTTCTTTGTAATTTTGTCTTACTTTGTTTTCTATTTTTTGAAAAAGACTTATCGCGGGCGCGTCGATGTAATTTAAGGTACCACGATGGAGCGCCGCATCCCTCAACCCCAAAGACCAAAGGCGGACATGTTGTATTGTGCAAAGGCGCAGACTCTATCGTGGATTTCACCCTCCTGGAGTAAAGTGACTCCCACGCAAGCGCCCGTGAAAAAGAGAGAGGTGTGAGGGTTCATTCGATCCTAGATGGGTTATATGGTTGTGCGTGCGATAGTAAGCGAGTATACAGGGCTGTATGGAAACATTACGATTAATTGAAAAAGCGGAAAGAAAAATCCATATTCCAAAATTTCACTCCATCCCCCTTTCTAAATTGAAAATTAACTAATGAGGAAACATTCACTCGCGTTTCGAAATCTAAAGCAATAACCAAATATTTTTCATCGAATTTTTTTTCAGAAACTTGGTAAGATTTCAATAAGTGAAAATCCACTGGGATTCAGCCAGAGTTCAATAAACTTTCGCAGTATTCTCAGCGGAAAACACAGCTTCTCACTGATAATCAGTTTAATCAGTTTTCAATTATAACTACAACTTTCAATTTAAAAACTAAAAAAAAATTAAAAATCGATTTTTCTAGAAAAAAAAATCTGAATGAAATCTTGAAAATTTCCACATTCAAAATTACTCATATTCTGAGATGACTATTATTATTATTACTATTATTATTATTATTGTTATTATTACCATTAATATTTTTATTATTTTTATTATTATTATTATTACTATTTTCAATTCTTCCTTTTTGTAAAAAAATTAGCCAATTTATTTACTGTTTTTGCCAAATTAAATTAAACAAAATAAACAAGTGATTTAATAATTTTTAACAATTTTTTTTTAAATTAGGAAAAAAATTAAAAATAGAAAAAAAATTTGGATAAAATCTTGAAAATTATTTATATTGTGAGATTATTATTATTATTAGTACTACTATTTTTACTATTACTAATATTTTCATTATTATTTATTACTATTATTATCAATTGTTTTCAATTATTTCTTTTTGAAAAAAATAATTGCACAATTTATGGACAGTTTGGCAAATTAAATAAAAGAAAAAACAAATTAAAAAAAAATAATAGTTTAGTAATTTTTAACAAATTTTTTAAAATGGAATAAAGAGCAGAAAGATTTTACAAATTCGATATAGTATTTGTTTAATTATATTCAATATAAATAAATAATTATTCTATTTTTAATTATTTGAAGGAAAAATTTCTGAGCATCTTCATTAAATCAATATTGAAAATGGATAAATTTAAAACAATAAAACGGTCTGGGTCACATGGTTTATAAATACTATCCACGAATCTTTAAAACGAATTTAAAAAATTATAATTGTATAGTACTTTTAAAAAAAAATATCAGCTAAAAATCGATTTTCTTTTATAATTTATTTAAGTTATCGAAGAACTGCCAATTTTATCGTTTAATTTAAATTAAATAATTAGTGAATATTTAAATAAATAAGTAAAAAAAAAAATTAATTTTTAATAAAGGAATTTTATAAAAAATTACTAAAAAATTAAAGTAAAATTATAGAAAGAAAGTAAAAAGTAAGAATAAAAATGAAGAAAAATAAAAATATAAAAATAATAACACAATAAAAAAATAAAATACTAAAAAAAGAAAAAAACAAATAGCACTATAAATACTAAAATACAATAAGACTTTAAAATTTAACTATTCTTTTCCCTAATATTATTGCCACTAATAAAAATACAGATAAAAGTGAAAATCGATTGAAAGATTTAAAAAAATTCTAATTCTATTTCCAAGTTTAAAAAAACAAGTCGAACAGTGAATAAAGTGACAATTTAGTAGAGGCACATTAAAAGAAGGGGTGAAATTTTTTTTTATTGGAATGCGACCCTGTGTCTAGGGTTTCTTAAGAAGGGTTGCAAGGGTGCATCAGAGCGTTAGCTGTCACTTGCTCCTATTTCAAGCCATCGAGTGTATCATCTTACGTTTTCCGGAAAAAGGATGGAACCTCAAAATAATTGCAAGGGTTGACTGACTCAATCCCACAAGAGCTTTAAGTGTACATTTAAGGGCTAAAATGTGCGGTTTCAGAAATTAGAAGCTTTACTTTCAACTCGCAAATAGAGACCTTTTACGCGCAACCAAAAGGACTTGTTTCTCAATATTTACCCCACAACATTTTTTACAATTTTTTTTTTTTTTGCATAATAATTATTCCATATCTTACGGTTTTGGATGAATGATAATTTTGATAAATCGATTAGAAAATAATAAAATAATAATAATAACGATAATAAAATATTTGTTCCATGAGAAAGCAATAATATAAAAATAATAATAGTAATAATAAACAAATGATGATATTAATAATAAATTAATAATATCAAAGGTGTTTTTTTTGTAAATAAAATAAAAAATGATAATAAAAATAAAGCAATAAACTAAAAAAGACCGGAAATTGTGTTTCACTCAAACAATATTCATGTTTCCCATTTAGTTTTTTGTTTATGATTGAATAAAAGGGAAAAAAAATTTCTCACTCGATAATTATTGAGATGAAGCCGTTGTAGCCAATACCTACTTGCATTGAATGGTAGAAGGTTTGAATTCTGTCGATGACCAGTATATAATGTAAATTGTTCAGTAGATAAGAGCAATTATAGGTGATCGTTGAATCGAAAACGATGAATTTCACGGGTGAATTATGGTCAAAAGCGAACGATGCCCTGAGGTCCACAACTGACTGCCATGCCGTTCCTCTCGTGATCGTCATTAATGGTCATTCTGTTTCTGATCTAAACATCCATTCGACTCAAGCTTTGCTCTCTCCCATATCGTCTAAATTATCTCTCAATCAGTTTATATCGATACAATTGTCCTTATTCCACTCTTTGCCAGTTCCCCTCCATCCACGGCAATTACCAAATCTAGAAAATGTTTATTTCAAAAAAATTAATTTAAACATTTAAAGAAATTTAACTTAATTATTTTAAGAAATTTTTAATTGCCCATATTCTTTCCTCTTTTTTTCATTAAATTCTTTTATTGAAAAGTCCTTTGTTCTTTCAATTTTCATTATCAATTAAGTAATAAAAAATAGTTAATAACAAATAAGTTATTAATATAATTACTAATTTAACTAATTACAACTAATATGATTCAATATTAAAGTAATTTATAGAATTGTAAAAATTTTTTGAATATAAAAAGTTGATTCTCAAAACAATTATTGTACAAAAAAATATTTTACTGCAGCTTATTTAAAAAAAACTATTAATATAATAAAAGTTTAAAAAATTAGATTTCTTTAGCCAAGAAAGAATAATTCAATTATCCAGAAATACTTACATCGTAAATAATTTATTCGGTAAGGAGTTGAAAACCGAATTCCAATTTTCTTCAATTTTATAATCTTCCAAATTTGGAACATTTAATTTCCGTATTTATTATTCTCTTACACTTCGAAGATCGTGACGTAATAGAATAATTTTCAATGAAAAGAATCTTGAAATCTTCAGTTTTTAAGAAAATACTTCATCAATTGAAAATAATTTTTAAATTACAACTCAGAGATCCAACAGAGGAGACAATTTGGAGCAATTTCTATAACAAAAAACAAAAAGGACAAATTATTACGATTTTGCGTCTTTTCTTTGTTTTTACGATTGGCTTAAAAACAAGTGTTTACTGAAAAATGTTACGTCTTGTCTTTTCATCTTGTTAACAAATTCTCTACTTCTTTTAGAAATTTCTGAAAAATTTCATAACCGCAAAAGACTGTAAACCGTGTACAATTTTAATTCAGAAATAAAAAAAAAATTTCTCTCATCCGAAAGCATATTTTTCCTCTATTCAAATTCAAATATTTAGCTTTCAATTAAAAATCTTGAAAGAAATGATTAAACAAAAAAAACTATAATAAAATATCAAAATTGAAAAAATTGATAAAAATTCTATTTGATTAAAATCAATTCAACGATTTTAAATAAAAAATCAACAAAATGATACCTATCTATAATTGTTTTAAATCACTAATTTTGTAATTTTCTGGTGAATGGGAAAAAAACAGTAAAGCACTTGCCAATGAGTCAAGAAAATAAAAGTGGATGCGGTCAAAGTTGTGGTAAAAGAAAAACGGACCTGCGCTTCTGTACACCTGAAGGGGTGTAGTGCTTAATTACTTCGTATCACAGAGCGTAGTATTTCGTAGTAAGAGCAAAAGAGAGACAGAGAGAGTGCATTATCGCTCATCTCGTTTCTTGCCAACACGCATAGCTGTAAACTGTCACACACACGCATCATGGTCAAATACGTCTAGTTGAAGGCTTCGTACGGCGTGTCAACCTCCCTTGACACGCGGCTGCTTATATGGAAGTGACTGAAAAGAGGGGCGGTGACGCTGACGGTGTGTTGAGACGGTTGGCGGCGGGGAAAAAAATCCGTGAATGTCGTCCGACGTTCATTCAAATAACGTCCAATCATACTCTCATACCAAAAGGGGTGCACATGCCTACGTTAAGAAGCTTCTACTTTTATTGCCTCTTTCAAAAAAAAATCGTCACATTTTCCTGCACACTTTTTTCTTTTCGAAAAAATAAACTTTATATTTTTCTCCAAAATTTTTAATTTCAACTTAATTACTCTTCTCTTCCTTCCTTCCTTCAAGAAATCGAAAAAAAAATTTCATCCACTCAACCTAAAAATTCGAAGTAAATTCGTTTTTATTATTTTCTTAATTATTATGTACAAACGATTAATAATGCATATAAAAAAATAACCGTATAATTTTTTTTTCTTTTATCTAAGTGTCCGTTTTGTTTACTTTCTTTTTCTTACTGGGACGACTTTGTAAATCGTGAATATTTCGTTTATGTTTTAGAGTTTCCGTCGTTTCATTCACTTCCGTGGGTTCACTGTCGATGTCCATTTCGTGTGTGCCATTCGATAAGACAACAGAACTGAAATCAAGTGACTGTAAACCTTCCTCCATTGCCTGAGCTCGTAACATCCGAGCCTCTTTTTTCAATTTCTGCTTCGCTTTCTGGTTGGCTTTCTTCTTTTTCTTCTTCAAATTTGTCGATTCCTCCTTTTTATTATCATCCTCTGAACCAGATTCGACGGCCGAATCCTCGTGTTTGCCGTTTTGAACTCCATTGACAGGCTCCGCTTTTATTTCTTTCTTCTTGTTCGCTCTAAAAATAGAATTTTCTATTAAATATCAATTATTTTCCTATTTAATATTTTAATAGTAACTACAAGTAAAAAATTATTTTTTTTGAATATTAATAAATTTATAAGAGCTTCAAGTTTTTAAACCAATTTTATAAAATTAAAAGTTTTAAAACTTACGACACTACGGGAGCTCCGATTTGTGACGCCAATCTGTTGTAACAAGTCTTAACATTTTTCGCTAGATATACATTTAATCTATAAGCGGCCATAGAGTCTGCTATTAATTTCCAATCCCACGCTTGTGGCAAATGATGAGGACGAACCGCGTGCAACAGTGTAAATAAATTGACAACAAATTTCTGCTTAATTTCCTTTCCAATTACTTGTTCATCTTTCGAATTTTCCTCACGGTTATGACTTTGCGCAACATTCTCTTGTAATAACTTCACACTCTTCTTACACAATTTTTTCTCAAGTTTCAATCTCTTTTCTTTATGATCATCGCCTTGTAATATTCTCGCATTCCGATAGAAAACAAGCAAAAGTTCCAAAGCCTGACTTCTTCTAAACGAACGAATCTCATTATCGAAAGCGAATTCCACCTGAGAACAAACATAAGTTATTAAAAAAAGAAATAGAAATTAAATAAAATTAAACAAAATAATCAAAAATAATTTATTTACCAAAAGTGGAACAAGCATCCAGTTGCCCTCCCAGCAGAGTTGCAGGATATTCTTGAAAAAGAATACCGAAAGAATGCAGTCTCTCTTCTTAAAGAACGCTGTCAAATTTTCGACGTAAATCGCAGCCAAATCGTCCATTGGTAAATTGGCTTGTTGTGAGCATCTAACCAAAAGAATACAACACCTGGCGAGTTGTTCGCCCATTTCTTGACAAACGGACGCTGAACGTTCGCCCTTTTCAATTAAAAGTTTCATTAGCGTTGTCAATAATTCATTATCCACATTATCCGTATCCTTGAATTTCTTTAATGCCGCAAGCTTCTTCAAACAACTCTTTACTTTATTTTCCAGTGGTTTTTGATGAGGTTCCTTGATACAATATTCAAGAAGCATAAATAACGGAACGACCATATCGAGAGCCAGTGCCATCGAAGGACATGAATCCAAGTAAGATTCGAGTAAATCAATAACACGAATGCGAAAATGAGTTAAAGTCTCGGCCGATTTTGACTGCTTTTTCATTTGTGTTTTCCGACTTTCGCGAAGAATTTTGAAAGCCGCCGCCAATGATGCATCGAGACGTTTGCCTTCCTCTTCGTCAATTTTGTCCACGTCCACTTCGTCATCGGTTTGAACGGCCGCATCACCCAGGGCTTGACTCACTGCTAATCTCAATCGATCTGTCACGGTTTCGTCTTCCTCCTCATCATCATCAAGATCCTCATCATCATCGTCACTGTCATTTTCATCACTATCAATGGTTTTATTTTCTTTCTCTTCTTCTTCTTCTTCGGAATTGTTTTCTGAATCATCTTCAGGTTCACTGTCTTCTTTCTTCTTACCATTTTTATCTAAATTCCGTTTTTCGCCGTTCTCTTCATTTTCAGATTCAACTTCAGAATCTGAAGAATCATCGTCATCCTCAGTTCCTTTCACGCTTAAAGGACCTTTCGTATTCTTCACGTCCAATACCTGTTGAAATATTTTTCAATAATTTTCAATTTTTTAATTTAAATTTGTCAATTTAAAAATAGATTAGTTTATGAGCCTGTAATGAAATAAAAGAAATATTTACCGCCAATATTTGGTGCAATGAAACGCTGGTAAGATGCGGACAAATGTGAGGGAAGACGCAGCCAACAACGGTACGAAGCAAATGTTCATTGCGCGAAAGAAGTGACAATAAAAGATCGACAACAACTTCCGTCCATTCGGGTTCATCTTCATCGGATTTACTTTTCGATTTTCGTGATTTTTTCTTAAGTCTCTCGAAACAATTATGCAACTCGTCAATTGATGAAATTGCCATTTCTGGATCAGTGAAAAGTTGCAATCCCATGTGCAAATCCATTGTATGAAAGAAAGCGGCAAATTTATCATTGTCACCTTCAGATTTTTTTACTACATTCATCATTTTCTGCCATGCTTCAACACCTGCTTCCTCGAGAGGAACTCTCAATTTCAACTCATCACTCTTGATAAACAATTCCTCATTTAAATATGAAACCATACTGCTTAAAATAGATCTCAAATCAGTCAATTTTGGCAATTTATTGTCTAGCGCACGGTAGAAGCTGACTTTAATTTGATCTGAAACGAAAAATGGTTAATTTTCAGATTCCTTAAAGTAATATTCGATTTCTTGTAAATTTAATAATTTATAATTATATAATTAAAATTGCTATTAAAATATAAATATTACAAAAGATATTTACTTGCTAAGTCAACTCCAAAATTATCAGATTCACAAAGGCCAAATTTAAACAAATATTTAAGTTGCTTCAGTCTCCAACTTTGATTTGATGTCATTTCCGGATGGCTTAATAATCTGAAAATCAAATAGTTTATTATCAATTCCATTAAATATTGAATTAATTTACAAACTAAAAGTACATACTTTGTCAAAAGTTGACTCGCATAAATTCTTTCCACATTAGTCCAAGTTTGTGCATCACCACTGTTGCTCTCTTTAACTCTTGAATTTTCAATTATTTCTTTGTAAATTTTTGACAACTTTTTAATTCCATCGCCGTCTAAAGTAGCAGTAAATAATTGAATAATTTTCAAACCAGTCATTTTCTCAATCATTAAATCGCCTGGATATTGAATCAATCTCATTAAAGTGTTTATTTTAATTTTATTGTCAGCATTCTCAGACAAAACTGTTGTCAATGACAGTAGAACATTTTTGAAAGCAATTGTAACCTCATCCTTCTTATTTCGTTTATTGAAGTTACATTTTCTCAACATAAAATGAAGATACTTTTCCGAAAGAAGATCAGGAATTGTTGCTTTGTCTTTAACATTATCAAGTAAAAGTCTTAATAATTCTGTTGCGAGATATTCGTCAGTTTTTGATGGTTTCAAAAAACGTTTATCAATAGCTGTCCAAAATACTTGAACGTACTCAGTTGTTGACAATTTTTCAATAAATAGTTTATAGATCGGATGTCGATAACACACGATTCGAGGTATTTCCTTTAAAAATGTAAATGTCATTTTATTGCAATTAATTTACTAACTTTATAAATAATTAAAATTAAAATCAATTATTAAATTACATATTTCAAGATTATACTCACAGTTAGGATTTTCGTAATACTTTCTAAGGATTCGGCATTAATAATATTTTCAGACCCAAATGTTTTTTTGTAAATCTTCCTAACGATAGATGGAAATTTCTCCTGTATTATGAGCAGTGTGTGCAATGTTTCTAAATTTTGTTCTAACAAAGGTTTAATTAATTCTTGTTGAAGTAAAGGCCAAACATTATTGGCAAATGTCGTCTCATCGATTTGATTTAAAAAATCAATAATAAATGAATAAGCAACAAAGGATAGATAACTGCGTTTTTTCCCGGCAGTTATTAAAAGTTCCAAAACTTTTGCTTGTTCTTCTGCTGAACATTTTTCAAGAATTTTAGAACGCACTAATGATCCACATGTTAATATTCTACCAGTGTAAACTTCTCCCACTTCCTATTTGAATATGATTTGTAAATATAATTTTTAAAACAGATAAAAATTATCAAAAAAAGTTTGTTTTCAAGTTTAATTTACTTACACTTTTGTGCTTGTTGTTGACGGGTTGTAATACAATTTCCATAAGTTCTAAAACTTTTTCGACAGGTGTGTCTGGTTTTGTAGTCAAATATCCAGTTAATGTTACATAAAAACTTTTTCTTGACGTTATATTAGCAGATCCAGTACCACGGATCAATCTTTTTAGTGCTAAATTTAATTCCTCAGACGTATCATCATTCTAGAAAAAATATTTTAAAACAATTAGTCCAATTTTAAAAGAAATAGTACTTAAATTTACAAAATTGGTGTGTAATTTCATTTTTCAATACAGATATTTTATTCTCCCTCGAAGAAAACTAATTTCTGAATCCTAACCTAAAAATTCTGTCAAATTCATATGTACGATTAAAAATAATCTTTTCAAATATATTTCAAGCTCTTATAAAAATGAACAAATACTTTCTTTATTCAAAATTATCATTCTTTTCAAGATAGAATCTTATAACAAAAAGATTAAGTTAAAAACTATTTGACGCATGTTTGTAATTTTAGGTTAGAGAGGCCTAAGGTTTTGTGCGCATTCTACACTTTATTTAGAAGCTTTAAATTAAAAATTTTCTATATAAGGAAAAAAAGGAAAAAATTCTTACCCAATTTTGTTCTGAAAGATATTTGACTAGTTCAACACCGCCAGCAATTCTCTCCTTATCGGATCCCTTAATGAGTTTCGGGAAGGAATCAAGTACTCCTTGTTTCGTTTTCTCCATTTTTTATCAAGATTCTTAATAATAGTTCAATTACAAATATTTTTATTTGTATGGGATTTTCACTATCTTCTCACTCTATAAAATATCCACATGGATCTTATACAAAATTAACCGCAGGATTAATATTCCTGGGATATAAATAAAAAAAAGTACAAAACAATTATTTTGGCCATGCGGTAGACACGCAAAAGACTATTAGAGAAATTCTGAGTTTCACCTATAGAGGGAACCTTATTTCAGCCATGGCTGGACATGTGCTAATAGATAAGGCAAATTCCGTAAAACATTGTATTATACTGTAATTATTGAATGTATGTTGTGAATAAATGGTGGACTTAACTTTTAAAGAAAAAATTATTGTAATTAAAAAATTAGGATACAACAAAGATAATTATTTTTCTGAAGCAAAGAAAAAAGTTAGATACCAAATTATTGCAATTAAAAAAGGATACAAGGAAGATACTTAATTTTCTAAAACAAAGAAAAAAATAGACAAAAAACTATTGTGATTAAAAAAGGATACAACGAAGGTAATTATTTTTCTGAAACAAATAAAAAAAATTAGACAAAAAATTATTGTATAATTAAAAAAGGATACAACGTTGATAATTAATTTTCTGAAACAAAGAAAAAAAAATAGAAACAAAATTATTGTAAATAAAAAAAGGATACAACGAAGGTAATTAATTTTCTGAAAGAAAGAAAAAAAATAGACAAAAATTATTGTAATTAAAAAAGGATACAACGTAGATAATTAAATTTCTGAAACAAAGAAAAAAAAATTAGACACAAAATTATTGTAAATAAAAAAAGGATACAACGAAGGTAATTAATTTTCTGAAAGAAAGAAAAAAAATAGACAAAAATTATTGTAATTAAAAAAGGATACAACGTAGATAATTAAATTTCTGAAACAAAGAAAAAAAAATTAGACACAAAATTATTATAATTAAAAAAAGGATACGACAAAGGTAATTAATTTTCTGAAACAAAGAAAAAAAAGACAAAAAATTATTGTGATTAAAAAAAGGATACAACGAAGATAATTATTTTTCTGAAACAAAGAAAAAAAATTAGACACAAAATTATTGCAATTAAAAAAGGATACAACGAAGATAATTAACTTTCTGAAACAAAGAAAAAAAATTAGACACAAAATTATTGAAATTAAAAAAGGATACAACGTAGATAATTAAATTCCTGAAACAAAGAAAAAAATTAAACACAAATGAAATGTTAATCAAAAAGGAAACATCGTAGATAATTACTCCTGAAACAGATTAATATAAACAAAACATGGAAATTATTAATATAATTTATTTTTCGAAATATTTAAATACTGCATTTAATTATTAACAAAATACTTATCTTTTTTTCTACAATCACAACTTCTTGATAAACTATTTTTAGCACATTTTATTTTTCTTTAAGTTGATTCACTTAAATCACTTTTTTGTTTATTTTTTTTTCATCTCTGATCACTAAATTTTCACTAAAAACACTGAAATCAGGGTGGCCGCAAGATTGACTTTATCAATTTCCTTGACAAAATATTTTTTTTCCTGACATTTCTCTGATTTTATTGACAAAAAAAATTTTTCCTCCTGACTTTACTAAAAAGTGGCCACCCTGTAAATTGACACGAATCAGATTATTCACGTAAGGTGAATAATAAAAAAAATCCGCGTTCTCAAAATCAAAGTGGTACATTGAAATACCAGAAAAGAAGAATATTATAATGAGCGCAATTTAGTGTTGATGGGAGAAAATTTTCCCAACACACGTTTTACGATATCAAAAAATATTTGTTAAAAGAAAATTTAAAAACTCACTCATTGCTGACTAACTTACGGAGAACTGCGATCAGCTGTCCATGATATCCATCCTGGAACTGCTTCGAAACGTCTTTTCTTCAAGGGCACTAACACAACTACACACCGAAATTAATTGCACTTTTATTATTCCAAGTGAATTTAACACGTGGTCGACGCAAAAAAAGTCCGTTATCGTGAATCTTTTATTTATTAAAAAATGCTCTCAAAATAAAAATCTAATGCGAAAACACTAACGCTCGAATAGAATTGCACTTCCGATGGCCTTCCGGGTCAAAACAAAGGATAAACTAAATGAATTTGGAGTATGTGTCGACAATGGCGTGACGTCACTATGCTTGGCAGCCATTTTGTTTTTACATTTTTCTTCTAATTTTATCTAACATCTTCTAACATAATGTGATACATATATTGCTGAAATGTTCGAAATATTGCTAATTCTGCAACAATATGCATCAATATTGCTGCAGTGTTTGATGTAAACCTGAAATATTAGCGACAAATCGCGGCGCGTATGTCGCCTTGTTCGGAGGAAGTGAATACAAAATAGCCGACACGAGACGAGAGATCTCAATGTAAATTTTTTTTCTAAGAAAAATGCGAAATAAAGATAAATTTTTTTGTACCCGGACAAAATGCCCGAAATCAAAAACTCTAATTGTATAATTGTAAAGATAAATTAGTTCTCTTTAAATTGAATACGAAAAAGATGCGCACCACGAGGCACCCGAATGCCCGGCTTCTCGTCAATTTTATCAATCCCAAATGAATCAGAAAAATGTTACCGAATTTCCCGTTTAAAGTTGAAATTTGATTTAAAAAAAAGAATTAAAAAGAAAATTCTTACGTTTATTGGTCGAAAAACGAAAAAGAACAAAGGATTGCTCGGTACTTGTTGCAACTTGTCGCAACCTGTCGCACGACGCGAGACAGAGCGCCACTGGCGGACAGTCTTGGGAATCACGGCCATATTGCTAACGCCCAGTGACGGACCACCAACAACTGTCGCCCTGCACTAAAAGAAAAAAGAGAAATAAAATTCCAAATTAATTTGTAAATATTACTAAAAATTAGATTTTCTTTTTAAAAGCACTAACTTTCATTCGTCCGTAGCGCTACACTTTTCTGAAACACTTTTTTATATCAAAATCAGTAACGGCAACACGGATGGGAAACAATAAATTTCCACAACAACAATAGAGCGCATGCGCGAGAAAATTTTTTTCATTGGTTACAATGCGCGCGTTTATTTAAAATATACATATTTTTAAAATTAAGCGCCTATTTTAACCAATAAAACAATTTTCAAACGCATGCGCAATTGTCATTACTGAATTAAAATACGAGTCATCTTTCTTAATGAAAATATATACTTCATTATTCGTTTATAACGGATATAAAAAAATTCCCAACAATCCTTTCTTTTTCATTGTCATTATTAGTTCATTGTTCTTTGTCCACAGTGACGTAAAACGACGGTAGTCTTTAGAATCTTTTAAAAAGTATATTGCAAACTATCAACCGAATGGAAGAAAAATATCTGAAAATCGATTTATCGGGAGTGTCTTTGCTACATTTTTAAAGAGTTATACACGTCTGTGAACGTTTTACATACATCACATGCAAAACGAGAGGATATTCCATGAGGAAAAATAATTATTCAATAAAAATTGGAAGTATGTCATGTGGTAAAATTGTTTTGCAAACGGAATTCCAATTATCCTGAGTTCTTTCAATTTCTCGAAGCCATACGTTTCGTAAGTGAAAAATCTAATTGTGACATTATATTTCTGATCTTTTGTATTTTTAAATTTGCGATTCTATCTATTTGCATTAAAATTTTAGCAAAACATATAAACCCATTAACAGTTATTGATTATTGCACATTTTTAGCTTGAATAACTGGTTAAATCAATGCATCACGTATATATATATATATATGTATATATATATATATATATATATATATATATGTATGTATATATATATATAAATTTTGTATATTTGTATATAATTTTAAATTTTTTTATTCATTATAATTTGGTGAAATTATTTTGTTTTATAAATAGTTTTTCTTCTAATTACTTTTTTTGTATTTAAATATATCCGCAGAATAAATATCTCTTTTTTTGCAATTCAAAAGTGTTCAAATTTTAAAACGTTAATAAATTAAATAGCAATTAATTGAATTGAAAAATTGTCTAACCCCATCTACGTAGAAATTGACAATATTTATTTGATTTGAAATTGTGAGAGTATTTTTAGAAACTGTTGAATGTTTACAGTTGGCTTGACATGTCATATTCCATCGAACGTCTAAACTATATGCAAGACAGCAGCAGTGACACAGAAACAGATTGCAAGGAAACTGATGGGCATGGAAGGAATTCGGCTTATAAGAATAGATTGAGGTAAGATCGATTAACAATTAACTTTTAATTTTATTTTCCCTTTATTAAACAGCTGTCTCAATTTTGTTTAAATACCTATTTTTTTTCATTTTAAAAACAAATCTACATGCGCATGTTTCCCAGAAAAAATATTTAACATATTTTATTTTTTCTAACAATAATCGAAAACAGCAAAACAATTTTTGAAATTGATTTAAAACTCAGCTGATCAAGAGAAACATTAGAAAAGAATTTAAAAATTTTCTACAATAATTAATTACACTTTTCTAATTATTATTGTATATTATATAATATTTTAGAAAATATTTTTTGTACATACTTCTTGCTTTTCATTTCCTGCTTGTCATTTTCTTAATATATATGTATAATCAATATATTCTCAAAAACATTTTCATTAAATCATAAAGCACGTTTGCTAACGACATTTTTTATATATGATTAAATAAATTTTACGTGTTATTCGCTCGTATATATGTTGTCACTTTTATTCTTGAAGTACTTCCAAGTGGTTTTCTGTTTTCAGGTGAGTTCGAAAATTTAGATTCTTGTTATTTAGTTACGTTCTAATGCTTAGATGCGGCATTGGCACCAATTTTCTTTCATTAATTTTTTTTTAAGTAGTTCACCCATTTTTTTTTCTTTTAGTTTTTAAGAGCCATATAATTTCTCTCTAAACTTTAGGTAAGCGTTTTTCATTATATGTATTTATATATACAAAAATAACAAGAGGAGTCAGAATTAAAGTATGATTGTTACAAATTATATACATATATATGGAAAATCTACACATTTTCTTGGAATAATACCAATAAACTATTGTAACTCCCTATATATTATTTTTTCTGTATATTATGAAATTCACCAATTTTTTAACTCATATTCTTCATAAGATTGACTCTTTGAAAATGATTATTAATTTTTTTTATTTTTGATTGAAATTTGAAATTTAAAAATTGTGAGACTCTTAATCAGATTTTCAAAGAGTTGATAAATCATCGAACATTCTAGGATACGTAGATATCCCAAAATGCTTGATTTTAGCTGGAAAGTTAGTAAGGAAATGTGGTTGTTTTGCATGTAGTTGTGGTGGTTCGTCCAAACCAAAATCTTGTCTGGTTCAGAGGGATGGAAGCATCGAACAACATTGTCCTCCCATCGAGACAAGCAGACAGAGCACAAATTTAGGTCAACTAAACAGGTAAAAAAAACTCAATTCAATGCTAAAGGAAAAAACAAAAAAAAAAAATACTGAATGAGTTTTTTTTTAACCACCCGAATTATTTATTTTTAATAACAATCAAATTTTATTAAACTTTAATACACAGTCGGAGAAGACAGGTCGACTAGCAATAAACAATTTTCTATTGCTAGAAATTCTCTAGACAGAAAATTCACTTAATTATTATATTGAAGAAAGAGGAGTGCATGGTTTTTAGAGAACATGTTACACCAGAATTTTTAGATTTACAACTTTTTCTACATATTTTATGGATTTTTTTTCCAAAAAAAGTAAATTGTATCATGAACAAAAAAAATGAGAAAAAGGAAAAAATAAAGTAGTAAGTAGATAGAGCAGCTTATGGCCTCGTTCTTTCCTTGCGGCACTTAGTTCTTTGTTATAAGACCTGGATCCTTTCAATGAGAAAACGCTATTTGTGTATAAGGTAATAATTTTTCAATAAGACTTCTTCATTCACAAGCACTTCATCAGCATTTTTTTTACGCCGATATTCAAGACAGTTTTTTTGTTTTTTTGGTAAAAAAAAAAAGGTTTATAGATACTTTCCCCTGCATTCCTTTTTCTTGATCAATCTTAAAAGTAAAAGGAACGATAATTTTAAAATAAATAAAAATTAGAAAATAAAATCTAAAAAACGTATTTCTTGATAGTATTAAAGAAGAAATATTTTTTAGGCTTCGCACAGGAATTGGAATCACGAAAAGTCCACAGAATCAAAATCGAGAAAGTTGTTCGTCGTCAAATTCAACGTCCGGAATGAGTCATCAACAGATTAGTGACGAGAGAATTACTCTCATTGTTGATAACACAAGGTGGGTAAAAGAAATTTGTACCATCAAGACAATAATAAATATGGAAATTTTAAATTGAAAAAAGTAATATGGAATTATTTATTCTTTTGTAGATTTATAATAGATCCAGCACTTTTTACGGCCCATCCGAATACAATGTTGGGGCGAATGTTCAGTTCTGGAATCGAGTTTGCACAACCGAATGAACGCGGTGAATACGAAGTGGCGGAAGGAATATCTGCAATGGTTTTTCGAGCCATTCTCGAATATTACAAAGGTGGAATTATTCGTTGTCCACCGACTGTGACGGTTCAGGAACTGCGAGAGGCTTGCGATTATTTGCTTATTCCCTTCGACGCCAGCACTGTTAAATGCCAAAACTTGAGTAAGAATTTAATCTTAAAATAATTTTTCTACCTTTACAAATTTTGTTACCTTTTAATTAATTCAAAAGTAAACTCGATAATTTTTGTTCGAATAATAAAATTGATTTAATTTCAGGAGGTTTGTTGCACGAACTGTCAAATGAAGGAGCGCGCTGCCAATTCGAAGTTTTTCTCGAAGACTTAATACTCCCTTTGATGGTGAACAGTGCTCGACGAGGAGATCGAGAGTGCCACATTGTCGTTCTTTTGGAAGATGACGTTGTCGACTGGGACGAGGAATATCCACCTCAAATGGGAGAAGAATATTCCCAAAGTTAGTGAAAAAAGAATTAATTTCATATTTTAATAAATTGGATAATATTTATATTATTTGTACAATTTAAAATTAATTCCAGCCGTGAACAGTACAGCGATGTACAGATTTTTCAAGTACATCGAAAATCGAGACGTGGCCAAGCAAGTGATGAAAGAACGGGGTTTGAAAAAAATTCGCCTTGGCATTGAAGGCTATCCAACGTACAAGGAAAAGATAAAGAAACGCGCCGGCGGTCGGGAGGAAGTAATTTACAATTACGTGCAAAGGCCATTTATTCACATGTCATGGGAAAAGGAGGAGGCAAAAAGTCGTCACGTTGATTTTCAATGTGTAAAATCAAAATCAGTGACAAATTTAGCAGAGGCAACGGCTGATCCAGTTTTAGACGCTGGCGGAAATCCAATAATTGCATTCTTGCAAACTGCTGAAATAGTGCCACAACCGGAAGCATCGCCGCCAATGGGACAGGATATTGATGTCGAGGGTGCACCTGGATTGGCGTCAGATTCCGATGGTATTGGCGTTGGACCGCCCGATGATCAGGCATAAAAATCGGATGATAATTGCACATTACGAATAACATACTCACAAGCGGCTGTTTACTTCATGAGATTTATCAAAAGTATTAACGAATTGTTTCTCCGATTACGGGGTGAGAAACGCGGACTCCACGATTTGAGTCCATTGTAATCCAATGTTTTTTCAAATCAAAGATTAGAAAACTTGATTGAAAGTACCTTACTCGAGTAAATGTTCGCTTTTACTTGTTCATATGTACGAAACAAGATAAGACTTATTCACAAATCTGTAAATTTTTTTCCAAGTTTTGTCATTTTGTATCTTTAAATAAAATTTAAAATAAGCAAATAATTTATTTTAATAAATAGAATAGAAATTACCCTTATAATCATCGTAGTTTGCTTCTTTATTTCCCCTTTTTTTACTTTCTTTTTTCGTTTATTTTTTGCTCTTACTTTTTATTTCATTTTATTTATACCGTTCGCTTTTATTTGCTGTTTTTAAATTTTTTATCCTTGTGATTTTTATTGAATTTCTTTTATTTTTGTTACGCTTTGCTTTTATTTGCTATTTTTAAATTTTATGTTTAATTTATTTTTTCGTTTTCTTTTCCCTCTTCTTTGTAATTTTTGTTTCCGTTATTTTTCTGTTTTGATTTTTACTTTTTATGTTTCTCGAACTGGATTCCACGTTTCTCTCCTATATTTTAATTTTTATTTTTGTGTAATATTTTTGAAAATTTTCTTTTTGGTTTATAAATTTTTATTTTCATTTACTTGAAGTTATATTCAATATTTGAATTTTTTTTATATATATATATTTATCCGAGTTTTCATTTAATTTTTAAATTAAAGGTATTTGAGAAAGTTATTATAAATTAAATATTAAGCAACGTAGTCTGGAAATTAAAAATTCCCTAGCTATCAACGTCAGGAAAAGTTCATTTTTCAATTTCAAAGAGAAAAGTAAATTAATAATTTGTTCTTTCTTTTTTAAATTTTAATTGACGTTATTTCAATTTATTAATTTTTGTATGCTATTTTCAGAGATGTTTTTGACAAAGGAAAAAGATGAGAAAAATGAGAGAAAAATTCGGGGGCCTTTTTTCAATCGATGAAATCGGATCCTCGTTGAGTTTCCGAATTTATAGAAATTCAATAATTCTCATTCGGGAGTACAACCTGTCGGCAATATCGGCGGAGTTAAGGGTGGCCGGAGAAGAGGATCTAAAACGACACCCAACCCCCAATTGTATTTTTGAACAAGTGACGAGAAACGCAGGCGCTGCAACGATCAATAAACACACGAAGTCGAGGGCAAGATAACAGTAGCTTACAGGTTCGCAGATAGTAAGCGTATTTTTTGAAAAAATAAAAAGCAGGCACCGGCTCAACTTGTGAGGCTGCAAAGCAGCTCCTGCAGCATGCAACCGCCTCCAAGAAAAGTAAGTGAAACATCAACCCGGATGACAACGTTCCACTGGATTATATTTCCCTTAAAATCCCCTATTGGAAAAAGTCGCGCGCGCTCCTTGTCAATTTTTTATTTATATATTTCTTTTTTCTTCCACTTGTGTAAAACTCACATTGGGTGTGTGTATGTGTTTATTATCAATGAAAATCCTCTCTTCCCAGTACCTGTCATCGATTTTAAATTCAATTCACTTTCGTAAATCATTTTCTAAAATTAAATCCGTTTTGATTATGAGAATGGGACGATCGAATTTTTTTTCTCGTGTCACGATCTCGCACGAAGAAATTTCGGCTCCCAATCGTCCTTTTCCCGAGGATCCCATCACCTTTTAAATTGCCCTATTTACTAGAGACCTAGATTTTAATAAAAAAAAAAAAATTTGTCCCGGAAGTGGTCTCTTTATACTCATTGATTTTTTATTGCGTGGAAGAAGAAACAAGATTTTCGTAAAAAAATTACTTCTTTTCCTTCGTCGTCGTCGTCATCATCTTCTTCTTCTTCTTCTTCTTTTTTTTTTTTATTGTGCGAGAAAAGGTGACTGTGAAAAGATTGCCTTTTAACCTTTAGGAAGTGGACTAGACATTCGTAGAACATTGATTTCTCGCTAACGACATTTAGTTGGACATTTACTTTCCGTCTTTATAAACTGATAATCATAATTTTATTATTCCTGACAATTTCCCTCTTTTTCAAATGATTTTTAACTGATTTTCAGTTTAAACTAAATTTCTATTTTCTAGTTTTCTAAATCTGATCTAGTTTGAAAATTTACTTAACTTTGTTTGAAATTTCAAGTTCTGGTAACTTGTGCTCCTAAAGTTTTGGTAACTCTTCTATTTTCACGGAATTGAAGTTTAACTTCAATTTTCGAGTTAAATTGTCACGAAAAGTTTTCGAGAACACAAGAAAAAGAAGAAGCTGCGATCGAATTTTGCTCATTGTCTTAAATAGAATGAAGAAAGCTGACGTAATTTATTTTCAGTCACGCGAAAATTTCTTTTTTTTTCTGCTGAATCGAGAATTTCTTGATGATTTGTCAAGGGCGAGCTAGCTGTACAAGGGCAATTAACTTCCAAATCAAAAGGCACATTTCTTAGAAACTAAGACTATCGATTTTTCGAACCCCTCAATTGCCTGTGGGAATGGAAAATGATCAGTATTTTTTTTTCTATTCAAAAGTATGTCTAGAATTTTTAATAACTTGGAATTTCCAATACAATGAACCAGCATTTCGTTTTCATGATACATAAATTGAATTTTTCGAAAATAAAAAAATTCCTGAATTTAAATTAGTAATTTTCCTTTTAATTTTATTTGTAATAATCGAAAAGTGTGTTTTCAAGGGATGAAAATGTGCATTTGAATTTTCATATTTCTGTGTAATTTTGAAGGTAATTTTTTTTCTGAACTCTTTTGAACCTCCGTTAATAAAAGTTCTAGTATTCATTCTCGACTCTCATTTCAGGATCATCGAACCTTTCTCTGCACATGCATAGGCTCGCGGTCCTTTTTCCGATCGATTTTCTTCTTCGCTTATTTCATTTTAACCGATGCAGAATATCCGGCTGAATTCCTCGGGCAAATAGATTATCAACGCAGTTACATTTTCCAATTATGCGATTCTTAATCGACTATAGGATGAAGCAATTAAACGAATATAAATTGTCGCCTTTTTCAATTTCATCCTAATAATTATAAATTGATAAATTCTTTTTTTTCTTTGAAATATTGTAAATTTTATTCGAATATTCGAATTTTTCCTTTCATGGCGAATTAAAATTTGTTCATTAATAATTTACAAAAATTGTAGAGAAATGTTGAAATCTTTTTTTTCTTTCTTTTGCAGGGAAATTATGCAAAGTTTCTCAAAAATGTACACGCAGAACAGGCCGCGAAATTGCAGGCCAAGAATCAACACGAGTGCGACCTGTTGGAGGATATCCGGTGAGATTTGAATTTACACTTTTCATTCTTTATTCTAAAATCTTCATATTTTTCAGTATTGCATTTCTTTGATGGTAAAAATGATAAAAATAGAAAGAGAAATATTTTTAGATTCTTATACAAGAATTTGTTTTCTGAGATAATTTTTCATTTTCCAGAAAACAAAGATATTCATATTTTAAACTTAAATTCAGTGACTAATTGACCAATGGGTGTGGTTTTTGTATTTTTTAAAATTAGAGAAATTTTAATTCTAAACTTGACATTGTTGTTATTCAGAAATAGTGACGGAGTAGAATAAAGAATCCTTGAGACTATTTATGGGAAAATTAAATTATTCAGTGATTAGAGATTAAAAATGTAAGACGTCGAATTATTTGGGGTATAAATAAGTTTGTTAATGATTAGTTACATCAGACGAAGCCTTCTTTTCAATTCATAAATCCTATGCCTGTCGACCTTCACATTGGATATCGATCCATTTCTAAGTTTCATAAATTTTCCTCAAAGATCGCCTTAGATTCCAATCATTTTGTCCTCGAAGTCAAAATTGTCTTCATTTCACTCCATTTGGTGAATTTAAGGAATTTCATTTCAAATTCACTATGTACTTCTGTTAAGAACTGGCCTTTTTTTCGTTTGCATCTTAAATAATTAATTCCTAAATTATTAAATTTTCAATTTTAGTTTTTAGGAGCAAAATTGCGAATAAAATGAAATTATCGAAATTTCTAAATTTATAAAATTAAAATAATGTAAATTATGAATTATACTGAATATGCTGAATTAATAATAATGAATTCTTTTTTATGATTATATTTTTATTTTAGTGAATTCAGTTAATGTAAATTACATGTTCTTTGATTTTACGTCAGTAGATTAATTAAAATTTTAGGTAAATTAAGAAATTATACACAATGCGAAATAGACTGACTTCCGGTACACAAACTGGGGCGGTGGTGACGGTAAAGGGGGTGGGAAAAAGGGGGTGATGATCGAACGTCGTGCATTGCGCGTTACACACGTTGCGCTTTAGTTTAAAAGACTTTTATAATTGTAATAAAAAAAAAATCGCTATAAATCTCCAAATGACCTTAATTTCAAATAATCAATACAACATTCACAACAACTAATTGATAACACTGTTTCGAAACAGCATTAATTTTTCATAATGAAAAATAATTTTTTTCTCCTTTGAATACTATGTATATTTAAAAATATTGTTTCGTTTTTAATAAAGCAACACCTTTTTACCAATATAATATTATTCTTTTCTCGTTCGTAAAAAATTCAGGGATTCGAATGAATATCCGGAAAGAGGAGTTTAAAGAATAATTTGACTAATGGGGTCAAGAGACACTCGAGAGTTTCAATTATAAATGTTTTCGATAAAAACATCTGAAGACTTTAATTAACCATTCAATTGATCGCTGTATTTATTAAAAAATTCTTCATTGAAAAAAAAAGAATTTTCTTTTTCTCTAGTTCCAAAATGCTCAAAAAATCGCCAAAATTAAATCTTTCGAAAAAATTTTCCTATGCAATTAATTAAAGTTTTCAAAATGTTGAATAAAAGAAAAAATAATCTAGATGAGTAGTAATATCGTCCATTCGCATCTTAGCAAAACCATATTTTTGATATTATTTCAGTAATTTCACCATAAAAAAGTCAGCCATTGAAAAATCCTACTCGGAGGTGAGTGAATAGACGAGAAATTAAAAATTATAATTAATTACATTTCTCGGCAAGAATGAAATTAATATTTAACTTTTTTTCAATTTTGTTTTCTTAGGCGTTGCTGAAGATATCCTCGGCATATCTAAACAAGAAGATTCCAAACATTCCTGACATTAAGATCGATGGAGCGGAGGAAAAATGGTATAATAAAAAGGCCCTCTTTTTCTCTCAAGCTACACAATATATATTCTATATACACCATAAATATCTCATAGTCTCTACAATAATGATAACTGAGATAAAAATTAAAAACAAAAAAAAACCACAATCAACCACGTGAATTTTAGGAATATGTGGAATGTCTGGAGAACTGTTCTGGAGGAAAACGAGAAACTTGCTCGGGCTCGACTCGCTGCCGTGGAGGTTTTTCAGCAACAAATTGCTGACGATGCCAAGGTCCTGCGAATGCACAAGCTTCAAATTTCCAAGAAGGTAAATTCTTCAAATTCTTTTGTCATTAAAAATAATTTTTTTCCCATAGAAACGAAGAAATTTATCACAATTTTTGTTCTAGAGAATTTCGAATTATTTAAAAGAATGGAAAATTTATGATTTTTTTCTTTTTCCTGTTTTTATAATTTCTTTTCCGTAAAAGAATTTATTTTCACATTTTAATTTTATCTCGTTTTCTTTCTATTTAAATAAATATAAGAAAAATGAAAATTGAGAAAGGAAATTTGTTACAGGCCATCGATCAATTAATGATAGTACAAAAGGAGCTGCAAACGTGTGTGCAAGATGTGGATAAGACGAAAAAATTGTACTTTGATGAAGAGCATTGTGCGCGGGACGTTCGTGACAAAGCAAAGGATATTGAGGAAAAGTGAGTATATAATTCAAAATTTCTATGCAAATTAATACAATTCAATTTTCAAAGTAAATAGAGCGATATACATAAAAAGAATTCTCTTTTCTTTCTCAAACTTTTTTAAATTTATGAAAATTTGTCAAGATTTACAAAAGTTTTGCGAAAGAAGATTTTTGTGACAATAAAAATTTTATGAATAACAAAATTTATCGAGTTTACAAAATATAAGAATTTCTGTTTTGGAAAAAATATCCATTTCAGACTCAAGAAAAAGAAGGGTTCCTTTTTTCAATCTATCACAACATTGCAAAAGAACAGTGCCAAGGTAAATTTTAATTTTATTATTATTTAATAAATTAACAAACCATTCTTTAAAAATAAAAATAAAATCGCAATAAGTAAAAAGAAGAATAATGAGTGGAATTAAAAAGAAATTTTCTATTCTTTTCAGGTGAGTTCAAAACGAGATGCTTTAGAGGAGAAATCGACAGGAGCTCGTAACGATTATTTGTTGAGTTTGGCTTCTGCAAATGCGCATCAGAACAGATATTTTGCAATCGATTTGCAAAATACAATGCAGGTAATTTTATTGACGCTAAACTTGTTATCAATTCTAGGTTATTATAATAATATAATTTTTACTATCAATATTATATATAAATATGACAATTTTTAGTTAAAAATTGAAAAAATATACTATTAATAATTTTTTTCGTATTAGTATTTAGAGCAAGGTGTATACGACAAAGTAGCCGAATATTTGACACTTATGGGCCGTACAGAACTTTTAACTTGTATGGCAAAGCAAAATAGTTATGGAATAATTCGCGACCAAGCACAACAGGTTTGAATAAATAAAAGATTATTTTTTGAAGAAAATTATTAAAGAAAAATAATTTTAGTTTGGAAATGTATTGAAATATATTATACTATAAGAGTAAAAAATTATTTTCAGCTAACTAGGGAATACAATATTAAATGTTGTTGCTTGTATTATCCTGTATTGAAGCAACACATTCAATATGAATACGAGGCATGCGACAACGACCCCTTTGACAAGTAAATATATTTTTAATTGTTATCCTTTTAATTTTTAGTATAGAAAAAAAATTAATTTATTATTTTCTTTTAAAGAGTGACTGCCGATCATTCAGCTGCATCATCCTTAGGAAAAGAAGCTCGTCGTTGGGCAACGAGAATAGCTCGAGAAGTTGGTAGTATTAGAGAAAATAATAGAAAATTACAAGTTCTTTATCAACTTAAAGAATCGGGACAAAAGGTATGAATCTTTATAAACTAGAATAAATTTAATTACAATATTAGTAAAATAATATTTAAATATAAGAAAAAATGTTATTTCCATCATGAATACTCGTCTATTTATTTATTTTTCAAATTTTGTAAATAAATTTCTAATTTATTTTTAATTTATCTATAATTTATTTTCGACTTGTAGTTTATTTTTAAATTGAATATTTTATTTTAGACCGATCCGAATGATCCGAACGGCCCCGACATTGACACCAAGATAGATGACATGAAGCACAATGTTCGACGTGCCGAGGTAATTATCGTTGGGGGAAAAATGATTTTTTATTAAAAATAGTTCTACCTTTTAATAAATGCATTATTCACTCGCCTCATTTATTTTAGACGGCAAAAATGAAAGCAGAAGCCAGATTAGAATGTCTTCGTAGTGGAGGAGGTATGTAATTTTCAATTGATTTTATTACCGATATCGGTGCGAATTTTTAATAAATAAAATAAATAAAATAAATAAAAAAAATATCAATATAAATTAAAAAACAATATTAATGTGATGATATTATCTTATCAGATTTAAATTAATCGAAAACGTTTTTTACAGTTAACGTAGATGAATTCATGCAAGAAGTGGAAACGTTGAACGTTCAAGACATCCCCCGGTCAGCGAGTTCACTCTCCGTACGCACAGACGCTTCCGGAACTGCGGTAAATAGATGATAAAAGATATGCATACATAATAGATTCGCGATCAATGTTGGGACCGCGCAGAAACTATTGTATTGTATTTTTAAATAGACCAAGTACTAAAAAAAACTCTATGAGGAAGTAAAATTTATTCAAGGTGGCAAATGAATTTCGAAGGAAACTAAAATTTTGTTATTTTGAATAAAGTAATAAAATAAAATTCACTTTTTAGAAAGTCTAAATTGTAAAATATGCTACTAAAGATAAGGTATAATTGCAAATGTTTCAGGAGCATCCATCATCGGATTCATTCTACGATAGTGACGGCGATGCTGGAAGTGATTTAACAACTGTCGAGAGACCAGGAAGTACGCACACTTCCGCGCAGCAAGATGAAGATATTATCGAAGACAGACAGAGGCACGATAGTTCGGAAGTTAATGGTAAAATATTGAAAATACTTTTTCTATTATTACAGAACAAGAATTTTTTTGATATAATTAAATATTTTTTCTTATTCACAACAGCTCTATTAGAACAAGAACAGCAACGAATAGAAGATATTACTGCTGGTTGGGATGATCCGGCAAATCTAGACTGGAGCAAGTTGGATGAAGATGAATCGGCCACAACACAAGATTCAGCCGATGTGCCTTCTAATCAACAAATTTTCAAGTGCACAGCTCTTTACTCGTACAATGTAAGTATTTTTCTCTAATTGCTCTAATTTATATCTCTTTTTCATTAAATTGACCAAAAAGTACCAAAGTTGCTGCTCAATTTTTTTCAATGAAATTGAATCAATATTTTTCTCTAACATTGTGATTAAATCATTCAAGAAATAAAAATTGGCAAATAAATAAATTTTTTTTTCAAGGCACAAAATCCGGATGAATTGACTATAGTTGAAAGTGAACAATTAGAAGTAGTTGGCGAGGGCGATGGCGACGGATGGTTGAGAGCTCGAAATTATCGAGGCGAGGAGGGATTTGTACCGCAAAACTATCTTGACGTCGAAAGAGAGCCCGAGACACAAAGTAGTCTTGTTTCACATGGACCAGGATTGGTGCAGCAAATTTCGTTTTCATCCGTTGATTACACAATTGACGATCACGACGCTGTTGATCCTGATGCACACATACAGACAACTGCTCAAGATTCGTTTGTACAAAATCATATAGGTAAAGTAATTAATTAATTAATTAATTATGTAGTTATTCAAATTATTCAGTTTACTATAAAGCAAAATTTATTCAACAGGTACTGAAGAAGAATTTTGCATTGCTCTGTATGACTATGATGCTACTTGTGACGAGGAACTCACTTTCGTCGAAGGCGAAATTATCAAAGTATTGAGAAAAGAACCACACGACGTTGATGACGGTTGGTGGGAAGGTGAATTACGAGATCAAAAAGGCCTATTTCCATCTTTAGTCGTAGAACCTTGCGCCCCAGATGGATCACCTTTGTCGGCATTAGAAGTAATTCAAGTTTCATTTTGCAGACATACAGACAAAAATTAATAAAATAAAATTTTAAATTCTATTGTACTACTACAATTTTTTTCAGGACGATGATGAAACACCGCCAACTAGTTTTGCACCTCCCCCCGAACACACACCACCTGAAATTCCGGACTACATTTTAACCGATGAATTCGAAAACTCGGAATTGAATGGTACGATTAATAAAAGCAATTTTGATCAATTTTTATCTATATAAATTATTTTAATTCCTGGAAATTTTTGACAGATTCAGGAGGCGATCAACCAGTTTTTGTAAGTGAGAGATCAGGCTTCGCAATAAATCTCACGAGGAATCAGAAAGAGCAATACGTTATGCAATTCGATGACGATGAGAAGGTCGAAGCTCCGGGAATAACAGGTGAGTTTTTTTCAAATCTAATTCTGAAAATTCCAAATTAATTCCTGTCAGTAATAATAGCAAAATAAATTATTCATTAGTTTCGATTATTATCCAACCTCTTATCTTTCTAATGCTGCTCAGTAGAGGAAGCTAAAGAAGAATCAAATACTACAGTCGAAGTAAGTAAACAAAAATCAAATTTATATTTCTAAATTGATCCAAATCGGTAAAAATTCTCTTTTCTTCTAGAAGACAAAAAAGAAGGCAGCGAAGAAAAGCGAAGACTCAAATAATATTGGTCTCGGAGTAGCACAAATTGTCATTACAGCTGCGACTCCAATGGAGGAAATCGAGCATCCTTTCCCCGGCGAAGACAAGGCGGACAAGGGCGACGAGGAAAAGGACACAGAAAAAGAAACCGTACAAGAAAAGATCGTGGAAGCCAAAGAAGAAAAAGTTGAAGAAGAAAAAGTCGAAAGCGAAGTTAAACCAGACGAACCAAAACCACCAGATGTCGACGAAATCGAAGAAAAAGTCGACGATCTACCAGCAGATTCGGGACCATTTCCGGTGAGCAGCAGTTCAGGTAGCGATGGCGCCGAGTCCATATCCGGACCAAGTACCGCGGAAAATTCCCAATCACTACCAGCGCGCGCTGCTGTCGTCGAAACCGAAGCACAACCCGAAACTGAAACCGCCGAATCGCCGGATATAATACCAAACAAAATGCTAGTTGGCGGGAGAGCGAGTATTCCCGACGAATTACAACCTGATCAACTGGAGAAGCTACAAAGCCTAAAAGAGTCTAACGCCTAGGATTGACAGAACCTCGGAGAAATTGACTGTTACGCCTTAACAGATAAATGGGCTCTTCCAATAAATCATCGGAACAAATTCCAACATCTCTTGGAATTTTGGAATTCTCCAGAGGTCATCATTGCGAAAAAAGACTAATCTTGCTAAAAAAAAATAAACTGACAACAACTGGATATTTTTATGTTGATATTATTATGTACACAATTTTTGCTAGGCAATTAACTTCTAGTAAAACTACCTAAGTAAGTTGCGATTTTTGCAACAAGATTTACAAAAGCAATTATGTACAGCCATAGGGTAACAAAAAAAATATATATATTATACATATTAAAAACAAAACGACTCGTCGATACCTGTAATAGCGGAACTTGCGTCGTTCATGTAAATTATAGAGAATTACAAGAATGTTGCATGGAAATGAATATTGTCTTTTATTTCAAAATATTATTTCAGATTTAAAAAATGATTACCTTGGTAAAAAAAAATGCAAAAAAAATCCTTAGGGTTGCATTCTTAGAGCACCGTCGAGTCGAATGACTTCAGCATTGAGAAGTGGATTTTCAATGATCGTCTGACAGATATGAGCGTATTCGTCAGGTTTACCCAATCTCTGTGGAAATGGTACGGTTTGTGCGAGGAATTGCCTAACTTTGTCTGGTAACGATTGAAGCATTGGCGTGTCAAATAGGCCAGGAGCAATGGTGCAGACTCGAATTCCAGTTGAGGCTAAATCACGAGCCAGAGGCAGTGTCATGCCGACGACTCCGCTTTTACTTGCCGAATAGGCAGACTGTCCCATTTGTCCATCGAAAGCAGCGACACTTGCCGTGTTCACAATGACACCACGTTGTCCATCCTCGTTTGGCGTATTTTCAGCCATCAATCCTGCCGATAGTCTTATCACATTAAATGTTCCAACGAGATTTACATTCACAACCTTTTGGAAATCCTCCAAGGCATGATAGGTTTTTTTATTCTTATTGTAGACTTTAAAGGCCACAGCAATGCCGGCTGCGTTAACGACAGCGTCGAGTTTGCCGAATTTATCTTTTGTCATTTCCAAAGCTTTTTTGACGTCATCTTCGGACGTTACCTGAAAATCATAAGAAATTTGATCTTAGTTTTTTTTTCTTAATTTTAAAAATTAATCTTTGAGTACAAAATTAACATACATTGACAGGTGCAAAAATTGCATTGTCTCCCAAACTTGAAGCAACTGCAGCACCTTGAGAAGTTGGCAAATCGGCAATAACAACTCTCGATCCTTGCTTTAAGAATCTTTCCACTGTACCACGACCCAATCCCGAAGCTCCTCCAGTCACAAGGAGAACAAGATTCTGTAAAAATTATTTATTTTCGTTTATATTAGAAAAAATTAGTAAAACTAAAGATAAGATTATTAAAGTATGTCATGGGAATAAAAGCTTCATTTTATCAAATTAACAATTAATTTTAATTGTAAATCTATAATATTCGTTTGATGTTACGAAATATATTTAAAAGCTAAAATTCTTTACATCATGATGACTAGGTATTTTTATACATTAGAAAAAATAAATTATCTTTAAATATACACAAAATTAACAATTAATTAAAAAAACAAAAGAATAAGCAGAGTGTTTCCTAAGGTCCTTACACTCAAATATTAAGGACTTAAATTTAAAGCAAAATACACAAAATAGATTAAAAAAATCAAAATATACAGGAGAAAGTTAAAAACCAGATATTTAAATAGAAAGTTAAATTATTAAAATAAATTTCCTCCAAAACGGAGTATAAACGAACCTTCAACATCCTGAGGAGTCAAAAGAGACCGACTTTCTTCGAAATATTTTAATAACTGATGGTAGAATGAAAAGTTTCTTTAATTAAAGTTGATTACTATTATTCACTGAACATTGAACTTTAAATGATATATTTTATAAAATGAAGGAGATTGTGCATCTGGACTTTGAACCGGCTCCTTTCTGGATAAGAGGGCACGTGGGAGAAAAACTGGTGGGGATTGAAATGGGATTGAACTAAATTAATCAATTTTAAAATATATCCTTCCACTTTATCCAAATATTTAAATATTAACATATATAAGATGCTTAAATGTTAATTAAAGACTAAATAAAATGAGTGAAAAGTGCGTATTAAATGTCTATAAAAGAATAAAGAAAATAAACTTCTCAAATAACTGACATAACCTCTAAAAAAAGTTACGGAAATTTTCACCCAATCCTCCCAACTTTATGAAAGTCAGAAAGTCACACAAAATTTCTAACAGAAATTGAAAAAACTATTATTATCAATATAAACTACTTAAAATATAAATAATTAATGCGTTTTTAATTAAAAATGTAGACGATAAAGACAAAAAAAATCAAAACATTATCATTGCGCACGCGCTGATTAAAGTTTATGATTGGTCGCTTATTTTACGCGGTGAATTTTAAACAGAAAAAGTAAAATATTCCAAACAGGTTTAAATAATTACAATTTACAATAAATATAAAAACTAATTAATTAATTTTCTTATAAAATTTAATTTCGTTTTTAAAAAGTAAATAGTTTTCTACAATATATTTCATGCTAAAATTGTAACAATTTATTTACTATTGATATTATTGTTATTAACATTATTATTATTAATTTTTATTTTTTACTATTTTTTATATTGTTTTTCATTTTTTTTAAACTGATAAACAATAATTATTATTAATTAATGTTATCTTTTTACAAAAAACATATTTCTCTTAACAAGTATTTTATCATTCTAGCTTCTAGGTCAAAGTTATTTTATTTAAAAAAAATGTTGATAAATGGTATTTTAGACTTGAAAAAGCTTAGAATTAGACAAACAGAAAAATAAAGGAAAAATAATTTTTTTTATTGTAATTGAAAAAGTAATTAATAAATAGACTTTTGTCTATTATTGTATGATTTTAAATTTAATGTGCATTTAATTTATAAATACTAATATTAACAGACGAAAAGATAATTGAATACAAGAACAAAAATGGATTATGTAAGTGTTTTTTTTACCTTTTCTTTCATGTCTGATTAATTACCTATTGAAATTTTTAATTAAAGGTAAAATTTCTTTTAGAAAATAATTATTGAAAATAATATCGTCAAAAGCGAAAAACTACCTTCGCTATCAAATGATAAACGTTTAAATGAAATATTACTGGAAAATTTAAAGAGTAATCCAGATTTTATTGGAATAGTAAGATTAAGAATAATTTTTATTTAATAATAATAATAATAATAATAATAATAATATCAATAATAAATAATTAAAGAATAAATATCTCAATGTTTAAGAATTACTTACAATAAAAATTTTCCTCTTCGACAGATTGACTCTCAAACAGGGGAAAAATGTTCTTACAGAAAATTAGCAAACGATAGCATTCGATTAGCTTTGTGGTTGAAAAAACAAGAAATAAATCCAGGCGACATTGTTTCAATTTGTTCTGACCATAGAATTGCAATATGGAGTCCTTTATGTGCTACTTTGTTCATTGGAGCGAATTTGAATATTTGGTACGACCACTGGTCACCTGGTAAATAATTTTTAACAACAAAAAAGAACTTTATAAATTTAAAAAATCATTTTATATTCTTAAATTTTGTAAATTTAAAAATAATTTTCCAAAGCGGTATAGTAAAATTTTTCCAAATATTTCAGTAACATTGCGATATTTTGCAAAACTTACGAAACCAAAAATTATATTTGCCAATGAGCAAAAAGGAAGTGTGCTCAAAAAAATATTCCAAGAGGAGAATATTGATACAAAAGTAGTAATTCTCGGTAAAATTCCTGATTTCGATTCACTTGACGATATTGTAGAGTGTGGATATTCGGGAACTGTAGAAATTGATGATTTTAAATGTCATCCGGTGAAAGATGATGACGATGCGTTATTATTATTTTCTTCTGGATCAAGTGGAATGCCGAAAGGAGTGCAGCATTCCCATCGTAGCACTTTTTATAATTTGTGCAAATTTTGTAATATGTGTCTTCAAAAAAAAGAATTAAATTCAGGGATCACTACTCCGCTCTACTGGATTGGAACTACAATGCAAATTCTACGATGTCTATTGTTGGTTTATCCTGCAATTATTGTCGATGAACCAACGCCGGAAAAATTTTGTCAATCTGTAAACAAATACAAGGTTATTAATTTAATTTCCCAAGCAGATTTATTAAATCTTTAAATGTTTTTATATTTTAATTTAATTAAATTTATCTCGTTTTTAAAAAATATCTTCTTTTAAAAATAATAATTAAAACTACTTTTTTAATGTCATTTAGATTCAATGGACAGTTCTAGGAACCGCGTTTCTAAACGAATTGTTCAATTCTGGACTTTTGGATAAATACGACTTTTCATTTGTCGAGGAAATTTTAGGTGGAGGAGCAAAAGTGAGAGTGGAAATATTAAAAAAATTTGAAAGTATATTGCCTAATGGAGTAATATTACAGGGATATGGTGAATATATTTTTATGAACAAATTAAATTAATTATAAGAAAGAAATAGGTGAAGTAAATAAATTTCAGGCCTCACTGAATTTGGTGGTGTGGCTCTAATACGAGAAAAAGGTGACAAAAATTACGAAAGAATGAAATTAACATACGAGATGGAGATGAAAATAATTGACACGAATGACAAGAACATTTTGGGACCAAACGAAGAGGGTGAAATTTGCTTGAAACATTCTCATATTATGAAAAATTATTTTCAAAATCCAGAAGCAACTCAAGAAATAATTGATCAGAATGGTGAGGTTTAAAACTAATTTTTTGTGAAATTTTTTCTAAATTCAAGAAACGATTTTACAGGCTGGCTTCATACGGGAGATTTAGGATACTATGATTATGAAGGCAACGTCTACATTATTGACAGAATTAAAGAATTAATTAAATATAAAGGTCACCATATTTCACCGAACGAAATTGAAAAAATTCTTGTGCAGCATCCGGAAGTTTTAGAAGTAGCTGTGGTTGGGATTCCTCATCCAGTTGATGTTGAACATACACTCGCCTTCATTGCTGCAAAAACGAATACAGAGGTTACTATTTATTTTATTTATTTAAATTTATTTTAAATATTATTATTATTCATATTATTATCATTACTAATTAAAAATGAAATAATTAAAAAAATCTAGACACTGAGGAAAGAACTATTAAAAATGTCATTAGTTCTTGGCGAAAAGAAACGTCTGCATAAAATAGAATTTGTGGAGAATCTGCCAAAAGCAGGCAAAAAAATCAGCAGAAGCGAATTAAAGATCATGGCAAAAGAATATGTTGAGTAATTGAATTATTAATCAAACAGAAAAATTTTATTTCTAATTTACTGTTTCCATTATTATATAATTTAATTTATTTGCAACTATTGTATTTCCAATAAATGTTTAACAACATTTATTTCAAAACTTTTATTTCTTTTTATTCTCGAATTCTAGCTTTTTTTTATAATAAATTTTATTCAAATTATTCAACGAAATTAATTTTGTGTTAGATCTCAAATTTTAATTTTAAATAAAATGAGAAAAAATGGAGTATTTTTGGAAATTTTATAGAAAAAAAATTCCTTACAATGAATATTTATTTTTTAATCAATTAAACAGACTCAGGACATTGAGCAAAGTGCATATTAAAAAGTGTGTAAAAATAAATTTAAAATTTATTCTTCCTTATAGCTTTTTTTTGTTTTATTATTTTTTTACTCTGTGTAATTTCACAGACGTTAAATTTAAATTGCTCTCGTCATTATTTATTAGTCCTTGATTGCATAAACTAACATGACTTTGGATTATTCGCATGCAGTGGTAAAATAATTGTAATTTACATGAATTGTGCTCCAATTACGAAACTGAAATTGATACCGATAACAGAAATTCAAAGTCATAATATATGGTGGGGAAGAGTCTCGTTATAAATCTCAATGCATGAAAATAAAAGATTCATTATTAGAGATGACAATCTTTTAAATCATTTGTTATTTGTGCGAGTGTGATCAACATGAATTTCAAGGTAAACTTACTTTTTCTCCTATTTTAGTTTATTTAGAATAATTACTTCTATTTCTTAAAGAATTAACTTAATTCTCAGTAATTTTCTATTACTATTTATTATTATTATTCGATTAAAAATTCAAATTTAAAAAAAAATTACAGGACTCTCATCGATTTGTGATTGAGAATAAAATACTGAAAGGTAAAAAAATAACACTGGCCGATGACAAAACTCTAGGAGAAAGAATTCTCGAAAATTTGAAGAAAAATCCCGAATTTGTTGGACTTGTGAGTTATTATTTCAATATCTTGTTAATGATCTTTTGATCTAATTGATCCTTCATTTCTGCATTATCTTGTTTACAATAAATATAAAATTGCAGTTAAAATTATCATTATTGATATAGTAATAAGAATAATTTATCAACAATTGTGTTAAAATTCAATACTAATCAAGTGCCTAGAATTTTTTGAAATTATATTTCTGATTTGACACTAAAAAAAATTAATTTAGTAGTTTCACTCACCTATTAAATAGAAATATTTTTCTAAGATTGATGCTCAGACCGGAGAGACGTCGACGTACGGAAAATTAATAAATGACAGCATACGATGTGCATTGTGGTTGAAGAAACAAGGAATAACTCCAACCGATGTAGTCGCAATTTGTTCTAATAATAATCTTTCCCTATGGGCAGCGTTTTGTGCAATATTTTACATCGGAGCAAATTTAAATCCTTGGTACTATGGTTGGACTGCCGGTGAGTTTTCCTAAAAATAATAATTCTTGACAATTATTTCGAATATTGAACACTTCTCATACTATATATTTTTTGAAATTATATTAATTATTTTTTTAGAAAGGATTAATTTAATTAATTACGAGAAAAAGTTGAAATTTAATAATTATGCTTCACAACTTTAAAATAGTTTTACTATGGTTTTACTAATAAAAATATGAAAAAAAATTAATATATGTACATACAGAATCAGCAAAGCACTATCTTCATTTGACAAAGCCGAAAATTATTTTCGCCAGTGAGAAAGCGGTCGATATGCTGAAGAAATTAATTAAAAATGAGAACTTAAAGACAAAAATTATTGTTTTTGGCAAAGTACCTGGATTTGAATCGTTTGAGGATATTATTAAACAGCCACTCGTCGAAGATGTGGAACGATTTCAGTGCACAAAAGTCGATCCAAATCATGATTCTTTGATAATGTTCTCGTCTGGAAGCACTGGTCTCTCTAAAGGTGTCCAACACTCGAATCAAAGTGTTTATTGTAATTCCTATAAATGGGGCATTTGGTTCGACGAAGCCCTCGGGAAACCGGCGATGTTCACCTCCACATTATATTGGATCACTGCCGTTATTAGTATGACTAAAAATTTATTATTCTCCTGTCCAACTATTGTCATCGATGAACCATCTCCTCAAGAATTCTGTAAAGCCATCGAAAAATATCAGGTAAATTTATTAATTATTCTGAGAAATTGTTAATTAAAAAACTATTAATATTATTTTTACTATTATTATTATTATTATTACTATTTTTATTACTATTTTTAACTACTAAACTTCTGATTAAACAAAATTTTTGCAGATTCAGTGGCTATTCACTGGAACGGGAATGACGAATGAATTGTCCTTGATGGAAGATTTGCCTAAATACAATTTCTCAACTTTAAAATATTTTGCAACTGGAGGCTCGAAAATAAGACCTGATGTCGTTAAAAAAATTATTCAAGTGTTAAAAAATGATCAGTTTACATCATGCTATGGTTCGAAATTATACAAATGAAAAAAAATGTTATTAAAAAAAATTATAGAAAAAAATTAGAAAATTAAATTTAAATTCCAGGAACTACAGAATTGGGTTGTGCGGGTATTTGTCAAATGAAAAATGGTAAAAAGAATTATGAATCTACTGGTGTTGTTTTCTTTGATTTGGAATTAAAAATTGTGGACGTTAATACCGGTGAACCATTAGGTCACAATCAATTGGGTGAACTTCATTTTAAAAATAAACACATGATGAAACATTATTTGAACAATCCAAAAGCAAGTGCAGAGATCTATACCAGCGACGGTAAATATTTAAATTTAATAAATTATGTAAATAATTTTAGATAATATAAATAATAATAATTAAAAATTTACTTAGTGAAGAAAGAAATATCTTACAGGATGGATTCGTAGTGGAGACCTAGGATACTACGACGAGGACGGCAACGTCTTCATAAAAGAGAGAATAAAAGAAATGATGAAGTACCGAGGTCATCAAATATCTCCTTTGGAAATTGAAACTGCTCTTCTTAAACATCCGGAAGTAATTGACGCTGTTGTCGTATCAGTGCCTCATCCAGTGGACGATGAACATCCATTTGCCTTCGTCGTTAAAGAAAAAAATTCAAAAGTACTTTTTCCTCCTTTTTTCAAATAAATTCTGAAAAGGAAATAAATATTCATAAATCGATTTCTTTTACAGGTAACGAAAGATGAACTTTTACAATTAACATCAGTTTTGGGTGAAACAAAAAAAATACGCGGTGGATTAGTATTTTTAGACACTTTTCCATTGAACACTTCGACAAAAATCGACAAAGTAAAATTGAAAGAAATGGCGAAAGCTCACGCAGCTAAATAAGTAAGAAAATTTGGAAATTTTTGTGCATATTGATATTTTTCTTCCAAAATTTTTCAAAAAAAAAAAAAAAAACATAAAAATAAAATATAATAAAACTTAGATTATTATTAAGGCATAATTAATGAGTATTATTATTATTAAGCTATAATTAAAGATTAAAATATTTTCTAGTACATATTCTACTAATTTAAAGAAACCTTTACCTTATTCCCTTAAATTTTTGTTATTAATTTAAAAGGAATTTTAAATTAAAAATTTCATTTACTTTAAAATAACAATGAAAAAATTAACAATTGATTCTAAATTTTAATTTTCAAAATTTTATTGTAAAAAATCGAAATAAAAAAAATCTAGTATGACAATAATATTGAAAAGAATCTTTAGAAAAATAACATAATGCTTATTGACAGATGTTAAAAATGTCAAATGCTTTTAAACTTCTTAATCAATGATAGTGAGGAATAAATTTACTCCTCTGTACAAACGATGATTTATAAAGAAATAAATTCATTTATTATTATTCAAAGTCGTTTTTCAATATTTTAAGTCATTCGCAAAATTAATGAATTTGAATAAACAATTATTTATAAATGTAAAGAATAAGTTAGATAATCTACATAATTCTTCAAAAAAAAAAAAAAATGTTTTAGATACATTTCACAATTTGCATATTATTGTATAAATTTCCCTCTATATATACGATTGAAAATTTTAATCATTACTAAATAAGTTTTCGTTTTTACCTGTTTATCGACTGTGATTTTCCTCCAAAATGAAATTAATTTTCTATCTCGTTTACATTATTTACGTCGTCCATGCAAATTCTGTTGAAGTAACAAATTTCATTTTAATTTAATAATAAATATAATTTTCAAATTTTATTTTTCTGTATGACTTTAATTCTTAATAAAAAAAATTAGAATTTTAATTTTAATCTCTAAACTTCGAAAGTAAACTATTTTCTATAAAATAAAACTAATTTCAGACTAACAACGAAGTCTACGATGATATAACGGATTCACATTTCGAAGTGAAACAAATTGAAAAAGATATTAATCAATATGAAAATAAAGTTTTGACGGAAGCAAGGGCAATTTTTGATGAAAATGAAAAAATGCTTTTAAAGGAGACCCTTGAACATGAAAGTGAAGTAGGAATATTTTTTCTCAAACTATTATTTAACCATTTTTTTGTAATCTCATTAAATGTATCAATAATAATAATTTTAAATTGCAATTTCAATTTTCAGAGTGTGGATTACAGTGAAAAAAATAAAACAATTGTACAATTGTGTCTTAAAAACGTTGAGACAAAATTCTCAGTATATAAAAATATTGTCGATGATTTTAAAGTTTGCCAAAGTAAAGCAGAAATTAAATATTATCGAGTGCCAATTGATGATTACAAATTTATTTTATTCAAAGTGAGTAATATTTAATTATCAATTTTGACTAAATAATGAAATAATTTCAATTAGAAAATAAAAAAGATAAACAATTTTACAAAAAATTTCTTTTAGATGAGTGAAATATTGGAAGTCCATGTAAATAGTTCTGTACAAGAGTGCAAATACTGGGCAGAAAGTTCTGCGATTGATATGACAATAAGTGACTGTTTTAATTCGAAAAGACCAGGAATTAATGCAATATTGTTTGGTTTAGAGAAAACATCGATAAAATTGCAAACTTTAATTTATTATGCAGGAGAAAAGTTAAAAACAGAATGTAAAATTTGTGCATCAAATCAACAGTTAAAATTAAAAAAAGAACTTTTTAATATTCATGTTAAAACAGATTTTTGTATTCAAAATAATTAATAGATTAAATTAAATTAAAATACATAGTTAAAAACAACTGTCTTTACAAAAACCAAACAATTGAAAATGTAATTAATATTTAAATATTTATAGATATTATGTACATACAAAAACTTTGTAAAAATTAATTAAGTATTAAGTATTGAGTATTTTATATAGAAATAAATAAAATATTTCCTATTTTCAATGTTTCAATTTTTGTCTAATCTCGAATTTTCTATAAGAATCATTTATTGACTTTTTTTTTAATAAATAATTTTAATTATTCTAATAATGTCATTTCTTATAATATATTTTTTTTCATAATTCAATTTCTATAGTATTTTAATTATTTGTAAGATTTATTTACTATTGTAGTCGATGACTGTTTAATCGACTAAATGAAATTTTATTAATTTTCCACATTACTTGAGTTTATTAAAAGAAAATTTTACGATTCCTGAACATTAAAAGCGTAATTTATTAAACTTTTGTTCGTGTTTTTAACTATAAAACTTGTTTAAAGTATCATCGATAAAATAAACTATTTTTCCTGATTGTTAGACTACTGATAAATATATGGAATTCTTTAGAAAATAATCCAATATTCTACAATTTATTTGTTATTTCAAATACATTCTATTTGACACTGAAATTTTTGGTAATTAGAATTTTTAATATTCAGCATTTAAATTGCAAATTGTATTCTTTCCAAATTTCACTTGCAAATTAAATTATTGTTTATAATATTATTTCAAAATTTTACCTAATAATTTTTAATAACATTAATAACTTTAACAGATTTAATTTAATTTGAATAATTAATCAATAAAATAATTTTTAGGAAAATCTAATTAATTATTTAAATTTATTTCTTTATTTCTTAAAAATATTTTACTTTCAATTTGTCGAGAAAAATAAAATAGATTCTTCAAAATGTAAACAAAGATAAATTTATTTTGTTTTCCTTGATTTACTTATCATTTTTCTCAACAGTATTTTTATTTGAAAAAAAATTATTGTTTTCATTAAACATTATTTTATCTGATTTATGAAAATGTTAATAATTTTCTGATTCTATGTATTCATTAAGTTAAAGATAACATAATTGACAATTTCAGAAATACCTCATTGGGATGAAAAATATTTTTCTGTTACTTTATGTGTTCATTTGGTCAGAGATAATTGATAAAAGGTGTATATTTACATTCAATATTAAGCTAGCAATTAACTTTGATATCTTTTGTATCTTTTTTCATTTAAAAGCCACTCAATTATTAAACACATAGATCTCTAAAAAAAAATAAGATATATGTCAAGAAATTAACTACCGGTTCTAGAAAATATTTACTGAAATAAAAATAATTACTGTTTACTGAGAAAATAACTGTTTAACTGAAATAATTATTCTGTGAAGAATTAAATTGAATGTTTAAATTGTGGTCATTTAATGATCATTTAAAAATTTAGAAAATGTCACAAAATAAGTAAGTAATGTTTCTAATTAAATATGTTTACACGCAAAACGAAATTATTTTGCAAGTTTTTACGGAATGAAAAATTTTCTTTTAATTTTAGTCAAACAGTGGAAAATTTGTATACTCACTGTTTTATTGTATTTTTTACTTCAATTTCACTGGTAAAAATGTAAAATAAAAACGAACCTAATATTTTTCTATTTTCCACAGCAATTGTTTGAAGAAAGTTCATAGTCTCGAGAAAGTTACATCAACTTTTGGACTTTCAGAAGGACCACATTGGGATATTCGATCTCAAAAATTGTACTTTGTACAAATATGGAAACAGCACATTTGCAGTTATGATCCGGCAACAGGAAAAGTCTTCCACGCTTTCATAAGTTTGTTTTAAATCTAAAATACAAAAAAATTAAACAATAATTATAAATAAAATATTCATGAATAAATTAATAAATAATAATTATTAATTACCTTTTTTAAAATCGATTTTTCAGAGAATGGCCCCGTGAGTTTAGTCACAACCATCGAAGGACAACCGGGAAAATTACTAGCAACATCCGGAACTGATATTGTCATTGTTACATGGAATGGCGAAAGTAATGTTGAAAATCCTGAAATTAAATTATTAGTTAGCATCGAAAAAAATAAGAAAGGTTACAGATTCAACGACGGAAAAATTGATGCACTTGGAAGACTATGGGCTGGTAATTATAAACTAAACTGAATTTAATAAATAATAATTTTAAACCGAATTTAATTAAATTAATAACAAAATAAACTATAGCTTTGACAAATTAAACAAAATAAATTATAATTAACTATAATTAATTAAATATAAAAATGTTAAATACTCACAATTTTTTATCAGGAACAATGTGTCAGATTGATCAGAAAAATATACCGGATGTAGGAAGTCTCTATCTCATCGATGGAAAATTGAAACCGAAAAGAAAAATCTCCTCAGTTTCAATAAGCAACGGTTTGGAATGGAGCAAAGACAATAAAATGTTTTACTTCATAGACACAACGACGAATAAAGTCTTTGCTTATGATTTTGATTTGCCCTCTGGAAATATCTGTAAATAGTATAGAAAAAGAATTAGAAAAATTATTTATAAATATTCGACTAAATAGAAAATTATTTTACCTTTTATTTCAGCAAATCGACGAGTTATTATTGACGTCAAGGAAAAAGGATTTCAAGGATTTCCCGATGGCATGACTATCGATACTGAGGGAAATTTGTGGGTGGCTTTAGTTCATGGATCTAAGGTGGAAAAAATTTTCTTGTTCTTAATTATTAATTTATTATTTAATAGACTTTTCTTTCGACTAAAAAATATTCTATGTCGTATTCAACACTGTCGAGTAGAAAAATTTACTAAAAATACTAATCATTAAAAAATTTGCAGTTGATTCGTGTGGATCCGAAAAATGGAAAAATTCTCAAAGTGATTGATTTTCCAACGAAAATGGTAACAAGCGTAGCTTTCGGTGGCGCTGATTTCGATATTTTATATGTCACAACAGCATCTTACGATTTCCCCAATAAAATTGTTGATTCAAAGGGCGGTCAAATTTTCGCTCTGAAAAATTTAGGTGTGAAAGGATATCCTCCACATTCTTTTAAATTAAGTAAATAAAGAATTTGATTAATTATTAAAATCTCTCCTCTGGTTTTAGCAAAAGAAACAATTCTTTTCTACTAAAAAGTAAAAAATATAAAACAAAAATAAATTTTATTTTTATCTCAACAAAAAAGAGAAAAAGAATTAATCTACACTTGACAAACAAAATTGGTTAAAGAGTAAAAATTCTAACAAATTTCTTTTGTATCAAAATTTGCTATTTATTGTTACGCATTTAAGGAAAATATAAATAATTATATATGCGACTATGTTAACGATTTATACACGTGAGAAAAAAAATTATCACAAATTCTTTTTGATACTTCAAGTATTTATAAAATGTTAATATGCTAAATAATTTGTTTTCTAAAAACTAGAGCCACTAATATAATATAAAACAATGGACAATAATAAATTACATTTTTACAATCGTCTTAAATTAATTTTTTACGGTTGTACTGTTCAACAAACAAACAAACGTTTTGATGAAAATAATACTATTAATTGCATTTTTAAACTTAATTTCACTGTCTCTGACGATGCTTTTGTATTCATGATTATAAATTAAAAAGTTTTCAACATAAATTCTCCTTCTTTTTGGTTTTCCGAATATTTAACAATTTTTACCATTTGTCCACGAGTAGCGAATGAGCATTTAAAAAAAATGTACATAATACCAACTGATAAGGTTGTAACTTTTTTTTTGATTTTATACTCAAAATGAAAAAAGAAAATAAACTTTGGATAATAATCATTTTTATAATTGCAAAAAAATTATTATTTCAATACAACTAAATTTTATTCTGAAATTTAGATTCGAAATTGTATGTATTTATTTTTTTAATTTAATATAATTTTCAATTTTGTGAATTTAATTTTATTTGTAAATTTGATTTCATAATTTATGGATTCATTTTTTTATCTAGTTATAAACAAATACCTATTGCACTACAATAATTATAGAACTTTGTAATTTTAACTATATTAAAAAAAAAAATTATACATGTAAAAAAGATTGAACATAAAACGAAAATAGAAAATTACAATTTGATCTAAATTTACAATTTAAATTGTAATTGCTAACAAACTTTAATTTCACCATTTATAGATTCAATTTTTTAATTGTAATAAAAAATGCTTATACTGTAATAAATATAATGAAAGTATTAATTTTGTAAATAAGTTTACAATTTTAGAATCTAATTTCAATTATGAATACAAAAATAATTTTTTTTGCAAAAATGTAAATAAAATTGCGGGAAAAAAAGATTGAATCAGATTCAATGAAAATAGAAATTTACAATTCGACAGTTGAAATTTACTATTTTGTTTTCAATGAAAGTTGAAAACAAAACTGTAACAGCTATACCTATAAATTATTCTCTATTAAAAAAGTATTTTTTCATAATTTTTTTTACTCGAAAGAACTTTTTTTTTTATCAAGTTTCGAAGTTTTGTATCTACATTGTGATCGAAACTGTAAAAAAATATCTTTACCAATTATGTAATTTGCAAAATATTTCTCTGTACATAATAATTCGAATTTGCTCATCGTCAATATCAATGAATCAGCGAAAATCTATCGCCTTCATAGTTTCGCTTCTACACAATTTTCATTTATTTCACGAACAATTTTTTTTAGTTCTTTGATTTCTGATCAAACTATCGATTTAATCTCTACTTTTATGTTTTTAAGTCACGATTCGGCATTGAAGAAAAAAAAAAATTATCGCCGAATCGTGAAATAATTTCAGTCGTCCAATGTGATAATTTCAACACTGTCTTTCGATGCAGATTTTTCGTTTCTTTTATTAGTTGGATTAGCACTTTTTTTTGGTATTTCGAATACGGAAAGATCGCCGGATGTTTTTAGACTCTCGGGCATACCTTGAGGCATAATGTTAATTGATTTTGGTAGATTCTTAGCAAAATCCAGAGTCTGACTTTTTTGCTGTGGAATTATTTCAATTGCTGAGTGCTGCTGTAGTTGGTTGAGTGCCGAGAGAGTTTCATTGACTTTTGCTTGGCTCATTGAAGAACTTGGTGATGATAATTCCACGGGTTTAATGGGTTTTTGTTTAGTACGAATATTTGGTGATTTGGAACATGGTACCTTGCCAACTGGATTCACCGAGACGCTCAATTCGGATAAAAAATGTTGCGAGGTGGGAGAGAATTGTGGTTGTAGGTGATGATAGGTTGGCAATGCTTGAGGCAAACTTGTCGATGATTTTTGCTTTTTTGCCGGATTCGTGATAGAGGTTTGTTGTGGTTGCTTTTTTGATTTTAATTTATCCTGAAGGGTGGTTCCGGCGCGATTCTGCATTGGAAGTGTTGGGGGTTTTATCAGGACACTTGGACTGACGGCTACAGTGTTTTTGTGTTGCGTGTAGGGGAGGGAATTGTGGGCAGGTTGAGGAGTATTTGGTACTCGTATTTGTGGGGCTGGTTTCGTTGAGGGAATTGGTTTTGGGATCGGATTTGCAATTGCTTTCGAAAGAGGAGCTGATTTTCCGAGAGAAGACGATTTTACGGGAGGGGAAAATGGTTTCGCGACTGTGGAAATGGAAGGTGGGGGATTTGACTTTGTCGCTGTCGGTTTTGCCAGAGTTGGTGAATTTTTAAGCAATGACATTTGGGATGATGATGATGATGATGATGTCGCTTTTGTTTGGGGTGAAGTGGTATTTGGGGGGAATTTTTGTTTGTAATTCGATGTCGAACCGACAGGCGTTATTGAGATGTCTGGTCGTTCCTTAATCGATGAACTAGAGGTTGTGGTGGTGGTGGTAGTTGTGGTTGTCTTTGACGACGATTGTTGGTAGAGTGGTGTTGGTCGCGGTGCCGTTGTCGCTGAATTATTAGCCAGGTTTAGCATCTGTTTGACTGTTAAATTACTGAGATTATTCAAGTTGCCAAACTGATTGATATTTGGGGTTGAATTAATACTATTACTAGTCGTCGTGTTACTCATCGTCAAGGCATTGCTCATGTTGGTGACATTGCCCGACGTGTTACTGAGACTAGTTGCTAAATTCGTTATTGATGAGATATTACTTTGATATTGTCTGAGAATGTCTTGATAGCTTCCCATCTGACTCAAGTAATTCATCGCTGAGAAAGGATCCATCACGCCACCGCCCATGCCAGATGTCAACATGGCGGCAAACATGCTCGGATCAAATAACGGATTCAAACAATATGGATTCATTAGTGAACGATTACCTGAAGCTGCGCTATTGACATAATTCGAATACGCTCCTTTAGAACTAAATTGATTACTCATACTGTCGTGCTGTAGGCTCTGGAGTTGATTGTTAACGTTCTTGGGACGTCCACGTGGTCGGCCTATTGCTGACGACGCCGCCTTCGGTGGCTTCCGACTCTGCGTCACCTGTGGAACGCTCGTCGATGTTGAATTCGATGCAGTAGTCTGAAAAAATTTCAACTATAAATAAATCGTCTGTCACGATTTTTTGATAAACCGTAGCAAATTGATAATAATTGATAGTACATTTACAGTAACGGTGGTCGTGGCGGAAGTTGAGGTAGTTGCAACTGGTGTCAGGATAGAAATGGCTGCAGTTTTGTTCGCCTGTTGGCAGTACTTTAGAGCAGCCTCGACGACATTTCCTTCCACATTCTTTAAAAGAAAAAAAATTAGTTCCTTTACTGCAGTTCTTAAAAAATAAATACTCACTTTTGTTCCAATGTACGCTTTATAAGCCTGAACCAATAAATTACGAGCAGTATAAATCTGCGACTCCGACCACTGGGATTCTTTCTTGCCAATTTGCACATGAATCTGATAAACATCAAGTAAAGCTTGAGTTCTTTTGTCAGCTCTCGGCAATTGTGAGACATTGGTCGTCGAAGGTGGATCCATTGATTGAATCCTACTCCTCAGTGTTTGAACACAAAGAGTCCAAGCCTGACGACAAAGTTGTTCTCTTTCCGAATCCCTCAAATATTTCCTAAAATAATAAAAAATCATATAATTAATTTCAACCAATTAATAATAAAATAGTTAAAAAAAACGAAGGCTTTACTTGTCGGATTCGGGAACTTTTTGAAGCTGAACGCAAAGTTCCATAAGCATTTTACTGTCTCCCGTTTCTTTCAAAACTTGCATCAATAACACGACACATCTCGACATATGAGAGGCAAAACTTCCCGATCTATCAATTTCATGACTTGGTAACCTCCAGACACCCTGGTGAAAAAGAAAAATTTTTATTTTATTCTCAGAGGATTAATAGTAAGAAATTACTTGAAGGTAAGTTAAATTGTTTAAATTAAAATTAAAACGGATTTGTGTATGAGTACTTACATTAAAAAAATTGGTACTTTTTCTATCGGTAAAAAGTCCTTGTACTGTTTGTGATTGATAAAATTGACAGGAATAAGTTTCCAACAGTAATTGCCGGCAGGTTGTAGAATTCTTGGCAACTTTATTATAATAGAAGAAATGGGCCATTCGATATAGCGATTTGTAGTGTTCGGGGAACCTTAAAAGACACTGTTCCAATCCAGCTAAACAGTGAGCGATTAGCGATGCAGTTTCGTTGTCGTTAAAACATTCTTCTAAAATTAAATTTAAAATTTAAAAACTCTCCAAACTCAGTTTCTGTATGCGCTATAAATAGTATATATTTCATACCTTCGTCAGAATTTCCGTTTTCTTTTTTCTTTTTCTCGACTTCACTCTCTGCCGTCTCACTGTCGCTGTCACTGGAACTGTCACTGTCTGAACTTTCTTCACTACTTGAACTATCATCACTGCTGCTCGAACTGGAATTATTCGTCTCAGTCGTGCTCGTTTGAGTCGTTGTACTTTCTTGAGAACCTCTTCGAGCTAAAGTCCCTTCCTTCCGCAATATTTTTTTCCTTTCAACAAATTTTTCCTTCATTTCTACCTCCTGTGATAAAAGAAATAAATTTAAAAATGAAGTAAACCAAAATTTTTAATTAATTTAAATTTAATAAATGTCATAATCCTATTATTAAATTTCTAAAATAAATATTTAATGTATATCAATAATTACACACCTGTCTTTCTTCTTTCCGTGAATCAATTTTACTGGAATCTTCTTCAATCGTGGATGTTTGCATTTTTTCCACATTCTCCGCAGACTCTTTGGCAATGGAGTTTTGACGATTCATGGAATAACCATTTCCTCCCATGGGAAATTCAATTACGTCAGTCCTCACTTGCGTCCTGGCTTCATCATTGTCATCACTCGAAATAATTGTGACTTCTTCATTACTTCCTTTATTTTGAACCGCAATTTCGCAAACATTATCAATTAGATCGTCAATCAATGCGACAACATCCTGCATTAATTGAAGATGAGAAACTGCAGATAATTTTATTCTTTTAGCATTATCTGAAATTGGCTCCTCGGAACATCGTTTACGATTCTCTATTTTTAAACTCTCAACTTTATTTTGTGACGATTTATCGACAATTTCAATTTCCTCAATGCTACTCGAACGATTTTGAACAGCATTTGCTTTCAAGATATTTTGTCCTTGAATTGATTTTGATACTTTATCAAGTTCAGAATTAAAATTTAATTTCGATGGGAATTTCATGAATGGACCTTGGGCACATTTATTGAGATGTTCCTCAAATAATTTTCCTATAGATTTTTTCAAAGGCTTTCCCTCATGTTGCTCTAAATATTTCAGTATACTGGCGTGAATTCGATAATGTACTTCTAATGCTTCCACTGAGAGGTTTTGTGGTGTTTTGTGATTTATTCGTCCTGGATATTCAGCGTCGCATTGCTGTAATAATTCCGATGCTTTTGAATAATGATCGAGGAATACGGGCGGATCTTCGTTTTGCTTTTCGGCAATTTTTGCTAACATGTATTGATAAAGCCAGCGCTCGTCCTGCAATTTGTCAATTCCCTGACAAGTAATAAAAATACGACTTGCTGATGAGAAACAATTGGCGGCTATTGAAAGCATTTCTTCTTTTCGTGTTTCCAAAACTCGAAATCTTTCCATATTCAGTGATTCACTTTCAGCCTTTAAAAGACGCGAGCAGAAGGAATGAATCACATAGACAAAATTCCCGTATTCCGTCCAAATAACCAAACTAGCTGGCGATAATTCGATAGCACGTTGATAACTGCATTGAGTAAGTTTCGCTTTAACGAAAAAATTGTCTTCTTTCCTGAAAACGGATTTTTTTAAAAAATAATATAAAAACTAATTTAAATGAATTATAAAGAAATTTGTATAAATCCAGCTATTAAAATTTGGTTTAGTTTTAATTGAAAATGTATAATTGTGATTGATTTAAAATGATTATTGGTAATAAAAACTCACATGTTTGGACGACAATTATTGAGCCAGGTTTCGAGTGAAGTTCCAGTAGTCATTGCCAATCCAACCCAAGAATTAATGTCGCTCGGTTGAAAACACAAATGTAGCAAATAATATTTACTAGCTAAATTCCACTTTTGGTTTTTATGATAATAATCCGCAAGTAAATAATAGAGGATCGAGATTTGATCAGTGGGTGGTTTTGCGACACTTGGCATGTTCTCTCTATCGCCCGTAATATAATCAGTCATGTCATCTAAAATTAAATTAGGATCACTTTCCTGCGGAATGAGTTTACCGATTCGTTTGAAAAGTGATTCAGTGTCGGCTGAAATAGATAACGCTTTCGGACTATCAAAATCCGGTAGAACGTCCGGTCGATAAAAATCAATAAGGTATTGAGCTGTTTGCCAAGTGATTTCAATTTGTTTAACGTCATGATCCTCAAGATGTTTCGGTCTCGATTTATTTTGTCTCACTGGATGTCCGTAAAGGCAATAGAAAATTTGTTCCAAATACTTTGTTAATTTGTCACGAATATTTGAATATTGCGGACTACGAAGTTTAGGTATTATCAGATTCATTATAAAAATAAGAAGTTTCGCTTGATCCATTGTACACCAACGTCGACGACCCAGAAAATCGTGAGCTATGAAAAGAATCATTAAAGATGCTGGAATATCTTTATCCTCGTCTTCTTCATCGGATTCTAAATTTTGTGAGGATTGACTTTTGTTTTTATCGGTTAGAGTTGATTTTGCTCTCTCTTTATCTTCTTCACTGTAATTAAATTAAATTAAATTGTAACGTTCAATGAATTTAAAATTAATTATACTAACACTTGGAATAAATTTTTTACTTACAATTGTAAAATAGAATGAAGCAAAATCCAAGGCAAGATAGTTTTGAAAGTCATTTCCGTGACGTTATCAGGCACATCCAGTTGATGACATACTATATGAACTAAATTTTGCACCAGACGAGATCGATTTTCAGGATTCAAGTATTGCACTAAAATATTTAATTTTGTTGTGAAAGTTGTTTAAATTTAGAGAAATTTAAAATTATCTTTCTCACCTATAAAGATGCTAACTTCGGAGGTGCAGGCATCCAATTTTTCAAGAATTTTTAAAATTGTATTAAGCCATCTTTTCTGTACAGTTTCATCTGAACTGTTTATGTAAGTTTTCCAGGCTTCATTTAAACAAGCTTCGGACCAAATATAACATTCCTGAAATAATAAAATAAATATAATTATTTAAGTTTCGAAATTTGTTAAAATTATTTTTATTTTAATCCTTGCCTCGTATTCTTCGAGTTTCCATAAACTGTCCAATAACATGTTAAGTTGATCAACTCGATCCACAATAACACCGTTATTGTTAACTCCACTTCGACTCGCTTGTTTTGTAAACTGGAAAGTTTCTTTTAAAATTCCTACAAGCTCAACATATTTCTTTTCATCATGAAGTTTTTTAATTTCCTTAAGTTTCTGACCCCTGGAAAAATTAAAATATAAGTTGAAAAATCAAAAAAGTTTAGGATAAACATCGTCTTAGGTTAAATTTACTAACCTTCTGATCGACAGTAATAATTTTTCAACAGCCTTAATACTTATGTGAGAATGGTATTTACAATTTTTAAGCTTGAGAAATGCGCTGGGAATTTCGCCGTTCAACTGGCGCATGTAATTCAACAACTGAAAGATATCGTTAATTTTTAATTAATTTATGATTTATTTAATTATAATATTTAAAAACTCCTATTAATTTTTAATGAATCAGATTATTTATTTAAAACTTACCAATTCTAAAGTATCAACAACAATGTCCATTTCTCCTTGGCAAAGATATATATTTGCCTTCAGCCATAAAACTCGTAACAAGAAAAGTAAATTCTCCTCGTTAAACAAATTATTTCTGACACTCGAGAAAATAATGTATCCAAGTTCCTCGGATGGCATTCCATTCCCAAAGGTTTTTAAACTAGAAACATTTACAATTTTATAAAAAAATATTCGTATGTTAAATAGAAAAATACTTTTATATAATTATTACTTTGAAGGTGGAACAACTTCCGGTTTATTGTCCATCCATTGATCAGTATAAAGTTCTCCAAATAATAAAGCCATTTCCGAATCTAATTTTAAAATCTCGTCATCCGATTCATCGCCAAAAGGGGCGTGTGGAATGTGTTCTCTTAAATTAGAAAAAAATTACAGTTTTTAAAAAATTAAAGCATGATTAGTTAAAAAGAGGTTAGTTTTCTAAAAGAACTTCAATTTTTTTTCTACCTTGTAAACTTATAAGCCTGTAAATATATTTCAGAGAGTCCTTTCGGCCACTCAAGATTCCATTTAGTGCACAAAAATTCTGTATATTTTGCTATTATGATCATCAAGTTATTTTTACAACTATGTTCATTGATAAAAGATTCGACATCTGCTTTTTCCGAATCCGATCCGAAATAATTTTGCTGCCCGCTGTGATAAAAAAAATTGCTTCATAAATAATAAATAATTTAATAATTCAGGAATTAAAAATTCAAAGTACTTACCAGTCTTGAGGACTCGTTGGTTTTGAACTTTCTGCACTTACAATTCCTTCGGCATTTTCTTTATTAGCAAATAATTGATACAAATCCATTGTATCCATCGAATCGTCCATAGATTTCGAAGGCTCTTCTCGTGAAAACTTTACATTTTCAGATCTAATAGGGAAATATTAAGTAGTTTTAGACTGCGTTTAAAAAAATACTGAAATGAAATGAACAGAACTTACAGTAAACTGCTGGGAAAGATTCGACGTAATGTTTCCTCTAAAAGAACGTCGTCTCTTTCGGCTTCTTTTCGATTGGATCCACCACGAACTCTTGCCGATTTTCTCGTATTATTTGCACTCCAGTGCCATTGTTGTAAAAAACAAAGAGAACTTCTTCGTCTTTTCTTTACTTTTTGACTCTCGTCTTTATTCTCCGATTTTTCGGAGTTCAATTTTTCATCGACCTTTGATGATTTTTCACTGGTTTTATCATTCGATTTATCGTTTTGTTTAAGAGTTTCGTTATCTTCTAATTTCTCCATCGATTTTTCCTCCTGTTTCTTTGATTTTTCCTCTTCCTTCTCAAGGGGTAATTTTTCCGGTTCCTTTTGATCTGATAATTTTTCAGTTTTCTTATGTGCTAATTTTTCAATTTCTGTCTCAATTGGTACTTTGTCGATTTCTTTTTCCTGTGACAATTTCTCTAGATCGATATCAGGATCAAAAAATTTGAAATCATTATCATCGTCCAGAGGAATTACATCCGATTCGGAAAATTTTAATGGATCCTCCAATTCGATGACTTGAATGTCACTTGAACCGGATTTTATATCATCGTCGTTGTCAACTTCCATCAGGACATCGTTATCTGAAACTGGAGTATCGTCATCGATTTCAAACACTGGCGGATCGTCTTCTTCCTTGTTTCTTTCCTCTTCTTTCCTTCGTTCCTCTTCTAGCTTCTTTTCTGCTTCCTTTCTTTGCTCTTCTTCTTTTCGTTCCTTCTCTTTCCGCTCTTCTTCCTCTTTTCTTCGTTTTTCTTCCTCTTTTCTCTCTTCCTCTTTTTTTCGTTCTTCATCCTTTTTTCGTTCTTCCTCTTTTTTTCGTTCTTCCTCCTTTTTTCGTTCTTCATCCTTTTTTCGTTCTTCTTCCTTTTTTTGTTCCTCTTCCTTTTTTATAATTTCCAACTCTTCCTCAATTTTTATTTCTACATCGTCGTCAATTTCCATAATTTTCGAATCAACATTTTCCTGTTGATCATTATTGACTGATACTTTTTTCTCGACATCTTCCGAGTTCTCAACAACAATGCTGAGTTTACTGGCGAAGCTGATATCGTTCTTGAACACGTACTCGTGAATGTTTACCAATCGCTCACCCAATTCAAACCAGGAATATTGCGCTAGAGGTTTATGAAAAGTCAAAAGAGGTAGAGGATTTAAATGAAATTCAGGTCGACAAGCTTCTGCCCATCTTTTGGAAATTTCCTCCGCCTCTTCCAATAATTTTTCGCCAATTATAGTATCATATTCAGTATCGAGAGGTGGATCCAAGGCCCAATCGCTATTGTAAAGTTTGTATGATTCCTCGAGACAAGGCACATGTTTGAAAATTTGATTACGATAAGCCAGGCCTCGAATGTACGTTGAGTCGCGTTCAAGAGCCATTGAAATGTAAAGTAAACAATTCATATAATCGGGAACCGCGTACAAAGCAATGATAATATTGTCCAAACATGGCCAATGATTTGGATTGCATTTTAAGCCTTGTTTAAAGGCCGAACAAGCGAGTTCAAGTTTTGATATTTTCATCGCCAACATTCCAATTCTATGCCAAAGAGTGACATCCGCATCGTCTAAAGTCGTAGCTTCCCAATAATTCTCAATAGCGTCCTCATAGTTTTCCAATTCGTTTTGAATGCTTCCAATGTTTTTGAAACACGCGTATTTTAGCGACAACATTGGTCGTGATTGTCCATCAGGTGTTTCCGGTTTCTCAACCTGATCCAAAAGTTCCGTATCGAGCAAATCTTTCAAGACAACTAAAGCATCTTCTTTCTTTTTTTCTTGCATCAATTGCAATGCTCTGTTGTATTCCGTAAGGGCAATTTGCTCCTAAAAGAAAAAAAATTTTCTACTTAATCTTTGTCAAAATTAAATAACGTATCTCTATATACAATAATATAATAATAATAATAAACAACAAAGGAATGTACTTATGTGAAACTGTTGGACAACAAAAAAACTAATTTTATTCTCTCGTAATTAATAAACATTTTTAAAAATAAAAAAGATTTAATATTAGAGAAATTGATTAGCAAGAATTTTCTAAATATTTCATTATTGTTAACATCCGGAACTCATTTGGAGGTTAAGTTCGCTTGGGAATATAATATTGTTGTAAATTTACCTCAGCTTCTTTTGTAATTGTTGTAACATCTTCTTCATCATCACTCCCGGTCAAAACCTCATTCAATGCTGTTATTCTTATCATTTTTAAAATGTATTTCAGTAAAAAATCACAATATTTGCAAAAAACATTACAACCGGTTCAGCGCTGTACAAAACGCCATATTTGTAATTGCGCGTAATGCACAACTTCTATTTACTATAAATTTATCTTAATAATCTCGATCGGTTCAGATGATATTCCAAATAGTTTACCTGTTAATAATAAATATAACAAATTAATAAACATTATTAAATAAAAGACAACGCTTCTTTTATAAAAATAATAAATAGGCGGTAAATTTTAAAAATAATCAATTTGTGGCAAAATGTAAACAAAAATTTTCATATTTTTATGAACTTTGTTTAAATATTTATGACGATAAAATATATAATATATAATTTTTATCCTCAATTTATGTTAAAAAGCTTATTTACTTTCAATTATTGAGCTGTTAGTTTTCATTACTTCTTTTATCTAAATCGAGATGATTATATCTTAAATGAAGATGAATGAAAGACGATGTTTTTTTAGTTTATTGCAAACCTTTGACACTGTTTATCACGTGAGGAATAAATCAAGACTAAATAGTGCACCGACTAGCCATAAAGTTTCAAGATGAAAAGGAAATCCTTTTGTAAGAGTTTTCATCATTGGAGGAAAGCAATAATTATGTAAAATCTAATAAAAAATAACCCGAAGAATTCCTATTGTTTCGAAAAGATTTAATGATTGAAAATAAAAATCATGCTGTCTTTTTCAGGTAAAAATAAAATATTTTAATAGTTCTGTCTTTATTGACACTTACCAAAATTATTTTCTTAATTATCAATTTGCTTTATTTACTCTTGAATGGAAATCTTCTTTCTTTAATTATGACACTGCTCGTATTCGCACTAAAATAAAATTTGTAAACAAAAATTAAATAAAAATCAAACTTTTATGCAAAATGAAAATACTCACCTTAGAAAAAATTTCTTTTTAATTTTGAAAACTGTGAAACAAGCTTGTGCATTTTTATATAATTAAAAACATCCTTAGTGATAAGGTTATTTAAATTAATTCAATTTTTCCTTCAGGAGATTTTTATATGGATGAAAATCAGTCATTGGATTATGTAAATGGATTAAATTCTGAAAACAAAAAACATATTTTAATTCGAAGAATACGTATGGCAAATTTTGGAACATATAATCATTGGTTTAGAAAAAGTAAGAATTTTATTTTTCTTAAATTAATAAATGAGTCGATAAAATAATGCTAAAACTTAATTATGTATAGATTCAGAAAAATATGGAGCGGCAACATATCTTTTGCCAGTTGGTTCCGTATTTGTTTTAACAATAATAATTTTACTGATGGTAAGAATCTTTTTAATTATAGTAGTATAATATTTATCAATTAAAAAGTGATTAAAGTACAAGTAATAAATAATTCAAGCAGAAAATTAAACAATACGTTACAATTACACAACAATTTCAAGTATAATTAAAATAATAAATTACAAATATATTATTGACAGAATTAAATGACTTTTATTAATTTATTTAAAGTTAATTAATTTTTGAAAAAATATAATGAGAATATAAAATTCATAGGTGATGTTTAAGCGATGCCCGCAATTGGTTGCAGCGATTGTTACCGGGATTTTGGGAACGATAGCAATATTTACGGTATTAGTGACTATAAATCATCCCGATGTTTACGAATAATCATTTTATTATAATTTAAAAATCACATTCATTCAGTGTAAATAATGTTAGAATATGCATTTATTTTATAACAAACAACCTATTGTTGTCAATTGTCACTCTAAAAAATAACCTCTTTAAAAAAGTGTCCTTCGATTTATTATATTATAAGACTGTAAACATTTAAAAACTATTTATACACATAAAACAAACGATTTTAATTTAAATTTACTCTTTATAAATACCTGTATATTTGTTTGACATATTTTATTTATTCGCAAGAGTGAAATAAAAATAAAAACATATGCATTGTTGGTGGATCCGCGTCCATGTTGAATATAGCGATAAATCGAAAACAATCGAAAGTCTTACGTAAAGTTACGTTAAGGGCGTAAAGAGACGTAAAGGGACATAAAATTGTCGTAATTACCTTAATGGCCTGCTCATCCCTGACTAAAGGATGCCAGACAAAATGTTCTCTTTTTAAGTAGTTTTTAATTAAATGATTTAAACATATAATTATATATAGTAAGTCATAGTGATATAAATTTTATGAAAACTGTTTAATACTCTGTTAATTAATCCGTGAAAATTCGTGATTAATATACCTTAACCGTGCTCAATATACATATGAAAAATAAACTTTTTACAAACGGCAGTTATTTTGTTTTCCAGTACAAGCTTCCAATATAAGGTAAATATTATTCTTTTTTTCACATAGAAATATATAATTCAGTAAATTTTGGAACAAATATTAATGGGACTTTTGTTTGCCTTTTTGATACATAACCATAAACTTATGTCAAAGTACTTTTTTCATTCGGTGTACAAATTTGAAAATTTCTAACGGTTTTCAGGCATAATTTTAAAAGAGAGTATTATTATTTCTGTTATTGTTTACTATGAAAAAATGTATTGTAAAATAATGATTATTTTTTAAGTACTTCTAGAATTGAAAATGAACTCGAAAAAATCTCCGTCTCAAGAAATGCAATGGGTTACTCCAAATAAAAATGATATTATGCATAATATTGTTTCGATGAGAAGTCCTGTTTCATTTACAACTCCAGTGAAACAAGCAGATAAGAGATTTAAATCTTATAAAAATAGTTCTGCATGTTTTACCCTTTTGCCTAATCACATTACTCCACCTTCTGGATTAACGAAATTTGTAGCAAGAAATCCTTTTGAATCGGAATTAACCAACAGGTTACATTTGTCTGTAATTAGTCCAACTGTCTTTACGAAGGTAAGACCAGTATGTCAATTTTTTTTTATTATATTTAAAATATTTCCAATTTTAACAAAATTTATCGAAAAAGTTTAAATAGTTTGATTGAAGAATTTTTTATTCAAAAAATAGGTCTCTGATACTTCGCCAGAATCCAATGGATTTAGTTGGAATATAGATGAATTGGCTAATATACAGCCGGCAAAAATCGAAGAATTTCCAATTCAGCAGCCACATTGCACTGATCCAGAAATTGAGAGGGAAGCTCAGGATGCAATTGATAGATTCTTCAGAGGGAATCAAATTATTCCCAGTCCTTGGGATAATGGTGAGAAAAACAATTTTAGGAAAACTGATATGCAAACACCACTTAGAGGTTACAGTGATACTGCCAAGGAGTCACAGAGTTTGAAAAAAGACTGTAAGTGTCTCATGAAACTTTAATTTGAAATATTGTTAATTAAGGTAAATTAATTCTTTTTTTCCATTTAGCTTGGTCGCAGACAACTTTATCTCTTCCGCCAAATTTACCTCCACATGTCGAAGAAATTTTGAAACCTTATTTCACATTTACTCAGGTGGGCATAATTTTAACAGTAAAAATATTATAATAACTTTTGAAAGATAATAATTTCTTTCTTCTGATTTAGGAACAAAATGTGGAGAGTGATGAGGCAAATTCAAGTGGTAATAGTTCTTTAAGAAGAAAACTATTTGCTCACGACGATACTCATGAGGATGACACGGAATCTTCATTTTTATTGTCACCGATACATTCGCGAAGTATGATTCATTGCAGTCCTATGCAAAGTGGAATGCTTAATCATGGAACACCATTGAGAGTAAGACTAAAAAATAAAAATCTCCATTTTTAACATAAACTAATATTTGAGTAAAATTAATTTTCAAAAAATTTATTTCTAGGGTAATTCGGGAAATTTACGAAGGAATCATGGAACTCCTTTAGCTTTTGATAACATGTCACCTGTAAATATGTCACCAATTAGCGAAGCTGCTGATGAAATGTCATACGACAGTGTCAAATCTCGTGTACGAACTGCAGCCCGATTGGATTTTACAACCGACATGAGTATCGATATGTCTGTCAGGGAAGTTGATAAACTCGAGGAAAGTCAAAAAGAACCTACAGGTATATTAATTTTCATTTCCGTTTATATAATTATAATAAAATAATTCTCAATACATAATAAAAATATTTTTTCAGATAATGTTAAAAATAAACCAGTGGAAATAGAAAAACATATTTTCAACGAAGAAAATCAAACAATTGACATGACAATGCATTTGGAGAATTCATATCAATCAAAAATCAAGGAAAAAGAGAATTTTCCCCCAAATTATGAATGTGATTCTTTATTGAAAAGACCAAAATTCATCAACGATTGGAGTAAAACTATTTCCAGTGATAATAATTGTACATATCAACAAAATTTCACTCTATCAGTAACATCGAATCAAAATAGTGTTTTTAATTCCGCTCAAGATACAGGTTATCATACTTGTAGTATAAATAATACGACCAATAACACCGAGAGTTACACCACATCATCGATTATTCACGAAAGATTTCACTGGGATGAAAAATTATTACCATCTGAAGATGGACTTATCGAATGGAAGGAAAATATGAAATACATGTGTAGTTCAACACCGTCGAAATTTCTACGTGAATGAAATATTCAAGGACAGTGAGTTAATTTTTTTTGTTTTTACAAAAAAAAATATTACAATTAATTAAATGGAAAATTAGAAGATTTTATTTCGTTTTATGAAATTATAATTTGTCAATATTGATAGGAGGGGATTTTTTTAAAATTGAAATTAATACGATTTGTGATAGTATTCGTATATGATTTTCAGTTAATAATTTTAATAGAGAAATGGTACTAAATTGTTATGAATTGTGTGATAATCCTTAAATGTGCCCAAGTTGATCTCAACTAAAAAAAAGGCGCAGACGGATATTTGAAAAACGACTGTAAATCTTAAGTATTTTATCGCAATTTTAACACTGCCATCACAAGTCATTGTTTTTAGGTATAATTTTCGTTATTTTATTTTTAAATAATTGTAAATTTCATTTTTGTTAAATTTTCTTTGCTAAAAGAAAAAAATCATTCTTCATTGACAAAACACAAATTCATCCATATTCGTTTGAGTATTTTATTTATTTTTTATTTTTACGGTTAATTGAGAATTTTGTGTGAATAGCTTTGACTTTGCGTCAAAAATTCTATTAAAAAAATTGTGCAATGTTTTCCCTTTTTTCTCCGTAATAGTAATTTTTAATTAATAATTGTAGTGTAATTTCGAGTTATTTTCTTTTTTTTTATTAAATATAAAATAGGAAATGAATATTTTGTCAATTGTGAGTAAGAAAATGTTCATTAGGATTATCATTTAATTATCTTTATTTTTTTTCTTAAAAGGCGAAATTTTAAATTTCAATTTTTTTATTCGTGTAATTTTAATTCCAATAATACTACCTCGTTAAGATTTTTTTTAATCGTAAAAATGATTATTATTTATAAATAGAAAATTTTTGCATTTTTAGCAAATAAAAAGGAAATAGTTTTGTATTAAACTCATTTTTTATAATTTGTATTACTATGTGTGTGATTCGTGGCTAAGAATTTGTTATAAAATATGGAAATATATTATTCCAATTATTAATTATTAAATATGTTGTTTTAATTTCAAACATTACCCATATTTTTTATAAACAAAAAATTATTGTATATTTTTAGTATTGCTTTATTTTTACTAAAATAAATTAAAGTAAAAATTTCAAGTTTTTAATAGTAAGAACTAAGAAGCTTTAATAATATTAATAATTGATACACAATTTATTTAATTTTTTGAAATGTTTTGAAATCAAAAAACAAAAGAAAGATGACTCGTATTTTAATTCAGTAATGACAATTGCGCATGCGTTTGAAAATTGTTTTATTGGTTAAAATAGGCGCTTAATTTTAAAAATATGTATATTTTAAATAAACGCGCGCATTGTAACCAATGAAAAAAATTTTCTCGCGCATGCGCTCTATTGTTGTTGTGGAAATTTATTGTTTCCCATCCGTGTTGCCGTTACTGATTTTGATATAAAAAAGTGTTTCAGAAAAGTGTAGCGCTACGGACGAATGAAAATTAGTGCTTTTAAAAAGAAAATCTAATTTTTAGTATTATTTACAAATTAATTTGGAATTTTATTTCTCTTTTTTCTCTTAGTGCAGGGCGACAGTAGTTGGTGGTCCGTCACTGTGCGTTAGCAATATGGCCGTGAATCCCAAGACTGTCCGCCAGTGGCGCTCTGTCTCGTGTCGTGTCGACAGGTTGCGACAAGTTGCAACAAGTGCCTAGCAATCCTTTGTTCTTTTTCGATTTTTCACTAATAAAAGTGAGAACATTCTTTCTAAAAATATTTTTCTTATCAAATTTCAACTTTAAACGGGAAATTTGGTCACATTTTTCTGATTCATTTGCGATTGACAAAATTGACGAGAGCCGGGCATTCGGGTGCCTCGTGGTGCGCATCTTTTTCGTATTAAATTCGAAGACAACTAATTTATCTTTACAATTATACAATTAGAGTTTCTGATTTCGTAAATTTTGTCCGGATACAAAAAAATTTATATTTATTTCGCATTTTTCTTAAAAATTTACATTGAAGTCTCGTGTGTCGGCCATTTTGTATTAATTTCCCCCCAAAGAAGGCGACATACGCGCCGCGATTTGTCGCTAATATTTCAGGTTTATATCAAACATTGCAGCAATATTGATACATATTGTTGCAGAATTAGCAATTTTCAGCAATATTTCGAACATTTCAGCAATATATATATCACATTATGTTAGAAAATGTTAGATAAAATTAGAAGAAAAATGTAGAAACAAAATGGCTGCCAAGCATAGTGACGTCACGCCATTGTCGACACTACTCCAAATTCATTTAGTTTATCCTTTGTTTTGACCCGGAAGGCCATCGGAAGTGCAATTCTATTCGAGCGTTAGTGTTTTCGCATTAGATTTTTATTTTGAGAGCATTTTTTAATAAATAAAAGATTCACGATAACGGACTTTTTTTGCGTCGACCACGTGTTAAATTCACTTGGAATAATAAAAGTGCAATTAATTTCGGCGTGTATTTGTGTTAGTGCCCTTGAAGAAAAGACGTTTTGAAGCAGCTCCAGGATGGATATTATGCATATAGCTGATCGCAGTTCTCTGTAAGTTAGTCAACAACGAGTGAGTTTTTAATTTTTCTTTTAACAAATATTTTTTGATATCGTAAAACGTACGTGTCGCGAAAAATATTGTGTTGGGAAAATTTTCGCCTATCAACACTAAATTGCGCTCATTATAATATTCTTTTTTTCTGGTATTTCAATATACCACTTTGATTTTGAGAACGCGGATTTTTTTTGTTATTCACCTTATGTGAATAATTTGATTCGTGTCAATTTCCAGGGTGACCACTTTTTAGTAAAGTCAGGGAAAAATTTTTTGGCAGTAAAATCAGGAAAATGTCAGGAAAAAAAATTTTTGTCAGGAGAATTGATAAAGCTACCCTGACTTCAGTGGTTTTAGTGGAAATTTAGTGACCAGAGATGAAAAAAATATACAAAAAAGTGATTTAAGTGATTCAAGTTAAAAGAAAATAAAATGTGGAGAAATAAAGTTTATCAAGAGATTGTGATTGTAAAAAAAGGTAAGTATTTTTTTAATAATTAAATGCAGTATTTAAATATTTTCGAAAATAATTTATATTGTTAATAATTTCCATGATTTGTTTATATTAATCTGTTTCAGGAATATAATTATCTACAATGTATCCTTTTTTAATTGCAATAATTTTGTGTATAATTTTTTTTCTTTGTTTCAGAAAATTAATTATCTTCGTTGTATCCTTTTCTAATTGCAATAAATTCATGTCTAATTTTTTTTCTTTGTTTCAGAAAATTAAGTATCTTCGTTGTATCCTTTTTTAATTGCAATAATTTTATGTCTATTTTTTTTTCTTTTTTTCAGAAAATTAAGTATCTTCCTTGTATCCTTTTTTAATTGCAATAATTTTATGTCTAATTTTGTTTTTTTGTTTCACAGAATTAATTATCTTGGTTGTATCCTTTTTTAACTGGAATAATTTAATGTCTAATTTTTTTTTCTTTGTTTCAGAAAATTAATTATCTTCGTTGTATCCTTTTTTAATTGCAATAATTTTATGTCTAATTTTTTTCTTTGTTTCAGAAAATTGATTATCTTCGTTGTATCCTTTTTTAATTGCAATAATTTTATGTCTAATTTTTTTCTTTGTTTCAGAAAATTGATTATCTTCGTTGTATCCTTTTTTAATTGCAATAATTTTATGTCTAATTTTGTTTGATTGTTTCAGAAAATTAATTATCTTTGTTGTATCCTTTTTTAATTGAAAAAATTTTATGTCTAATTTTTTTTCTTTGTTTCAGAAAATTATTTATCTTCGTTGTATCCTTTTTTAACTGGAATAATTTTATGTCTAATTTTTTTTCTTTGTTTCAGAAAATTAATTATCATCGTTGTATCCTTTTTTATTTGCAATAATTTTATGTCTAATTTTTTTTGTTTGTTTCAGAAAATTAATTATCTTCGTTGTATCCTTTTTTAATTGCAATAATTTTGTATCTAACTTTTTTTTTGTTTCAGAAAAAGAATTATCTTTGTTGTATCCTAATTTTTTAATTGCAATAATTTGTCAATAATGTTTTCTCTTTAAAAGTTAAGTCCATTTTTTAAAATACATACAATAGGTACAGTATAATACATTGTTTTACGGAATTTGCGTTAACTATTATGACATTTCCAGCCATGGAAGAGATTAAGTTCCCTCTACCGCAGAAAAATGAGAACTAACAAACAGTTACAAAAGTCGATATTTTTGTTGTAGTTGACGTATTTTTTCTTTCTAAAAACAATACAATATTGTTGAAAAAAATGACAATGGTAAAGTTTTAATTATTGTGCTGAAGATGAATAAGAAAGTGATTATTATCCATTAACAGGTTATAGTTGAAATAATTAACTGTAGCATTGACACTTTAGTATTTTGACAGATATTGTCACTTTGTAGTCACAAGAAGAAATACTTTAGAATCATATTTATTTATTGAATATTTATATCTACCTGTTTCTCTTTTTGTATATAATGTAATTTGTTTGCACCTAGATTTTGCGAAATCACTGTTATTGTACATTTCTTTTTTACAAATCGTGTGTTAGTGCTATTTTATGACCCACGTGTTTTGTCTATATATTCACCATTTTTGTCCACTATTTTTCCAGATCTAGAAGTCTAATTATTTATTAATTTATTTCCATTTGTTTATTCACAAGATTTTAAGTTTTTCAAAATATTTAATTATACGTATGCAATTGATATTTTTTTAGGTTAAGTCACTCTTTGTTTTCTCATTTCTTTTTAAAATATTTAATTAGGTACTATAATCAATATTTTGAGTTTTCTTGAAATTACTTCAATTCTTAAAATTAATTTTTTTTCCTTTCTAGTCTCGATTAATTGGAGAAAATGTCAACGAATACTTCACAAATTGATACAATTATACCAAAATCAGGAATACTTTGTCATGAGGAATTAACTGATTTTATTCTCTGTAAACCAAAACTTATGCCATTGAAATCTTTTACACTAGAAAAATTGGAGAAAATGCAAAAAGATGCTGAGGAGAAATTAAAAGAAGTACATGATGCACAAGAAATTCTGGAAGCTCAAGAAGCTCAGAAAGTTCAGGTAGAATCGCAAAAAGTTGAGTTATCTGAGGAAGCACAAGAGGAAGAAGAAACATTTAGAGAAGAGTTAGAGTAAAAAAATACAGTTGTTAAGATAAGGAAAAAAAAATGAGTCTTGGACCATTATTAACGGAAGTCACATTAGCCTTCTGTTTGGCAGTGACATTGCTTTATAGATATGGAAATCCATTTAGACAACATATTGTCGTCACACTGTCAGTATTGATTGCTTGGTATTTCTCCCTGTTGATTATTTTCGTTTTACCACTAGACGTATCTTCGGTAAGAATTTTTTTAATTCAAATAAATTAGAACTCATAGTTTTAAAGTATAAATACTATTTTAAATGTTGAATATTTTTTTTTCTTTTTAGACCGTCTATCGACAATGTACGTCCAATGCAACAAGTAATATAACAGAGGAACTATCACATTCGTGTTTAGAACCATGGTCTCGTGTTCCAAACGATGTTTATCCAAATTTATGGAGAATTGTTTATTGGACCTCACAATTTTTAACTTGGCTAATTCTTCCCTTAATGCAATCGTACATTAAAGCTGGTGACTTTTCAGTTCGTGGTAAATTAAAATCGGCTTTGATTGATAATGCAATTTATTATGGAAGTTACCTCTTTATTTGTGGTGTTTTACTTATTTATCTTGCCTTAAAGCCTGGATTAGATCTAGACGGGTATGTATATTTCCAAAACAATTAAAACCCAAATTTTAAATTCTAATTCAATGTTTATTTTCCCCAGACCGAAATTAAAGGCAATTGCGTCTTCAGCATCGAACACTTGGGGTCTATTTTTACTTGTCCTGTTACTTGGATACGCTTTAGTCGAAGTACCACGTGGATTGTGGAATGCCAGTAAACCAGGATATACTCTTCATTACAGTTATTTCAAAGCTGCTAAACTCAGTATGGAAAAATGTGAAGCTGAAGAAACAGTTGACGATATTCTAGAGGTATCAATAATTCCTGACGGGATATGGTGACGGAATTCTGAAAATTAAATAAAAAAATCCAATTACTTAAATTTTTCTTTCTCTACATTGGCGAAAATAATTAGTTATCGTGTGAATAAAAACATATTTTTACGAAAGAAATAAAATCACATTATGACTAAATATTTTAAATTCATGTTGATGTAAATTCTTTTTATTTATAATACTTGGTTATTTTTAAGTCCCTACAAGCTGCGTCGGCAGCAATTAATCCTGGTCATCCATTCCACGTGAATTTGGAGACTATATTTCACAAAGTGCCAGTTGAATTGAAGGATCGAATGAATAGAAGACAATTACCGGAAGATACTCCTCTTGACGTACCCTCTGAGAAAGCATTAATTCGATTACATAGACAGGTGAATACTGTTTTTTAAAAATGCTCTATAATTAAAGATAAAAAAAGGTAACTTGGGAATAAAAAATAATAATAATAATAATTGAATAAAGACGATTTTCATTTCTTTTTTCAGACAATTAAAGCCTTACAAACATTACAAAGAACGGAAACACAGTGGGGAGTTTTGGTAGACAATATTATTGATTTAGAGGATGTTGCTAAAAATCAAGCGAGTCATGATAAGAGATTTAAATCTACATATCCGGTCTTAAGACCACTTCCGATTCGTCTTATTTACAATCCTTCAGTTGGTACGTTTTTTAAACACATTTTTATTGAATTTGTTTTTATTAAAATTAAAAATAAAATACAATTTATTTTCATATAATAAAATTGAAATAATTTTTTCAGAATGGTATTGGAAATGCTTTTTGAGAAGCTACGTTTTAAAAATTGCTGCCATTGTTGCTGCTTGTCTTTCTTTTGCTGTTGTTTGGTCGGAAGTAACTTTCTTCAATAATAGTCCAGTGCTTTCCATATTCGCTCAATTTATCCAATTAGCTAGCGAGAAATACGACTATTTTACAATAGAAGTAAGATGCTAATGTTTAAAAAAATATTTTCGGTTATCAATTAATATAATTAGTTAAAAATTAAATAAAAAATAATTTGTTTCAGGTGCTTTCTACTCTTATCATCGCTTATTTATGTTATTGTGCTTATTCAACTGTACTGAAAATTCGAGTTTTAAATTTATACTATTTAGCACCTCATCATCAAACCGATGAGTACAGTTTAATATTCAGCGGTATGATGTTCTGCCGTCTCACTCCTCCCATGTGTCTCAATTTTTTGGGTCTCATTCAAATGGACTCACATATTATTAAAAAGCGTTTTAAAATGCGAGATTTTGAAACTCAATACACTCAGGTAATGGGTCACATGGACGTGATTAGTATTATTTCCGACGGATTTAATATTTACTTTCCCATGGCAATCCTGGCATTTTGTCTGGCAACTTACTTCAGTCTAGGAAGTAGACTATTGTCGATGCTTGGCTTCCAACAATTTCTTGGTGATGATGAACTCACCTCTGATCTCGTCGAAGAAGGAAGGGAATTAATTAAAAGAGGTAAATGAAATTGCATTAATTTTTCGATTAGAAAATAATTTTAAGAATATATTTTATTTTTTTTACAAATTTCAAATTTCAATAAATTTCAGAGAGGCGAAAACGTCAACGAGTGGAGGACTCAATGAGTCGTCGACGGGAGTTTATGGAGAGAATTGGAAGTTCATCGGCGGCGGCTTCTCGTTATCGAACGTCGAGGCAAAATTCGGATACAGGTGTGTCTACAGTTACGCAATAGGCATGGATATAAAATAATCAATCAACATTTTCGAAAAGTAATATATATTTATATATATTTAAAAAAACCATTTCTCAGTAATATCGATGAAAAGAGACGAGTCCACGGAATCTGCACGAGCTGGTCTCTTACGTGATTTCGATCCCTCGGAATACTACGTCGGCACCACTTTTGGCACCGAAGGTTACGGTGCAAATAGTCGTATCGATCGTGGTTATCAGTCTGGAGCCGATTTTAATAACGAGGATGCGAGATCATACTCGATAAACAACTCTCAATTAGGGAATCCACCTAGGGGGATTTTTGATGATATTTAAAAAAAGAACAATTTTCCATAACTAGACAAATTTTATTAACAATTATTTCGAACTGTAAATATTTTTATCTCATGAAGCAATTTTTTTTTCTTTTGTATAGAAGGTACATTTTCAAATGGACTATTATTCCATTTATATATAGGGTATAAGATTGATTTAAAAATAGTAAATGTGGGTAAAAGCAAAAAAATTTGCCTTTTATGATTATGTGCGTGTACGTGTTGAAGAGGCCTTTAGCTTATGATTTTTATAATCTAGTATAAAAGAAAATTTACAAAATACGAAAAGTTCGAGTTTGAAAAAGTGAAAATCATCGATAGTTAATTAATATAAAATAATTGAATACTTTCTTCAAGTCAATTTAACTAAATTTTAGTTATAAACTTTCTATTTCAATTCAATTAAAAATAATAATATATAAAAATTTGTTTCAAAGAAACAAATTATTAAAGAAAAAGAAAATTTTTAAATTATTAAATTTCTATCAATAATTTATATTTAGAATATCTGGAAAATTTTTCCAATCGTAAAAGAAAATAACTATTTATAATTACAAATTTTACCTATGTATTATTTCCACTTTAAAGTTTACCTGTATTGTCAATTTTATATATAATATAAAATTTTATGTTTCTGTTCATGATCACAATATTGTGTCAATAAAAAAAACAGCAATTACAAATTTATATTTCTTTATTTTTACTATTTTCTCTTTCATTTCACAATATTTCGTGTAATTTAAAAGTTCTATAAGCGCATTTCTACTTACATAGTTGGAAAAATATATTTAAAAAAATATAAATCTCGGATTAATGTAAAACCCCTTTTTCTAATGATTGATTAAACAAATTGATCGTGTCAATGAGTATTTGAATTGTTATTAATGTAGAAATCACACCAGTGAGATTTCATTAATCTTATATAAACATTTTTTAAATAACACAATAATTCAACGATAAACTTTTTTCTATACACGCATAATTTAACTTTTTCTCTTTTACATTTCATTAGAGCACTAAAATAATATTATTTGAATATTCAAATATTTAAAATTTTGAATAATTATCATTAAAATATTTATAGTTAATAATCAAAAACTTTAAAGAATTATTAACGTTTGTAAACAAGAATTTAAAACTAAATAATAATTGAATTATTCAAATAATGATTGGAACATTAAAATCATAAAACAAGTGTACAGCAAAATTGAAAAAAATATTATGCTAAAATCTACAAATGAACACAGATTTGACGATAATTTTTTTAAGTTAAAAGAAAAGCTCAGAATCCAGTCCTTCGCTAAAATAATGTAAAAAAAATTTTTAAATTTAAATTCTAAAAATTAAAAGAAAGTGAGCCAAAAATGGAAATATAAAGCAATCAAAATCGCTTGCCAATTGAAGTAAATAATCGAAATATTAATTTCTTATTTAAAAAATTAAATTTTTCGATTTTCCGTTAGTTTTTAGATTCTTAGATCGTATTTAAAATGAATAAAAATAAAATATAAACAATATTGTACTTGTCTAGGTAAAATAAACTATATAAAATGTAATCATTGTAACAATGAAAAAGGCCAGTGTGTAGACAATAACAATTTTCGCTAATGTCAAACTATCAGCATTACCGATAGGACTCTTAGAGAAATTACATTTGCCCTGAGGGAAATTTGGCATAAAAATCAATGGTTCCAAAAGCAAAAGACTCGTTCTAGTTGGTTGTGATTCACGAAACGATTGCGATCCCCTAATTATTGAATTATCTCTTGTATTTCTCATTTTCACTTGATAGTGATAATCCACAAATCTATTAAAATCTCCCTCAAAATTAATTTTCCCAATAATTGATTCAAAATTGGTGGGAAAATTTCTAATTGAAATACGACTGTAATTTCCCTCGTAACGATGATAAACATGAGTATTAACTATTCCACTAAATTCACTATTTTTTTCCAAAATAATATCCGGTTCCAGGGACGTTTTCAAATCGAATACATCTAATGGAGCTGTTGAATAAAAAATTCCCGAAGCATTTGTCTTGGGTAAATTAAAGATCGGCATATAATCACCACAATAGAGAGAGTGGGATGGATAAAGTGGATAATTACTTAATGGAAGACTCGTTTTGTAATTAACAATATTTTCAAATTGAGTCATTATCATTTCACGGGCAGAAAGATTTCTTTTTCCATAAATCAATCGATCACTGTAAACAGGACTGTCTTGAAATTTTGCACATTGTTTGCATATTTCTTTTCTCGATAAAAGAAGAGTGTTTATTAATGCTTTTGCTGTCGTTGGACTGTATCTCTCGTAGTAATCAACAATATCTAATTGATCCGTTGATTTGCGATCGTCGTAAAATTCAGAATTGATGTAGGCGACTTTTTTTACTTCCTTCTCCGCAGGGTCATTAAATTCCGAACTGTAAATGAATCGTGATGCTTTGTGGATTATTTTAGAATTTTGATTTTCTCTTCTGAATGATTGAAAGGAAGCGTGGGGAATATATTTTTTCGCAAGAGATTGTGGAACTTCTTCTTCGTAACTTGAGATTTCTTCTTCTCCATCTTCCTCTTCATCGTCTTCATCTTCTTCTTCGTCTTCGTCTTCGTCTTCGTCTTCATCTTCTTTCCCTTGTTCTTCATCGAGCGGAAGAATGTTGATCGTAACTGAACTTTGAGAGGGAGTATTTTTTAAATCAAGAAGAGTGAATGATGCGTGTGTCTCCGTGTATCGTGCTGAAGGTGCGTTATCTTCAGTATATAATCTCTCTCGTTGCAAATAATTGTCTACATTTTGCTCATTCTCTAATTTTTCATATTCTAAGTGTAAATAGCGGTGGTGAACACACGCAAAATTGTATCAATTCTCAATTTCGTCGTCAATTTTAAACTCTTTTTTTAACTTCTGCAAATCGTGTAAAACCTGAAAAAAACATTTTATTAATTATATTGTAATTGATTTTGTCAATTTTTTTTAAATTTATTTATTTTGGTAATTATTTACATACCTCTAAAATTGTAGAAGCGCTCCAAGCTTGTGTACGACAACTGTCACGGCAATAATCACCATCCTTATTTGTAAGTTCGGGAAGTCCTCGCCAATGATTAGTGGAAGCTTCAATGAGATGTCGGGAAATTATCGCTTCCGTTGATTCGATAGTTCTTTTTAATTCCTCTTTACCACCAACTAATGGAGCAAAATGTAATCGAGCTCGAAGGAAGAAACCAATTGGCCAAACCCATTCCTAAAAAATAAAATTGCTATTCAACTAAAAGAAAATTAAATGTATGTAATACAAAATAATTTTAACATACCGGACCCTGGTGATAGTTCCAACCATGTGACACTTTAGGATCATTCGAATCATTCGCATTATCGTAATAACCATTGTAACCCCAATCGGCTGGGTCTAGTGTCTTCATTCCTAGTGGTCCCAGAAGAATTTCTTCAGTTTTCTTCAGTGCAATCCAAGCATGTTTTGGATTAAACATATCCGGAGCCTTAGAACAAAAATTTTTGCAATGAAAAAAATTTCTAACCGTATTTATTTGATATAAAATAATATTAGAAAATTTACTCACAGCAACCATAGCGATGGCGAAATTCGGTCTCAATTGATAATCAGCCCACGGTTGAGTGGCTCCGTGACTATCTTTAAATATTCCTCGTCTGTGTATCAAATCCGGACGTAATTCACCATCCTTTGCTTCTTCGTGAACGTAAAAGTACATTTCAAAATTGGTAGCAATTTTATCAGCCCATTGTTTGTAGCTCCAGGTAATTACAGAACCTAATTCGAAATAAATTATATAATTAGGTACTAAAAGTATTTAATTAAATTCACCCTCTCTAAAAATGTCAAGATCAAGAAATATCTAAACGATAGATAATTTCCAAATTATCCAAATATTCCAAATTAAGAAAAATAAATAAAATAATGACTCGAATAAATTTAGAAAAAAGTAGGTATAGAAATATAGGATTATGTAATTTTTACCATCGCGATTTTTCCTTTGCACGCTACCGTAAGGGAAGAGATTTTGCTTATATAATTCAGCTAAAAAGCTCAAAGTGCTTTTACTAAGTCCAACAATTTCCACTGCCGATCCATCTCTGGGTGTCGCGGGTTTCCCTTTATTTCCGGATTTCTCGGAAGAACCCATTTTATCCATCCACGTGCCACAATTCGCGTCATTGCCACCGAAAATGAATCCAGTGTCAGGATGAACACCAATTTGGTTATTAAATCCTCGATCTGACATGTGCTCGTCAATTTGTTTTCCTGCATTTCTCTCTCTAAAGCACAAACCTTGAAAGTGAATTGTCAACGCTTCTTGAATCACGTCATACAAAGGTTGATCCTAAAAATCAAATATCGTAAATAATTTTTCAAAATTAATAATTATTAATAATAGTGAATTGATAATTCATGTTAACTAATTCCTTATAAGAAACTTTTGGTACTAAAGCAGAAGAAAATGAAAGTAATTTAATCGTTTTTATACATACAACTTCGCCAGCAGGCAATGGAGCTGAATCGTCAGTGGGATAAAGTCTTGAAATTTTGTCAGAGAGAATTTTGAGACCATTGGGCACGTCTTGAACGTAACATTGAATAGTGTAGAGCCACCACCAAATTGCATCACGGCAGTTGTATCTTCATTAGGAAAGAATTAACAATCAGAATATTTTAAACTTTGAAGAAGAATTGATTTTTTGAATTTATGTTTGAAGAAGAAATTTAATATTGAACAAATTTTGAATTTAAATCAAAAAGAAAATATTCAGTCTCACCTCGCACATTTTCCTTTGTCAAGTAAATTTGGAATTAAACCGTGTCTAAGTGTTCCGGCGTAGCCAAGAATAATGAATCTCGCTTCATCAAATCTTCCAGTTAATAAGAAAAGTCCTCGGAGAGCAATAAATGTATCTCTTCCCCAATTACGCATATAACCAGTGGCGAAATGAGGCAAACCAGCAGACAATGTCAAACAAATTTGTTCCTTCGTGTCATTTGTTTGTTTGACAATTGGTTTCGGTGGATCCAAATTTGGTGATAAATCCGGAAGTTGCGCTGATTTCACAATACCGCCAACTTGTACAGAGACAAGTGATAATAATTTTATAAATGTCGATCCATCCTTCACGAAGCTAAAATGTAAAACAATTTTTTTTATTCACGGAAATTTGAATTATTTTCTAATCTTTTTTTTAAATAATAAAAATAATTTAGAAATAAATAGAAATAAATTCGAAGAAAAAAGAAAAGAAATTTTTTCAAATTGATAAGAAATGAATTCTAACCTTGATAATGAAGCATAACATTGGTCGAGTAATGCAGTGTAAACATTAACGAGAATCACGTCAAAATAACTGGGTACCAAGTAGCGGGGAATTGATTTTAGAGGTTCAAAAGTTGTTTCTAACCATTTGCCAAGAGATGATGTCATTTCATCATTTTTCAGACGAGTCGACAAGTAATCTGAAATTAAAATTTATTTTTATCTCAAAATATTGAAACAAATATTGAATTAAAATTTAAAATAAGCCTAGAATTGATTAGAAATAAAAAAAGTACATACATTTTCTAATAGTAAAACAATAATAACTATAAACTTAAAAACTTTACCAATTAGCCAATTTCCGTCCCTCAGATTTGCACACAACGGATGTCCAAGATCGTTATTTGGTCGAATATCAGCCAGAAGGGAAATTATACCTAAAATTGACAAAAATGAATGTAAGTAAAAAAAAGGTGAATAGTCGCAAATTTTAAAATTACAAATCTGTTGAAAAAGAATACCTTGAAGACCTGCGTAGACAAGAGGTCCATAACGAGGGATATCATAAACTCCAAATTGATTATTTGTCTCGTCTCGTTCCTCTTGATCACAATGGTACAGAGCTTTATTCAAGCCAGCAAGATTTATTCGCGAAACGATAACTTCTAATTCAGAATTTTTTGAAGATGTCAATGTGGCAATAGTATTTTGTAATTTTGAAAGAGATGGTTTTATATTCACATGAAGCGAAACTCTGCGGAATTAAAAGTTGTATTAAGATGACAATAAATAAATTAATGATAAAAGAATTTTTTTTATAAAAAATAATAAAAATAATTTAGAAGAAAAATATTAACAAAAACAAATTTTTTTGTTTATTTATTTAATTTAATATAGATTTTAAAGTTATATTCATATTTTTTTAACTCACCGAATCGCCACAACTGATCCTGGTTGGAAGTTAATAAAATTCAACTGAGTAATTTTCGGATCACCTGAATCAACTTTTTCCAATATTGAAGAATCACACATTTGAATATGTTCCTTTATTTTCACTGAGTACTCATTAATTCCATTGATTGTCTTTTCATCCTGAACGTATTTTTCCGGATAGCGAAAAGGCGAGACTCCGTTTCTTCATTCAAAGTTAAAATTTATTTTAGTGAAAAATATTAATAAAAAAGTAAATAATATTTATAATTCTATTTTATTGATATTTTTGACGATAAAAATAATGTAATTGAACTATTATTAATTTTACTGAATTAAATCTTTTAATTTGAAAAAAAATTATCAAATAATACCCACTTGACGTCTTTATGAGCCAGAGATGCCTCGAGAATAATTTCTTCGACAACTCCTTCAACTCGCAGAGGCCTTACGTGACGACGAAGGTCATTTGCATTTGGATCAGGATGCTTGAATGCAGTGAATGCAACTAAGACGACACTTTCGTGTGTATGCGGAGAGTGTCTTGTCACTGCAACCACATCCGGATCCATTTGATCCACAAAAACCTTAAAAAACGAAATTTTAATTTTAAAAACTTCTATTTCGATTCTTTTAAAAAATTTTTTCTATATCAAAATTTTACTAACTTGAGAGAATTTTTCTCGTCCTAAATTATTGTGAAGATTATTGAGGGCTCGTTTGGCAGCAATTATTCCAGATTTTAATCCTACGGAAGATTCATCCTTTTCTTCTATTTCATGATCGTCAGTCCAGGACGCGTACTGTCTTTCTTCATCCACCACATGTATCTGAAATAAAAAATTGCAAATATTAAATAATAATAAGATACAAATAATAATTATTATTGGACAAAATTAATAAATTATTTTGATTAAAAATTTAAAAAAAATTAAGTAGCTCACATGGTGAGGGACAAGTTCGTCATATCCTCGATTGCTTCCACTGCCACAGCACGCCATCGAGACAAGGGCAGCGCTTGGCATTAAATCGAAAACACTACGTTTTTCGACAGGACTCGGATTATCGTGTGTTAAATCCAGGAAAAGTGCATGAGCAATGCTTGGAACTAAGGGACGAACACGAGATTGCAAAAATGCCCCAACGGGTTCACCTCCATAACGATAAACTAATCGACCTTCTTCATGACTGTCCCAAGCAGACATCGCTTCTACAAAATTGTAAATCAAATTTTTCAAATCATTCTATTAGAAATTTATTTTAATTTCTGCTTCTTTTTCTTCTTTCAATATGAATTTTATTTTAATTCATTTAGCTAGGAAAAATGTTTACGAAAATTATTTTACCTCTGATAAGTGAAGTGATTCCAAGACGATTCACAAAAATATTGTCCTTATGATCGGAATTGGTAAATAATTCAGCCACAACGTACAAATCGGGTTTCACTTTTCTCGCTTCGTCCAAAAGGTACTGAAAATATTTCCATTTTTTAGATTTTACAAATCAAAATTAAATATTGAAATTTTTGAAAAAATTGAATATTAAAATTGAAATTTTAACATTAAATGAATAGACTAATAAAAATATATTAAAGTTTATAAATAAACTTACCTCCGCAATTGGAATAGGAGTCGAGTGACAATTATCCAATCTCACACCATCAAAAATTTTCGCCATTTGTTGAACATAATTCGACATTCGTTTCCATAAGAATGGAGAATCCTCTGGTTTTTCGCCATATCTGAAAATTTTAGTTGGAAAAAAATAAAAATTGCTCAGCAAAAGAAATTAATGATTTATCATTTATTTATTTATTTTATTTACCTGAGTTTAACACTATCACCCCAGGCTATTAATTCCCTGCGTATATAAACATTGGAATCAGAGTCGGCGAAATTCTTCAAAGGATCACTATTCATCACCCAACCGTTGTGTGCCATTAAGTAACGACCAGCGTCAGAGTACATTGTTGCCTCTCTTTCGGCTAAATTCCTCGGTGCTCCAAAATCAGTGAAATATCTAAAAAAAATATTTTAAAAATGATCTCGAAATTAAAAAAGGAGAATAATTAAAATTTTAATTCGTAATTTTTCACCTTGGAACGAGAGGTTTTCTTTCGCTAATCTCTCGAACTCTTGGTCCATCGGATTGCACTCGAAAATAGCGAATGCCAGCGATAGTATTTTCAACCGCAGCGTTCAAATTATTTTGCACTTCGTTTATAATTGCGTCATTTAATTCCTGTAATTTTTTCCTGAGATCCTCCGCGCAACGTTTCAAACGAGTGTCTTCGTCGAAACAATCGGCTCTGCACATAAATTCAATTATGAAGTTATAAAAAAATATTATTAACTAAAACTTATGAACTTAATTAATTTTAGTATTAAATTCAAAAAACTTTTTTTTTTGTATTTATAATTATTTTTATAGAGATATGAAAAAAGAACTTTACCTATAAGTGTTGTATAATCGTAAAGCGAGTGTCTTGTCGATGGTTGACTTCAATCTACGAAATTCCGGATCTTGAATAATTTTGATAGTCTCCTTTTCCATGTCCGATTCCTCGTGTGGCATTTGATTTCTGGCAAGGCTGAGAAATTCAGCGACAGTTTCATTAATATCCAAAATATACAGTTCGTTAATTTTAATTAATGGCAGGAAATGTGAGTGAAGTGCGTAACGAATACTCTGAAAATAAAATATAATTTTTGAATGCATTTTTAATATTACAATTTTTATTCTCTTTTTTTAGTATTATAGTGGCATTACATTGAGATGTTCCTCGGTTTCGACTATGGCGGGAATACCTTTCATTTCCCATTCGCCAGCTGAAACTTGAATGGTCAATTCAAAGAGTGTTGCATCCAAAAGATAAGATGCACGTAAATATGGACAATTTGAACAATTGTAAGTGCATTCCGGATTCGTTAGGAGAAAAGAACTCTCATTCGCCGTGTGATTCAGGACAATATCACAAATGCTGAGTACCTAGAATTTATTTTTAATATGGAGGCCTTTTCTAATTAACTAATTAACAAATCTAAATAATAAATTAAATTTATTATCAGAAATTTTTTAAAAAGTAATTTATTAAATAGTAAATAAATATTTTCAGTACTGAAAAAACTTACGTTCCATTCACTGCGCATTTTTTTCGTCAAAGCCTCGACATCGTCGAATGTTGTTTCCTTACCACCGCTACTGAATGTGGAATTCAGTTTCAGTTGATCGCTCAAACTATACGAAGACCTCGAGGCTCCCAATTCCTGAAAAAATGTTTTTGATTAATAATAGAAAAGACCAATTTTCAAGAAGAAAAAAAATATTAAAAATAATTACCTGAATCGGAGTGAAATGAATCATATTATAACCAGAGTTCTTTGAGACCAAAAGTTTATTTTCCCAGGTGGAAAATGGTCCAAGACATTTTGCCAAAACTGTGTGACACTGAATACAATCGATAGGCAGTTCTTCATTTTTACCAACTCTTAATTCTGGATCAACTAAAAGATATCCTGATGCAATGGCCTTTGCACCATTTTCCATTCTAAAAAATAAGAGAATTGAATTTTATTACATACGCTTTTTCTAATTTTGACAAAATAATTACTTTCTATCCGTTGCATAGTAATGGAACGATCCAGCTGAAGTTAAATTTAAATTTGCTGTTTCGTTGTTCCATTTTAGTTGTCGATAAACATGTCTCTCGTATTTTTGCTCCTTCATCAATGGATGATTCACGAAAATATCAATTTTCTTCCCCAGAAGCGATGGTCCTAATCTGAATTGAACTTGCCATTCTAAAATTTAAAAATGGTAATTAAATTTAGTTTTAAAACAGTTTTCAAATTATTAATAAATAAATAATTGAATAATTATAAATAATTATTAATAAAGGAACGGAATAGATTACTCACCTTTCTTGAGTCTGTACAAAGTTCCATCTTGATGTTCTCCTTTATTTAAACTTAACACTCTTATTTGCTCAACATTTCGACAGTCGTTAGACGATCCTTCCATTGTCGTTGTTTTCTTATTTGTCTAAAAATTCGATAAATAACAAATCATTAATCACTGAAAATATAAAAAGTAAAAGAATAGTAATACTTGTGGATGCTAAGTACTTACAGACAAAATGACAAATAAGCGTTTAGCTAGCAACTTTGTCTTAATATAAGTAATTGGCACAAAGCATTTACAAAGCGTAAAATATATTATATTACTCAAGTTCTGCTACTTGAACATGCATAAAAGCAAATCGTCTGCCCTTATTCTATTTTCTAGAGTTACATTCTTAAAGTCTAGGAAAAAGAACAGAAACATTTCCTGTTCTGTCTATTTTTTACTAAAAGTCAATTTGTTTGAAATGAATCCATCAAGGGTAGAATAATTCATCAACAAGTGAAATTAAATCCATATCTAGCTCCTTTATAAACATATTATCAAGGTCCCGTTTCTTTTTTTTAATAAATAATCATCAATAATTTTCGAAATCATTAATTTATAATAAAACAATTACAATAATTGAATTTTAATTTCACTTGAAGATTATATATTATAAAGATAAGAGAATAATAAATATTACATTAGGACTTACATGAGACCAGAGAAAACTGAGAAACTCGCATGTAAATACATGTAGAATAAAATTTCGAAATTTTCTGATAAATTCTTGAGTTGTTTCGCAAACGAATTTCTTTAAAGCAACCATTGAATCCATTAAATAGCGAATAGCAAATGAAAAAAAGCAAAGCAAAACGGGCTTTATTTGAAATTTCTTGAATTTATGTTAAACTTTGCATCCGATATCTTATCATTTTTGTTTTCTTATTTAATAGAAATTATTTATAAAGATTTCCTTTATGGACTGCCTATAAAATATAGATATATCTCGTCAGATAATGAAATTATTAAATTAGGTATTAATAACGAGAGATGAAGACAAACAGTATTTTATCTCGATTAGCCACATTTTTTTCATGCTCATTCTATTTTTAATCAGAAAACAACAAATAATATACATTCAAGAGCACTTTGATTTTTTTTCTGGTCTCATCTGTAAAGTTTAGTAATTAAATTATTTTTTATAAAAATATAGTTAAAATAACATGCAAACGTTGGAAACAAAATTAGATATTTTTATAATTTTATATTGTATAATAAAATGTCTAATAAAATCTCATTTGTAAATATAAATAAAAACTATTTTTCAATGTAATAAATTATTCTTTAATATGTAAACATTGAATTATTACATATTTTAATAGAAAATATTTTTATAAATACTTTTCCTTAAAAAAAATTTAGAAATTTTAGTTTTAAAAAGTGACAAAGAGAATTAGATTTTTTGAAAAGTGCATGCTGCCCATTAATATTTTTAATTAACAATAAACAATAAACAAAATAGTTAATGAAAAAACACTTACAGTCTTGTACGTTATGTAAAGTCGTGTTTGTTCATGAAATAGAGAATAAATCTACTAATATATGTGACATACGATAATGATAGAAATACTCTAATGATACTTTATAAACAATTGTTTATTTCAAATTTGACCTCTATTTGAATGAGAAAAAAATGTGAAGGTCATAAATGCGGGGGCGGTTTTCTTTGTAGGTTATGTTCCAAGTTATGAGTTAATCATGGAGTTAATCCAAACGTTACAAAAATGTATCATTATTCAATAGTTTCTCATAATTTATATACTAAACACTCTTTAAACAAATTATAAAAATTATTATTCGTTCAATACAATTATAATTGATAATTATCAATCATAATAATAAAGAAATAAAATAAACAATTTTTGACAATATATTTTCCAGTAAGTTAGGTTAGTCTATCATAATTTGATTGGTCGATTTTGACAAGTAATAGAGGTTAGGTTTTCAAGTTGACAATTATAATTGGTGGAAGTATTTATGTTATTTAAAAATACTTTTCCTCTTTTTATTTTTTTTTTACTTTTTTTAATAAATTATGTCTACAATTAAAAGTTAAATTAGTGATTTATATTTCTTTTACTTGTAAAATATTCTTCTGAAATGTAAAATGGAAAAAAAACTAGTTTGAAAATTTTTTTTTAGAGGTTCTCATCAACGGTTTTTTTCAGTGTCTCTCATTGTATATATATATAGCTACAATTTAAAGGGACTACATCACTCGACAGACGTTATTGTTAAAGCATTAAATTAAGGCAGCATGTTTTAAATAAATTTTTTTCAATAGTTATCACTAAAGATCTAGTGTTATTTGGAAAAGTTTTTTTAATTTGTCAATTTTACCGTGTCATTCGTTTTCACCAACACAAACAATTCCAAAATGGCAGGAGCGACTGAACTCAGTAAGTACACTGTAAAAAAAAATTGTTTTACACTAGTTAACAGTAACTAATCAATTTGTAATAGTTAGTGTTTTATAGATAAAGAATTGTGGATTCAAGTTATTTCTCTTTTTGGCGTTAAAATTGAAGGGAAAGATGAATTTTGAATGAATAGAGAAAGTTAAATATCACGCCGTCTTGTGTTAAGTGGATTGTGTTTGTGTTAACGCATACATACATATAATTTTAGATTCCCCTCCATGCTTAACACAGCACGTGGTTTCAGCTGTCAAAGTAGGTTAGAAATTTTTTCTTTTTGATTAAGTTTCAATTTTAATATAAATGATGTTTTTTTATTCAAATTTAACAAATCTGGGGAGAATCTTAGTTTTCGGACTCCTTAAGTTTGGAAAAAAAGTTCGTCAAAGAGAGAAATAGGTTTGAAAAATTGAGGTAATTTTATTCATTTTATTGGAGGATAAAATGACCTATAGTTTTTAAAAATTGTTTTGTTTGTTGTCAAGTTCTTTTGGAGCGGGTATTTCTCCGCCTTGGTTCTGCAGAGACAGATGAACAACTTCAAGCGTCAGTATGTAAATTTCTACCTCCGGTTTTACTGAAGCTCTCAAGCACTCAGGAAGGTGTGCGAAAAAAAGTCATGGAGCTGTTAATTCATATTAATAAGAGAGTTAAAACTCGTCCATTGGTTCAACTTCCTGTGGAAGCACTTTTACTGCAATATCAAGATCCAGCAGCTAGTTCTTTTGTGATTGTAAGTTAATTATTCTGTTTTTTATACAATAAATTGTATTTTTAATACAGTGAATTCAGATTATTTAGTATTAAATTTCGTTTCAGAATTTTACGATTATTTACATTAAATTGGGATATCCTCGAATGAATATCAACAAACAGGCGGAATTAGTTCCATGTATTTTGAATGCAATTGAGGGAAAACCCTTATCTCATCAAGACAGGTATTTAGTGTTATGTAATTTGATCAATTATTACAAAATCAATTGTTCTCGTCTTTATTTATTTTAATCCTTCAGGAGAATTGCATATAATTTACTGTAGAATGTAACATAATTGAATTAATATGGAACAAATTTGTTTTTCCAGCTTGTTGCTGATCATAATGCCAGCTTTGGCTCACATCAAAGTTCCAATGGATCCGGATAAGAGAGGAGCTCTTCTTGGCTTACACGACAAACCGAATGTTGCTAAACAGCTAATAAATTTTATGCTCGACATGCTGTTATTACCATACGGGTAACTATATTCGTTTCTTTTATTCCAGTTTTTTTGATATTTTATTAATCGCAGAACTAATGAAGTAAAAATTACTCATTTATAACTAGTGTTAATTTCTTTCTTTTCTGTCTGTAAAATAGAACTGTGGGCAATGTGGAGAATCAACAAGCCGGTCAGCCGATTGATTGGTCACAATTTCCGGTTCCACCTGGATTGAGTACATATGCTTTTAAAAGAGTTATTGGCGAAACACCTCCAACTGCCGAGCAACTCGAACAAACTAAATTGGGAATTGTGAAATTTATTTCCGCCGGTGTTTTCTCCGATTCGGACATATTCATTCACTTAATTGTCGCTGCAGCTGATACAAGATTTAGTGTCGCGAATATGGCCGATTTAGAGCTGAAGAAAATAATTGGGTTCGTTTTTAGTTATCAATAACTTTATTTTTTTGGAATAGAAATAAATAAATAAATCTTTCAAAGAAAGATAATTATTATAGGACTTTACAATTGCCCTGGGATTTAATAATAATTATATTGCAGAACACTTGATTGGTCGTCGATGCAACTTGCTGCTCCTCTTTATTCTCTATTTTTGGGAACGGATGCCTTGGCAACACAAAAGGAAGTAAAACCCGATATGAAAAGACTGCCCGCCGGCACACGAATTCGTCTTAAACTTTTGTATTATCTTTGTCGAGTGACAAAGGCGGGTTTTATTATTCCACCCTGCATTCAGGTTAGGATCTATTTATTCGCAATGCTAATTTTAATCAAAAAGTTGAAAATACATTTTCTTTTTTATTTAATTTTTTCAGGTGGTTTTTGATTCTCTCTACGGAAGCAATACTAATCCAAAACTTAAAACTCTTGCTTTGCAATTTACATCTAATATCGTTCAACAGTGAGTATTTATTCAACCGAATGTTTAATTTATTACAATTATTTGTTATAATTTACAATAATTTCCGAATAAAAATTTCCAGTTGCAATTCCACTTCACTGTTGAGAGTGGCCGGTGTAATTTTGAATGGAATAATGAAATTAATATCCGAAGGAGATCCTATTCACAAACCGAAGGCGTACACAATTGTCGGTCAACTTGGACAAAAAATACCCGCTCTAATTAATAAGGATTTTAGTCTACTGGAAAAATTCTTTGATACTCTCGCAGCTGTGAGTAAAAGAATAAAAAATTGTTAACTATTTCACTAGAAATTTTAATAGTTTAAGGATTTTTGAATGACTTTTCAATAAATTTTCAGACTGATGGTGACTTGCGACACACGGTTCGTAATGCTTTGATTAGCATGTCTTCGGCATTTATTCTCAATAAGGAAGATGAACAGAGTATTGCACTGATGAACGCGTTACTGTCCGCTCATATAGAATCGCCAGAATCACATGTGAGATTTGTCGCTGTTCATTATGCGGCAACTGTATTTCCAACGGACGACGCTCCATCTCGTTATTTACTTCTTCTTGCAAGTGGCGATACAATGCAAGAGGTGAGTTTGGAAGCTCTTAAAGCATTGTACGGAACGGCTTACAAAAATGAACGTGAGAAGCAAAATCTAAAAGAAATTCCCCTACCGGAATTCACGAAACTCGTCTCATATGTGCATTTAAAATCTCGAGCTAAACTGAACACGTCAAATTCTGGAAAGAAGGATTCTATTGTTAAAAGTCTGCCTTATAATAATGCGGCATTTACAGAGGTACGTTAAATAAACTTTCAAAAATATGTGTAGTATTGAAATACAAATTTATTAATTAAATATAGTACATTTATATATGAATGATAAATTAAATAAATAATATTGATTTTTTATAGATCGTTCTCTATTTGCGCTTATCTCTCGCTAAAAGCGCGGATGTTACAGCGCAAGGTGAACAAATTCAACATCCTTGCGAATACAGTCCATTGATTGGACGTTATCTGGAAAAATTGGTAAAGGAACAACCGGAAATTTTTAATAATTATCTCAGTTTTCTCAATATTCGAATTGGTCAATCAAAGGAAGCTGGTAAGTACAAAATTTTATTTTGTCAAAAAATGATTTCTAACTTGATACTTAAAATAATAAAACTAACTAATTAATTGATATAATACTAATTAAGTAAATTTTCTGATTCTCTAGATGAAGTTTCACTGAATGCATTATTGGAAATTCTTGGAACAATGTCACCGGAAATATCGAAACGCTACGAAAAAGATTTGCCATGGTTGAAAAAATTGCAAGGATCAACGAAAGAAAATATTCGAGAATTAAGTGCCAAGATTTATGCCTTTATTGTCGCCTATTTGCCTTTAAATGAATTTGAAAGTCAGTTGGCGGAGATTGTGAATTGCACAAAAAATAAAGTACTTGAAATTCAACATGGTGCATTGTTGGCTCTCTCGTACATGATCGAGCAGAAATTATTGTCCTTAAAACAAACGAATGTCGAAGAGATTTCTAATTTAAAGGTCTATAATGTTGCAGTTGAAACAATGTGTAAGTTCTTGTTTTTAACTTGAAAACTTTAGACTTAAAAAAACTAAAATTTTACTGTAGCAATCAGAACTTTTGTTCTTTAATTTTATTCTAATTGAATGAAAATCTTTTCTATAGGTTCATTTTTAACTGATAATAATCCACTGCTAATGAGTGCTGCCTCGCAAGGAATTGGAATAATGGGCAAAACGTTTGCTTTGCCATTGTCGAATAATAGTGAGAAGGGTTTTAATAAAATGTACATTGTCGAGAAATTATTTTCCATTTTTGAGAATCCGAAATTGAATAATAAAATCAAGGAGACTGCAATTATCGCTTTAGGATTTTTGTGTATCGGCGAAGAATTTCCACATACAAAATTTATTGCTGAAAAAATTCTCACTGTCGCTAAAGACACTAAAGATGTTGAGATTCATCTTACTCTCAGTGAGGCGTTAATTTGTTGCGTTCAAGGACCAGCGTCATTGGATGCAAGAAATATTTGGAAATTACTTCCCGATGAATATAAAATTCCATTCAGCAAAGCCAGCGATGAGCTTCTTGCTTCTATTTTATTGAAAATGGTCCAAGTCGTGAAAGAGCCACATCCAAACATGAGACAGGTAAAAAAAAACTTATTAAAATAATTTTTAATAATTTGACAATTTTTCCTTCAATTATAAAAAAAAATAATTTTCTTTTTAGGCCGTATGCATAAGTTTACTGTCCTTGGTAAAATACAATGCCGAACGAAGTTGTATAAAGGAAAATTTAGCAACTCTCCAAAGTTCGTTTATGGATCTACTTTCAGAGAGTAATGGTAAGTGACTTTAATTTAAATCGCTTGGTAATAAATCTAACTTAATTACTTTTTAATTTACAGAATTCGTGCAAGATGCGGCGTCGAAAGGTCTTTATTTGGTTTATAATTCGAGTGAAGAGAATAATCGTGATTCTCTAGTTTCCAATTTATTAGAGCAGTTTGTTCACGGTCGAAGAGACGGAATAAAAGTAACATCTGACACGGTTTTATTCGAAAATAATGAAATGGGAAAAAGTCCTCTGGGGTGAGTAGAATTATCTCTAATTATCCGAAATTGCGAACAGAATTTTAATCTTGTTCTTTTTTTGCAGAGGAAATTTGTCAACTTATCGCGAAATATGCTCATTAGCTTCTGATTTGAATAATCCAAAAATGATGTATCAATTCTTGCATTTAGCGAATCATAATGCAGTTTGGAATTCAAAGAAAGGCGCTGCTTATGGATTCTCGGCATTTGCTGCCCTTGATACTGCCGATTTGAAAAAATATCTTCCAATTATTGTACCTAAATTGTATAGGTATCAATTTGATCCCACGCCAAAGACGCAACAAAGTATGACGAGCATTTGGCGTGCAATTGTCCCTTCTACTAATAAAGCTGTCAGTATATGAAAAATTGGAAATAAACAAAAATGATGTATTCTTTAGTTTGAAAATATAATTTCTTTTTCACAGATTGAGGAATATCATAAGGAAATTTTGGAAGATTTGACCATTAATTTGACTGATGGACAATGGCGTGTGCGTAAAAGTTGTTGTCACGCTTTATCTGAATTACTTCGTTCAGGTGCGCCAATTAATTTAGCTGACAAAGTGTCGGAACTGTGGAAGCAACTTTTCCGTGTAATGGACGATATTCACGAGGCTACCAGATTAGCTGCTGCAAACACTGCCAAAATATTCAGTAACGTGAGTCATTATTTTTTCTTTTTGATTAACAATAATTAATTTTTTCCAAAAAGTTACTTTTTGTTTATTAATTAATTACTTAATCGATAGTACTGCATTCGTCGATGCGATGCATCGCATGGAAAAGCGGGCGAAGAAGTGTTACAAGCCGTACTGCCAGTTTTAATAGACGTTGGAATATCGCATAATTTGAGTGCAGTGAGGACAATTTCATTACAAACTGTATCACAACTTGTGACAGCAGCTGGCATTTTATTGAAACCGTCTCTAGTTAATTTAATACCTGCATTATTAAATGCAGCTGGAGAATTGGATAGTCCTGGTCTCACTTATTTTCGAAATGCATATTGTACCTCGCAAGAAACACAGGAGGCTTTTGATACAAAGAGAGCGAGCGAGGCTAAAAGCCACTATTCAACAGAGACAATTACAAAAGTAAGTTATTTTCATATTCAAATTTTCCACTCTTTTAAAAAATTATTAAATAATATTCATAATACTAAAAAGTATTCGAAAATTCATGGTTTTTCTAAATTTATTCTTGTATATTTTAAATTCTTTGCAGTGCATTCCCTTCATCGATGCTGCAATTCTCAAAGAATTAATGCCCAAAGTAACAGACATTATAAAATCAAGCATAGGACTTGGGATTAAAGTCGCTTGTTCTCATTTCATTATTCTCACGACTGCACATTTGAAGACGGAATTACAACAATATGCAGGTAAAAATATTTTTTCAAAATAATATGAAGAGTTTATTATTATTATTTTATTTATGATTGTATATTCGCTTTGTAGGTAAAATTCTGACAACACTTCTTAACGGTCTCACCGATCGCAATATATCGATAAGAAAAAATAATGCAAACACAATTGGCCACGTGGTGGGCTGTGCTAAAGAATCCAGTGTTCAAAAATTATTGAATACTTTAAATAAATGGTACATGGAAAGAGAAGGTATAATTACATTTATTTCTTCATTGAAATTAATAAATTATTTAGTGAATAAGTTTTAAAAAAAAATTTTTAATTTTAAATATAAAAGAAGAAATTTTTTATCAAGAAAGTATAATTTATTTAATATTTATCAAACTGATTTTTCAGATGATTCAATTCGACTTGCAATAGGACAAACTCTGCAATCAATAAACAATAATAATCAAGAAATTACGAAGACATACACAAACATAGTTTTACCTTTAACATTTTTCGCTATGCATGCTGAAAAAGTAGCAGGTTAGTTACTAATGTAGATCAATTGGAATTAAAAATTTTTTTTAATTTTTAATTTTTAACCCTTTATTGTATTTTAAAGGAAACGAAGCGACAATTGAAGTTTGGAGTGATTTGTGGTCTGAGATTTCGCCCGGAACGGAAACTGGAATTCGACAAAATTTAAGTGCCATTTTAGATATTTTGAAAACAGCTCTAGAATCAGCCTCATGGACAACAAAAGCACAAGCTGCAAATGCCGTTTCTACTGTCGCAACAAAATTGGGATCAACTATCGATGACAGTTCCAGAGAAATATTATTGAATATTCTGACAAATGGATTACAGGGAAGAACATGGAATGGAAAAGAACGTCTTTTAAATGCTCTTTCTTTACTTGCCTGCAACAGCAAGTAAGTTGAAAAAATTTCTTTCTTATTTGTCCAAAATTTTTGTTGGATTTTTTGTAATTGTAATTTTTATTTTTTAACATAATGAGCAATTTTTCCATCTAACAGAGAAGCATTGAGTAAGGACAGTAAATTGACAGAAGAAGTTTTGGGAATTTTATATAAAGAGAGTAAGAAAGAATCTTTAGAGTATCGTCGATATGCTTTAAAAGCCTATTCAGACGTTTTACACGAGCTGGATATTAATAGATTTACTCAAATCTATGATATAGCTCAGGATGTTTTACCCAAGGTAATAGTTATTATTTAATTGTAAATATTTTAAAGGTATGAAAATAAAAAATATTAATAATAAAATTCAATTTTAGCTCTCGAGCAAAATCGATGACGATGATGATGACAATGATGTTTCAAGAAGCGAAAATTCGAAAAAAGTTGAAGATAAATTGAAATTGCAAGAAACTATTTATGAATCTTTGGGAAAAGCATGGCCTTCTTGCAAAGAAACTCAAGGTAATAAATTTTCCTTATTAAAAATAATTTTCTTTTTTTTAAGTACCTAACTAAATATTTTTTTTCATTTCAGATAAATACTGCTTGCAATTTGTTTCACATTGTAATGATGTACTGTCAACCAGTACTCGAGTCGTTCAAGTTGCTATTTTAACGACTTTAAATCTTTTTGTTGATAAACTTATTTTGTTTAAAATTCCTGCTGCAGAAAGTGATCCAGAAATGTTGAACACTGTTTATGAAACATTGGAAAAAATTCTGATACAATCAATAAGTGAGTATTAACATTATTTAACAGATAGTATTTAATTAAGAAAAAAATATTAATCTTATTAAAAATAATTTAGAAAATTTAATAATAGAATAAAAATATATTAATATTTATTTTTAAAAATTTTTCAGACGTCTCAAAATACACGAGAATAAAAAAAGAAGCGCTGAATATAATTTTATCACTCTCAAGAAAAATGACTGAAACAAATAATAGTAAACAATTGGAAAAAATAACTGCTCTTTTCAAGGAATTTCTTCCTGAATTGTCAAAGGACAATCAGCCGGAAATTCGTACTAGGGTAGTTGACATTAAAAACATGCTTAAAATTTAATCAAAGCAAAATGAAGAAACTTTCTTCATTTAAGAAAAACGCATTATTTCCATTTTCAATGTCATATAAACTACGATGTACTATTTGAATTTTTAAACGTATATGAAATAATCAATTTTAAATCACGTAGTCAATTTTTTTTTTTTCGATTAATTAAATGTTGGCAGCTAAATAATCATATTTTTTAATTATTATATCTTCCATTGATTCAAGATAGAGAATAATTGGCAAATGTTTTTTTTTCTTTTTGATAAAACTTATATTTGTTACCTGTATAGACGTTTAATATTTATAGTGTAATTATTTATGTAACCTTAGTAAGAAAATAAATCGGCATTACAGTATAACATTAAAAATTATTTATTCCCGAATATACAGTTTTTATTTGATTTGTTACTAAAATCAAAGTTAAATTATAATCGTGTATTATTATGTAAAACTAACATTATTTACAATCTTTGAGTTTTTTTAACAAAATTCTCGCTCCAGGACTTTGTAAGGACGTCAATTTCTTTTTCATTGACTGCAATAGGGTCATTAAACTTGATACAACAGTTGATGATGAATTTTCTAAACAAAAAACTACCAAAAAGCATCCTCGATTTATCTGAATTAATTTTTCTAAAACGTCATTATTTAAAAGTTTTAACATAACGTCACCAAGGGACGTTCCATTTTTGCTAAGAAATATTTCACTTTTTTGAAAAAGTTTCTTGAGAATCAGATGAAGACCGCTGTGTTCAATCGCGCTGTATTCCTTTTCGTCTTCGGTGATTTTCGAATCGTTGCTCAACAAAAAGTCAGCGATCGCTTGAAATGTTGATTCTAAATTTCTGTCGTGATTCGAAGTGATAATTGCTAATGTGACCATTTGAATTGGTGAACTCGAAAGCCATGTTTTTGTGTCCGAAATAATGGATTCGAGAAATTTGTCAATGACACCATCCAAAATTTCCTTCTCCTTCAATTCAATTGGTTTCTTGCTGGCTGAATTTTCATTCTCCTTTTTCAATAATTCGATCATTGCTGGATGAAAATAGTGTGAATCTCTATGCGCGACAAGATATAAAATTACCTTTCTTCCATATTCGTTGAGAATAATTTCATTAGCATTGTTGAGAATTTCCGTGAGAATGATTTTCTTCAAGAGAACCGTATCGTCGACACTGTCGACAAGTGAGAAAATTAATAAATGTCCATGTTCGGCGACACAAATATCCTTCACGTGCTCCTTGAGGGCTTTCATGACAATTTTCTTATCCTTGTTCGAACCGTGACGAATAGTCAGCATTCCAACTTGTGTTCCATCCTTTGTTTTTATTAAATCGACTATCAAACTTCTCAGCATTGGTATCATTTCATCGCGATCTTGATCGGTGCAACTTGATAAAAATTCATTTAAAACAGTGTGAACAATTGGCGATGATGCCAATTTTTTGTTTAGAATTCGATTCAAATTTGTCTTGACTGCTGATAGAGTTGCTTTCTTCATGTCGGTGGCGATTTTGTAAACATCGTCGAGAGTCTTGACGTTCTCATCCTTTGCGTGCTTGTACATGTCACCGTAGAATTCTTGTTTGAATCGAATTTTATCCGCGTCTGTGGCATATTCACTGATGGCGAATTCAAAAACTGGTGCCGACACTGTATGACTTGATAATTTAATAACATAACCATTGCAGGCGGAGAAAATTTCCTTTCTTAATTTATCGGTGCCGTATTGGAAGAATGCTTTGATGCAATTTTTCGCGTATTTTGATTGGAACATTTCAATTAATAGAGATTCGAGTTCTGTTTTAATTGATTGACGAATCTCGGCTGAGGAATATTTAATTAACCATTGAATTACACGTGACATATCGTGCGTTAAGATGAATTTTGTATAATTTCCTTTTAACAATTCGTGTAATTCTGTTGACAGTTTTGTACGATTTTCACTCGGTGCTTCGAGTACACGTAATTTTTCACCGATTTTCTTGGCTTGCACAGATATATCATATAAGCTGGTTAATTTTTTAATTTTTCTTTGAGCCTTGAGGGCCTTTTTCTTCTTTTTGAAATCTAGCCAATCAACTTTTTCACCTGATTCATTGTTTTGTGGTTTAAATGATTTTTGATTTTCGAATTTCTTTTTTGATTTGTTTGAATTTTCGAAATTTTTTATCGATGAAGGTGATTGCGATTTTTGTGGTTTTTTCAATATCGATGGTTTCTCTGGTGTTTTGGCAATTGCAATTTTCTCCTTCTTTGATGCTATTTTTTCTAGTTTTTTCACAATTGTCTGCTTCTCGAATTTGCCCTTCTTTTTCTGCTTTTTGTCCTGCTTTGAAAGTTTCTCGGGCTTCTCATCTTTTCTCGGTATTTCCCTGACACGTACTTGAGAAGCGAAATTCACTGTTTTTTTCGATTTCTTCGAACCTGGCTCTGAAGTTGCTAATTCTGCTTCATCTTTTCTCTTCATTTTTGAATATTTCTGTAAAATATTTCAATTATCTTAAATTAGATTTAAATTATTCCTTTCTGTCAATAATGATTTTTACTTAGGTGTTAAATTCCTGTCACGTGTTTTTTACTCACGGTATTTTTGTAATGTAATATGTAAAACTTTACAATTTAGAAACAAATAAAATAATAATCGACAAAATAAATACAATATGAAACTAAACATAAACAAAAGAAAATGAATAATAATCAAATACAAGTTAAAAATGTAAATGAAAACAAAAAAGATAATCTAATTAGATAGATAGATAGATAGATCATTCTAAACAATGAATTTCTAACTTGTAGTCATATGCTCCCCAGTCTAAATAGATTTAAAACAAAAATTATTTAATATTTCTAAAATTATTGGCTAAATTAATTGCATAATTACGAATAAAGAAAATAATGTTTGCATTCATATTGTTCCTGACATTGATAAAACAAATAAAAGTAAACTCAAATAAACATTTGTAATATTTTTAAAGAATATAGTATGTAAAGTATTTTTAAAAGTTTTAGATTATACAATAATAAACATATTAATTTACCTTTTTATCCCTTTTGTAAATAAATAATTTAAAACACGTGGATCCAAACAATTGTGACTTTGAACGTTAGGAAACCTAACCTATAACTAATCCCAGTGCGCATGTGCAAACGTGTAGGATAAAAGTCAAATATATTACTAATTATAATTTTGCGGCAAATAAAATTAGAAATTTAACTCTAAATACAAACAGGTAGACAAAATATTTTAAGGAACGTGGAATATAATAATGCATTAATTACTTGATAAAAAATGTTTAAATATCTTTTTTCACGCTTATCAATTGTACTCCAATAGGATGTTTACAACGTTAGTCAACACAACAATTTACGAAAGTTACGTATCTCTACGGAAGATATGATATCATTTTACGTATGATGTGATGAACACTTATATTGGATTATTGTTTACAATTGTTATTATTAACTTAAAAGAGACCAATAACACTTGTCAACAGTTCTACACAACCATCCATTTCAATTAATTCAATAGTGGAAATAGCTGTCGCATTAAAGTGTACTGTATATAATATATTATTTTAACGAATCAGAACCACTAAAGAGACCCATAACCTTAAAATATAGCTGCGACATCATCAGCTGTTACCAACAAAACTGACATTTACATTATTGTCAATAGTTTCTTTCCAAGCATCACACTTCCGAAATATTTGATTTTATACAAAAGTTAGTGTTATAATTCTTCTTTAAATTCATAAAAGTTATCTTGATGCATTTTTTTGTGAAATGTAAAATATAAGAACTAAAAGACGGGCGTTGTGTATACAAGCAAAGTGTAATAAAAATTAATTCTCGATGTTTTCGCCGAGGTGGGAAGCAAACGAAGTAAAACAAGTAGAATTTTAGTGTTCATTAAATAATAAAGAAAAAAAAAGAAAAACAATGGAACACGTGTTAATAAAAGATATTCGCCCGGGTCAAAAGAATATCAATGTCGTTTTTATTGTTCTCGAAGTTGGACATCCTACAATTACCAAAGATAACCGCGAAGTTCGAACATTTAAAGTTGCTGACAATACAGCTTGTATGAACGTTTCAATTTGGGACGAGCCAGGAACTTTATTGGTACCTGGTGATATTGTGAGACTAACCAAGGGATACGCATCAGTTTGGAGACAGTGTTTAACTTTGTATTCGGGAAAGAATGGTGATATTCAAAAAATTGGAGAATTTTGTATGGTTATCAATGAACAGCTAAATATGAGTGAACCAAATCCTCAACTTGCTCAGCAAATAGTTAATCAAAGTGGTTCCGGTCCTCCAGGAAGTAACGCCAACAGTAGTATAACGAATAACGGAAATGCAAATAATGTCTCGGGAAACAGTGGAAGAGCACCTTTGGTATGTATTTTTAAGAAATAAAGTCTTAAAAGTAAATTATTGTTATTATCTTAAATGTAAATTATTAATTTTTACTTTAGGCAATCCAGAGCAATGCAACAACTCCGGCAAGTGGAACGTCCAGTAGTTCGACATCAAGTAAAAGTGAATCAGGAACAAAATCATCAACAACAAAAAGTAGTACTCGCGGTCGAGGAAACTACAGAAACGGCAGTCGAACTGATAGAAGATAACACACGAGTGAGACGTTAACTAATTTGTAAAAAAAAGTAATTAAAAATGTTACCGATTACAAAAAATATCATCATACCGAAAATGATGTTTATATCATTTACCATTTAACATTTTCACTTTTTTTACAAATTTCTAGAGACAAAAAGTTTTTACGGAAAAGCAATTTTTGAAATATCTTTAAAAGATTCTTTTTTTTGTATTTATTCAACCACTTCCACTACGTAATTTGTAACATACAAGTTTGATTGTAAAATTATACCGAAATTATTGTTAATAGGAATTTTAGTATTAAATCAGTGTTCAGAACGACTGAAATTTTGTACACTTTAGTTTACACATTTTATTTTCCAGTTTTTCAATATAAGATAAAAAAAGATTTTCAAGTGGAAGGTGTGAAATTTTTGTAGTTGATTTTATAATTTATTTTTCAACTATTTTAAAATTGTAGAAAAGAGAAAATTATGTCACACGAAATAATTAATTCTGTAATTAATTACAATTTAAATGAATAAAAATGAAAATCTGGTATATTTATTTTTTTGTGATACCTAATTTCATAGTATTTGACATTAAATTCATTAAATTAAATGAGTTAAAAAAAGTAAATGAAGTAAATTAAATGCCAGAATTGATTATTTTCGACGCTAGCGCTAATGTTGATGGACATTTCGAGAAACAAACATTGCTTCAAAAAGCGAGTTATCATTTCTTTCCCCCACCGCAAATACAACATTATTTATGCCTAATTTTTGTTTGTTCTAAATTTTTTCAGCTTCAAAAAGTCTGTCACGTACTTATTTGACATTTGCTTTTCATTTATTTATATACATAGACAGAAAATTAGGTCAAGTTTTGACGTTTTAAAGTACAGGTTAGGTTCGCTCGCCCCAAAAACGTCAGTACTCGGACCAAAATTGATTTATGGTTTTTAAACATACACATACACACAACAATGGTGGTGCCGGTGATATTTGTAGGTTAAAAAATTTGTGTGATTTCAATAATATTTATAGGCAATCAGTGAAAATCGTGAAAATTTAAGGGGTAAAGAAAATGGACAATAGAATTGCAATATTTGATCCGAACGAAGATGAGGTTAACGATGAAATTTTCAACGACATTGAACCAATTCCATGGGTTAACGACGATACAAATTATGATTTGGACGATATCAACATGTTTTTCCATAGGGTGGATTCCGATCAAATTATTTATCAGGAGAAAAAGAAGAAATGCAAATTTATTGGAAAATACGTGATGGGCGATTTACTCGGTGAAGGTAGTTATGGTAAAGTTAAAGAGATGCTCGACTCCGAGACCCTTTGCAGGAGGGCTGTTAAAATTTTAAAGAAACGAAAACTCCGGAGGATACCCAACGGGGAAAGCAACGTACAATCGTGAGAAATACTTTTAAATTGTTTACTTTAACATTGTTTTCTTCTTGTAAACTTATCTGTCAAAAATTTTGTCTTTTTGATTATTTCCCGTTAAAAAAGTATAAAGGTCATCTCAATGACAAATTATGAGTTTAGAATAAAAATCCTGAAATTTATTTGTTTTTTGCACAGAGAAATTCGATTGTTAAGAAAATTGAAACACAAAAATGTGATTGATCTCGTGGACGTGTTGTATAACGATGAGAAGGAGAAAATGTATCTAGTAATGGAATTCTGTGTAGGAGGTCTTCAGGTAATGTTCTAATTTAAATTGAATAATAAATCTCTTGGAAATAAATACAAAAATCTTATTTTCTTCTAGGATATGCTGGAAAGTTCGCCTTGTAAAAAGTTTCCCCTCTGGCAAGCGCATGGTTACTTTTCCCAACTGCTTGATGGATTGGAATATCTTCATGGCACGGGAATTGTTCACAAGGACATAAAACCGGGAAATCTACTTCTAACACTTGAGAGAACTCTTAAAATCAGCGATTTCGGAGTTGCCGAGGTAATATTTAATTTTAAAAGAAAAAAACTCTGGTGGAATTTAATTTAATATTATTAATTGTTTAAAAAAAATATTTTCAGGCGTTAGACATGTTTGCCAAAGACGACACATGCACAACAGGACAAGGCTCACCGGCTTTTCAACCTCCGGAAATAGCAAATGGCTGTGACACGTTTGCAGGTTTTAAAGTAGATATATGGAGTAGTGGTGTAACTTTGTAAGTAAATTAATATTATTTCTCTTCTAAATGTTTGTTCGAAAAATTTATTAAATCTATTTACAGATATAATTTTACGACTGGCGTGTATCCTTTCGAGGGGGATAATATTTATAAATTATATGAGAATATAGGAAAGGGTGTTTATACAATTCCTGATGAGATTGATGATTGTTTAAAATCACTCTTGGCGGGAATGCTGGAGAAAGATGTAGACAAAAGATTTTCCCTGCAGGAAATACGAAGACATCCTTGGATAATAAGTAGACCACAAAAAACATTAGAAGAAGTGCCAATACCACCTCTTCGAGGTGACGAATGGCACACAATGACTGCACTGCCGTACCTGATGGAACATCACTATGGAACTGATAACAATTCTACATATTTTACCGAACACCAGCTCAATGGTAAGTAATTTTCTTAACAAACCAATTTCCAAATTTATATCCGCTTATTTCTTTTTTAAATTATTTTCGGTCTAATTTTATTTTCTAAACAAAGGAAATCAATATTTAAAATACCAAAAATTGTTTTAAAGATTAAATTATTAATATTCAAGAAGTTAATAGTCATACGGTCACTGTATCCAGATGTCTCGTTAATATTGGTGAGTTTGACACTTGTCATTTTGAATTTTCCTGGAACGTGATTGATATACTAATGAAAATTATTTCAAGAAATTTTTTTGGGGGAGAAAAAAGTTGCCTCTAATCCGAAAAAAACTAACAATTTTTTCTCGAAAGGAAATCATAAATCGATTATGTTTTTCAGATAGAAAAAGAAAATCTGAACGTTCTTTATCAAACACTCTGCTTGTGTTTTTATCAAAAACTTGCATCATATTGTAAAAAAAAGAGAAATGGATCATCATCTCTTTTTGGGTACTTTTCTTTTGTGCTGTGTGAAATTGCCTTGCTTTTTGCTAATTGAATTTTTTCTTCTCTTTAATTTCCCAATTCTCGAATATGCAAAGAAAATCTTAATTTTAACAAAACTTACACTATTTTTTCAGAAAATGAATATTACGAAAACTAATATGTCAACAAAACCCTTTTTGCCGTTTTGGATGAAATTTCTAATAACGAGTAGTGAAAAATTAAAAATTTCGACTAGTTTTTAAACATTTGAAATTCAAGTAAAGAATTAAAATTGAATAAACGAAAAAAAAAATTTTAAATGAAATAAAATATTTTGAATTTTTAGAGGAACGAAGACTTCAGGAATTGGAGGATGTGAGTGGCGATATTAGAAGTACTTCAAACAGTCACAGTGGCAAGGCAAATAATCATCAAAATAAGCGACGATGGCGCAAAACGATATCGTGTATAAACGTAAGAAAATTCCCATCATGTAAGACATCGTGATTTAACTTCTATTTTAGTTTATTTGTCACTTACGCGTTAATTTCATTTGACTATGCTAGTCAATTTTTTCCTTTACTGGCACTTGGCAGTACTATGAATTGTCAAATGACATTTCGAGATAAATAGAAAGAGAGAGAGAGAGAGAGAGAGAGAGAGAGAGAGAGAGAAAAAAAAAATATAAACATTTGTGATATTAATATAAAGTAGTTAAATATGACACTGTCTTTCATGTGCCATGATAAAGAAAAAAAAATATTATTGATTATAATGACGCCTCTTGTTACACTAATTTATAGAGAATTCGTTTTTTATATAATATACGCTTGAATAATTCTTCGAGAGAAGATCAATAATTCATTTTTCCAGTCGATTTGACGCAAAAAAAATTCATTTGCTTCTTTTATCGACTTTTTTTTATAATATTGTTCCTCACTTTTCTTTCTTTGTTTATTTTCATCTGTATAACAGATTGTTTATTTTATGAAAATTTTAACAACGAAGAAACATCTGGGATAATAATGTTAAACTCTCGAAATAATTAAATTCGGAAAAAAATGCATTAATATGAAAACAAAATAAGATATATACCGAAAATTTTTAAGAATTAAAATAGATTTGACAATGTACAGCACTTTATTCATTTAGCAGTATTAAGAAGAAAGGAAGTGTTTCTGTAAACAACTGCCTTTTAGAAATTGCGAGCCCTTCTGCAAATTCTATTATTTTAATTTCACAAAAAATATCATTTTTCGAATATTTTTATTATTTTCAAAAAATCAATTTGATTTTTCTTTTATTAAAGTTGACTAATTTTATGTAACTTGCAATTTTTTATTAAGTTCAATTTTAATTCATTTTATAAAATTTATAAAATTTACAAAATAATTTCTATTAAACTTCTTGTTTAAATTTTTGAATGAAATTATAAAAAAATCGTCTGCTGAAAAAATAGAGTTTTTGCGAAAATTGTCTCCAATTCTCGACTAACTCTTTTTGATCTACTTATTTTCATCATCATCTTTAAAAATTGAAAAAAAAAACTGCCGTTTTTGTTCTACTTATAGAAAATTCATTACTTCAAATCTTTTTTATAGTCATTTTACATTATTGTTAACACATGACTGTGCCATGTAACTTAAAAAGAACATTAATAAAATTATTGTTCTTCTTCACTAATAGAAGTAGAAGAAAAGAAAATAGAAAAAATTATCTCAATGTTTAAAAAGAATCATTAGAAAAAAAAAGTTGATCATTATTTGTAAAGCTGTGTGTTATTTAATATAAAACAAGAAAAAAAAATTGTAATTTGAATTAATTATTGAAATAATCAACTATAGGTAAACGTTGAAATGTGTTTATTAATTCAGAGAGATTTACAAGAAAAAAAATTGTTTTTCCCTGTGTGTTCAAATTTTTTCTATTACAAATATGCACAAATTATGTATTTAAAAATGTATAACGTATTTTTTCTAATTATTGAATTTATCGCTTTCAAAAAAAATCCATGTAGCTAAAAAATACCATTGTATCTTGCGGGATGAAATATTATCAGTATTATGAAAATAACTGAACTCTACACAGTTAAATTTTATGAAAAGATAAATTTTTAATTTGTAATTGAGCGGAAATTTTTTTGTCAAAATTTGTTAATGCTTTTGTTCTCTTCGTCTCAAAGAAATTAAAAGAAACAATAGAAAAAATTGTATAAATTGTGAATATTGATATGTAAAATAAGAACAATATTTTTACTTTATTGAATATGTGAAACACTGGAGAGCATTAAAATATATCAAATTCTTTTTTTAAAAAATAAATTGCATTCAAATTATTTTTAAACATTTCTCCTTTAGCGGACCTTATGTAAATTAAAAGCGACTTTTTATTCATATGTTTATTTTAATTCGTAATTTTTAATTTAAAAAATTGTGTTTAATTAAAGAATTTAGGAGAATTTGAAAAATAATTATACCATGCCTAGAGTTTTGAGGATAAATTTAATTGTTTAAGAGATGTGATAAAGAAGAAAGTAGAGAAAAAGAATAGCTCATGCAATTTATGTGTTATACATTTATTTGTAACACTGAGACGTTAACATTTAAATACATTCGGAAACATACATTTTTAATAATATTGATTTTCCTTTTTCATTTTTGAATTAATTTTTTTTTTTTTTTTCATGCTGTTTTTTGTTTGTATTTGCGAATCGCATTTTTTTTCGAGGAGAAAAGAAAGAAGAACGTGTGTTAAAGCAATCGTACAAACAACAAAAAATATTCATGCTAACTATATGATAGATTTTTCATCCACTTATCTTGCGACAGTTCTTGCCTCAGTCTGCAAAATAGGCATAATAAAAAAAATGTACTATTCTGATTTTTAATTCAAAAATAGTAAATTTTTTTGCAAGAGTAGTCAATGCAGGTATTGCGAAGACAATATATCGTCGATTACAATTTGTGGAATTTTAATTTTATAAAGCATATTTACAAAAGTATTTATAACAATTGGAATGAATTTATAATACCACAATGTACAATTAATTTTTTTTCACAATAAAAATAAAATAATAGAATTTCACATTTTGGAATAAATTAAATTCTATTTAAAAGAAAAAATAATCTTCACTTAAAATGCAATTCGAAATTAAATAATAATTTACATTATTAAGTAACTAAGTGGTTACAGATTAATTAACACTGGAAGAGGAAGAGTCTTCAGATTCAAATGAATCTAACACTAGTATTAATTAATTTACAATTATTATATTAAAATTTACTACCACAAATAAAATACTTATCACTTAAAATGATGCATTTGAGCCGGAAGACCCTATTTAATAAATTATTCAGTTTCGTTAAACTTTAGGAGCTAATCTTTTCCTTTTTAATTTTTGAATACTAAACATTTCTACCAAATATTATTAAATTGCGAAGAATGGCCTGCCATTTTTCTTCGATGAAAAAAATTTTTTTTTCCTTTTTTTCTGCAAATTAAGATATTTCACCTGCTTTTTTCCGTCAAAATTATTATACGAATTTTTTATCATATGAATATGAATACTTTTTCAATTGTAAAAACAGTATTTGAAAATTATTTTACAAATCTTTTAAAGTTTTTAATTTTCTCGTCAGAAAATTGCAGATGATTTATCTTAAAATAAAATACATATATTATTATTTTTTTTTAAAGAGAACAAAGTCTATTGAAGTGCAATATGTCTATAACAATATTTGAGATTATTATTCACGAAGCTTATACATTTCTTTTTTTAAAAGCATTGAATGTACATGATATTATTTTTTTATAATAATTAACACTGTACATATGTATTTATAATCAGTACGAGCAGCAAAAGTCATAAAAATCTAGCATTCTGTCGATTAATAAAAAAAAAAAATTCTTTCACTAAAATCTTTAAATTTAATAAAAAATAATAAAACAATAATTTACAATTCATAGTAAAGAAATGATGTATATACAGAAATTTTAATCTATAAAGTAACTTAAAACCTAAAAAATTGTTATTTTAAATAAATTAATGCATTTCGATTATGGAAATACTGTGGAATAATAAATAATAAATTAATAAAACATGACACTTCTCGAAAAATTTTAACTAGAATTTAAATTAATTTCTTTTTGGTAAAATATTAAAATATTGAAATTTAGATTATTTCAATTAGAGACTGTAATATTTTTTTAATACACTATGACAAGGTCAAAAAATATACTTAAAGAAAATCGACTTTTTTTTTAACCGGCCTCATGTCAGTGAGATTCCGTCATTTAAAGATGATTTAAAACTACAATCAGCTTAAATTTGTACATTTTGAATCCCTAGTAAATTAATTTGTCTAAAGAAACAAAATGTTCGTTGACGCTCACAAATTTCGTCAAATTCACTATCGGTATTTTTTCCTTGAAAATTGACTATTATTTTGTCATTTATTTTCCGTACCAATAATGATTTTGCGAATATATTATTATCTCAAAGAGCACTATACCTACGTGCTTGGCAAGTGCACTGCTAAAAACTTTTTAGTACCGTAGTTACCGAACAGTGGTCGTTTTTTTATTTATTTTTGGTACGAATAAAGTTGGTACGAAAATATTTTTTTTATTAAATTTTTCCAAAAAATAGAAAAGAAAAAAAGAATTTTCTCCTTAATAGAATTTAAAGAATTGTGAAGAATTAAAGAAAAGAAGAAATAATAAAAATAATTTTAAAAAATTCGTCTAATCACGTTTTTTTTTGGAAAAAACACTCCTCTACCTCACTTCATTCGTACTTTTCCTTTAAAATTCTGCACATCTGCAGAAAATTATCTCTATCCACCTTTTATAGAGGTCGATGTTCATTTACAGAAATACCTACACAAGTGGCACTTTTTTTTGTCCTTCTTTCAAAATTTTATAAAAAGAAACAATTTTAATTTTTTGAAATTAATATTAAACTTTTGCAGATATGATTTTTTCAAATTGTGTAATTCTAATTTCATACTTGTGATCATAAGAAGGCATTGTACTTTTCTTACTTATTATTAAGTATATAATGATTTTTTTATAGTAACTAGAATATTGACTATGAATTAATTGCAGCGAAAATAGGAAAGAAAATTTTTTTTTCACCCAGTGTGATGTTACTCCAAATGTCCCTCTTCTTCCAATTCGAGAAGGAATTTTGAAACTCGATAATTTGGTTCCACTTGTCTGGCCATGTCAATTATGCCCAATAATTTCTTGATACCGACAAAAACACTGAAACATGGGAATTTATTATTAAAATTCTAAAAATGCATATAATTTATTATAATTCAAGTGTAATTAATTTAAATATATTTTATAGATACATTAATATTTTAGTTTAGTCATAGCGATGAATGTATAAATTGTAATTTGTTTAAGATTTATTATTACCGTTTGCCGTGTAATTTCTTTTGAAGCGAATGCATTTCCTGCTTCGAGAATAAGTCGACTTCTTCGAGAACTGCAAGAAGATGGTCTGGAGTCGACAAATTTGGAACGTGAAGAATTTTCCTGAAAGCTGACAGCATTTCCATATCGTTCAAGACTTGTCTGAAAATAACAATTTTTCAATTCTTAATAATAGAGAACATCAAAATTCTAATAAGAATATCTAATTTATTTTCTAGGCAAGTTACTCAAATTTCTGGTGTAAAAATAAGTTAATTTATCGTAACTACGAAAAGAAATTACCTTCGACTAGTGGTGCAAAGAATCAGTAGTTTCCGACCTCGAGGAGGATTTGCCTTTAACAAAACTAATAAAGCTTGGAGAGTAATATTAGAGTATCGCGGACCAATTGCACCATAATCCAATAAACGTTCGATGTTGTCGACCAAAATACAACTGAGCTGTGAGCGATAAGCATCGTCGAATATCTACAAAATTTAATAACAACAATAGTAAAAAAAATTACATTCTTTATCTTCCAAAAAAATTAAATTAAAAATACCTTTCGTATTTGCAGGCATTTGGCAGTTTCGGTAAATCCAACCATTTCCTGGGGTTGACAAACTTTGATAAAGGGAAAATCGGAATTCTTTGCAATTTGAGCAGCGAGAGAAGTTTTTCCACTGTTTGGCGGTCCTTCCAAGAGAATAGAAACAAGACCTGAATCTTCCGAGTTCTTTGTCTCTTGAACAAATAAATTTCCATCTGCCAGAATATCGGAAACTGGTCTTCCCCAATTTATTATTCCCCTGAGTAAAAGTGATTCCAGCATTTCTGCATTTGTACCGAAAGCCTAAAAATTAAATTAAATTAAAGGTAAATTAATTTATTTTACTCTTAAATTAAATAATTCTTAAAAATAAAATCTTACAGGTTTAACATCAGTTTCCAGAGCGTGAAGAAAATCTGTCCTGTTGACGCAAAATTTCTCCATTGCCGATGGATCAACTTCAACTTTACTGGCTGCTTTAATCAACCTATTCATGGCAGTACTTTGAGCTGCTCTGACCAAACCTTCCAATTCTGCACCACTGAAATTCTTCGTCATTCCAGCAAGTTCATTGAGATCAACATCGCTGGAAATTTTTTTATAATCCCTCATTTTGCTGGTATGAATATTTAAAATCTGATGTCTACCATGTTCATCAGGTAAACTAATTTCCATTTGTACCTAAAACAACGAATTTTTGAAATCCCTTTTCGTAAACAATAAATCTTTTGTGAAAGAAATTTTTTTTTTCGAATTTCTTTTCAGAAAAATTAATTCACCTCCAGTCTTCCAGGTCGGAGTAGAGCCTCGTCAATCATGTCCCGTCGATTTGTCATTCCAATAACGAGAATATTATTTAATTGATCGACACCGTCAATTTTTGAAAGTAGCTGATTCACGACTGTATCGTGAACGCCGGTATTGCCAGCGACACTTCCTCTCGCTTTGCAAATAGCGTCAATTTCATCGAATATAATAATGTGTAGTCCACTATTTGGACCTAGCTGAAAATCAAATTTCGAATATAGAAATTTTGTACTTATTTTCTTTTTTTTATTTAATTTTATTTACCCTTTTCTCTTCCTCCTCAGCGTCGGCGAATAATCGACGAACATTCGCTTCACTCTCACCTACGTACTTGTCCAAAATTTGCGGACCATTGACAATCTTTGGCTCCCTTGCGTTCAGCATATTACCAATTTGTCGTGCCATTAGAGTTTTTCCGGTTCCCGGTGGTCCGTAAAGTAAAATTCCCTTCACGTGTTTACAACCAAGTTGCGTGACAACTTCAGGTGGAAATACACGCGAGGCAAATGCTCTTCGAAAGATTGCACTCACTTCCTTATCGAGACCGCCAATGCCCATTTTTTGGAAATCCCAATCGGGATTTATAATCGATTGCCTCACCATTGTGCCCTTTGCCTTGCCAGTTAAATTAAGACTAGAATTGTCGGCTTTCTCAAATTGTATCACAGTATCGCCTAAACATCGACCCATTCTTGTTTTCTTTGGTTTTGTCTCCTGTCCCGAGCTTATCGCCTGTAAATCAGCTGCCGCTAAACTCTTAACAACAAGACCCAACATTTTCTTATCTAAAAATTGGAAAGCCAATTGTTGTCCAACGGTGAATGCTTGTCCGGAAAATTGAAAGAGAAATTCCTTGGCCATTTGCTCGGTGTCATATGGCTCGAGGGTTGTTCTGAAATTATCGATTAACTTTTATGAAGAAAAATAATCTAATCCTTGAAGGGATGAAAGAAAGGGGATTTAAAAAAAAACAGTTACGAATCAATAATTCTTTTCCTAGGGAGAAAATTATTAAGGGGAGAATCTTACGTTTTTTTCTGAAGAAAATCGGCCTCAAGAACAATTGTACAAAGACATTCTGAGCTTGAAGTCGGATCAAAATAATGAGGTCGTACTTCGATTTCTTGATTTAAAGACAATGTGGCCCATTTTCGCTGTGGTAAACTGAAGCCAACATTTCCACGTGGCATTCCCTCGTATGACTTGACAGTGAAAACGAAATGTTGATTCGGTCCAGTTGTCACCTCAATATGTCTAAAAATAGTACAGAAGAAAATCATTATTTCAATTCTATGAAATAATTCACCGACTTGAATAAATTAACAAACTACCACGAGTTATCGATTTCTGCTTTGTCCTATATTGAGAACTTTCTCTACAGCATCAATTTCAAATTAAATTAATAACTGTAACGATAAAACTTAAGTACTAGTAAAAAATTATCGAAAAATCATCATAAACAATTCAATATGTATATAAAAAATATATAAGGAATTTTCAGAAATACAAAATTTTTCCTTAAAAATACAAAATTATTTTTAATATGACAGAAAAAACTTCAATTTTCAATAATACCTGAAATAAAGTGTCAACATAAAAAAGAAACAAAGGAATAATTTCATTTCTTTGATTGTTTGTCATAATATTAAAGATTCATGAACCTGTTGCTGTAAATTAAAAGCAGAAAATAAATACAAATAATGTACGAACTTGACATCGTCCGGAAAGTCGGAGCGATTAATGACAGCACAATTGGAGAGGGTGAGCTCGTCCGTTGGGCACTTGTTGGCCCTCATTCTCTGTAATTAAAAGTACAGATTTTAAGATAAATATTTCAGTGAAAAAGTAGATCGATCGATAGTTTATTAACGATTACAGTGTGAAAAAGATATAGGCTAAGTTTTCTCAACAGAAAAGTATTGATGTATGCCACTATCAGTGGTGGGGAGAGGGGGCAATAATGATTCGAACACATCAATAAAAAATTAGCAGAGAATAACGCAAGATCGTGCAATATTTATACAAAAATATGATAAGTGTGTGAAAGATTCCAACTATTTTATTTAATAACTTACATATCCTGACATGTTTACGACACAATTTTTAATAATACAGGCCCCTGTACGTTATGGAACCTGCAATGCAGGAGAACCTGTCAAACTGAGAAAAATGTGTCTTCTGCGCAACGCGTACTCCAGTTCCGGTTCTTGTCTCGAATCTCGAATTTTCGATGTATCGAAAAGGCTCCGCCCCTTGTTTTTTGAAGTCAGCTGGTGGTGTGGTGTGTGTTGAAAGTGAATATAAAGAGAAAGTGTCAAAATGTGTATTTTATGAAACTAAAATTACTGGTTAATTATTTTTAACATTCTTCCACATTTTTAATAGACGCAATGAAATTTATAATGTGTAATTTATATTTGTAAATGGCAAACAAATTATGTCTTATTTCAAACAAAAGATTCACCTACTTTACTCAAAGGGGACAAAAAAATGCTTATCTACAATCCGTTAACTATCTTTATGAATAAAAAGAGGATGTAAATTGACTGTTTTTTACACTCAAGTAAATTAAATGACACTTTCAAGGAGCACAACGAGCAGAGGCATTGATTCTCGAACATATTACACTCTCAAGGCTCTCAAGAATAATTTTTAGGTTATGTTTTGAGAACAATGATGATTTTTAAATTTTCTATTGATAAGAACCTATTTCGTAAATTAATACTTTAGTAAAAGAAAAACGAATCATTACAAGAAATTCAGGAAATATAGTCAATATGAAAGTCAATCATTTGGAGGAGACACACAATAATCATGAGTTGAAAAATTTATTAGGAAACAAATCCAACAACTCTGGTAAGGTATTTTTTATTTTAAAAACATTTAAAATAATAGGCAATTTATTTATAAATAGTTTCTAGGTTAGAATTTAATTACAATTTTCGAATTTTAGAGAATCTTTCTTTGTTTCTTTATTTCTTCTATTTTTGCAATAACTTAAAGTGCTTGTATTGTATTTTCACTGAGTTTCATGGAATAACGTTTAAAATCAATTGAATCATCTTTTTGTATTTTTATTCTATCCACTTATATCCAATTGTCATCAATTCGATTCAATCTATTGCGGCAATAATTATTGCTGAATAAGAATTATTATTATCATCTTCCTGTTTATTTCTTATAAACAAGGTCAATATTTCATTTTATCTCCAGATGGATAGCATTCATAATTTGCAATGTCTTTATTTTTTCAGGTGCCTGTACTGAAACACTGTTACAAAATAAGAAGTGAGTTTTCTTTTATTTGATATAAACTGAAAAAAATGGTTCCAAGAGAAAGTTGGCCTTTCTTCAAGATGAAATTTATTACTGTAATTTTCGTAAATTCTTCTTTAAATTAGCAAACCCAGTTTTCCGAATTAGTTTTTCAAAATTTTTTTTTCATTGGCCATTTATTGGTAATTAATTACGATGAGGAAAAACTAGTTTCGAAAAAATATTCCGAATATCGAATCGAAAGATTAATCAAAACCGGTTGTGAGTGACTAACATTTAATGCAAAGTAAAAATTGTTTCCGCAAAAATAGTTAAAGTGTAAACAGTCATTAGTTTGATACTATTGCGTAAAATATTTGGATAAATAAATTTTTCAAGAAAAAGAATTTTTTGGAAAATTAAAGATAGAAAAAATGTATTTTTTTTATCTTTAATTTTCCAAAAAATTCTTTTTCTTGAAAAATTTATTTTGAGGGAAAAAATTATTTTTTACACATCTTCTTTTTGAGTAAATTTCTTAATATATTTCAATTTAGTGAACATCATTTCCTGGATAATGATAATTTAAATTACATTCCCGTTCTAATCACATTAATTAACGATCATTGACTTGTATACTTGATAAAGAAAAAAAAATTGACTGACTGACAATCATATCGCTTCAGTCGTGAGTTGTCTTTTGATGAAAACGAAACCTTCAATGCCATCGAAGTAGTGTCGTGTAACTGGTGAATGTTTTTCTTTCGCAAAACGAGTCATGATTCCAGTCGCTGCTGTTTCAATCACAAGGGGGTCCAAATTCAAACTGGAGCACGCGCGCCTTTCTCTTCGTCCTGTGTACTTGCTGTATGTATGAAACGTACATTGCAAGACATGAATTATCCGCGCTTAATAAGTTTCCTGCTCTAGTCGTGAATAGATCGTTTCGTTCTCACAAATGAAATTCATTACGCGATTAATAAAGATGTAAAAAGTAAATGTATTTTTATGTTCTCTTCGCGTTAAATAGAAAAATAATCAAATTGCGTGAGTGCGATATTTCTGGATTAATCAAATCTCAAGTTTATGATAATAAATTAGAATATAAATAAAATAATTGAATTTATTTTAACTTTCTTCTTTTTTTCCTTCTTCATTCATATGAAGAAATATTAACTAATTGCAGGAAATTCGAGAAATTCCTTCTCAAAAGAAAACCCTACTTTTTAACTCTATTTCCGCAAAAAAGTGAATTTTGAAAAATTTCTATCTCTTTTGAAATTATAAGTTTGCAAATATGATAAATAGGTGTGAATTGTTTTATTTAATTATCTTCTTTGAAAAATCGTTCGTGAGGAAATTCCTTCATAGAATTTGATTCTTGTTTTTACTCTCCAAAAAAAATAAAAAAATGGTCAAAATAAGCAATCCGTTAGTTCATCAAGTGAAATTAGTTTATCGTAACTTATCTAATTTCACTCTCTCCAAAGAAACACAACTTTCCTCTTTACATATTTCTGGATATTATTCTGATCTTGCGGAAGGAACGAGACTTCTAGGGTTAGTAAATCACTCTTAAAAACTAACTGGAAAACATTTTTTTTAAAGAACTTTTTAAAGAATTATTACTAAAAATTAGTTTATTAACTTTGATCGTGTAGTTTACGTTAATCGGGTACCTTTATTTTTATTTTTTGCCTCATATATTATTGCAAGCTAAAGTTGTCATTAAATTACCACTTGCCAACATGAATAATTATCGATAACAATAGAGTTCGTTATAATTTTACGTATTTTCAAAATTTATGTATCTCTATAAAATTTTAACTTAACGGTAAAGGATATTTTTCACATGAGTGAATATATAATTAATATTTATGGACTGCGTTCCAAAGATATATAATTTCTTAAAATCTTGTGCGTATTTATTAATATTTGAATAGCCAGTAATTAGAAAATTTTTATTATACGTGTGTTTATTTTCTAAACATTTTTTTTTTTTAAATTACTTTCAATAATTATCAACATTACTTTCAATAATGATTTCGCTAAATCTCTAATTATTGGAAAAATTATATTTAATTTATTCAGTTTATGAATTTCTGAAAATGAATGATCTTTTATATAAAAATAAAGTTAATTATTGTTTTATCTTTTTTTGTTTGGATAATTAAATTATTTATCACATAATTTAATGATTTACGAGTAAATAATAATTGTCGATAAATAAAAATTGTGATAAAATTTTGAAAAATTGATGACGAGAGTATTTTTTTGTATTGTTTTAAAGGAAATTGACAAATTAATAATACGGATGTTAGAATAAAAAATTGTTGATGCAATGAATAGATGAGTTTATAAATCGAATGTTGCTTTGTTTGAAATTGTAATCAGATTTCATGAATCAAAAGTGTCAGTGAAATTGGATGCATTTGTTTAATTGACAATTGAGTCTATATTTCATAAACTTGAGGAAATGTTTTCAATAATTGTGTTAACGATTATTTATTTCTCTCTCACGTGTTTGTTTTGAGCCGATGCGTTTGCACGGATTAAGGGTTGTCGTGGCGAGTGATCGCGATTCGTTATGTAAGCAAGAGAAATCTAAATTATATGTAACTATTTATGAAAGAATCGGCAGTTTAAGTTTCATAAATTTATTATTTTATTAATTCTTTAACAATTGCTTTTGAAAATAATCTATTGGTCCTGAATTGACAGGCGTTTCGTTTTATTATACTGAACGCAATTCTAGTCCACATATTTAAAATTCCTTGCCACCACTCAAAGGAATTTATTAATTCCTTCGTCCTTCGTAGAAGATTTTATTAAAACGCTTTAATTTATTATTCCCATTCTTAGGAATTATTTATATTATTGCATTATTACTATTTTTTATTTTTATTAAATTCTTTTTTATTTTCTATTCTTATTAAAATGTTTAATTATTTTTGTTCTTAAATTGAGTAATCCTTTTAGTTTCCAAGTTTTTTCAAATTATAAATTAAAATACGAAAATACTAATAGTTAAAATTACGAATTATATTTTTTTACTAGAAAATAGTAAATTGAAAAATTTCAAACTAATTTTTTTTTAAAAATTGACGACAATTAAATTTAATTGTAAGTTCAATAACGTGTTAAACGATTTTTTTCCTGGCCTTGAATTTTCTCGGTTTTTATTTGAAAATAAAACTCAAATGGCAAAAAAGGGAAAAATTCAAAAGAAGACATAGTTTTCATTATATGGTGCCCTCAATTTTTTCCCCTTTAGTTTTCTATTTACTGCCGTTCACGCAATGTTACATAAATTTCATTAGCAATTACTTTTTTTTTTTAGAAAAAAACTTTGAAATACTTTGTGAAATATTCCTCGAACTTTATCAATATATTGTCTGCTTTTTTTCACCTATTTGCCACTGAAATCGATTTATATTTCTATTTTTAAATAATATTTTCTCTTCATAAGTGAAAAAATTGTTTTCGATTGTAAATAATATTTTTGTGATAAAAAAAATGTTATTTTATTTGTTTTCAAGTGGATGAAATTGGACAGATAATGTTTTTTCCTAGAGTAAAAAGTTACTTGTACAACAATTTTTATCGATTCACTGATTTTGATAAAAACACTGTCAATTTTATTAAAAAAGAAAAAATAAAGAAAATTGTATTTTCGAATTAATTTTCTTTTTCTTAAACTAATTGATTTGATGGAAAACTGATCACTGATCTGGGAAACAAATTATTCGACTACATAACATGAAATATTTTTTTATTCTTGTCTCGTGTACTTATCTCACAAAGTATTTCGTCATTTTATAACTGTGCCGTGAGCAAAGCTCATGTAGAGGGTACGAACTATCTCGGATTTCTTTAAATTATCAGTTGTTCCAGGAAATCTTATTTATCAAGTGATTTTAAAAGTTATTTCCATTTTGTAGGATTTATTCTTTTTTATTTTCTTCTCGTTTTTCTCTTTTTTCTTTCAAGAAATTGTGAATCAAACCTTTTTTTTTTTGTTTCTTACAAAATCAGACTTTCACTAGTTGAAAAAATCTCCTAAATAGTGACTAATCAATGTTCAAAGTGATTTACTATTTGTTTTCGAAAAAACTTTCATTTATCATACAAAGAAACTTTTATCGATTTTGCCTTCTTTTTCTCTTCTTTTACATTCCTTTAACAAAATATAAATTGTTTGAAAAAATTATTATTAATTTTTAATAATTATATTATAATTAATAATTAATAATTATTAATTTAGACAAATAAATAAAAATATTACTGCTTCGTTAACGAATAAAAATATGAGAAAGAATGATAAAGTGCCCCTTTTGAAAAAGGATTTTAATGAAGAAATTATTTCATGGTACGCCGTCGGTTCGTTAATAATATTATAATAAACGCAATTTCCGTGATTTTAGATAAGAAATTTAAACGTTTTTAAAAAATAATGATAAGAAGCATTTGTTATTGTGTGATAATCGAGTTCATTTTGCGGATTATTTCTTCCTTGTTTTAGTTTTCTTTAATAGGAAAAACAAGTTTAGTTTTAGATTTTTAATATTTTTCCACGATAAGAGTAATTTGAATATTTTTGTTTTTTTACAGGGATGAAGGTGAAGATGAAGCCTTTCAAGAGACGGAAGTTCCGGATGAAAAAATATCAAGTAAAATTGCTTCAATAAAAATTGGCATTGAAGGAATGAGTTGTCAGAGTTGTGTAAAAAATATCGAAGGAACAATAGGAAATCGACCCGGTGTTATTACCATAAAAGTTATATTGGAAGATAAAATTGGCCAAGTGACGTACAAAAGTGATGAAATATCCTCTAGAGAATTAATTGACGCTATCAGTGACATGGGTTTTGATGCTTTTTTATCGGGAGACGAAATTTTTAACAATAAGGACTCTAGTCTTAAATCTAATTTAAGTAATTGTAGAATACACATCGATGGAATGACTTGTAAATCATGCGTTAACAATATCACAGGCAAGTAAAATTTATTAGTTTTTATGGTTTTCCAAAAAATATTTTTCAGTTCCTCTTGTTACTTATCATTTTTAAAATTAATTCTCGATGTTTATTCTTACTTTAAATTAATTTTTAGAAATTTTTTCCTTAGAATCTTAGAACAAACAAAAAATAATTAAAGATTTGTTAAATTTCAGGTATGATATCGGAAAAGTCCGGAGTGAAGGAAATTCATGTTAGTCTAGAGGCAAAGGAAGCTAAAGTTTCATTCGACAGTAACGAAATAAGTGCAGATAAAATAGCGAATTACATCGAAGATATGGGTTTCGATACGTACGTGAAAGAAGTTGACGGTCAAGGGGAGAATAAATTAGAAAATGTCGATAAAACTAAGCAAATGGAAAAGTCGATGAAAAAAATAAACGGCGCAGGTGATGTGAAGTCGGAAAAAAGTCTCGCCAAATGCGTCTTGCATGTACAGGTACGTTTTCTCCTAAAATTTCGAAATTGGTAAATTTTACTGCCAGAAATTCATTAAAATAAAATGTATTTTAAATAATAACATTCTATTCTAAAACAATGTCAAATTACAGGGCATGACCTGCGCATCTTGTGTAAATGCAATAGAAAAACACTGCAAAAAATTGTACGGAGTTGACAATATTTTAGTAGCGCTAATGGCAGCGAAAGCAGAGGTAAAATTCGATCCTGAAAAAATAAGTCCAATTGATATTGCCGCAAGTATTTCCGATCTTGGATTTCCGACCGAGGTCAGTGATCCAGGAACTGGAGAGAGTGAAGTCGAAATTTCCGTAAGTCAAAAATTGCCTTTAAAAAATTCAAATTTACGAAATTTAAATATCAATAGGTATAAATTAATAATTTCCATATGAAGAATTAAAGATCATTATTTTAATTTCTATTGTACAGATCACAGGAATGACGTGTGCATCGTGTGTAAATAAAATAGAAACCCACGTGAAAAAACTTCCCGGTATGCAAATGTCGGTCGTTGCACTAGCAACTCAACGAGGAAAATTTAAATACGATTCAGATAAAATTGGAGTGAGAGATATTTTAGAATGCATTAATAAATTAGGATTCAATGCCAATTTATTGAGCAATAAACAAAACGAAAATCGAGGTTATTTGAATCAAAAGTAAGATTTATGTATTTTAACGAATTTATTCTTTTAAACAAAATTACTATTTTTACAAAGAAGAGATACAAAATTGGAAACTATATTTATTTAATGAATCTCTTCTTTTAAAATAAAATCATTTTTGTAGTATATTTATAAAAATATTTTTTTCAGAGAAGAGATACAAAAATGGAAATCGGCATTCTTGATATCGTTGATATTCGGAGTCCCATGTATGATTGCAATGACGTATTTTATGTTGGTCATGTCCGTTGGTCATAAATCTCATGAAGATATGTGTTGCGTAATTCCCGGTGTGTCATTGGAAAATCTCATTTTATTCATATTCTCTACACCCGTACAGGTATTTATAATAAATAAACATTCTATATTAATAATCATTGTATTCCGGTAATCTGTTCGCAGTTTAAAGTGAGCTGTTTGCTATTTTGTTTCCTAACTTATTTTAATAGTTTTTCTTTAATTTAAATGTTTTTAAATGAATATATTGAAAATCATTCAATGTTTGCAAAAATTCCAAAATTTTACGGTAAAAATTAACATCTTGTTAATTGAATTGTTTGATATTGATTGAAAAAGAAATTGTTTGAACAGATAAAGAATTTATTTAAACTATTTGGATTTGAATATCAAATCAAATTTTAATAAAATTCAATAATAAAATGTTTAATTACAACTATTAACAAAGACGATTATTAATATAGATTTTTGTTTTTACAGTTCTTTGGTGGGTGGCATTTTTACGTGCAAGCATATAAAGCTCTCAGACATGGATCCACCAATATGGATGTTCTAATTTCCATGACAACAACAATATCCTACGTTTATTCTGTTTGTGTTCTCTTAGCCGCAATTATATTACAAGAAAGTGTCAGTCCACAAACATTTTTCGATACACCGCCAATGTTACTTGTTTTCATTAGTTTAGGAAGATGGCTCGAACATGTTGCAAAGGTAAAGTTACAAAAAAGTCCACTAATTTTTTTCCCCTTAGTTATTAATTTCTGATCTTAATAATAACAAAAAAATTGTCTTTGATTTTTAATATTAAAATTTATATTCTAATAAATACTTTCTTCTCTAGGGAAAGACGTCGGAAGCACTTTCGAAGCTTCTCTCTCTAAAAGCAACGGACGCAGTTCTCGTCACATTGGGAACGAACAGAGAAATTCTCACTGAACGTGTAATAAGCGCAGATCTGGTGAAACGTGGCGATTTCTTAAAAGTTGTTCAAGGTTCAAAAATACCCGTCGATGGCCGAGTAATATCGGGGCATTCGGCTTGTGATGAGAGTTTAATTACCGGTGAGAGTATGCCAGTGACGAAAAAAATTGGTTCCGTTGTAATTGGAGGATCGATTAATCAAAATGGACCACTTTTGATTGAAGCAACGCACACCGGTGAGCATACAACTTTGGCGCAAATTGTTCGCCTCGTGGAGGAGGCCCAGTCGAGTAAAGCGCCAATTCAACAGTTGGCGGATAAAATTGCTGGATACTTTATTCCACTCGTAATATCCGTTTCATTCATTACACTAGTGGTGTGGATAACAGTTGGTTATATTAATTTTGATGCACTACCCATCACACACAATGAGCAAATAATGAAGACTAATTTGGGTCGATTGGAAATTATTTATCAGTATGCTTTCAAGTGTGCACTGTCCGTTTTGGCGATAGCTTGTCCTTGCGCTTTGGGATTAGCGACACCGACCGCCGTCATGGTGGGCACTGGTGTTGGTGCTTTGAATGGAATTCTAATCAAGGGTTCAGAACCACTCGAAAATGCGCACAAGGTGAAATCAATTGTATTCGACAAAACTGGAACATTAACCAATGGCGTGCCGGCAGTCACGAAAATTTGTTTATTTGTCAACGAGAAAGTTTGTTCGATCGTTAAATTATTGGCGATTGTTGGAACCGCGGAAATTAACAGCGAACATCCAATCGCTTCTGGTAAGTTTTTTTCTTTCTTCTCTATTTTTTCGTCTCATTTTTCCCATGTACAATTTCTTTTTCCCCAGCAATTGTTCGCTATGTGAAGGAAACAATCGGAACTGAAATAAGTGGCAAATGTTCGAATTTCCAAGCAGTCGCTGGTTGTGGACTGAAGTGTAAAGTTTCTTATCTGAACGGAACAATTTCATCAGCATTACGTTCGGAGAAAGTCATTAATTATATGAATCAATCGAGAAATTATAATTCTGGTTCGTTTGATTTGAATTCGGTTCCAATTGATGTTGTCGCTCTGATTAATTCAACTCGGGAGAATCAAAATATTGACTTGGAATTGCTACTGAATCCTGATTCGCAAGGTGATCAGATTGATGTTGATTTATATGAGATATGCATTGGCAATCGGGAGTGGATGAGAAGAAATGGAATTATTATTGAGCAGGAAGTTGATAATAGAATGATTGACGAAGAAAATTTGGGACGTACGGCTGTTTTGGCGGCAATAAATAATAATTTAGTGGCGATGATTAGTGTTGCCGATATGGTGAAACCTGAGGCACATTTGGCCGTTTACACATTGAAGAGAATGGGTTTGGAGGTGATTTTATTGACAGGCGATAATAGAAAGACTGCCGCATCAATTGCCAGACAAGTTGGTATTAGCAAAGTTTTTGCTGAAGTGCTTCCCTCGCATAAAGTGGCGAAAATTCAAAGGCTACAGGAGAAGGGAGTGAGAGTTGCGATGGTTGGCGATGGCGTTAATGATAGTCCAGCACTTGCTCAAGCTGATGTTGGAATTGCGATATCTTCGGGTACTGATGTTGCGGTTGAAGCTGCTGACGTCGTTCTAATGAGGGTAAGATTTTTCCAACACCAATTTACTTTGATTTTCATTTTTTAATAATTTTCGTTCTAAATTTTCTTCCTCCTTTTTTTCGTAGAATGATCTACTGGATGTAGTCGCGTGTTTGGACCTCTCCCGAAAAACGGTGAATCGTATAAGACTGAATTTCCTTTTTGCCAGTGTTTACAATTTATTAGGAATTCCGATTGCCGCTGGAGTCTTCAGTTCATTCGGATTTCTTCTTCAACCTTGGATGGCTTCCGCTGCCATGGCTCTCAGTTCCGTTTCAGTGGTCGGAAGTTCTCTACTCCTTAAATTGTACGTTTAAATCAAAAGTTATTTTTCTATTCAAATTATAAATTCTCCAAAATGTCCAAAATATTGTTTTTGTTTCCTATTTGCGAAATTTTGAAATTATTTTTTCCAGATATCGAAAGCCAAACAAAACAAGTCTAGAGACAGTAGAATATTTAGCAGCGATGAATGCAAATACCGCGGCTAGAACGCTAGACGCTGACGCGATTTCCCTTCATCGAGGATTGGACGATACAGTGTCAATAGCAATGCGGAGATCAACGTCCACGATATCCAGGTATTCCCTGACTAATCTGCCAGAGGCTTTGCCTTCGTTAAATTCTAATTATCAGCCTGTGTAGAGAGCTTTGTAACTAATCTAGATGGTGGCGAGTGTTATTTTTTAATTAATTTTATTTCATTTCTGTTAGTAAATTACAAACTTTTTTATTTTTCACAATAATTAAATTTAATTATTGTAAATTGTATTATTAACAAATTATTATTAGCAATTGGAAATATTCAATTTCTAATTTCTTCTTTATAACACAAATTTTTGTAAGCATATTTTTCTATACATCAATATTTTTGAATATTTATATAATTTTAATTCAGTTTTCATATTTTTTTCTGAAAAACTGATAAGACTGCGTAAGACAAAATTTGTGATAGCTTTTTTTTATTTCTTTTGCAAAAAATATATGTGTATAAAAATGAATCTTTAAGATAAAAATGTACACAACGACCAGATGGATTAATTCCATTAGTGAAAATTTTATTTTTTATTTGACAGAACAATAAAATTTTGTAAATAAATATTTTATCAAAAAAATTCTAAAAAATCTGTCTATAGGCTGTTTTTCTCGAGTACAAAATCTGGATTTTTTTATATAGGAAATGTAAGCAATTGCGTTTTATTATGATTCTACTGGATATTTAGAGGTAAAATTTTAATTTTTTATTATTTCTCTAATTTTGTGTTGTGTGTTTATCAGCAACTGTTATAAAGTATTGTAATGTTAAACTTTTTTATTGAAAAAAAAAAAAATTCTTTGAAATTTGAATGAGAAAAAATTTATATAATATACAGAATACACTATTTAATAGATTAGAAAAAAATGTTAATGAAAAATTTATTTATTTAAGTCTTTAGTTTTCAGGATGAATGTAAAACATAATTATTGAAAAAACTTATTGCTTTATTAACATTGCAAACTTATAGATAATAATAATTACAATTAACATAATAATAGAAGACTAAAATTAAATTTACATACTTTACTAAACGATTCTGAAAATTTAAACAGTAAAAATGTTTCTGCAAACTTTGTTACAGTTTTGATAATGTTGTTAATAGCATGTAAATTAACTTCTGCTTCTTTTTTTTATTTTTGTAACTTTTCCTTTTTTTGTAGTGTACAATATTTATTCGAAGATTTACGAATGGAAAATAATATATATTTTTGTTTTTCTTTGTCTTTTTACAGATTGTTTAATAATCGCGCAAAAGAAGAGATTGAAGGTTGTCTTCTATACAACGATGGAGACGATCTTGTTACAGTCGATTTTTCGAACTGTCAAAAAAAAGAAAAAATCGTCTCGGACATAACTAATCTCTAAAATATATTATATTCTAGTCGTGAGAATTTGTTTATTCAGTTATCAAATGTGCTGGTCGTAGAAACAAAATAAAGAATATTGGTAAGGCTGTCATTTGTAAATAATGAATTCGTCTGGAATGAGTTCTTCGAAAACTAAGACTAAAAAGAAATTCTATTTTGTAAAAAAAAAGAGTAACAGAACTTTCTAATATTTAAGGACTATTAACAATATTTTATAAATTTTTAACTTCCAGTATTTTACGATTAACTAATATAACTATAATATTATTTTACTAATTTGACAATATATTTTTTTTTAATAACTCATTTTCCAGGCAGTACTGATTCAACTTTCTTTAAGATGATTTTAAAAACCTTATAGACTATTTATAATTTCGTATTTTTTTTATAACATCATTTGAACAAAAAAATTAAGCTGTATCTTTGTACTTAATTTTCTTAAAGCGATTAAAGATATATAGATTTAACAAAAATAAATATTTTTAAATTAACTTTTGAACAATAATTACAAGTGAATAGTTTTATATCTACCTACAGTTAAAATAAATTAATCTGTAATCGCTTTTTAATTGTATTTTATTTATGAATATATTATTAGATATAAGTGGACATTACTTATGTGCATTCTTTTTGTCGAATGTGTTTTCTATATAAAAAAACTCTATTTTACAGAAAATAAAATTTTTGAGAATTACAAAATTTACTTCTTCAATTACATATTCTTTATATTTATTTACCGAGATTTCTTATTTACTCAGTAGAAGATTGCATTTTTTTTAAAACAAATATTAATACATTTTTTACAAACATTTTTTAAAAGTGAGCATTCATTATCAAATTGTAATAATTATAAAGTAATTATTAACTGAAATATAAAATAATAAATATGATTAAAATTTACTTTAAAAATTATGCATACATAATATACATGTGTTTTCATGTATTTTTTAATAATAATAATAATAAAAATATAAAATATACATAAAAGTGCTAATTAGTTGAAAAGATATTTTACTAATTTTTTTAAAAATCTACAGTAAAATACTTTACAAAAACTTAGTAAAAAAAAATGTTGTCAACTTTTTTTTAGACATTTGAACATTTAAAATAAAACTTAAATTAACAAATCATTGTAAAACTTTAAAAATTAACAGTAGCTAAAATAGATTTTAAATAAACAACAAATTTTCTGTTGAATATTTACAGTAAAAAAAATAATCTAAAATTCTTTTCTTGCATTTTTCAGAATATTTTCGATTTCTTGAAAATTGTAATAATTGGTAATAACTTTCTATGAATGTTCATACCTTTTTAATTGGATCCAATGACACAAACGTTTGAATCACTTTTATTGATTACACGCAAACTTCCATCCTCATCCACAAGATCTTCCTCCTTTTTTCCCTCATAAAAGTCTTCCTCATCTTCTTCCGTTATGTCGTAGTCGATTGATACTGTCGTTGCTTGTGAATTTGAAAATTCGATTATGGGGCTGAAAATTTTTTCCAAAACTGGTTCCTCTAGTTGCATATCAGAATATTTAATTCTTTTCTCCAAACTTGAGTTCCTCGTCAATAATTCAAATTCAGAGAGATTTGACGATTTTTCACCGAAGAAACAGTCTTTTTTGATGCAATATTTTCCGTCAGGTGAACGTGACAAAGTGATTGGATTTAAAGTTGGCGAATTAATTCCACTGTCAATAGAGATTTCTGCTGTTTTTAATTCACTGCTTTGAAAATTGAAATGATTGTTTGTCGAAGAAATACCAGAATTGAATCTACTTATTCCAGAATCACAAAGAGACATGCTTTTCTGTGTATAAATATTTCCCTCATCTTCAATATCACTTTCCAATAGATTTGTTGGGCAATGTTCTAAATCATTATTTGTACTGTCAACAATTGGGTCTTGATTAACAACCTTGTTGGAAATTTTTAAATTAGGAACACTTATCTTTTGCAGAGAACTATTAGAAGGGAAACGTGAATTTTCGACAATACATTTTTGACAGTTTTTTGTTACTTCTTCACGAAACATTTGATTTTTAAAAACTGGCACCGTATAGAACTTTGTTTGGTTTGAAGGCTTAATTAATTCTTTAACTGGTAAACATTTCTTATTCTCTTTGTTCCTTTCGACCGAATAATTTCCATTTGGTCCCTTTTTTATTAAAAGGGAATCAACTTTTGGCTCTTTTTCATCGTCAATGATGAAACAATCGCTGTCGTCACTATATTGCTCGTTCATTTTTTCTATCTAAAATATAATTATATTTTTAACAAGACTATAATTAAATTTATTCATTTTTTGTTGTCAATTACAATTACTTCACGAATTATTTATATTAATTAAAATGGAAAAAGATTGTTATATTAAATAAACAATTAAATGTAAACTTTTTTGAAGCTAAAAGAAAATTATTTTGTGCGCAAAAACACGTGCACGAAACATTAATGTCAAGCATTTCTTTTATACTGAATATTTGTAAATTGTAGATAAAGTATATTATTTTACAATAGATAGTGTTTATTGTAAAATAAATATAAAGAGGCTTAAATTTCTCAAAAAAGAAAAAAACGACTTCAAGGTTATATTGACAGGAATTTTTCGAAAACGAATTTTCTGAATTAACAAAGTAATTACAAAAATAATGATAGATTTTTACCTGCATATGATTATGGAATTTGTTTTAAAAATTAACAATGAAGCACACTTTTTCAATAATCAGTATAAACAATAATAGAAATAAACAAAACAAATGATCGGTTACACGCACGCTGCTGCTGCAAGCTTTGTTGGAGTTCGATTTTAATTGTAGCAGCCAACTTCACGCTGATGATCGATTAATCGAAGTGATCGATATTTAAATGGCGCTGGCCGCTGAACCTGGGCGTCCCCTAAATTTTTCTTTCTCTTTTACACGAAAAAAGAAACAATTTTAATAGTTTGTTTGAATAGTTTAAAAACTATAAAAGGTAAATATAAAATTAAGATTTTTTGCAGTATTCGTTTAATTAATTAAAATAAAACCCAAAGTTTAGGAAACAAAAAACAAAAATGAATTCAAAATTGAAGGTTATGGTCGTGGGGGAAAAAAACAAGTAGATTTTTTTTTTGATTGAGGTGTCGTGCCCACGACATATATTCCAAATAATATATTAACAGTGTCACGCAATAATAAAGAGTACGAATTTTTATGAATTACAATTGATTTAACTACCCCCATGACACATGATATCACTTATCAATGATAAAAACGGCATAATACATAATACCGTTTGATTTGCTTTTTTAACGAATTCAAGAACGAATTCATATTCAATTTTACACAATTGAATCTATTCTTTCTTTTTTTTTTAAATATTGTGTCTTGAAGCTAAATCCATATAACCATATAGCCTAAAGGCATTTTATTTTTTTGTAAAAAATAGTGTTACATATGCAATTAAAATATCGTAATTCGTAATAATAGTAAAATGGTCATATGTTTATATCGGGAATCGCACAATTTTTTCTTAAGTTTGTTTCATAAAATTTTCAATCATTTTCATACATTCATGCTGTTTTGATATTTTTATCTTATATAATATAATACTACGCTTTTGAAAATAAGAGACAATTTTTCCTTTTTTGCAGTAATGGGTAAAATTATGAAAATTTTATAAAACAAAAATCACTTTTGCAAAATTAATATAATAATTTGCCACTTTAAAAAACACATAAAACTTTGTAAATATTATTAAATTGTTTAAATATATAAAAAACAATTCCTAGAATTTAATATACTATTATTTAAAAAATCTTTATGAAACTTTAAATAAATTAACTGCTTTTAAAAAAGTAACTCAAAAATGTTCCTTAAAATTAATAAAAAAAAAAGATTTTTTTCAATCTTCATATTACAGGAAATTACAATTAATCATAAGGAGATACAATTTATTTTTTAATATTCACAACAGCCTTTGGTTTTTTTTATCATGATGATTTATCCTTTTTACATTTTTTTAAGCATTTTATAAACGTGATATCATTAACAAAACACCAACAAGAACATGCAATAAATAATTAAGAATAATTGTGAATGCTTTATAAATTGTATAAAAATGTTTCTATGTACGCTATATTTAATGCCTTATGAGTTATCTACCCCGAAAAAACAGTTCGATTTGCAAAAACGATACATTAGCGACTGATGAGAAAATATATTATTATAATAAATTTTTCTCGTGACAAATAATAAAATTTCCTCAATAATTCGATGGTCAGTAACGCTTTTTTTCTCTAAAAACATGCTTTTCAACTACTGAGAAAATATTTTTTTTTTTATTTCAATCGTCTAAAATCTAAGAGGAATAAAAAATAAAATAATATAACAAATACTGATGATAATGATAACAATAATAAATGTATTATTTTTATAAAAAGTTGAAAACTTAAATACATTTTTATTATTTCAATTATTCTATAATTCAATCGAAAGCAACAAATAAGAATTGAAAATAAAATTGAGGTGCTTTTGTTAAAATATTATTATAAGAAAAAATATAAATAATAATTCTACTCTAAACTTGAGCTCCTATTTCACACAAGTTTTTTTTTGTTTCTTTTAGCTAAAACATCCACGCACATCAGATACTTTTGCTTTTTTTTAAGTTCGTATGAATTTACAATAGTGTCGCGCTATCACGAAGTTAACACGTGCCAAATGTATATATCAAATTAAAAGATATATTTCAATGAACAACGTCATTCGCATCACAAAATTTCTAAATTGCCCTGAGGAAAAAAGACATCACTCGATGAAAAGAAAAATTTACATTTAAAAATAAATTTAAAAAATAAATTAAAAAAGAAAATTAAAAAATTAATTAATTAAGAAAATTAATTTCTCAAAGAAAATATGAATTTAAAACTTACGAATTGAAATCTCAAAATAATCAAGTTTTTCTATTTTTCAGAATTGGCAAAAAGGTCATCAACGTGTGAACATCTTTTTTCAACGGCAGAAGAAATAAATCAAACAACATCAATTACTAATGAGGTTGTATGACCTTTCTCTTTTTTTTTATGAAAATTAATTCGTCCATACACTTTTTTTTTCTTTTAGAATAAACTCGAATGAAATATTCACTTTTCCATTTCGTCACGAATGATTTTCTTTTTAATGATATAAAATCCTATAGTTTAAAGTGGCCGGTAATTTGTCATTATTTTTATTAATACTTATTCCGTGTAGAATCAGTTTATATATATTTATATCCGCAATTAATAAATAGATAACCATAAGCTTAATATCTAGATTCAATTTTTATGAATTATTACATTACTAATCAGATTCATCTCGAACTATCTACTTAACTTTTTCATTAGCATTCCCATTCTTTTCTTTCTTTTCATCCATTATCTATAATAATCTCGTGGTTTTGTCATTTATTGCAAAGCCCGATTCTTTAATAATTTCATTATTTAAAATAATTGATATAATTTTATTATTTTCCACGTCAAAATCAATCAACGCACTAAATTTTCAGACTGGAATGCAAGATATGCTTAATCTTGAAATTATAAGCAATTTTTGGTCTTACAATTCCTCCGAGAAAAATATTTAAGAATAAATTATTTTTAGAAAGGCGATAATTTACTAGGTAAAATAATAATTAATGATTATAATTGAAAAAAGCTAATTAAAGAAAAAATTGATCAAATATTGCTTATTATTTCGTACATTGATCAAACAGATTCTTGAAAATGACACTTAAAATTAAAATCCAGATCTATAAAAATTTATATAGAATTTGTAAAAATGCAAATTAATAAATTTTTCGATCCGGACGTAATAAATAAATTTAAACATTTTTCATTGTCTAAATTAAATAATTCCTACGTATTTTTTTTAATAGGAACGAGAGACGTCGCCTATAAAATTTAAAGCGAGTCCTTGTGACCTGGAATCTCTTTAAAATGAACTCGGAATAATTTCAATTTTCATTTTCCTCTGACATATTTTAGATGGTTTTAGAAAAAGGAGAATATTTTCTTTAAACATAATTAAGATCGTCATACTTTTTTTCAAAAATATTTTAATAAATTAATTCACTCAGAAAAATATGACAAACTTTTTTGTTTAAATCCAGGTATGGATTTTAATCTACATTTTTTTGTTGCAGGTGGAAAAAATTATATTTCTTCAGGACTGAAAAAAATGCTAAAGAAATTTGCCTGAATTTACCGATCTGAAGTCGAGTAAATAAAACTTAATTAGTAATTATTTTTCATTTCTTTTGTTTTAAATTCATAAAAAATAATACACACAGAAAAAAATATTTGGTTTAATTTTTCTTTGTAGTGAAAAAAAATTCGGTTATTTAATATTTCAGTTAGAAAAAATTGAACAAATCTATCAAAAAAGTAATTTTTTTTTCAGAAACCATCTTTATATAAAATATTCTCGATTCCAGAACACAAATGACACCTCCACGTGATCGTACGATAGTTTTGCTTTTTAATTTTCTTTTTTTTTTTTTTTTTTGTTATAACAACGTTTAAACATTAAATAATGGCGTTACATAATAACATACGTTACAAGTTTACTATGAAGCCGGGCCAATTTTTATTGTGAGATATGTCTGTTTGAGAAAATATATCTTAAGTATACAATGCATACTGTATTATAATATTTAATAGAAACATCTAATTGCTATACTTTTTCTCCGCAATCTTTGACGAGAAGCTTGTATGCATTTTTTTTAACTAATTTTCATTATTAATTTATTTACTTTTTTTCATTTTTATTGTATTGTATTGTAATTTTATTTTTTATCAATCTGCACTACGTCATTTTAAGAATAGTCTTTCTTTCTTTCTTTCTTTTTTTCATTTAAAAAAAACTGCTTTTTCCCTTCGAGTGAAAAAAATAAATCTCTCCGATGTCGAAAAGATTCTTTTTCATTTTGTCCTTTTTTCTGGCTTCCTCTTAGGCAATAATTTCGTGGCCAAAAAAAAATTCCTGGCTTCATAAATGTTATTTTTTTGCCTTCTTTCTATTAAAGCAAGAACACTAATAGATAGAGGTGTTCTTGGAGGAATGGAACAAATTTTGAATTAAGAATTACGTTCTCGTAAATGTACTTTTGTTCTATATTTTTAAATTGAAGTTCATTTTTTTGTGGCAGTTGGTGAGAGTAATAAAAAAGAAAAATTATTCTTGAAATTTGATGAGAAATCGAAGGAATATCGTGTCTTTACTTGGTTTTCTTGGATTTCTTAGTTTTCTCATCAAAGACTTTGAATATTTTGATTCCTAAAAACAGTAGACCGACGATAATATTTAAATTCAATTACCTACTTGGCAGTTACTTAAAGCCAATCACCACGTTCACTTTCGATCCAGACACACTCGAAAAAATGAAGAGTTTTTGGAAACTATTTTCAATTTCACAAAACTGACTTTTTTTTGGAAATTAAAAAAAAACTCCCTTTGTGAACCGGAAGACCTCCTTTACACCATTTCTCACAAATAATCACTGTAAAGTCGTTGAGTGCTGTCCCATAAATTTCTAAAACTGGTTCGAAATTCAAAACGGAGGTTCTCATAGTATCACGCTATATTGCTGCCACTCATTGTTGTTACACACTTTTTTTCCGGTGTATTTTGACTTTCAGAATTACTTCTCACCGCTTTTGGTGGCGTTTCTTCGCTCGTCGGTGTCACATCGTCAGGAAGTGGAATATTATTGTTTGTTGACGTTGAACTTCTTCTTCCATTCTCCCTCGTTGGTGATTTGACATCGAAGACTGATGTTTCTGACTCTAGATCAGAATCAATCTGCAAAGGAAAAATAAATATCACTACTACATTCAGTGGTAATTTAAAATTATGTAATTACTAAGTGCGATGATAATTGTGATTTAGGCATGAGGTTTGTAAATGAATTGTCAAAAGAACTAAACAAAAAATAGCGCTGGTGTTAATGATTTTTTTGTTTTTTTAGATGCAAGTCGATGTCTCTTCGGAATGTCGAACCTGTTGATAATGATTTTTTTCAATGAGGATGAGGATGATGCGCTACCTTGTTGAAACAAACTACCTGTCTGGTAGTAGGATGTGGATTAAGGAACAGTCTTTCGCTTGTGTCGCTTCCACAACTTGAACTCTCGCTCATCTCGGTGGAAAATTTCCTCGATGCCCTTGGACTCGGCGGTGCTGCTCTACTGCTTTGATTTCCCAAATTTAAGCCAATATTTCTCGAACACACCTGCGATTGTATGTGCTCGCAAACTCTTCTAAATCTCCGAATATTGCCTGCAAGTACAACAATTTTAATCCTTTTTTCAACAAAACTATTTTTTTTTGCCAATACTTTCAAAAATTACTATCTTATAAAAAACAAAAGTAAACGTTTAGAATCTTTATAGTCAGTTTTTGACTGAATATTGAATTTTATATACAATAAGTAAATAACTAAAATTATCTTCGATAATCTGATATGAATTTTAATTCATTTTTGAAATGAAGGAAGCAAAGTTTTGTTCAATGACTTTTAATCGATAGAAAGCAATTATTTGAGTATCAGTTTCTAACAGGCGGGGAAATGTAGTTTATGTCTTGTTGGTATGTGATTCTTATCGCGTGAAAGGCAAATAAAGGAAGTGTAATTTTGCGAATCAAAAAATAGGATGTGAGGGAGGAACTTTTTGAATGAACCGAGAGCGAGAGGTAGAAGAGCTTTTCGATATTGCAATATATAATACAATTCGAATAACTCGCGGAAGATAAAAGTTTTGTTAAAATGGTTTGTGCCCAAGGTAACATCGATCTAGTTGCGCTTGGATGGCTGCCAAATACAAAACCGCCCTCTCTCTCTCTCTCTCTCTCTCTCTTTCTCTCCCTGCCTTTTCAGAATTCTAAGACTTAAACAGTCCTTCAAGAAGGCTTTGCACCCATTGTCATAGCTGTGTCATCGATTCTATCAAGCATATAATCACCCATGAAATCGCATTATTTTTTCTAGTGAGAAGAATGTCAATTTATCACTTCACATGCGAAATCGTTCCTATTTTCTTTTTTTTTCCCTGATCTATTTTTCTTCTGGAAAATCTCTTTTCAAAAATCGCTTTCTGAATTTATGACAAAATATCTGAATTATCAAATAATTTCTCTGTCAAAATAATGCGAATGGGATTTGTTTCTAATTACATAGGTTGATTAAAAAATCAGTTTTCCTTAATATTAAAACTGAATTTCTTCTAATTTTTCATTAATAAATCAAATTTTCTAATATTTCGTAAAAGATGGAACTTTTCTTTATTGTTTAATTGAGTTATAGATTTGAAGTGAGGAAACGATTCAACTATTTCTATAGAACTTACCACTCAGGAGAGTAAATGTGATGGCAAATAGAGGTTCACTTGGTTGCTTTGAAATGGCACTAATGTCAACTTGAAATCGTACTTGTCTTTGAAACATTGCTGGTCCCGTACTGCCTCGTTTATATTCCACACTAAAGGACATTGCCGAACTCACACTATGCGATAATTCAGCTATCTGAAAATTAGAATTATCGATTTTTAGATTGAAATTGCAATTATTTATTTCTTTGTATTTACATGTGAACTAGTTTTCTTAGATATATCGCTTCTTTTTGCTTCCTTATGAGAAAAGCATTTTGTATTTGAAATTAAAATTGAAAATAAAATTTTTCAAAGTTTACCGATAAAAAGGCGTGAATTAGGTCAGCTTTGACACTCGCCAAAGGTTTGCCTTTTACTAATACAGTAAATGTTTCGTCCTTCTCGGTTGCCATTAAACTGCCAAACCAGGACTTTTTCGTCAACTCCGGCGAAGAACCGGGCGTTAAATGCACCTGAAAATTTATTCGTAATTTAGAAAAAAAAATTCTTTTAGAATTAGACTTTTTTTCGGAAAATATATGTAAAATAAAAAATAAGTTTAAAATTGGACAGTTTTCATTGATTATACTGTGATTTAAACATTTCTTCGATGGTTATTTATTTAAAAGACAAATTTGACATTTCAGAGTATATTTTTTGTCTGGAATTTTAATAAATAATAAACTTTCTCTGTTTAGAAATGTTGGGGAATAAATTGCTTACCTCTTCGGTGCTCGTGAGCAATTTGCGCCTGTGGAATCTTGGACTCCCTAGGAACGAATTCTTTATTGTTGTTAAGCGTGATCTCCAATGATGCGCTCCCGATCCTGCTCCCGTGTGAGGTGAACCAGGAGGTGTAACACCCACTGAAGAAAAAAATTCGATTTTTAATTCCAAAAAGTATGCACAAATTTAATTTAATTTTAAGTAAACGTTAAAATTTTATATTTTTCAATCAAGTAAAACTAAATTTTTTTATTAAATTGATTGAATATAATATTTGTCGAAAAAATCGAAATCGAAAAATAAGAATCTTGATCGAAATATATTTTTATTTTTTTTTTGAAAGAAAGCGGAAAGAAATATTTACAGATTTTGCGAAAAGAAATAAATCCGAATAATTTAAATTATTCAATATTCTCTAAAGAGCGGAAGTTGATGGAACTTTTACGAGGGGGAAAAACAATGTCCCTTCTAGTTACTTAGCTGCAAGAGGCGGAGGTCATGTAAATTTTTCAAAAACTTCTAAACAAAACGAATGCTAAAATTGTCGGAAAGTAGTTCAAATGCCCGAAGCTAGACTCATATTTTCCCTTCTGCAAACATTTCTAAGTGTTTTGAATCTTTGCGACTAACAAAAAATAACAATTACAGTTTACTGTTATTTTATCATTATCCTTTAGTGGAAACTCGGGTAATGTCTCTAGAAGTAAAATTTTTCCGTCTCGATTTAGAAAAAATGTTAATTCAAAAAATCTACATATTAATTTCGTAAGAACTAGAAATAATAACAGTAAAATCTTTTCTCTTGGCAAATTTATGAAAATTGAAAAAGTAATAGTTTTTAATATTTTGAAAAACGACTCACCAGGTTGAACTTCACTCAACTCAATTCCAACGCTCGCCAAGGGTGGAATGGGATTTGTAATTCCTTGAGTTGAATTGCCATTTCCGCCAGCGGTACCGACAGTTGACAACCTGTGTGGACTTCCGGTTTGACTATGATGTGAGCTTGGAGTCGCACGATGAGGACTCAAAAGACCTGAGAAGTTTGACGTGTGAAGAGGCGAACCACCAGGAGTCGATGCGTGCGAATGCGAAGCGTGAGTATGAGACCCAGTACTTGGTGAACGTCTCGCATGATGCCTTGTGCTGCAATTCAAAACCCTATTAACATTCAAAAATTAAACATTAAATTCTCTGCTACTTTCACTAATTCTGTTAAATTGAAAAAATTGAAAAAATTAATTGAAAAAAACGATCAGAAAAAAATTCTCCAAAGCAAATAAAAAAAGGGATTGCCGTAGTTCAATTACACTTGTGATCTAAACGTAGGGTCAAGAGTTTTTTTTTCTTTAAAGAGAAAGAGAAGGTATGAAAGTACTTGTGTACATTATACACGTGATTTTCAAGCACGCGATGTACATACAGGAATAAGAAAAATGTGACACGCGACGGAAAGCAATTGTCTTTTTTTATACTCGAGAAATAATACACAGCTCTAATAAATTGACGTTTAAAAATTTATTTATCCAATTAAAGGGTGTGGGGAGCAATTTATTCTCACCTCTTATCGATTTAACACTCCTGATTAAAATCAAAGCTAAAGATTTATTAATAAACAAAAACTAAATCTGTACTTTTTATCTTTTTTAATAAATTGAATTGTTGAAAACAAAATAATTGAATTAATAGAGAAAAAGTTGTTTTCTTTTTTTAAAGAAATATTCACCTGGATTGTCTCCTTGGTGTAAGGGGCGAACCGTGGCTTATTTGTCCCAAGTTCAAAGCAGCATTGCCATTTACTCGACAAGTATCAACCCTTTTCCTAGGAGGATCTGCCTCCAATTGTGCCGTTGAAGCTCTCATTCCGCTTCTCATTACTTCCAGTTCATCCTCGCAGGCCGGTCTTCTTCTCTTTCTCTCCAGTAAAAGAAAGTAAATCACCTTTTCTGTATTGTGACTGAAATTAAATATTACAAAATAGAAAAATCAGAAAAAAAAAGTAATGGCAATTTGTGTCAAGTATTAAAAGAATTATTATTTATTTAATAATAAATAAATTTAATAATTTAATTTAATAATGAAATAATAATTCTTTTAATACTAAAATTTATAATTTAAAAAAAATTAAAAGTAATATTAATAATTCAATTTTTTTGTAGAAAATTATTTTATTCGAAAATAATAATTAATACCAAGTACAATTAGAAATTTAATTTCCTAATGAAAAATTCATGTCTCAAAGTAATTACGAGTGGAGTGAGGTAAATCTTATTTTCAATTTATGTCAAACTGCTCAACAGCTTTTCATTTTAATGGCGTAATATTCATTTCCTAACCAAGGAGAATACAAAATTTATTTGAAACTTAATCAATCTGAATTATTAATCGCCTTGAAGGATTGTAATTTTGGTTTTGTAATTAAGTTCAGGATTATTTAACCGAGAGGTTCATTATAAATACATTATTTTGGAAAATTAATAAATTTATTATTTCATAGAAAAGATATTTAAATTTTTATTTTCCACTTTCAAAAGTGGAAGTGATATTAAAAACTTTTCTTTAAAAACAATGAGGACAGGATAATGATTGATAGACATTAATTAAGACAAAAAAGTTGAAATTCTCGAGATACTTTTAATCCTCTATTCTTCATAATAATTAAGGTCATTATAATTTTTCCTCATTTTTTGCGATTTTAACATTTTTTTTTCTAATAAAAGATAAAGATCAAAAGAAGAATAAATTGTCAATTAAGTTAATATTAATTTTTAAGTTTAATAGTTGAATAATTTAAAGAAAGAATGTTTAATATTTATAAAACTGATATTTAATTTTTCTTTCAGGGAATGGCTTTTAGACTTTCGGGCACTAATGGAATACACGTCTGATGAAATGTGGAGGAAATTTGACTTACTTGGGACTAAGAAGCTCTTTGATGAGATTATCCTTTTCCTTAAAGCATCCGAGACTGGCGATAGCCTGCAAAACGTCAGGATCAATGGCGTCCTCGGACGGAATCACGTGTGTTTGCACCACATCCATCATTGAAAGTTCTAATTCCAATTCTCCCTTGCCAGCAGCTGTCACCCATATATGCCTGTTTATCTCCGCTAACTGAAAGCCGGATATTGTTTTGCTCAAAACATTTACAGGTGACAGATTTAATATCTGATATTTTAGATTATAATAGCTTTATATATACAATTAAACGCGAAATCCTATTAAAATCCACATCCATCTAGCATAGGTATTTTCAAATTCTGAAAATTAACTCCTATCAGAAAAAAATTCTGCACTGTTTTTGACAGTTTAATTTTTTTCAAGTTAATAATATTCATAATATAGTAATATAATAACAATAATTATCACGAGTAAGAATATATCCCTTGGAAGATGAAAAAAAAAAATTCAGAATAAAAAGAAGAATTATTATTAATTATATAATATATAATATAATAAACCCTATTTATAATATGCAAACAATTCACGATGAAAAAGTGAAATGGAAAAACACAAAACAAGTTTTAGATTTCTGTATTTTCCTTTAACTTCTTTCCAACTTATGTAAGAAATAAAAATAGAGTTGGTTCTGTTTTAAAGGGAATCTGTTCAAGAGAAGTTTATTTACTTCCTTTCAAGAAGTATTTACTTGTACAATGTGCTTTTATTAAAACACTCCGAAGAACTTTTTGAATATAAATCTTTTTTCTAGAATAAATTCCAAAACAAAAAAAACAAAAATATTAAGGGATAAACAGAATTGATTTTATTAAGAAAAAAAATTATTATTATTCCCTCTATCAAAAAGTTTTGTCAGCAAAACTATTAACAAGTTTTGATTGATAGATTTATAAATGCTTGGAAAATATGTACAAAATTTTTGATAAAAGTAACTTACCGTTAGTCTTTTATCGGGAATAACTTCGATCATTCCCCTAAGTAGATTTTGACAGTCGGGCGGGACAAAGTGTGGTATGTGAAACACCCCTCGTTTGACTTTTTCCAAAAGTTGTCTTAAATTATCGTCGTCGAAAGGTAAAGCGCCGACTAAAAGTGCATAAAGTATCACACCACAAGACCAAACGTCTGCTTTTCTACCGTCGTATTTTTCCCCCTGAAATAAATTTTTCATAAAAGAAGAAAAGAATTATTTAATTTTGTCGTGTTGGGTTTTTTTTCAAATTACAATTAATTGTTAAAATTAGAATTCATTTTCTATATTAAAATATTGATTTTTTGTTTATAGGAGAAAAATTGTCAACACGAATTTCTCGAGGAGAAGGAGTTTCCGTATCATTCCCTGAAGATGTGATTTAACCAACACCCTCGTAGGAAATAATTTCCTGACAAGAAATTTCATTAGTCGCCTTCAACTAGAGATGGAAGGCAAGGCGTGTACAAAATTCAAGTGTTGTACACACTCTTGCACAGGGAAATTTTCAGTCAACCCGGGTGCTATTGAACTTAATTTGATTTGTTTTTCGGATCACTTGGCTGCTGTGACAACCTTGACCTAATCATCAACGCAGCGGATAATCATTTTTTCCTAAGGTATCAAGATTCAATTTCATTTTTACCTTGAATTTTTTTAAATTGATTTTTGCCTTCAGTGAAATATTTTCTTTTTACTTCCTTTACTTACAAACGAGATGATTTTTTGCCTTCGGAAGTATAAAATAATTTTTTTCATTTATTTTCTGAAATAAATAAAAATGAATAGAAATAAACAGAAATAAATAGAAATAAATAAAAATAAATAAAAATGAACAGAAATAAATAGAAATAAATATATAATAATTGAGTATTCCGCGACTTCAAAAGGAGTAAAATTTGTTTTAATTAATTTGTTTTATTAAAAATAAATAGAATTTTGTTTCGGAATATTAGAGAAAAATTGTAACATACTCGGATGACTTCGGGGCAGGCGTAATGAGGAGAACCACAGCTTGTTTCTAACATTGAGCCAGCGGGTTGTAACGATGCCATTCCAAAATCAGCTATTTTTATATTATTCTTCTCATCCAATAACAAATTTTCAGGTTTCAAATCTCTATGACTGAAACAAATTGAATTAAAAATATTTCACTAGAACAGAAAAATTCTTTTTATTTTAATTTGAATTTCAATTATGAAAATTCTTTTCGTTCTTTTACGAAAAGAATTCTTTCTTTTCTTCTTGCTTTAATAAAGTATGACTTTAATAAAGTAAGACTAATAAATTAAATTTACATATTTTAGTTTTTAATTTCAAATTTCGATAATTTTACGTCACTGATAAGAATTGAATTAAATTGTAAAATTTCACATTATTAGACTAAACATAAATATATTACACTGACAACAATATTATTAATCGATGCGGTAAAAGTTGAGTAGAGTTTAATTTTGACAAGGTTGGAAAGCTCTTTGCATTTTATAATGTGAAAATAATTTAATTACAACTTCTTGATCAAAGAGGATAGAAATAATTTTTTTGTTCTTAAAATTCACGTATTTCGGTAATTTAAAAAAATTTTTTTTGCTACTTTTTTTCTAATTCTAAATCAATATTCTTTGATAATTTCATCAAATGTATAATTTACGATTAACTCTCGAAAGATGTTCTCAATGCAGAAAAGAAATTTTTTTCTTTGACCTTTATGCAAATTACTCTTGAACTTTATAACAGAAACGTGCGCTTGATCGAGAATTTCTAACGAAGTGTTCAGTGTAAAGAGTTGAGGCTCAAATTAAGTTATCATAATTGGGTTTTCTACGTGATATAGAACTTTAGATAGCGATTTACATTATTACACCTTGCAATCAAACTAATGTCCTGAACTGTTAATTATTTCATTCCTTTGTAATCAATAGTGAATATTTTCTTCTTCTTTGAAAATAGAAAGATTACGAGTGATTAAAATTATTTTTATCCTCTCTTTGAGTTTGTAATACTTCTCATCACATGGGAAGGTATTTCTTTTATAATCGAAGCAAAAATTCCAAATGCAATTTTTAATGTTAGGGAAAAAGTAATTACCATATACTATGACTATGACAAAAATCTAACGCGGAAATGATTTGACGAAAAAACCTCCTGGCCTCCTTGGGTGTTAGCCTTCCTTTCTTTACCAGATAGTCGAAAAGTTCCCCTCCTGAGACGTGTTCTAAAACAAGATATCTGAAACAAAAATTGGGAGAAAAAATTTATTTTATTTGTTAGCAAAAATTATAAAAACTAAATACAAAAAGTTTTTTTTCTTTTTCCATTTGTAAAAAATTGAGTTTAAAATAGTAAATTAAATTTTTAATTTCGTTGAAAAGGGAAATATTTGTCTTGGTTGTAAAAAAAAAGAAATCCGTAAATTATTTTCATTATATTAATAATGTTGTACTTACAGGTACTTCTTGTTTTCGTACACGTCCGAGAGACCGAGGACATGAGGATGGTCAATGAGTTTCATAATGGCAATCTCGCGTTCCACTTTCATTAAAACGGACTCCGAAAGTTTCTCGCGGTTAATGATCTTAATGGCCACCTTCTTTCCAAGCACACAATGAACCCCCAGCTTGACCAAACCTGAAACAAAGGAACATGTTTTCTTTCAATTACAAGGGTGGTGACATTTTCTACATTCTCGTAAAAATACAGAAAAATTCGTTAAAGGCACAAAAATTCTCAACTAAAGTAAAAAATAAAACTAGTAGTTTTTTTATTTCTAAAAAGGTAAATTAATAATAATTCCTCCTTAAAATTATCATCAAAAGAAAATAGGAAAATTCATCTAATATTCTTAATTTTGTATTTGTGTAATCCTTAAAAAATGAAACTGTCAGGGAAATATGTTCCTTGTATTTGATAAGATTTAAAGTTGTTGCCATTTTAAAAGAGAATTTTAATTTCGGAGAAGGGAAATGAAAATGTATAAAAATAGGGTTGTGGTGAGTACTCGTCTATTGTACTCGCACTGGGTCAGGACGATTGGTTCTTAACTTGTCGTTCTTTACATTCTAGTCTTCTCCAATTTCTTCTACTTAGATGAAAATAGATCTTTGAAATTCTATCCTCCAGAGTCAACAATATTTCCCAAAGAATGTTCTCCGCAATAAATTTGATAAGATTCGTTCTCTGGTATCGTCAATTTTTGTTATAAATTTTTCTTCAATTCCGATTTCTTCTTTTCTTCTTTATTAGAAAATATTTTTATTTAAGAATTAACTTTGATTAATTATTTTAATTTTTATTAAAATTTGAAATACTTTTTCACTGAATGTTTAATTTTTTTCAGATAAGACAAATTTTCGTGTTTTTGGATATCTGGACGAAACTTCCCTCTAAGTCACTGGGACTTTAAGTTAGAAAAATTGCCAGACTCAGCTGTTTTCACTCGAATGGATAACGGAATTAATTGAACGTTTAGACGATAAATTCTTATTTGAAATCGAAATTGAAAAAAAGGAGGAAAAAATCTACCACACGATGAATCAGGTAATTTTTTCCCGTTTTGAGAATTTCCTGCTTCTTTATTTAAAATAGTAAAAAGTAAAGTGATTCAGAGAAATTCTATTTTTTTTAAAGCAAAATTCTCACTTTTAGTAAAAAAATTAAAAATACGAACTTGAAAATAATATATTACTTGATAAATCTTTTTACCGTTTGCTAACTTGAATAGTTTTTGAAAAGTGAAAAAAAGGTTTTGTTTTTTATTTTTTTTTTTTGCAACTTTCGCATTTTATTGGAAAAGATAAAAAGAGTGTCCTTGGTTGTTGGATTAAAGTAAGAAAACTTTATCTCGTCCTGGGACAGTTCGATAACTCTCATGGGGTAAAGGCAAAAGCTTTTACACGAAGATAAGTTGAGCCGCGAAACAGTTATTTTTTATGAGACTCGCATTTCATGGAAGGAAGGGCATGTCATGCTCTACATAAAATTTATTGCAAAGAATAGTTTAAGAGCCGAAAAATAAGTGGCAAGAAAAAGGGAAAGTAACTTTGGAATACCTGTCGAAATATTTCAAATTGAGAAAAAAGAAGGAAAACAAATTTTGTCTTTTTGCTGAATTTTGTAATTTTTAAACTTTTGTTTCAATTTGATCTTGTTTGGTACATTCAGGGAATAATATTCAATAACGTGCAATTTCTCTCGATTTTCAAACCCGAAGCATAAGCTGTGCTCGAATGTCCCATCCTGTATATCATCGCCATGAGAATTACCATACAATCTGCATACGCAAGTTTGATACATCTTCTGCATAATTACTGCAAAATGTCACCTCTCATTTAAAATCGTTTAGCTCCCGAGTATTTTCCAAGAATATATTATATACGTTGTTATAAGCTAATCTTCCAAATTGATCATTTAAAATTTTATTTTCATAAATAATATTACATCGAGTTTTTTTTAATCTTACGCTCTTCTTCTCACGAAATTTTATTTTACATCATTTTTTTAAAATTAGATAAAAATTTTCTTCGATTGATATCCACGAGTTTATACAAAACTCGTGGAAAATGATATTTCGAAATCGATATTTCGAAATTTTCCCAATTTGCAGAAAAGTGAAATTGAATAAAATTTGAAATGAGAAAGTATGAAAAATTGCATCGAGTATGAGCGAATGCCAGGGAATGAATAGGAGACAGGAAGCAGAAAAAGACGAGTAAAACTTATTCAGCTGACAAAATTCATTTAAATCTTTCCTAGACTGAAACTGACATACTATTTTTTTCACCGATAATATGAAATCTAATTCTTATTTTCTTTTAATGAAGGAATATTTCCAACACAGAATTTTTCGAAAAAAATAATATATAGTAAAAATTGAATTAAATAAAGAACAACAGTGGCTTGAAATTAAATTCAAAGTTTGTTTTATGGAATTCAATTATGAAAATTGTACCCGAAAATTTCAACCAATTTCAACAACTGAATCTAATTAAAACTGGAAACTAAAGCTTCACTGAAACAATCTACGTCACATTGAATCACACGTATCATTTGTTTAGCGAAATTGTGTCAAATACTATTGTATATTGTTTTGTAAAGCATAGAAAAATACTAAAGAAAATATTTCTTTCAGAAACCGAATAAATTGGATTGCCGGCGTGAAACGAGATTTGTCTGCGTACAAAAAAAGAAAACGAAGAGGAAACAAAAAGGAAAACAAAAGAAAAACTTTATCATTGAAATCTGTATGCGGTGATGATTTTACCTTGGAATATTTACTTTTCTGTAAAAGAAGCAAAATTTGAAAATAGTGGTAAGTGGAGCAAAAATTAAGAATTTGATTCGAATTTTACTTTGCGAGACACTTTCCTTGAAAACTTTTGCAAGAATGAATGTTAAATAAGACAGTGTTGAGTTGAAAAATAGGGAATTGCTTCTCAGAAAAATTACTGGACCTCAAGTTGAAAATTCACATTCTTGAAAAAAAAGTAGGTCATGTGAGAACATCGGAACAATGTAATCGCGCACAATTTACTGCCATTCGAAATTGAAAATCTTTCATTGTACCTTCAAAAGATTCTCGACATGTGAAAAATTTTTCATCTATTGTTTCCGTGGTTTCAACATTTTTTTTTTTCAATGCTACGGCACTCTCGGAAAATTAATATTATTTTAATTAGCTAAATTAATAGTACAAGAAGGAAATAATTTTTGTTTCTCATTGTTTCATATTTGTCTTAATTAAAATTAAAATTTAGAAGAAATAGAATCGAAATTAAATTTCAAATTGTAGGATTTTAAAATTAATTTTAACTTGTTTTTTGAAGCTTATCCAGTTTAAGAAATAAACTATCGAGACTACCTGGTTAAAATAGTGAAAGTGAGGGTGTATATTATTATAAAATGACCCTCGTATTTCTCATGAGTGTACAATATATGTACATACAATACGCAAACTCGAAAACCACTGCGGGGATATCAAGCATATTTCTCCATTGTTTACTTTCAACATATCCTCAAGCTGTACAAGTTACATGCAAACTTCATTTCCTTTGAACAAGTCATAAAGTATCGGCAAACAAAGTCGGAATTGTATTTCCGACTCTTGCCATATTTAGCTCTCAGTTAAATTTTCCTTTTTCAGTCTTTTCAAATTTTGCTCTAGTTATTTGGATATTTGATTATTTCTTCTAATTTTAAAATTAGTTATTTTTAATCTCCAAGAAACTAAAGATTTTAATCACTAGTTTCATTTTAATTACTTTTCAATTACTTAATTTATCCAAATTTGAAAATTTTAATTTTGGCAAATATACTTTTTAGTACTTTATTTATTTTTTCGAAAAAATTTAGACAATTTTCCTTCTTGTATTGAATTAATTAGACAATTTTTTTCCTACGATTTTTACAATTGGGAAAAAATTGTTTTAAAAAAAACTCGATTTTGATTTTAATATTTCGTAGAATTGAAGAAAAGAAAAAAAAGTATGAAAGACTAATTTGTGAATGTGGGAATTTGTTTTCTAATAAGCAAACAGGTTTTTTTTCACAAGAATATAAACGAAAGTAAATAAGTAATTTCATATTTTGCATTTTTCTATCTCGTTCATTCATCTGCAGCCTTCGATCTTATTGATTCTACGCGTCGTCACACCCAATATCCAAACTCAAGTTACTTACTTCATTTACACGCACATGATTGTATTCTTGATGACCTTTATTAAATGACCTTTTTTCCCCATTTACATTTTATGTGTGTATAAGCGCGCACTTTCCCTATTCATGTACATTTTGTTTTTTTTTCTTTTTTATTTTTGTAATTTTATTTTCCTTAATCAATATAATTTTCAATAATAATTTACCCATTAACCTCCTTTACAAATCGCTGAACTAATATTATTCAGAAAGAAAAATAAAGAAAGAGAACAAATTTTATTTTCTCTTTGTTTAAAACAGAATTTTCTTTTGCAAAAATTGAATTTCAATTTCTATTTATTTATATATTTTAATTTATAGAGTAATTTTATTATAATTTTATATACGATGTTAAAAATTTATTTTTTGTACAAAAATTATTTAAACTTATTTATAAGTTAAATTCAATTCTTTATTGAAATACATTTTTTTTCAGATTTCAGCTATAATGGAAGCCCTGGAAACTACTGTTTGGTTATGGATTTAATAACAGGACGAAAGGTATAATTCTTTCCTTATTAAATTTAAATAATTATCGAAGACTGAAATTTTTGTATTTATTTATTTTTTTATTATTTGAAAAATATGTGAAAATTGATTTGATCTTTCATGGAATGAGCCGATGGAAATAATGAAGAGTTTGACACTCTATGGGGATTTTCAAGTATTTTAATAATATAATTTTGTCAACAGGCATTTTACTTTCTGGCGTATTCGCGATTTTGTCTGACAGGTGCTCTTGTGAACTTTAAAGTGCGAAAATGTGTATGTAACGAATGAAAAACTCTCCTTTTTATAAAGAGTCGCGTTTTTTCCTACCCCACGCGGTGTAAAATGTTCGATGTCATAAAGAACCTGAAAGGAGAGAACTCTTTTTTTTTCATTTATTTTCATCACGTCTCGTAATAAAACTCTTCTCTTATCGCCCTTTTCTAACGCAGATACATTAATTGAGGAACTTAGTAATTATTTTTAAGAGACTTTTTCTAGGGTTTCGAATATCGATAAAATATCAAAATAAGCTTAATTTTTAGAATTTTCCGTCTTTTATATTCCAACGAATTCATTAAATTAAAAGAAAGGGTTTTTTCTACAAGAATGTTATTTAGAAAAATTTTACTGTCGAAAATCGAAAATTAATTTTCGAAATAGAAAGGGAAACTTTTATTTTTTATTGGATAAAATTCTTGACTTAAATTTCTTAAACGGAACAATTAACGTCTTATTTTTTACTTTTTTTTTGTAACGTCTAGAAAACTTTATGATTGATATATTATGTGAAAGATCAAATCTTTTTTCTCATTATACGAATGTGAGCACTTTCTCACGAAAGTGACGTTTCAAATTATCGTTATAAATGTTTAATGTAAACGAAATGATAAGCAACACGAGTAAAAATATTATTTATCGTCAATAAAAAAAAATATTGGGAAAACATAAAGAATAAAGAAAAAAGTTATAAAATTTTTAATTTTAAAAAATAATTTTTTTTGCTACATAATAATGTGGAGGGATATTAAAAAAATATATTTTCGGTTACTGGAATTGTGTATGAGAAAATATTGATCGTTCATATAAATGCTTCCCATGGACTGTCTGACTAAAGCCTGTTTTGTCTACTGTGAAATTTTAGATCCCTAAAATAATCTTGATTTTTTTTCTTTAATTTAGTGTATTTTTTAATATTTCTTTTGGGAAAAGAAAAATATTTTTCTATTTGTTTAATTATTAAGTTATAAGAAAATAAATAAGAATATTAAAAATTTGTTGTACAAAATAATTTTAAAACAGAACAAAAATTTATAAAATGAGAAAAATTACCTTAATATTAAGTAAAAAGAAATCTTTAAATTAAATAATTATTATATAAAATAAATATCAGAAAATTTGATAACAAATTTATATTTCAGAGATACGAGTCTTCAGGAAAAAGTCAAAAGTTCACGAAAGGGGAAAATTTGGAAAGAAGAATGGATTTCTTTCTTAAAAAACCGTCTGTCAGGTAACTTTTACTAATTACTTATTTATTATTACATAAAATTTTTACTTCTAGATAATCAAAAACTCAGTCAGAAAAAATGGAGTTTTCACCAAAATTTCTGGTTTTAAAATGAAATTTTAGATTTTTCATAATTAGTACTATTAGTGGGAAAATTAATAAACTTTAAATAAATAAAATTATTATCGTTATTATTTATTAATTTTGTAGTAAAACTGCCTAAATTATTTTCGTTTTAAAAAAACGTTTTTGACAAAAAGCAAATTTTTATTCATTATTTATTATAACAAGATTTAGAGATTTATCTGTAATTTATTTATTTATTTATTTATTATAACGACAATATAAATGTTAATTGATGACTTCCAATAAAAATTATAATGCAATTACAGGAGGAATAAAATGAAACTCAATGAGGATAAGATTAATGAAAAGTAATCAAAGGCTGAAAATCTGATCGGAAAACTAGAACAAGGGTCCAGGAAAGTTTCTTGAGAAGAGGGATGGCGGAGAGGGATTCTGTCTCTCATTGAAAATCTTGAAACGATGCCGAATCATTTTATCTTAGAGTGGTATTTGTTACTTTAGTCTTTTCTCTCCCCCTGTTTCCTTTTTAGTGACTCATCTCAGACTTGCCCTTCGACCATTGAATCGTAATAGGTGATGAGCCAAAAAAATAGAGATTGCGGAAAAAATAGCCTCCTTAAACGATATTTTATGTCATCGTAATATTAGGAAAATTTATAAAAAAGAAAATAGAGGAAAAAATATATATTTCAAGGCTAGTTGCAGAGAGTAAATATTAAATAGATCTCTAAGGACTGTTTTCCTCAATCTCAGCATCTGCAATCTTTTATTTTGCAATTTACTTCTTTTTTCTCACTCCACGAATCGCGAATTTTCCTGACTTTTCTAATTTTTGTTGTTTCTTTTCATTTTTAGTTTTTTTTTACTTTTTCTTTTCGTTCAATTTTAAATTAACTTAAAATGAAAGTTTGTTAATGAAAATGACAATTTGTCATTTAAAATTCCATTTACTGCTATATTTACTATTTTTAAATCTTCCTTTTTATGATTTACGTTAATTTTTTATTTCTAACAGAATTTATAAACGAAAAGACTTCGTACAAAATTATTTCATTGCATGGTAATTGAGTAATTAGAGAAAAATTATTGTGTAATAGAATTTTTAATTTTAATTTGTAATTACATTTTTGTTTGTAAACTAACGGGAATTTGAACTAGAACTTTTTGTTTAGAATATAATGGGAAACTTTCAGTTTAATAAAGTTGAAAATTGCAGAATTAATTGTCGATCAGATAAAATGTTGGTATAAATTAAATAATATTTATACTTTTCGAGATTGACAACGTTAATTATATTAAGATAATCTCCGAGAATAGTATAAAATATCTGACCTAAATTTTCCACTATTCTTTTAAGTTTTGTAAACAATTTTTCATTTGCATTTTATTTTTTGTATTCGTTTTATAAACTTTTCCAAATTTTTCGAAAAAACTGATTAAAATTGAAAGTTTCCCGTGAAATATAAATATAGCAGGAGATGGCAATTTTTTTATTTAAATAAACATTTTCTTTTTTGATAGAGTCGAAAATTGTGACTTACTCTTTTTTCGGGTATTTTTTTAAATTTGTGAGATGAATATTTGTAATCAGACCCAAAAATTGTGTATAATTCTGATTAAATGTGAGCATTGTGATTAAATGAATATTGTTGATTTTAGATTGGCGACGGAAGGATCGGAGAAATTCGAATATTCTTTTTGTGATAATGGAAGAAATGAAAGCAAAACGCACCAGTTTGGCCTTTGCCGAGGGTCTTCTCAAGTCGATAGGGCCCGACATATTGATGTGTCTCCTGGGTGTTGGACCCAACAGAGCTTTCCTTGCCCTGCTGCATCGTCGACGACTCGCCCTTGTTGTTCGCCAGATTGAATGGACGAATGCAAACCCACGAGGTTATTATTTCTCAATCCTTAATTTTTGTTCTTATTTGTTTCTTCCTCCGCAAATGGATCACGAGCACATTAACATTCGAAAAGAATGAGTAAGGCCCATTCTTCATCTTTCTCAATGTTGGTCCTCTTGACTCGTGATGACCTTGAGAAACACCTTCGCCCCTGAAATAGGCTCTCATTCGTATTCGGAAAAATTTTTTTTATCACTTTCTTAAACGTTCCTTTCTTTTTGTTGGTCGCTTCTTTCGGAATTTTTTCATATTTCGCCTTTTTTCACACAAACACACTGGGAAAAAAATAGAAAAAAAAGCAATTCACTTTAGATTTTCTCACCACCACACCCTGAGAATCATTTTTATTGTGGAAAATATATTTTATTTGACACAATTTTCAAGCACTGACGAGACACGAGAGATTATCAAGCTGCCCACGTTGGGCGCCATTGCGAGACGAATTTCTGAGGATCCGGGGGTTGTCGGGGGTGGAAAAGCGAAACGATTCGTTTTTCTCCCGAACACACCGGGTCAGGGACAATATATACAATTTTCTTTCTTATTTTTTTTTACTCCATCTCACGCGATGACGAGCCTTGTCACACTTTTCACTGGTAAAAAGGTCAATTTACTTTTCATAATTCAGAGTCCAGAATTTTGTGGACTTGATTTTTCTTTGACTCTATTTTTTTCTTTTCTGTTTTAGAATCGCGCCCCTAACGCACAATCGCGCGGATGTAGGAGCCACGGCGCTCCCAGTTCGATTGGTGGATGTGATGCGTGCGCATGCAACAAACCACCCTTCTTTTCACTGGGTGAAACACTGGGAGAAACCCTGAGGTTAAAAAGCCGGTATAGAATGGTTCGAGTCCAGGATGACGATGATAAGCACCGAATCCTGGGATTTGCGGTGTGGTTTGTGTCTATTCTACCCGGTAAAATAGTCGAGCATTGAAAATTATTCAAACGAAAATTATCAATTTTTTGTTTTTAGATAAAAAAAAAAAGACGTTCAATAATTCTAATCAGGGTGGAAAAGAAACGAGAATTTAAATTTACTTTTAAATATGAAGTTGAGAATTTTTGCGAAATTTTTATCTCGCGAAAGCTCTGGGAAAATGTCCTTGAAATTGTTGAATAGTTCAAGTATTTCTTCATTCACTCCCTATTGACTCGAGATATCATTGTTCCTAAATCAATTTTAAAATCAGAATACAAATTTTTTCGTTCTTTCGAACGTGGAAAATTGTTCTTGATTGTAAAATTTATTTTATTCTATTGCTTTTTTTTGCTCTATAAATTTTGCATTCAAGTATAGAATTTAAGAAAATAGAAAAAGTAGAATTGAAGTACAGTAATAAGGCATAATAGTACATTTAAAATTATTTAAAACTATTTTCAATAATAGTAAAATTAAAATTAAACTTCCAAGTATTGTAATAGTAAGAATATAAAAAAGATTGATAATTTTCAACATTTATTAATATTTTTATTGAGAGATAAAAAATATTTTTGCTTATTTTTTTTCTCCCTAAACAAATTGATGAGTTGAGTTTTTTCTTTTTCGTGAAGATAATTAAAATACGTGGGAGTTTTTATTTCTTTTATACGGGAAAAATGATATTTAGGTCGATATCAGATAGAAATGTGTAGCACACAAATATTTCTTGTATTTTTTATCATGAATTTTTCTACAATAAATAGGGGGGAAAAAAAGGTACGGATTTTCCCAACTGGACAGAAAGTTATCCGACTGACGAGCAAAAAAAAATGTGGGATGGGCGAATTTTTCGCTATAGATAAAAATATACATAGATTAGTGACCCAATTCTTGTAACAATTCAAAATCTTTAATTATCAAGGTCGGAATAGTGGTGAAATCACTGTTGGTTGCAATTTTTCCTCTATGAAACTTTTCTAAAAATTTAAATATTTTTCTACAATTTTACTAAATTTGAAAAAATTCGAATTTGTTTCCAATTTTAATAAATTTTAAAAGATTAGAATTTATTTATTTTAAGAAATTTAAAAAAGATTGTAAAGGGGTATAAACAGAAAGTTTTAATAAAGTCTTGAGTAGAATTTCAAGCCAGACAGTTTTTCCCGTTAGAGAAGAAAATTGCTTGGGAAAAGCCTTTCTGAATCTCTCCTAACAAAGTCCATGTCACTGTTTGCTTTTCTATTCAAATCCGTTCGATATAAAGGTCCGTCTTGACCTGAAAATACACAAGTCACAAGGGACATCCCCCCCTCTTCCCTCGGGGTGAATTTGGTGCATTGAAAAAAAAATTTTCTGATTAGAAAGATTTAGCGCAAAAACAAACTCGACATCGAGGACTTTTGCTCACATTTTCTATATAGTCGGACAAAAAACGTACTCGACGAAAAATTAATTTCCTCGTTGTAATAAACTTTTAAATCCCTCTGATTCATCACAATTTTTCCTCTTCTCATATTTATATTGAAAATCGTTTCTTTTATTGCTCCTGCTGGTTAATATTAATTTTTCCCGGTACCATCGAAACAATTTTTTTTTCTTTTTTACATTTCAGTAAAAAATTCTATTATTTCCAAACTTATCAAATATTTTATTATATTTAAAACTAATTAGAAAATTAGTCAATTGGACTAAGTTTTAAAAATTAAAAATTTGGAATTTCGGAAAATTGAAAAGTATTTTTATTATTGAAATATATTTCTATTTCGTTAAACAATGTTCTAATAAAATTCTTTCTCTTTTCAGAATTTGTGAAAAATTTATAGTCGAAATCGGAAAAATTGATAGAGGACTCGAAACTGGAAAAATTTATTTATGAGGGTGAATTAATTTCGTCCCCCCCTTGGATTTATGGGAGAATATTTATTAACATTAAAAATGTCATTCATTTTTGGAAGTTGTTGATGGAAATGGAAAATATTTGAACGGAAATCAATATTCGTGAAATGGGAAAATTTTCGATTGGCATTAAAGTGAATATATTGATATGCATATGCAAAGAAAATATGATAGTTGCGAAATCTTTAGAACACACCCGTTAGAGTGAGGGGTATGATTGCAATACATAGAGAGGGACAACAGTTGGTGGTATAAAAGAGGAGGGTTGAGGAAAATCGATTTCTATATAAACTATAGAGCCAGAAAGGAACACAGGAAGCATCGTCGGACGAAGCCTAAGATCCGCTTAAACCTATGTTTAAACCCCTGGCGGTTTCTATCACTTTTTCAGTCTGAGACTAACTTTCCTTTTTCACTTGAAAAGAAGGCCCCCGTAAAAATTGTACGATTCTTTTTCCTCTTTCTCACACTTGGATGAAAACTTTTTACTTTATATTACACACACACACACACACACAATATTTAAAAAAAAATTTAACCATTTTTTTACTTTGGAAAAAAAGTTGAAAAAAATGGTTAATTTGTGTTCTGAGAATTTAATTTCGAAATTGAGGAAAAAGTATTAATTGTGTATATTTTATGTTTTAGGTTCTACAAAAGAGGATATTTTTTTGGAAAAAAGTAACATTTTCAATTTGAATCTAAAATTGGCCCAATCGGATTTCATGTTCGTGTGTATGCTATTGAACGAGTAGAATGGAAAACAAATCGGGGAAAACAGTAGGTGTGCCTGAGGCCTTTGAATAACGGGATCCAACAAATAACTTTGCCACCGCATATGGAAGTACTACGGTTCACAAACAAAACCCCGTAAATCAACATTTATGGTCAGGCTTTAAAAATTTAACAAGTGCATTATTTTATCAATTTTCTTGCAATACCAACAAACTCTTTTAGATAAAAAAAGGAACTTGTTTTTCAAATTCAATTAAACAAATTAATTAAAATTTTTTTTGTCAAAAAATCAAAAGAATAAATAATTCAATAATTAGACAGAAAGGGAATAAAAATTAATTTTTTATTAATAATTAAATTTTTCTTGTTTTAATTAAAAAAAATAAATAAAGCCCAATGGATTAAAAATGAGAGATAAAAATTTCTTAACAGATTTTTTCGTTATTTTTAGCTTGCACAGTATGAAGAAAGCGGCCTTCTAACGAGAAAAAAAAATATGTGATCGCACCAAATATGGGACAGCTGACGTAATCTTAATTTTCATTATATGACATTATATTTTGTGTCAAGATCCAGAATTTCCAGAGGAATTCAAAGTAATTTTTTTTGTGCTTACTTTTATTTTTTTCATATTTCAACAATTTTTCTTTACACTGTATGGGTTTTAGCTCGTCTATGAGAACTAATAAGGCTTCTCTTAAATCTTGCCAATGACACGACCTGACGTGTCTCACGATCATAAAAGGCATGTAGTGCCTCAATAATCTTTCTTGTTACCAAGATCTTAAACAACTTTTAAATTAAACCATTGAGGGAAGAAAAAAAAATTTTTAATTAACATTTTCTAATCTCTGATAAATTTAATTTTTTCAAAATTTGAGAAAATTTACAAAAAAACTGTTTTTTAATTAGAACAAAATTTTCTAAATATATCTAAATATATTGATTAATGGAAAGATAATGGAAATTAATTAAAAATTATATAAAGTATACACTTGAAAGTAGAGAATGATAAAATATAAAATAATTTACTGCATGGAGTAAAAAAAACGTACTCGATAAATGAAGTTAGCTCTCTGTTCATAATGACTTGTTCTATTAAATCTTAGGCAAAGATCGCTTGTTGCATAACCTAATGAATTTATTATCAGAAGGCAATAGAACCATCGCGCTGAATAATGCAGGATGAATACTCCTTTCAATCGAACGGCTATAATGGAGTTAATCAGTTTAATTTACCAATTCGTGCTTTAAATTTCAAATGCTTCAGGCCAGGTCTTTTGTAATTCAATACTAATGCCACTCTGTTTATTAATTATTACCAGATCTAGTTCATTTGAATATTTCTTTTATTTCTATTAATATCGACTTTGTCAACTTTGTTATCATTTTGTGATAATTTTATTATTCACTAAAATAATTATTTTCGTGAAAATAATTATTAATTATAATAATTTATTGTGAATTAAGGGAAAATTTATTTATTTTATCTGACTTGACAAATATTATTTATTCTTTCGATAATGATGGAAATTTTTTCTTTCTTTTATAGCTATGGCAAATGAAAATGGAGCGCCTTGATAATGTAAATCAGGAAAAGGAATCGATTTGATGGAGCATCAAAATCAATGTTGAGAAAGATATACAAGAAGATAAATTTTTCCTGCTACAGATGCTCTAGGCGCTTTTCATATCTTAATGGCCTTTGAAAAAGGAATACATACCTGAAAGTGCAATTTATCTCTCTTTCTCTCTTTCTCTCTCTTCCACCTATTTGATTGCAACGAGAATGGAGGAAAATAAAAGACAGGTATTTCTCAAAATTATTTATTTCCATCTTTATTCACTATCTTCGCCTCTCTTCATAATCAATTGAATGAAATATTTTAATTCCTTCTTTTTGCTAACTTTATCAGTAACGCGAGAAATTTTATACCTGTAAATAATATTTTTTACTGAAAACTATATTTTTGAATTTCTTTTTTTTCCTTTTCAAAATCTATCGATTTTGAAAATAAAAAAATAGAAATTCAAAATTAATCTTCTTCTTCTTCTTCTATATTAATAATCGTTGTATTCCGATAATCTGTTCGCAGCTTGAAGTTCGTTGTTGTTTGCTTTTTTGTCTCCTAACTTTTTTAATAATTTATCTTTTCAAATATTTTCAATTTGAAAATTAATGTATTAAAAATCATTGAATTCTTACAGAGAATTTTGTCAAAAAATTTGAGATTAATTGAATTCCTTCGCAGAATTCAATTATTAATGAAAAAAATTGAATTCTTGACAAGAATTTGTTTCAAATTTTTAGAAATAATTGAAATCCTCCGAAGAATTCAATTATTTATGAAAAAAATTGAATTCTTGACAAGAATTTGTTTCAAATTTTTGAAAATAATTGAAATCCTCCGAAAAATTTTATTGTTAATGAAAATAATTGAAATCTTCCAAAGAATTAAATTTTTTATGATGATAATTGAATTCTTGCGAAGAAATTTATTGAAAATAATTGAAAATAATTGAAATTCTCCGAAGAATTTTATTATTTAAGAAAATAATTGAAATCATCAAAAGAATTTTACTTTTTATAAAGATAATTGAATTTTTAGGAAGAATTTTATTATTAAAATTTTTGAACGTAATTGAAATCCTTGGAAAATAAAATTTTATTATTTATGAAAATAATTGAAATCATGCAAAGATTTTTATTAAAATTGAACTCTTTCGTGAATTCAATTTTATTATAATAATAATTGAATTTTTGCAAAGATTTTACTATTTTAAAAAACAATTGAATTATTTCGAAAGATTTATTAAAATTTTGTTGTAAATAATTGAATTTTTGTAAAGAATTTTATTATTTATAAAAATAAGTGAATTCTTCAGAAGAATGTTATTATTTATGAAAATAATGGAATTCTTCCGAAGAATTCAAGAATTGTATTTAAATTTTTGAAAATATAAACAATAATAATTAATTATTTACTTAATAAGTGAATTTTTTTGAATTTTGATGAAGACATTATTCAAAAATTTATATTTGAAAATAAAAAAATTCGTAATTTGCATAACAATAATAAATTGAATGCGACATTCCGCGCGTAACATTTGCTTGTTTTTAAATGATGAATTATTGAAATTTAATTTTTTTCGTTGAAATTTAACTTATTTAAATTTATGTTATTTAAATTTAATTTACACTAAAATAAATAATTCGATACTTAATTGAATAGTTTTATAAATTAAAAATGAAGATTTTTGTGCTTTTTCGTGAACTTTTTTCTTGAGGAGTTAAAAACACTTGGCGAAAAAAAGACTTCTGTTTTTTTTATTGTCTTCGCTCTCAATGGATTTTCTTAGGTAGGAAACTTTTTTCATTTAAGTTGTGCTTGCAGGATTGAATGCTGGATGCAGGGCGCTTTATATGATTCAGGCTAAAGCTGTTGGTACGAAAGTTTCAAGTGCGAAAGGCCGGTAATACGTAAAGAAAAAAAAGGGGAAGGCCTCAAGTGTTAACATTGCTCGAGCGATGTAACACTCCCCACACGCAAATATTCTTCATCTCTTTCTCTTTCACAAGAAGGGAAACCCTCAATTTCGACTTTGAATTCATCCATCTGAATTTTCCACTATTGCGCTTTGGAAAAAAAAGTGACGACCCTTGAAAATATATCTTTTCTCCCACTTCTTCATTCAACTAATTTTCAGGTATGTTCTCTAAAAAAAATTATCGTTTTCTCGAATTTCCTGTTTTCATAGATAAAAAATCTTGTTTGATTTATCAACAAATTATTTCACTTTTTTCTTATTCGAGTAGTTTTTGTTTTTTTATTCATAGTATTATAGATTTTCTTTAAATTAATCACTATAATAAAATTTTTCGAGAATTTTTTAACGGGGGAAAAAATTGTTTTATCGCAAGGAACCCCTAAAATAATTTTAATTTGAATTTGATGATTTTGCAGCTCCAAGGGCGTTACTGTGTGTGGAAATTTTAATATTTTAGCCATGAAGAGAACGAGTGAAGGGATGCAAAGAGGAAAAAAAGGGTGACTGGGTCTCTTAACTACTATACACAAGTTGCGGTACCCCGGAGGGAAGTACTCACAATTAACGCGGTAAGACTGCAAGAAAATAGAGAGAGACAGAAATAGAGGGAGTTTGAATATTTGTCAGGGGGATCTAACGGAGTCAGGGTGAATTTCTTCCACGAGCCGGAAGCTTAGTCATCGTTTGTCCATTGTCACCATAAGTGCACTGCCATGTAAAACCAGAAAACGAGACCTGAATATATAGGGAAAGAGAGAGAGAGTGTCTCATCCCGAAAACAATTTCGAACTCCCTCTTTTTCCAATGACATGCGTCACTTTATCTCGCAAATCTTCATCATAGATCGACGCACATTTGAAATATTTAATCGTTACCCAATAGTTGAAAAATTTCCAATTTGGATTTCCAAAAATCTAAACAATTTCTTTTAGTTTTAGTTTTATTTGTAATTTTTTTATTTTTCGTTGATTTAAATTCATTTTTATTGACTATTTTTTGTTCAGTTAAATATTTTTCATTACTTTAATTATATTTAATCAGCAGTCCGTTATTTTTCTTGTATTTTTAAACTTTATTTACTTTTTCATCTACTTTTATTATCATTTTTAATGCTTTTATTAATTAATTTAAAAAGTATAGTTTTTACTTTCTTTTATTAATTTTTTTTTCTATGCTTATTAATCAAATTCGTTGAATATTAAAAATCTTGCGCATCAGGTGCGTTGCAAACAAATTGTTATATTAAATGAAAAGATTTGAAATCAAGAATTACCTTTGACGGTAAGATTTTTGATTAAGTTAATAGTCCTCTAATTATCATAATTACTTAAATGATCTGCGCGAATACCGTGTGTGTACTAAAGAATGTTAAGCACCCTTCGACGAACTGATCGCAAACGATGCGTTTGCAATGTAATTAATTAAAGCACAAAATCGTGATTACTGAACTTGAGAAAATTGTTTGAAAAAGTAAAAATAAAATTAAGCCAAGGCAATGGGAATTATATATGTTCGACATTTTTTTTTTATCCAATTTGCCAAAACCATTTTTCAATGACAGACACACACTTATTACTTAATCCCCCGGGTATCAATTTTTCCCTTATCCCTTATAATCATAATCATTAGGAGTTTAGACCTTCCCATTTAGATATTGACCGTGAGAAATTAAATTCAAATTTATTATTCATTTCAAATACATTTTGTCCCTTTTTTTCAATCTTATAATGTTTATCGTTTTATTTACAGTCGAATTATTAATTTGATTGATATTTAAATTCAGTAAACATTAATAATTAATATCTATTATTTACATTATTGGTTTTTTTTTATTTCAAGTTTAATGTTTGCAATATCGAGTTGTATATTAAAATCCATAAATTTAATAGTAATTTTCTTTTTTAGGTAATTTTCCTGAAAATTGGGTTTTCAACTTCTGGAAACGACGATATTTGGATTGCAAGGAACATCATTGCGGTGGAAAATGAGAAAAACAAGGGGTGAAATGAAACGCCGCGTGTAATTAACGTAGAAAAGCTGAAAACGAGACGAAAGAAAGCAAAGAGAGGGATATATCACCCTCATCCCTGCAGACACGTGTCACCAAAAAAATTTCAAAGAACTGACCAAATTGACCACTAAAAAAGTACACGTACATCAGGTCAGGTTAAAAACTCGATTTTAAATTCTTTTATTACAAACATTGACAATAATATAATTTTTGATTAATAGGAACAATGAAAAGAAGAACAAGAATTTCGAAACAATTGTTTGAAATTTGGAAAAATAGTTTCGAAAATGGATTGTTTAATTAATAATTAATAGACTTTTCCTCCCTATGGGAATTAAGAAGTGGAATATTTAAAAAGTGAAATCCACTTGCTTAGCGCCAGTTTATTCCTTTCACTTTTTAACCCAGTTCCATTGTTAGTGTTACTGACCGATTCCACTTGTCGTTGACGATCACATTCCACTTTTGCAGTCGATTCATTCGACTCCATGCATCCTTGGAAATTCTGCCTTTTAATTGACGTGAATTCCTTTCTTATTTTATTTTCATGGTAAAATTTAGTTTTGGAAAATTCTCTTTTTTTCTTAAAAAAAAAACATTTGGAATAAATTTTATTCCCTCCAATTTATTGAAAACTCTTTGTCAATATCGAGAAATTGTTTGCGATGAAAGAGTAGTTTTGATTCACCATCAAAGCCATTAATCATTTTTTTACAAACAGCTTCCGTTGACATTTTATTGGCAATTTGAAACCTTAAATAAATTGCAAAAAAATTTGTCCAGTGAATAGAGAAATCTGACAGAATATTTAAAATTGTTAACTTTTTTCTCTCTTTCTAAATCAGTTTTTGAACTAGGGAAATTTTGAAAAATTCTTGAAAAATTGTTTTGTTTCTCTCACGCGCTCTCTCTCTCTCTCTCTCTCTCTCTCTTTTTCTCTCCCTCTTTGACAATTAACTATGGAATCTACAAATTGCGTAAAAAACGAAATGACGAGTTTTATGTGTGTAATGATTGAAGGTGTAATACACTCTCTTCACTACTGTGATCAAAGACTCTCTCAGCATCTGAGTCGACTAGGACTTCGATATATCGTCAGTACACTTTCAAGATCCCGCGAAATAACATTGTTTAACTTTTTCATTCACTAAAAATTTTGTTATGAATACGTTGAATTTTCATTTTTAACGTTACAGTTCTTTGGTGATTAAATTTTTGTCATGCACACGAAGGATTAAAATCTTCTTTTTCTTTTAAAGAAAATATATATTTTTATTTTATTTAAAAAAAAAAATGTTTATTAAAGTGATTTGTGTGGTGTTGTTTGTGTGTCTTGCGTCAGAGACCTTCGGCAAACCCACAATTTATAAACGTAATGAGGATAATATTTATGAACCAGGTGATTCATCAGATGAAATTTTAGTTAAAAGTGTTTATTTTCATTTACTTTTCATTATTTATTTATCTATTCAATTATTTATTTCAACAGTCGCATTTTTGAGTCGTTTATCCGTTCTAAAGCTTTCTAGAAAATTTTTTCTATTATTATTTTACTGTTTTATTTATTTTTATTTTTCACATTTTATGAGTTTTTAGTTTTAATCTTTAATTTTTAGTTTTTCTGTAGTCCTTAGTATTTACAATTTTTTTTTTGTTAACTTTAGACAAACTTCTGTTAGTTTCTTAATGTTTATTGAAAAATTTATTCTTCATATCATATTAATACTTTCGTTGAGAAAAATATAATAAAAGAAGTTGTATAATAATGATGAATACTTCCTCTTTTGCTTTCTTCGCTTTCTTTAAAATCCGACGAATTTGTGGAAAAATATTCCTTTCTAGCTTCTTACGTTTTTCATATTTTATTACACATAAGAGGAAGAATGAAATAATAATTTTTCTTCTTTTACTTTTCAAGCAACTAATTATTTCATTGAATTTACTAACAATTTTTACAGAAATTTTTACATTTCTAATGTTTTGAAATCATAAAGTCGGTCGCTTTCTCTATTTTTCAAGATCATCCTACAATTTCCTTCATTATAGATCTCGTTACAAGTTATAGTTTCAGAAAAAAATACCAATTTGGAAATTACTTTTTCCGTTTAGAAATAATATTTATTCTTTTCTTTCGAATTGCAACACATATTTTGTTTAATTCTCAAGAACGTGAAGTGAAACATTTTTCAAATTTCCGAATTAAAAAAATTTAAATTTCGATATTTTTGAACTTTCGAAATCTTTTCCTCTAAATTAGAATGCAAATTTGCATTTTGACGAAACAATTACGTCTGAGAAATTCGTTCCACGCTAATTTCGATGCCTATTTGAAGATGAAATGAGATTCGTTTTTTGAAAAATAGTCGGAAATCGTGGGATCGAAATCACGCGCCTAGGAGAGAGAGAAAGAGAGAGAGAACGTGAGAACGAGTACGAATATCTCGTGTGGAATAAATTGAGACTGTCGTCCAGATTAATTAGCACAAGAGCCTCATTGCAAACATTTTCACAATCTTTTTATTCGAGAATAATATGTAAAAAAAAATTAAAAAATCAAATCACAGAAATATTAGAAATCGAATCACAGAAATATTAGAAATTAAATAACAAAAAATTAGAAATTAAATCACTAAAATTAGAAATAGAATTACAAAAAAATTAGAAATGAAAAAATCGCCATATAGAGAACGAAAAATAATTTTTTTTAATTAGATTCGTGTTGACAGGTGGGTATATAACGGGATGATGATGTCAATTTGCGTAGGTTACGATTATAGCAACGTGATTTCAAGTGCGTGATACTGGCCCTCACTTAAACGATTTACTGTATAATAAGGATTTGAAAAATGATTCTTGGAAAGAGTTAGAGAACCAACAGAAGCGAGGCAAACGATTTATTTATTGCTATTTTTTCTTTTTTCTTTTCTATATTGCAAAAACCATCATAAAGTCATTCGTGAACACTAGCACTCAGGATAGATGCGCGTAAAAGTACAAGTGCTTTGAATTTAAATTCTTCTTATTAGAAACCTTTTGAATAGACACATTTTCAAAATTTTAAAATTAGTTTTATTCTAAAGTAGAGTTATAAATAAGATAATTAATTACTGTTTTTAATAAAAATAGTCTATTTTAATTGATTTTAATTGGTTTTAAAAAATCACATGATTTGAAATGGAAATATTTTCGCGCTACATCTACGTCACGCGTATGACGTCACAAGTTGGCTGCAAAACTAATGTAACATGCAAAATGTCAGATTCAGAGGTAAAAATTAGACAAAGCATTTCGAAACGTTGGTGTTTTGTGCCTGGATGCACAAATACAAATTTAAAAACACCAAATAAATTATTTATTTGTGTTCCGAAAGGAAACGAAAGAAAAAAATGGATGAAAGTAGTGAGGCGAGATCCAAACGAATGTTCTTTAACATCAGTAATGTTTTGTTGTGAAGACCATTTCACAGTAAGTATATATTTTTGCGTTAATTACTTTTAGGTTTAAAAACATTTCTAAAAAATGTGATAGTTAATATATTTATATAAAGTTTATAATAAGAAAGTTAAAGAGATTCCTAACCTAAAATTATGTTATATTATATTGTGTATTGATGATGTCAACAATCAATTATATTTAATTACATTCTATTTTTACCATTCATAAATATAATTAATTTGAAAATATATACCGAAAGAAAGTAATGCAAATATTTTATACAGTTGCAGGATGATTTAGAAAATTACATGAGAGTAAAATTGGATCCAACCTCGAGAATTTTACTTAAAAAAGGAGTAGTGCCGCATATTTTTGATTGTCAAGAGGATCGTCAACGAGCATTTTCTAAACCTAAAAGACGAGCAATTTGCAAGCTTACTAATGTAAGAAATTTAAATGAAATGGAACAGGAGATGGCTAGAGAAAATTTTGAAGTCGAATCTGTGGTCAATGATAAGAACTTGCTTTCTCTGGAAAATGAGGAAACTGAACAAAATGTAGTTAATGAAAAAAATGAGTTTCTTGCACAATTTAATGTAAATAATATCACTGAAAAAAAAGATTGCGGTGTTCAGACATTGCAAATTCAAAAACCATATTATCGCAGTAAAGGCACTTCCTGTTGTCCAAAAACAAAAAATGTGGCATGTTCACCTATTAAACAGTTAAATAAGCAGACTTTAAATAATAATAATATAAGTTTAGATTCACGGAATTGTGAACAAACCTCTGAGCCTGATTTACAAATAAATTCAACTATAAGTAGCACTAGTTCTATTTTATGTTCGTCTTGTGCATCAACAAGAAATTCGGATATAACGTACATTCCTGATAACGAAGAACTAAGTAGAGAAGAATCTGCGTTCTTAGACTGTGAAAAAAAGGAATTATATCAAAAAGTAAAAATGATGCAAATTATGGATCATCCGAAACTTTTCATGTGCATACCAACAGAAGCTATTTATATATTGAAATTGTTAAGCGATGAGACTAAAATTAATATTAAAAATATTTGCATCGTATTAACAAAAATGAAGACCAATGATTCTTTTGAGAGGATAGGAATTGAATTCGGACTAAGTACTTCTGAAGCAAATAAAATTTTCCGACAAAGTGTACCTCTATTAGCAAATTGTTGTAAACAATTAATTATATGGCCAGACAAAGAAAAAATAAAAGCTCTTTTGCCAATAGCTTTTCGATCTAGATATAGCAATGTTCAAAGCCTCCTTGATTGTTTTGAAATTTCGACTCAGAAACCCAGTAATCCAGTTCATCAAGCTCTTACGTATTCCGAATACAAAAAAGGCAATACAGCAAAATATCTTATTTCATCAACTCCGGATGGCCTTATAAATTTTATATCAGAAGGTTTTGGAGGAAGAACATCGGACGTATTGATAGTAGAAAAATCGAATTTTTTAAATGCCTTGCCACCAAACTCGGCAGTTATGGCTGACAGAGGTTTTAAATTTATTGATAAATTTCTACAAACAAAAAACTGTACTTTGGTACGTCCACCTAGTGTTAGTGCTAACAAAAAATCATCTAAAGAACAAGTAATTGAAACTAGAAGAATTGCAAGTTTGAGAATTCACATAGAGCGTGTTATTTGCAGAATAAGATATTTCGAAATATTCAAGCCTCATGCTTGCATTCCTATTGAAACTTTGGATATCATTGACCAAATGCTTGTAATTGCAGTTAGCATAATAAATCTTCATGCAGTCGTTATAAGGCAATAAATCGCAAAGTAAATTTTGTTGTCCTTTTTTAATATAAGTAATATTTGTTAAAAGATCGTAATACATTACGAATTTAAAAATACTAAAATTATAGAAACACAAATATTCTTTTAAAAAGTAAAAAATACGGCATTTAATTTATTCACTTAAAAAGTAATTTACATTTATGTAATGTATTGAAATAAAATATACATTAGTAACATGTTATAAATATTTTTTGCTTCTCCTAACAACAAATACCTAGTTGTATAAAACAATCGAATTTTTTCAAATAATTTATGTAAATCTTCATTTTATTTCTCAATAAATTCGTTATTTCTCGATAGACTCAAAAAGCACTGGAAAAATATTTTTTTTCCAAAATGTCATGGCCTCCATTATGATTTTTTTAATATATTTTTCATTATAATTTATCACATTAATGGAAACGTTTTTGGAAGTTTCGAAGTCATGATTTGCCATGCAAAAATACCCTTTCACTTTTTTCGCCATTAACATTTGCAATTGTATCTGAGCTAAGTACTTGTCATTGATTTTATGTTTTTTTGAAATATAACGATATTCGGCTTTTTCTGACATCGGACATTTAACCTCTACAACGAAGTTTTCTCCTATTCCATCAGGAGAAGCTCCAATTGCTGGATATTTATCATTTAATAGCAATCCACATTTTTCTACTTTTATGTTTTCAGTTTCTTCTAAAACTCTAAGAACTTGATTCTCTAATCTTCGACCTCTCTCCATAGCTTCATTATCTCTCAGTTTCGACACTCCCATTATCCTATTTGTTAATGATCCATCGACAGTTTTACATTTAGAAGCTTCGTGAATATTTGAAGCAGTTATCCTACCATATCTAAGTTCAAACCATAAAGTCGAATTGCTTTGATCCCTCGTTAGTTTTTCTACTAAATCAATTAAATTTGCATCCAGAATATTTTGTGCAAAATCTACAAATTTCAAAACATTTTTATCATTTTTTTGGGAAAAAAAATTTATCATTAAATGATGCATTGATGCAGTTTTCTCGAGATTTGTAGGCAAAAAATATCTGGATAGCTGACAGTCATGATTATGTCCTTTCATTTGCTCTACTACTTTATTTAGAAAACTATTGTCACTTTGAAAATCAATATTTTTTGGTTTCTTTATGTCTGTTAGTCTTAAATATTTTAAACTCATGACTGCATTTGATAAAGTAGGTTTTTTCCAATAACAAATAGTGGATGTAGGAGAAGGTTCTTCACTTCGACGATGCAGCCACATGAGAAAAGCAATGCCATGCTTGCAGCCACCTAAAATATAATTGCAGAATAAAATGAGTCTAAAAAATTACTTTTCTCAATATTAATAACTAAAGAATTTATGTCAGCACTGCAAATGTGCAAAAAGGAATTATAAAAATATATTTTTCTAATGGTATAGTTATTACCTGCCGATGCTGCGCAATCATGACATTCGACTTTTTTAATTTTTTCGTTTTTTTCATCCACTGTCACGGATACCACATACGGTTTGTTTCGTACCCTATGTTCAGGACAAATTTTCCCTCGAACAATGCAAGAGGACCTATTTCTGCTAAGTTCTACATAACCAATTGCCTGGTCTCCATATTCTTCACGTTCGGATCTGTATATATTATAAATATTATATTATAAAAGTAATTAAATTAACAGAGGTTTATATAAATTAAATATCTAAATAATAATGAATGGCTTTTATTTTAATTAAACATAAATAGCACTTTAATAAATTAAACAATAGCAGGTAAAAAAATATATTTTTATTAACTTAGAGGTTATGTTACTTTATTTTGATTTTGTTTTTTCAAATGAATGTTTTTAGTGTATAGTAAAATGAATAAATACTTTTTAAAAACAATAGAAATTAAAGATATCCTATTAAAATAAATTATTATTAAATAAATAAATTATTGAAAATAATAATTAAGATTTATAAAAGATATATTACTTACTTTTTTGCTTTAACTCCACGAGTTTCTGCTGCATTAAAAAAATCACTCTCAATAAAAAAGTCACTGACCATTAAAACAGTCACTTTGGGCAAATTATCTGATCCAGCTTTTATATATTCAGTCATATTTTAATCAATAATTATTTTTTTTTAAACAAACATCAAAATGTACAACAAACTCAATGTTGTGACAGTTTGCAGCCAACTTGTGACGTCATACCCGCATCAGCCAATAAGAAGCCGTACAAAATCACGTGACTTTTACATTGTTATTTATGCTTCTTTTTTTATTAATTATAATTAATTCAATGAACAAAATATGTTTTAAACCATTTAATATAAATCTACATTAATTAAAGTTTATTATAAAAAATTAATTTCAAAAAAAAAATTTTTGAGAAATGAGTCTATTGAAAGATTATAGCGTAATTTTCTAGAAAATGAGAAATAATAATGATTCGACTAAAAGTGCAATTACATTTATTGTGAGAAAAATTTTCTCTTTTTTTGTATTATTACACCAGTGAAATTTTAATTCACGATAATTTGAATTATTAACTTTTTTTCATTTAGTTTTTTTTTGCAATATTTTTATAATTTTCGTGCCTCTTTTTTGTAATTTTATTTTTTTAATTATGTAGAAGGATTTTGTGAAGAAAAATGAAAAAATCGTTTTTCAAATTTGATATAAAAATAGAATTTATGTAATATTTAATATAATAATAGTTTGAGGAGAGATGAATTATTAAATAGAACTCAATTCTATCATTAATGTCAGAGAAACTCTCGTTATAATTAAACAAATGCCTTTAACGAGAGAGGTGATGACGATGCCTCTCAATTCTCAAATCAATCGATATTCGATTAAAAGCATTTAGTAAATATTTTTTGAGGCTCTACATTTTGTTTTACTTGAAAGGAATATTTTACATTCAATTAATTTTTATTATTTAAAATGAAAAAGTCAATTCCTAATGAATGTGAAAAAATAGAATATTTTGAAATAAAGAAATTTATTAAAAAATAAAAAGAATTTATCTTTCAGAAAAAGGGAAATTTTTTTTTTATTTTTCATTTATTGATTGAATTCTTTTAATAGTTAATTAATAATTAATAATTTAATAATTCTTTTAAAGTATAGAATTAAGTTTTTTTCTTTAATATTTAATTTGTCTTTTTTTAACAGTAATGGTTCCGGTATCTTCAACGGTTATACCTTTGCCAGTCTACAAAGTTGGATATGGATTTGGTTTTGCTTCAGACAAAAAATTTAAGCCCGACGATAAAGTGAAATTAATAACAGGTGAAAATGCTCTCTTTTGTTACTATCCATTATCATTACTTATTTTAAATGAAATTAATCAAATTTCTTTCCTTTAATTCATTTTCATTGACAAATAATACGATTTTTAGAACTTAATTCTAAAATATCAAAATAAACTAATTTAGCAAAGGGCTTTCTGATTATAAAATTGTGAAGAAATATTTCATTTTATAGGACTAGTGCTCGCCTGTTTTTTGTGTTTAGATTTGAACTAGATAAATACAATTTTTATGCTCTCATTAATTTGCCTCTGACGCAATAATAAAATTTTAATAGGCATGCCGTAAGAGATTTGGAACCAGTCTTTTCTCCGTCAGACATGTATTTTAATATCCAGTTTTAAGAATTACATTAAAATATATGTTGTGCAGGCGGATATTTTAGTTCACTATAAAAATTAGAATTTTTCTTTTTAACAAATTTGTTCATAGTCATAATCTAATTTAATTATTCATTTACAAATTTGTTTATTTTCAGTAAATTTAATTTCAAACATTATGTTTATTATAAACTCTGAGTATTAATTTAGCTTTTCTAATTCTTCATAATAGAAAAAATTTTGTTAATATTGTTGTTTTGTTAATTGTTTTATAAATCGTCGAAAAATTTAAAATAATTTTCTTTTGTTATTTCTAAATCAGAATTTTCTTTACATTACAGTCAAGAACATTGAAGAACACAAAGTTGTCAAAAAATTGTGAAGAGAGCTACAACAATCAAGATGTGATTTGTCAACTGAAAGAACTATCGGAGAAAAAGCTGAATTCCGAAAAACTTACTAATTTTGAGAGGAAAAAGTCATTTAAGTTTCTATAAAAGACTAATGAGCTAGTAGCAATTAAATTTAAAGATATAATGAGTAAGAAGAAAATACGTATATTTTGAAGAAATATTTCATATTCGAGTATTCTTGACTTCTTAAATTCAACTAAACTGAAATTTTATTAGCTTTCAAAGTACAAATCCTGGACTGAAAACTTTTCCAGCTACACACCAAAAAAACGAAAAAAGTTCTGTGAATTGAAGAAATTTAAAAACATTCTCAACAATAGTATAAAATTTCGAAAAGAGCAAAATCAATGTTCAACTTTTAAAATATGCAAAAATGATAAGAAAACTATTCTTTAAATTAAAATCTTGAAACTTTGTAAATTTAAATTTAAATTTTAAATTGTAAAACAGATTGTAATTATTTTGTAAAATATATTAATACACTAATTCAATAAAAAAAAGAATCTAATAATTCAATTCATATAACAGAAAATATAAATTTTTGTTTTGATAAAAGAGCTAATGTGTAATTTATAGTGATAAAATAAGATTATTTTTTTATACAAACGTAATTTTATTGAATACTATAGTAATATCTTGTTTTTATATTAAAAATGAGAATTTGCAGTAACTTGAAAATACAAAAATTCGGAAATTTTATTTCTGCAAATTATATTGACAAGTTAAATTGAAAATAGAAAAAGAAAAAAAAATGTCTTACTTAATACTGTCAATTATTGTACTTATGTTGTGTCCATATTTTGTTCCGCTGAAAAAAAAGAATTAAACGAAATAAACAAAAATACTAATATTTTTTTACTTTGTTGATACAAAAAAAATTTTAATCAATTTTACTTACTCATTTCATTAAACATAAAATCATCCTGATATTCTTTTAAGAATTGTGTCGATCTATTCTCGTCAACGAATAATGAATAAACTCGCTTTACGTCTTCGATACCAACCTGAAATTAATTTTTAATTTGAAATACTACGATTATTAATTTTTAATACAAAATTATTATTTTTCAATTCAAAATTATTGATTTTTAATTCAAAATTAAAATTTTAAAAACTTAAAATAGTAAAAATAATTTTTAAGTAATGATGTGATGAAAAAGTATTAGAATACCTCGGTGCTTTTTCTCTTGCGACTAACGAGCGACGCAGTGGTAATTAATTGAATAGCATATCTCAAAGACGTTTCCAAAGCAATGCGAGTAAGTACCAATAATGCGTCGTCCGTCATTTCGCAATCTTCCTCCTCACATCTAATTTTCAAAATCTCTTTCAATTCCTTCTCCTCATAAGGTTTAGTTGGAACGATAATCATACGATCTAATAAATCAATTGGCATTCCATGAGCACTTTTGTAACATGTGCCTCTTATTCTCGTAATACCTGCAGAATAAAAAACATTTTTCTATATTCATTCTCTATATAAACATTCTTCTATTTCTATTAAATATAATTTTTCTATTTTTACCTCGATTTGTAGCCATAATAACAACAGGAGCCATATCGTTCTCCAGGGCACGATTTAAAAACGAAAAACACTCAATATCGAGCATGTGCACTTCGTCAATGAACAAAACTCCAGGTACAATTTCCGCTTTCCCTTCTTCTCGCCATTCGGAGATTTTTCCATTAATTTGTTCTCGGACTTCGGATTTAATTTCACCAGTGTCGCCGGAGAAGAGAGCAAGAAATCCATGTGTTCTACTGTTAATAACATCGATCTCGTGAAGACTAACTGTGTGAACGACTTCTTTTCGCTTTTGTAATTCACCTTCTGGACATTGAACAAATCGAGTCTGTGCTCCAGTTGCATCATAATCACGAGCCCTGGTGAAAGAGCGACCGAGTCTGTTTATCTTCCCTGTTGCCTTGTCTATTGTTATTACATCGCCGGCTTGAACCTTTAACAAAAGAAAAATTCGGTAAAATTTTCAAAAAAGGAAAAAGGAAAAAGGAAAGAAATCAATATTTACCTTCTCCTTCATCAGACTATCAATCATTTTATTTCCCAGGTCATAAATCGTCTCCATTTCCGTTGTTTTCAAAGTAAGTTTACCAACTTTCGCCCCAACTCCAGTTGCTGGTCTGTCAACTTGAATTTCAACGACTTCGCCTTCGATAATTTCTGTTTCCTCCTTAATTCTCACGCCAATTGATTTGCGAAAAGCTTGCGTTAATGCCTCGGTTTTACTCATTTCTAGGGAATAGATTTCGGAACCTGCCATTGATGTGAATGGTGTGTCTTGACCAAGGGCTTGAGCAAGACCCATGGCAATGGCAGTTTTACCGGTACCAGGTTGTCCAGCTAATAAAATTGCTCTTCCCGCAATTTTACCATCCTTAATCATTTCCAGAATAACTCCCGTGGCTCTTCGAGCCATAAGCTGTCCGACCATTCCCTGTGATACCTGAAAATGGAAAATAAAATATTAATAAATATTAAAATTAATAAACCATTTAATTATTCCCTTTTCTACTCACATTTCGAGCTTCTAAACTGTCGTTTAAACCAAGACCTCTTATATGAGAATGTGCGCCAATTCTTTCGATTCTCGTTATCTCGCGAACTTCCTGCACTTTTGCTACAGCCACAGACTGAAAAATAATAACAATTATTATAATTACTAGCAAATGTTACGCAATTATAAACTACTTTACTAATTATAATTATTCTTGTTTATTAACTTCAAAAAGAATTTCATTTAATAACATTTCATAAAAGAATTCAATTTTTAAAAAAAATTTTAATAATATTTTTCGAAAAAATTCAATTATTTTATAAAATTTTAATAAAGTCTTCGAAACAATTCAATTATACATATTTATAAATAGTAAAATTCTTTGCAAAAATTCAAATATTTTTAATACAATTTCAATAAGAAACAAAAAAGCAAACAACTAAGTTCAAACTGCGAACAGATTAACGGAATACAACGATTATTATTACAGAATAATAATAATAAGAAATAATAAAAATATATTTGAGTTTAGATTTGAAAAACTTTGAGGTTATGTTTGCCGTTTGTTTAATCGATTATTGCTCTGATGTATTCTTTGTATTTATATAAAATAGAAAACGAGTAAAAAATAAAGGAAATCGCACTATTTCAATAAAAATTAATAAATAAGTTCAAATTTCAAATTTGGAAAATGAAAATCATGAAAATCGAGGTAAAATTTAGAGGTTACGGCGCGGATACAATTTCAAAAGTATAAAAACATAATTACTTAATTTCAAAACGAAATTCTTTTTCTCTTGACAAAAGAACTTTAAATTAAACTACTTACTGCCATGTTTTATCTATTTTTCATGCAAATTTCTCGAAAATAAAGCCGGCTAGGAAAAATTCGCGTTTTGTCACAAAGAAAAATATTTTTTTTCTGCATAAACACGCATGCGTCACGACGCCCGCGATATCTAATGGCAACGGGGAGAAATAAAAAAGAAGATGTTCACAGACGCAGTTATACACACATGTACAAATATCAACGTAATAATCCCACAATGTGTGTGCACTGTCTACCCGGCACACACGTGTCTGACAAGAAAGTGGAGTTTATAATTTATTAAGTGTAATTTAAACCAAAATCAATTAAATTCATCAGGACGAAAGTACTCAAGACTTGTGAATAATGTTTTGAAAGGAAGATATTTTCACTGAAGAATACCCCTTTTTTTCTGGAGCAAGACTGATTCATCTTTTTAAAACTAGGGATACGTTTGACCTTTACTGTCTTGCTTGACCTTCAGATCTACCCTGAAAAAACTTTCATTCACTCTATCTGCTCAAAAAAGGTAAATGACTCTCATAATAAATTTCTTGTATTTTAGGAATTTGTGCAAAAAAGACAATATTTTTCTACTTTTGAAAAAAAACAGGGTTTTTGGACTTTCCTCATTGTTCATTTTTTAAAGAATGACCCATTAACTTGTTTATTACGAAAGGTTCAGAGATTATCATTTTGATGACTGATTACAATCAATAGTGATCATTCAAAAAAGTTTTATTAACAAGATTTATCTCTTCATAATACAATAATGAAATATTTCAAAATTGATTTAAATTAAATTGGATAAGAATTAATATTTGTATTATTGGATGAACAATTGAATTCAATTACAATAATTGAATAATTTTTTTCTGTAATTTAGAATTATATTTTTAATTATTAATTATTAATTATTAAATATTAAAAATTAAATTATTAATTAAGAAATTAGTTATTTTTTTTAGAAAAGGTCCAAAATGTCGAGCAGGGAACGGGCATCGCGAAGATTTTATCGTCTAGACAGTACAAATGATCTACTGGGAAATATGGATCGTGGACAATCAGCACAAATTGATAATCGATGGAATTTTGAAGTTTCCTGGGAAGCTGTAAACAAGGGTATGTAATTTTAGTTTTGGAGAACAAGGATTGAAATTATCAGTTAAGTTATTAAGGATCCAAATTTATTTAAAAAGTGATTTTTTGGTGAAATTCCTCTTTTATAGTTGGCGGAATTTACACTGTGATTCGATCAAAAGCATATGTTTCGACTGAGGAAATGGGTGATCAGTACATTTTGATGGGTCCCTATAAAGAAGCGAGTGCAAGAACTGAAGTTGAAGAAATAGATTTTCCATCGAATAGTCCACTGAATAAGGCAGTTCAAATAATGCGAGAACAAGGTTTCAAGGTACGATTTCCGATTTCAATTTTTTTCAGGTTTCAACTTCTCTTTTTATCGTTCGTTGAAAATCTTTCTATTAAATTTTCTTTGCGTAAATTTCTCATTAATAGTTCAAACAGGAAGTCTTTCTCATTGAACTGCCTTGGCAATGATGTGCATTTTAACGCAATTTGGCATTTTTCCAAGCGTCTAGGCAATTTTAAATCAGGGTCAGGTTCAATATTTGTCAAAACAAATTTATTGATACGCTTTTATCATTTCTATTCAATTTTTACGTATTTATTAATTTCTACTAGAGAGAAAGAGTGTCCTAATTTTTTTTCATCCGAACAAAATACAGAGAACGAAATTTTTTATGGATTTAATTTAAACTTTCGAAATTGCTTTTTTTCAGGTCGTTACTGGTACTTGGTTAGTGGACGGAAATCCACAAGTAATATTGCTGGACATTGGAAGCGCAGCCTGGAAATTGGACGAATATAAATCAGAACTTTGGAGCACGTGTCATTTGGGAATTCCTCACTTGGACGTTGAAGCTAATGATGCAATTATTCTTGGCTACTTGGTCTGCCAATTTATTTCTGAATTCAGGTAAGTACACCAAAAAAATATTCTTTTTTTCTCATTTTTATATTTCAAAAAATTAAAACGCAGGAGAAATTAAGTATAAAGAACAAATGTTCTTTATTTAAATGAAGTAAAAATTAAAATAAAGGGATTACAGGAAATAGAAATACAGGAGGGAAATTAATTGTTTAAGTAAATAAATTTTAATTTAATTTGAATACAATAGTATAAGTTCCTCATTTTTTTCTTATTGAAACGAAAATGATAATTACGATTACGACTTACAGAAAAGCCGCGGAGGAATTCTCAACTGCTCCGCCGAGAGTTGTCGTTCATTGTCACGAATGGCAGGCCGGTGTTGGATTAATAGCTCTAAGAACAAGACACGTCGATGTTGCCACTGTTTTTACGACACATGCCACTTTACTTGGAAGATATCTCTGCGCTGGAAAGATTGATTTTTATAATAATTTGGATAAAGTAATCTAAAAGAAATTATCATTATTCTACTTTTGAGAATGGATGAAAAAGAAGATTTTTTATTTTCAGTTTAACGTTGACGAGGAAGCTGGTAAACGTCAAATTTATCATCGATATTGTATGGAACGTGCGGCAGCTCATCTCTGCCATGTTTTTACAACAGTCTCCGATATTACTGGTCTTGAAGCTGAACATTTGCTCAAAAGAAAACCCGACATTATCACGCCAAATGGACTGAATGTGAAGAAATTTTCCGCTTTACATGAATTTCAAAATTTACACGCCGTTAGCAAGGAGAAAATACACGAATTCGTGAGGGGACACTTTTATGGGTAAATTAATAAATATTCATTTCAAAAATGAAATATTTTTCTATTTTAATTTTTAATTCTCTTTTTTCTATTTAAATATTTATTTTACGTTACAGACATTATGACTTTGATTTAGACAAGACTCTGTATTTTTTTATTGCCGGACGGTATGAATTTGGAAACAAGGGCGCCGATATTTTTATTGAAGCTCTAGCGAGATTGAATCATTATTTGAAAAATTCAAAACCTGACGTGACGGTTGTTGCATTTCTCATTTTTCCAACGCGCACAAATAATTTTAATGTCGAGTCTCTTCGTGGTCATGCTGTAAGTAGGAAAAACTACTTTTTACATTCTACTTCTAATGATTATTTTTTTCCTTAGTTATTCTATTCTTCATTATAATCTTTTATAATAATTCTTTATTATAATCTTTTTATAATAATTCTTTATTATTATTATATATCTGCAAATTAAATTCTAATTATTGATTAATATTAGGAACTTTTTGTTGTTTAGTAATACAGACTACGTTTCTTTCACCAGGTGACAAAATCGCTGAAGAACACAATAGACGATATTCAACGCAAAATTGGAAAACGAATGTACGAGACGTGTTTAACGGGTCACTTGCCCGATGGTCATGACATTTTATTAAAAGAAGACATTATTAAAATTAAAGGGTAATTAAGGAGATACTAAATTCTATTATTAAAACTTTTAATTAATATTTTTTAATATTTACATTACAAAAAATCTTTTAGGTGCTTGTACTCTTTGCAAAGAAATACATTGCCGCCAGTTACAACTCACAATATTGTTGACGACTGGAATGATCCAGTGCTAAGTTCAGTGAGAAGATGTAATCTCTTCAATTCTGTCCACGATCGTGTGAAGGTGAAATCTCTTTTCTCTGCTTTTTCAAATTTATTTTTCAAAATTGAAGCAAAATTTTTTTATTCAATTAATAGAAATTATCTACAAAATTATTTTTCCAAATTTATTTTTTCAAAAGTTTTTCTTAATTTTCAGATAGTGTTTCATCCGGAATTTTTGTCATCGACTAATCCTCTCTTTGGTTTGGATTATGAGGAATTTGTCCGTGGTTGTCATTTAGGCGTTTTCCCATCGTACTACGAACCCTGGGGTTATACGCCGGCCGAATGTACAGTAATGGGAATTCCCAGTATAACAACAAATCTATCAGGCTTCGGTTGTTTCATGCAAGAGCACATAGCCGATCCAATGAGTTATGGAATTTATATTGTCGATCGTAGATTTATCGATTTGGAATCAAGTGTTCAACAACTTGCTAACTATATGTTCGATTTCGCTCGACTCAATCGTAGGCAGCGTATCATTCAGAGGAATCGTACCGAGCGTCTCAGTGATCTTTTAGATTGGAGAAGTCTTGGAATCGTAAATTGAAAATTTATTTTTTTAAATTTAATTTATTTACTAAAGTAGAATAATTTTTAGAACATTTTTAAAACTTTGATTTTTCTATTTTAATTTTTAAATCTAATATTTAGTTTAATTTTTTTTATTCCATAATATTATATCTTTTAAATTTTCTGTAATGTGTAATAATCGAAATTTGTGTTTTATTCGAAATTACGATTTTTTTTAGTACTATCGTCAAGCGAGAATAAAAGCATTGTGCACTGTTTATCCCGAGCTTGAGTCGGAATTCGATGAAGGAAATGTGGGAAGATTAAATTATCCAAGACCAATTAGTGAGCCTCCATCGCCGTCTTCCTCTAGACACACAACCCCAGCCGCTTCTGTTCATGGCTCAGACGACGAGGACGATGAAGTGGACGAAGAACAAGAGGTAAATCAACATAAATTCTCGTATCGTCGCAAGATTTAAATATTTGTCACTATAATTGTCAATTATTTCTATTTTAATGTCTTACAATAATAAACTAACATTGTGCTTCTTTAACTCATTAACTAAATGATTAAAATATATAAAATCTAATTTTTAATTAAATTGAATTTTAAATTCAACTATTATTAAAATAAATTAATAGTAATTTTAAATTAAATTAAATTAAAATAAAATTGAATATTAAATTGAATTATGAAAATAAGTTTAAAAAAAGTTTAATTTAATCGATATTAAAAAGAAAGTTTAAAACTTGTAAAAAAACAATTATTTTTTAAAGAACCAAAAAACAATTCCAATTTTCTATTTCAGTTGGAAGAATTAAGAGAAAGAAAATAAACTTTAATGCAGTACATAAGCACGAGAATCAAAGTCGCAACTAAAATATATATAATTTAGTGAACAAACTCACACAATACTCCAAGATTGATTTGTTAAGAATTTTTTATTGTGCACTAAACGCTTGAATGAGTTTTTTGATTTTTCCTGGGATGTATAGGAATTAATTTTTAAACATGACTGCTACAATAAGAATATCCGTAAATGATTTTAATATTTATATAAATAGATTTATTAATATTCTCTCAACTGCCTATAGACGACGGATTTTGCTTTTTTAAAATGTTGTTTATTATAATAATAGTATTAATAAACTAATCATTGTATGTATTGTTGCATATATCTGTTGTCTTTGATGATGAATGATAGATTTTACTGAATTGTTAAGAACAAATAATCTGAATTTTAAAAAATGTGATTGTGATTCTTTTAAACTATATGAATTAATTTGTAAATTTATGAATTTTTGTTGGTCTCCATTTTTATGTAAATGTATACGTATTGTTCAAAACTATTTTAATAATTACAATGATTTTTACTGATTTATTCGCATGCCTTTTTCTTAACCCTCGAAAAATGTAATTAAAATGAATATTTTGTATTCCTCCTCTCTGTGAAACTAATAAATTATTACATTCGATTTTAATAATTAATAAATTTAAATAGTCATATTTTATTTTTTGTATATTCGCCAGGTGAAATAAATTGATGCAAAATTAACTATCATAACAGTTTTAATGTTTCAATTTTTTACAGGTAAGTAATAAAATTAATTATTACAAATAATCTCATTGTCAAATTATAACAGTTGCTTGTAATAAATATAATGAATCTGTAGTAACTTTCTTTACGTTTTTAAATCATTAATTAATAATAATAAACTTCGTAACGATTTACATACGAGACTTCATAACAGTTCGGAAGCAATTTTATCCGAAGAATAAATAAAAATGCACAATAGTTTTTTTTTATACTAAAAACTGTCATTAATGTTGTACATATTTTCTATTAATTTATTTATTATCTATTGTTTTATTTCGTTCCCTAAATACATTTTTTCTATTACAAGTAATATATAAATATATATAATATATTTAGCGAATAATAAATAATACTTTGAACACAATTGGATTTCGATTATGTTTATTGCTTTACGGAAGTAGTTTAAAAAAAAAAAAGAATACTAACGTCGCCAAATGATTTCATTTTTCTAATTAGACCGAATTCTTTTCTACATTATTATTCTAAGGTTTAAAAAATCTACAATATTTTAAATTCGTATTTTACGTATATATAAGAGGGAAATAAAACAAAATAAAGAAATGTACATTGACGTACATTTTAATTAATGATGGTAAAATATTTTAATAAAATGATGAAAAAAATTATTATCCTATCCACGATTATTTTTATTATTAAAACTATATAAATATATAGGTTTCATAAAACGTGCATAATTTGAAAATTTGCTTTTTATGATTTTCTCTTCTTGTTTAAAATTTTTCTTTCTTTTATTATCATTAAGTCGTAATTGCTTTTCTAAACCGTGTAAAATTGTGTTCCTTTCTTTTTTTTTGAATAATGAAAAATGGAATTAAAACCTGTGTCAAATCGTAAAAGATCTCTGACATGAAAGTGCTTTAGTTGTTTTGTAAAGTTTGTAAATTTATAATTTTTAATCATAAAAGGGAATTTTTTTCAAATTGTTAGAATTTATTATTATAAATTGAGAATTTAGTGATATAATTCTAAATTTATAATTATAAATAAAATGCTTGAAAGAATAAATAATAATGATCGTGGAATTGATTTTTATACCTTATTCATCGATAAATACAAAATTATCACTTCCTGTCCAATAATTTACAGTACGGAGATTTTTATCTGCTTTTTAATATCAAATGTACATACCTAAATTTTTGTTTTATTTTTTGACACGTTTTGAATTTTTTCGTCGTCTTCCTCTTCCTCTTCTTCTTCCTCCTCCTCTTCTTCTTCTTCTTCCTCTTCTTCATATTCTACTTCTTCTTCTTCTGTATCTTCAACTTCTACTACATTATGTATTTCACTTTCTTCTTCTTCCTCCTCTTCCTCTTCATATTCCTCTTCTTCTTCTTCTTCTTCTCCTTCTGTGTCTTCAACTTTCGTTACATTGTGTATTTTTACTTCTTCCTCCTCTTCTTCATCTTCTTCTTCTTCTTCTTCTCCCTCTTCCTCTTCTTCTTCTTCTTCCTCTTCGTCATCATCATATTCCTTCTCATTGTTATTAAAACTATTTTGTGCTACAGAAGCATCATATTTAGGTTCGATATTCTGTAATACAACGAATCTCTCATTTTTCTGTTTATCTTTGAAGTTAATTTCTTCTATTTCCTCTTCCTCCTCCTCTTCTTCTTCTTCCTCTTCTTCATCATCTTCTTCATACTCATCTTCTTCGTCCTCATCTTCTTCGACATCGACTCTATTATGTTTCTTATAATAATCAATTACTTCCACTTTTTGATCAAGAAATTTCTCTTTTTCTTGAATATTCGTAATTCGATTTAGATTCGTATCTTCCTTTTTATTCAAAATTTGATTTGAATTCGCATCCTCTATTTCATCCATCACTAGATTTGAATTTGTGTCTTCTTTTGTGTTTACAACGCCATTTAAAATTGTTTCTACTTCCATTTCCGTAATTTCTTCGTCATCCTGTAATAAAAAAAAGCGTTGGAATATTTAGGATCTCAATGTTAACATTTTATTCAACTTTAGACTAATTTTGAATATTAAACAATATATTTAACGGGAAACTATGCATGCATTAGGTAGTAAAACAATTAGTGTAAAAAAGTTAGTAAATTAAAGTATTACTATTAGTAAGAATAATTTAATTTGAAGCCATTCATTCGTTTTTTTTTAGTATTAAAGCCTTGACAGTTTATTTAATTAGATAATTCAAAAAGCTTTCTTACTTTTAAAATAAATTATTTTGTTAGAAATAAACAAATTTAGCAAAGCTATATTTTTTACTAATTTTAGTATTATGTTAAGAAAAAATATTTTACTATTCAAGAGAAATATTATCAACCTCTATTTTTGTTAGTAAAAATGCAGAAAACAATTTCACTCAAATAACACAAATGACAGGATTAAATCAAGTATATAAATTATTTAAATCAATTGTTTTGTGAAAAATTCTGGGAAAATTCAAATTAAATCAATAAATACTAATTAAGGAAAAAATACAAATAAACTGAGTATAAATAAAAATAATAAACAAAATTAAAAGAAAACAAAAATAAATGTAAATAAGTAAAAGAAATTTTAGCTAAATAAGTACTTGAATTTTCTGATTACTTTAAATTCCTGTTATCTGTGACTGAAAAAATGATTAGTACTTTGTTTTAAATAATTAGCCAAACTGTCAAATGAATGAAAGAATCACCAAATAAAACTAGTTCCCGTAGTTCGATTCTGTTGATAATTCTAATATTTTCTTACAGCTGGAATCTGGTCGAGACTGATGAGGGAAAGGGTCATTTTGCCTGAGAGAACAACTGGTGCCTCGGCGCTTTCTTCTTCTTTCACTGTTTGGGTCTCCGAATTCGTCACAAGAAGCTCACACTGTGATGGTAGTGCACCCTCCAAATAAATAGGCACTGGTGGCGTTTTCTCCCGTTCGACGTGACTAATACATTTTTTAAAAATTAATATTGTACATATTTCTCTATTTATTTCAAAAAATATATTTCTTTGTCTATTTCAAAACTTTAAAAATTTAAAGAGGAAAATAAAATCGAAAAATTTTACTTAATTTCAAATAATTATTACCTGCTGTGTCCAGGAAAAGTGGGTGTTGTCGGTCGACTGCATTTTTGTCCACCTTCACAACTTGCTGTCATTTCCACGTTTAGAACTTTAACTTCGCCATGTGAAGCGTCATCCAAATCTTCGCCTTCTTCGTCCTTTAATTCGAAATTTTACATTAATACACTTTCAAATTAAACAAAATTATTTATTTCTTCTACTTCTATAAAAAATAAATAATTATTTATTCTATAAAATAATAAAGACGTATTTATTATTTTTTTTAGATAAATAAATATTAAACGAAAATATTTCGAGTGTTCCAAACAAATAGCTTTTGTTTTAATTCCAGTAAGCAAATTGCAAGACGATTCTTTACCGTTGCAATTGAAAACATTACAGTTGCATTCTAAAAAAATCTATACGTAAATTCAGCGCTAAAAAAATGAAGCTTAACCAACTTCAAACCATTTAAAACAAAAATTTCTATTATTATTTTACCTTAAAGGTAAATTAACATTAATTCGAGAATCATGCACACAATTAGGAAAATTAACTAATTGACGACTATCTCTATTGTTTAAAAAATACCAACAAAAAATTAGGCGAATAATTTTTTCATAAATGTAAAATTGTACGAAAAAATATATGAAATAGTTTATGAAACAAATTTTAAAAGGAAATAATTTTTTTTCATTTTGCATAATATTTAAGAAATTGAAATTGATGAAATCATATTGTCATAGATTATTTTGCTATAAGAAAATATATATATACAAAGTTATGAAAGTTTACATCAAATCGCTGATTGTTAGACAAACTTTCAGAAGCTTTTTTTAGAGAATAATACCTTCAACTTATGGCCAACTGCCAGCAGACCATTCGATTTTGGAGCTTCATCTAATTCTCAAAATGTAAAATTATATTTTTTATTGTTATTCTATATATAAAAGTAGTTTTTAATTAATTATTAAATTCTACAATATTTCCATTTAAAAAAGGAAACTAATTCCCATACTGCAATCGAAAAATCTCGATAAATATGATTTTATCTTGTTTTTAATTTTCATTTAAAATTATTAGCCTCGAAAATATTGTTTTATTATCGCAAATTGTTTCTGCGATTAATCTCATGACAGAAAAGCTTTGAAATGCAATCAAAAAACACAGCAACGTGCAAAGTTTGTACATTTTGATTAAAAAAGTGAAAAGAAAAAAAAAAGAAAAAGAAATCGATCGTATATTTTTTTTTCTTTTTTGTGAAATTGATATACAATCAACCTTGCATTCGGACTGTGGGCTTGATATATGCATAACTGAACGTGATAAATTGCCCATTCGAGCAACAATTCGTTCCATGGCTGCTTCTGTCTCAACCAATCGTCGCCTTAGTTGATCTATCTCTATATCTCCTGCTGCTTCTATAGTGTTCCAGCATGTACAAAATTACCAAATCGATTCAAAATTTTTTCATTTAAAAAAAGAAACAAAAAAATTAAAATCGTAATTGTTAAACCTACACTAAATTTTTTGGAGCAAGTTTTTAAAATGAAAAACATGAGAGAAAAATGTGAATTAAATTGAATTGATTGATGCAAAAAAAGAAAAGAATTAATTTAATTCACATTTTCGTGAAATTGTTTTGATAATTTGAAAAAAAAATTCTTACGTTCATTTAACTCTTCTATTGTTGGCACTGGTTTCATGGAAGTGGATGGAGGTGTCTGTTTCGGTGTGGGAATTGTACCGCCAGTCATTGCCGTTGTAAAAACGTCAGGATTAAAAACCATTTTCTGAAATTCCCTCTCAGCTTCCGCATTTGGATACGGATTCGAAATTATCTCATTATCGGAACTTTTCTTTAGTACCTGTGAATTATTTTCCCCGCATAAAACAGTGATTTTGAATTTTAAAATGAAAAATAAAAAAAACTCGAGATGAAAACTCACTTTTGAAATAGTGTACAGGAAAAAGAGGACAATGCCTACGGTGTAGAGGGGCATAATAATTCCCATAGTTGAGTTTCCTTTTGGTGCCGGAACAACATGTCCGGCTCCTCCCATCGATGGTCTCATTTTTATCGGCGATGCAACATGATCAGGACGACCCTGAATTCTTGGCACTATATGGGATGAGGGTATCGCTCTTCCTTTTTCTCTCATTGCTGGATGTAAACCACCAGCGTGAGGTGGAGTTCGTCTCTCTTGTCTTATAGTACCTGAAAAAAATGTTTTCTTAGATTTTTAGGTAAAAACATGAATATTAACAGAGAAAATATAAAATATTTATTCTACGGTTAAATATATTAAAATTAAATTAATATTACGTGATTTATCCTTCTAACAATATAAAAAAGAAAAATTGTCATATTTCAAGAAATAAAAAATGTTAAATGTTTTAGTAAATAAAAATGATCAAATTGCGTTAGTTTTTTAAAAAGCCGGTATTTTCGACTATGATGACAGTTCAGCCCTGATGGAATTCGTTCATGTTAATTTTGTTGGCATTTAGCCATTAAATGAAAATGCTCTATGCCATATATATCCGATGACCCAATCCAGCCAAAATTTGTGGTTTAAGCACATTTTTAGAATGCAGATCAGTATTTTTAATTCATAGGAATTTTTCTTTTTTTAATATCTCGATTATTAATAGTATGTATTATTAAAGATAATTAAAAAGCCATGACAGTTAGTTTTGAAATTCAATGTTAATATAATTGACGAATTCTATTCTGTCTCCTTACTGTGAGGCATTAAAATATGATAACGTATAAGATGCGGTGTTCCCAATTGAGATAAGGATATTCCAAAATTTAATTTCAAACACAATGAACTGTTGAATGAACGAATTTCCTCCAAAATTTGTTTATTAGATTTTCCCAGTCTTTCCGTTTCGGCCAAAAAAACTGTCAAATCAATTCCACAACGAGCTAATACTTGCTCCTGGCATAATTTCACACTCTGTGGGGTTAATTTTCCAGCTGTCAAAATGTCCCTTACACGAGGATCAACCTGATGATGCTTGACAATATTCCGACACATTTCTTGCATTATATCCACAGTGTTTACATCGCTTTCGAAAATAACGTCGCAACAAGCTAATGGAATATTAATAAAAAAAGGATAATTTATGTACAATTTAATTCAAAAATTATTTTCCCTTCTATTTTGTTAAACATAACCTAAATTTTTCTTTTAAATCCTTTTCATTCAAAATATTCAAAATACCGCTTTATAATGATCTTTTCAAATAGAAATTTTTTATACTTAATTACAAAATTGTTTAAATTAATTTGTATTCATAATAAAAAAGAAAAACAAACAAAGTAGAAAATAAAATCAGAAATACTTAAAAATTGATAAAACTGGTTAAATTCATTTAAAGTGTAATTACTTACCGGAATCAAGATTCTTAGGGGCTGGTGGTGGATTAATTGATCCAGAAAGCATTGGATAAAATATCTTTGGAAATAGAATAGCAAAACATCCAGCGACAATGGCTAGAACAATCATTGTTTTCCTAGGACCAAAATCCGTTATCTCAGCCATTGTTTATTTTCGTTGCGTATTTTTTTCAACTCCTTGACGTAATTTTTAATTTGCCAATTTAAAAAAAAGAAAGAAAAGAAAAAATGTCACGCCTTTCTTCGAGAAGCCATCAAAAACAGCACAATCTGTCCAGATGACAGCAAAACTACTCTCTTAAAACCTTCCCTTCCGCAGTCGCAGATCGCAGTGTCTTCTGCTAATTTTGTTCTTCCAGGGCCGTCAGTATAAGAATCTCTCTCTTTTAAAAAAAAAAATATTTCCGATCAATTTAAAAAAAAAAAATATTCGCATTTGGGTATCTTTAATAGAAAGATAAAATTTAAAACTAAATAATTTAAATTAAGTAATTTATTTTACCTGGTGTAATTATTTATCCTGATAATAGTGAACTTAACAGAGAATTTTTGAATTTTCCCAAAAAGAAAAAGTTAAGTTTGTTTTTCTCTCGCTTGGAAAAAGGGACGAAATTTTTTTTTCACTTCGCAGACACGTTATTTTGTAATTCATATTCTAATTCTATTTAACAGTTTTCAACTTTTGCTGAAAATAACTTCACTAACAACGCGTCAGTCAGCTTGAAGAGAAAAACTATTAATAGCAAATTGGGCAATGTCAAATAAATGTTTAGTAAAGTAACCTTGTATATGAAAAAAAAATTTTGGGAGAAAAATAATAAATCTCACCCAGGCAAAAATCCTTGATAATTTCAAAATTTACTATTATATTATGAATTGAGATGAATAAACTTGCTTCTGTACAATATTTTTATTGCATCAAGCGACTGGATTATTCATTCATTGCAATTTTTTTTAAATTATCCTAATAATTAAAATTCTATGTAAACTTGATTTTCATTCCGGACCTCCACGCTGAAAATGAAAAAATATCACGTTTCGTAATTTTCTTCTGCGAAAACCTCTTCTTTCATTAAAAAAAAGTATTTTATAAAAACACTAAATAAGATTTAAAAAATAATGAATGAAATAAAAAAGTAAATTCTCTCACATTAATATATTCGATTTCCTTTTGATCAATTCTTCGTCGATGATATCGTGGTGGTAATTGTAAATCATCAATAATCGGTAAAGGAATCACATTAGGTCCGGTAGCACCGCTAATTTTTCCCGATGACGACGTCCCTGCCGGTGGTGCAGATGTAGTGGATGTTGCTCCACTGACAACTAACCAACAAAAACAATGTTCTATATTTTGTCCAGCATTTATATATAAAAAAAATTACACTTCAATAACAGTAAAATGTAAATTAAATTTACCTCTAGTTATTCCACCTTTACGGAATTTAATTAACGGCACGTGAGCCTGAACCACCTAAAAATGATAAAAGATAAAAGTAGAATTTGTATTCCAGTCAGAAATAATACTATTAAATTCAAATAAGACTCAAATTTATAATTACCTTCCATCCTTTGCTAGCCATCATTACATACAGTTTAAATTAATAAATATTTTTATTGAATAATGTTTATTTTTCATTGAAAAAAAAATTACCGAAATTTACTTATATAAAGTCAGCCATCTTGGTTTCTATAGTAACTAATCAGTCGGCCAATCATATGCTAAAACGAAAATTAAAACTTTTTCTGATTCGTCAAGAAATTACTATTCTTTAACCAACCGACTAATGACGATTCAAAATAAATATTAAGCCGCTACCGCTTTTGTATATATTTTCTTTTTGGAGTAAATAAATTATTTTTAAATAAATCTTCAATGATTCCGAAGAAAAGAAGATTTTTGTGTACTTAATCAGGTGTATAAACAATAGAAATTAAAGGAAAATAATTTTACAATATTTTATAAACTAAAAGTGACGTTTATAGAAATGAAGCTTAATGTTCTTGTCCATAACCACACATTTTTTTACAAATGGCGACCGCACTAGGAACTGTTGGCTGGGAAGGTATTTATTTTAATTTATGAATAATTTTACCTATATGATTGACAACTATCGACTGTCATAGTATTTTTAAGTCTTCTATTAATCGAAGCAAAAAGTTTGATTAGTAAACAATGAGAATTTACCTAATTTCAAGAAAAGTGAATGAACTGTTGATTTTGACAGAAAAACAAGGGAATACTACGTATTGCATTTTATCACACTTTCAAAATAAACTATTACCTGTTGCTTTTAAACTCCGAACATGAAATATTAATTCGTTTATAAACTCTTTAAATATGAATTAATATTATAAATATTAATTATAAACTATAAATAAGAAATCGACTATATACATTTTCTTTTTGAAAAGAAAAACTGCAATTATTTGCATCAGAATATTTTTGTCTATATAATTAAATGAATATGCAATTTTCACGATCTATTACTAAACTAAAAAGAAATTTCCCTGTGAAAATAGTTGAGAATATTAATGTAAAATTAAATTAGTATAAAAGTATGATTAATTAGAATTTTACCAAAGTAACCACGTCAACAATTTTTTTTCTAGATCTTCGTAAACAAGCACGTCATGTGGAAAATGAAATTGATGCGAAATTAGTGGCTTTCAGTAAATTAGGAGTAAACACAGCGTCGAGTCATGCCAGTGCTGATACAGTTCCACTATTGGATGAGGAACATGTTTTCGAAAACATGGCCACGGAAATTGAAAATCTTCTGTCCAAGGTAATTAATTTGCTTATTTTACATTGGCAGTTCTAACTTGAAAAATATTAACCTAAATTTTATGGTCAAAGAAGAAAACTAAACAATTTGGATAATTTTCAGTTAAAATCATTAAATGACAGAATGAGTGAAATTCAACCAAATGGAGCCGCAATGTTGCATACAATGCAAAGACACAGGGATATTTTGAAAGATTATAAACTGGAATTTAATAAAATACGAAATAATTTTGTGGCAAGAAAGGATCGTGAAGATCTTTTGGGTGATATTCACAAAGAAATTGAGTAAGAATCTATTTTTAATCAATTCATTTTCTATAAAAATGATTTCTCAATTAATAAAAAATTTCTGAACTTTTTTTTTCAATTTTTTTTTTAGCAATTACAAATCTGGTGGCTTGAATCGCAGAGACATGTATCTTAAAGAAAGTCAACATTTGCATAAGTAAGTGAATTTGTCAATTATTGTCATATGTACCTTTTTTTATTATTGAATATTTTTTTAATTATATTAATGATCAAATTTGTATTTTTTAGTTCCGATCGTATGATAAACGATCAGATCAGTATTGCTATTGAAACACGTGATCATTTGATGTCACAACGTCAAACGTTCAAAAGATTTCAAACGAGATTCAACGACATTTCAAATCGTTTTCCAGCAGTAAATAGTTTAGTTCAAAGGATACATTTACGTAAGAGGAGAGATTCTGTGATTCTTGGTCTTGTTATTGGTTTTTGCACATTTTTAATGCTTCTTTATGCTTTCCATTAAAACAAAAAAAAAGCTTCTTCCCTTTGTTAAACCAAAGTGAATTTTATTTAAAAAAAAAACTGTCGGGCTATGGTTCAATTTTCAAGTCAAAGTGCATTTTTCATGACTTAGATTTGTATGAATTTTCTTTTGTTTTTGAGAGACAGACAGAAATGAAAAAAAAATATGCAAGACTGCAAAAAAATATGAATGTGAATTGTACAGATTTTATACTCTCTGTAGATATAGAATGTGGAACGTCTTTAATACATAATCCACGATTGTTGACTAATTGAAAAAAATAAATTATAACATCTATGAAAAAAATATGATTCGTTTTTTATTATAGAGAAAATAAATTGGAATTAATTGGTAAAAATTTGGATATTTTTCAAGGGTAATGTAAAATGCAAAAGACGTTTTAGCTAAGGTATATTATTACAGATACATTTATACATGTATATGTTACATACATATATATATGTATAGCATCTTCGACTTGTTTTTTTTAAGATCTCACCAACGTATTCGTCTTAAAAACGGAAAAAATTTTTCATTAACTATCATTTTTACCAGATTCACACTTCTCGTCTCACGGAAAGCGCGTCAATACTGGTTGTCTAGATATGTTACTTTATCAAATTTATAATTAATTTATTTTCTTCAATTTTTGGTAGTGTTTTTTCAACAATTCTCTTATAAGTAAAGACAATATTTTTCTCCAAAATTACTAGCATGATCAATCTGAACAATTTGTCAATTTATTCTTTTTGCCGAAAATTTTTCACTGAAACCAGCTTTGTCACGCTTAAAAAAAACACTCTCGATAAAAGTAATATTCCGTTCAAACGTTACAAACATGACCACAAACATCTACTCAGTGTACAATTCAATCCCTACACTATATCTTTGAATATAAATATATCATCGTATGCATTTGTCAATTTCTAGTAAACGCTAACAATAGTAGTAGTAATCTTGATGACAAAAAAGAGAGATAGAGAGAGAGAGAAAGAGAGAATGGTGATTTTTGAATATGGCTAAAAAGCATACACACGTTGTTCGAATGAAACTTACAATCAGGGATTTTGTATGCAAACCACCTGTTTGTTTATGAAGATTACAAAATAAGTGTTCTACAATTATTAAAAACGGCACATGTTCTAAATCGACAAATAAAAAAATCGATTCAAATTTTTACCGTTCAAAAAAGCTCAAGATTCTTTAAATAGTGCGATGTACCCTGACCATCGTAATACTGTATGTAAAAAAAGAAATTATGAAAATTATAATCAAAAAATACGAAGCACAGTACTGGTCACAAACATTAAGCCATCTATTTTTTTTTCTTATTGAATTCTCCAAATAATAAAATCTTCTCTCGTTTTCAAATCATTTTCTGACAGAAAAAAATATACCCAAAAAAGTGTATATTTCTGAAAAATAATTGTATAAAAAATAGTTTAAAAAAATTTTGAAAACAAATTTTTTTAAACTTTTAAAAAATCACTTTTAAAAAATAGTAGCTTCTTGTTGTCAGTACTGTATTATGCCGACAACATTTACTTCCGATTTTCAAATATTTCTAGCATAATAACAGTATAATAATGACAATATATAGGTATTGATAATAAACAGCAAACTTCTAATTATTATTTAAGTGGGCGACTTCTTAGCCCTGTGCTTTTCTTTAAGATTTTTAATATTGAAAACTCATCAAAAGTATTGTCAGTGAATTCTTTTTAACTGCAAAAAAAATTTACAAATTCTTTTATTCAAGAGAAAAAAAAATTAAACAGAATGAAATCTAAATGTTCTGTATCCATTTTGAGGATACAATTTTTTTAATTTCTTTTTCAAATAGGGCACAGCCGAGATGATGGGTCGCTCGGGATCGATCATCCTACGTCAACTTTTTTTTTTTTCTTTATAATATTTATATATTTATAAATTTATGTATAGCAATACTAGATCTCGTTGAAATTAAAAATTTTAGCGCGAAATAAAAAAAATATATAATATGTATAATAGAGATATTGTCCGGTTTGAAAGGTGTTTTTTAAAAAAACCTTCATTACCAGAAAAAAAAAACAAAATTAAAAAAAAAGGAAACTAACTACAATAATAAATTTCATTTACCCTCGAAGCTCCATTTTTTTCTTGAACATTTTTTTTTTGGGGGGGAGTAGGATTTTTCAAATATATATATATATCGACTTTTCGAGATCAATCCAGTTAAAACGTCTGCTCCTCAGTTTTTTCGGCGTCTGTCGACAGTGCTTCACGTAACGCTTCTATGCACGATTTTGGAATCAGTGTGCCAACAATTTTGAGACCCTCATCTGTAAAAATAGGTGGAAATGGTGAAAAGTGTTTTTTTTTTTATTTTTTGGATGAACGGGAAAATATACTCACCGGTACGTAGTCGTACGACTTGCATTTTTGAATTGTGTCCAGAGCGGGCGGCGAGAACGCTCTCTACACGACTCCAGACGCTGAGAACAGAGCCGGCAAGGACGTTGTAGGATCTCCTGCGTAAACCAACCTCGCATTCCTGACCGAGTGTCACATTTTTACAATTACCTCGCCAATAGGCGTGCGAACATGTATTCACCGACGATTCGTATTGTTGGGTCCAGTGCGATTCAGCTTCTTCGGACGGTACTTTTTTGTACTTCTTCTCTAGTTCGCCCAACGATTCCTGACGCAACTGTAGTCCAGTATTTGGCCTGAAAAACAAATTGACAAATTTCATAAAATAAAAATCTATTTCGAGAGTCGAGTCAAAAATTATTTAAAAAGAAAGGATTGTGTCGTACCTATAGACCATGTAAAGTTGATCTTTCTTGCCCTCGGCCTTCTTCTTCCCACTGTCTACAGCAACCGCGAGAATTGCAGTTTGTTTGCTGTTTCTCACTTGATGACTCAAGTAAAAACCTTCCTTAGCTCCGGAGAGTTCCGACCATCGGTCAGTGGCCTCTGCCCAACTCATTCCTCGCTCTACATGCACGACATGCAATTCTGTTGGTGCAACACCCGTTGCGTGCTTCCTCAGGAATCTAAATAATCTCACTCTCCGAACATTTTCACCAGAAGTGCCAAGATCGAGAATTCCCATGTCAAACTTCCCTGTCTTCTTCGCAGTCGTAATAATCGCATTCAACGTGTCCGTGAAATATTGGAAAAGTCGATTTTGCAAATCGACCGGCATACCGAGTATTCGATTCAAAAACTTGGACATATTTGTGAAATCCTTATCGAGCGACAACACACCGGGCATACTATCACTATTGCAAATTAATCCCACTCCCACAAGAGCGTCAGCGACGTCCTTGAAGAAATCTCCTCTATAATCTTGTGGTGGTGGAACCAACGGTTGTTCATACCTGCAAAAAAAATCACAGAAAATAAGAATTTCAAAAATTTCAATAATAAGAATTTCAATATAGTTTTATAAATAAATATAAATCATAAAACTTACCCCATAATTGTTTTCATAGTGGCCTCAAGTGCCGAGCGTCCGTACTTATTATCAATGTTAAATTGCGATAAATCGCGCGTCTCAGTCGCCCGTCGATCACCATGTGTCAGAGCGCCAAGACTCTCGAGACGTTTGGCGACAATCGATGCGAAACGTCGTTCACCGGCAAGATCGGAAATTAGGAAAATATACTCGGGTGCATTGACCTGATTCGAACGATGTGTACGACCAAATTGTTGTATTGCACGATCAGCACTCCAGGGCAATTCCAAAGTAATATGAACACGACGCATTTGATTACGAGCGCGTCGATCACTTTGCAGGGAAATACCGCTACTGGCTGCTTCCGATATAATCGCAACTGTTTTCTCGCCATCCATAAATCTTTGCTTCTCCGTCAAATTCAGCGTTTCGAGTGGTACATCCGCCTCGGATCTGGATTCATATTGAATTGCGCCATCCTCCGTCTGAACGACTCTTCCCTTTCTGCCTGTCATTTCGGCAACATTTTCCGGTCCACCGAGTTCATCAATCAATTGGTCGAGGGTATTTGGTGGTAGACGATCACCGAGAGTTTCAATTTGTGCCAAAAGTTCCTCCTTCATACTACAGGCACGCTCTATAGAACTACGAGGAGGGGCTTGATTTCGAACAGCCGCTGTATTGACACCATAGGGACCGACACCTTTTCCTGTAGCCGTATCGCCATTTCGTTTGTTTTTGCTATTTGACGTTTTACTTGTCAACATCGATTGAATTTTATCTTGTGTACTTAGACGTTTCTTGACTGGTTTCTTTTGTTTTTTGTTCAATTTCTTCTTTCTCCTGTCCCATGGATCTAAACCAAAAATAGTTACAAATAAAAAATTGTAATTAAAAAATAGCGTTAAATTAAAAGTTTGTTTTAGTTTCGTTTCTTACCTACGTCAGAGTCGCTATCACTGTCAAATGGATTATAATCAGAACTTGGATTACTTATTTCTTCGTCGGATTTATTGTCCTCCTCACTTTCGCTACCAGTTAATTTGAATTCAGAGCCGGAACTGTGCCCTCCATTTCGCTCCTCCTCTGAAATTTCATCCTCCGATGACCAGGCTCGAACTTTTTTCGAAGCTCTCTGAGCCGCCTGACGGGTTGGTTTTCTTTTACTACTACTACCACCGCCGGATCCACTCGCGTTCTCCACTACATTCTCGACTTCCGCTACGCTTTGAGTTTGTGGCAAATCACCAATTATTCGATGGATTCGGTTGCGATCGGGTGCCGGAAAATGTTTCTCAACCAACGACTGCAGTACTCCTCTGTTTAAAAAAAAAAAATCAAAACAAATACTTTCACCCACCGTTTATTAATTTAAAAATCTGATAAGAATAGGCAAGAGACATTAAAAATTCAAAAATCCAAAGAAAAATATAAAAAGCTTACTTTGCAGTAGAAACGAAGTCGCTCAATTCGCCGTCATCTCGCTCCAGTTGCTCCAGAGTGCGTGCTTCGCCCGTTGATTGCAGACCAATAACGACGCACTTTCCGCATTTTACAGCCTCGCGTGCCACGGACACGGCGTGCTTTACTTTTGCAGCGATACATAAATACTTGAAAAAACGTTGATGGGATGACCAGAATTGTCCCCACATTGTTTTTTTCATGCGATTTTCTGCGTCAATCAATTCGGCCGCTTCCTGGAACTTTTGCATAGCCTCCACCCACTGAAGCAGACAAATTTTTTAATTATTTAATTAAAAGTAAAAAAATATTTAAATAAAATAAAAACGCATAAAAATAAATAGAGACACACAAAGACAAATAAAGTACAAAAAGACTACTTTGCTCTTTTCAAATTCCCTGACTTTTTCAGGTTTTCCAGGTTAAAAAACGGAATTTTTCTAGGTTTTTAAAACGAAAATTATGCGATTAAATAAATATTTAATCATTATTTTTTTTAAGTGAAATTAGATTTCAGGAACAAACACAATAACTTTAGAAAACAACAATTTTCCAGGATTTCGATCAAAATTTCCTGACTTTTCCAGGTTTTTTCAAGGTTTATAAAATTCCCTGACATTTCCAGGTTTTTCAGGTTGCGTGTCAATCCTGCTACTTTTGGACAAACAAATTAAATTTTAAAATAGAAAAAATACTCACCAATCTGACGGAATGATCGTAGACCTTTGTGAAATCGTCTGACAGCGGAACTTCCTCTATTTTAAATCCAACACCATGAAAACTAAGCTGACGAGCGATGTACATTCCTCTTAATTTCATGTCCATAGCGACAATTTCCATTGCGCCGACACCTCTCTTCTCAACGGCTGTAATGAAATCTGTGAACTCTGGAAAAGGTGTTCCCTCGCCCCACATTCCAAGTCTTACCATGTAGGCCATGTTTCTTGGTTCTGACGCTCCCGTTGCACTGGCATAAACTACTCTGGCTTTCGGTAGTTTATTTTGAATTTCTAAGACCGTCAAACCTGAAACAAGTTTTATTCAAATCGTTTAATCGTTTAATAGAATTAAAAAAAGAAGAGAAGAGATAAAAAAATAGTAAAAGTTTCTTACCAGTTTTTGTGGGTTTAGAACTCCCGGTAGGACAGAGATTTTTCGCTCGATGACATTCGTCAAATATGATCAGTCCGTCGAATTCCTCTCCGCACCATTGAAGTAATTGTTTTAGTCGACTTTTATACTTTCCACCGCTTTGTGATGATTCGCCTATTAATGCAGAATATGTGCTGAAAATGACGCCCTTCTTCACATTCCCATTTACAGCCGAATTTATCCTCGCATATTTGAACTTATTCAACGGATGTACGTCTATTTTTCCAGCTCCAATGTCTTTTAAATCGCGTTCAGCGTCATACTTGAGATCATTTGACACAGAGACCCAGATCGCTCGCTTTCGGCCCTTCATATAATTTTCAAAAATTGTACCAGCTATGGTGCGACCTTTTCCAACACCAGCGCCGTCACCAATTAGAAAACCGGCACGTGTTCCATCGGGAAGGAGTTGTTCATGTTGCTGTGAAGCATAAGTTATAGACTCGAGTTGCAGAGCAGATAATGCTCCCGATTTTATCGTATCTTCTGGTAACGAAATTTTGTACCAAACATCCGTTGGTTCAACACTCGACAATGATGCCGTCTCAACGACGGGATCTGGATGTTTTCTTCCTAATTTAACTGTAGAGGAAAATTTAGCATTTAAAAAAAATTGAAAAAATTGCGATTTTTTAAAAAAATCAATTTTTTTAAATTCGGTAATTATAATTTATTTCGTACGTTTTGTCGGCATATAATCAGCGTAAGTCTCGGCAACTCCCATTTCCTCGTCATCAACATCCTCCTCTTCTTGCATACCTTGTTGTAAGCCCATTTTACTCGGATCCAAAGGATTCATCCACATTTGTTGCAGATTTTTGCCTTGAAAGAAAAATTGAAAATTAAACAAAATTTTATTATAGTTGTTATCATTTTTATTTTTTCAACTAACCAGTGAGACCAGCCCAATTAGGATTCATAACTCCTTGATTCAATAATTGCATGAATGGATTGACTCCCATGTTCATACCAGACATTCCCATCACTCCCAGAAGATTATTTAAATCCATGCCCATGGCTGTAAATTAAAAACAAATTGAAAACAAAATTCAAAATCTCCAGTTCAATTCAAAAGAAATATATTTATTCACTCACATTGCTGTAGGAATGCAGCAGGATTAAAACCCGACATATTTGGAAGTCCAGACGGGAATCCCCCATAGGGTCCCCCTTGTGGAAGTCCACCCATTTGATTTAATTGATTTTGACCCATAAAATTAGGTGTTCCACTCTGTGGTCCTGGTAATCGTACCATTTCATAACCGGGTGCTGCATTTTTTGTTACAAGTCCACCGGGAATTTTACCACCAAATTTCTGATTTAATGCTAGAAGAAGGGGAAAATTTCCTTTTTTAAAAAAATAAAGTAGAAAAAAGCAGAGTAAAAAAAGTATTCAATTTTATTTACATTATCATAAAAAAATAAGATGTTTCAAAAAGGATAATCAAATAAATGAAAAATAATAATTTTACCACTAATTGCACCTGTGTCTTTTGAATCTTCTGGATTTAGTGGTATATCTAGTGGTTTCTCGTCCTTTATGTTTGCATTTCCTATAACTGTCGCGAGATCTTTACCTCCACCTTAAAAATCAATAAAGCGAATGAATTGCATAATTTATTCGACTTAAATAAATTGTGAACTTTCGATTAAATAGAATAAATAATAAATTACCAGGAACTTCAATCTTGTCAGGATCTTCATCTTCGTCAAAGTCACTACCACTACTTTCTTCGCTCACCGATTCTTTAAATCTAGTCGTCGCCTAAAAAGAAATTAAAAAAAAAATTTCAATTCAGAAAATTTTTTAATTCACCCTTTTTTACATTATTTTTAATTTAATCGTATTACATCACTTTTATTAATGTATTCTCAAGGCTGATTCATTGTTTTTTTTTTTATAAATAATGTAAAAAATTGTCCTTTTTTTATTTTCGAAAGAATAATCAAGACTTTGATAATAAATAAAATATTATATATTAATAGATTAATTTTAGGCGAAATTCATATCAATACAATTAGTGAGTCTGGTTCCTCATTTCCATTCTTATTTTCACGCATGTGAAATAAGGTTATGTTCATATCAACGAAAAAAATTGCACGTGAAAAATAAAAAAAAAATATATTAAAAAAAAGTATTTAAAAAAAATTTTTTTTGCAAAAAATTTTGCGAGGAATATTGCAAGGATAATAAATATTACTGTAAAAATGTTTGCATTACAAAAAAAAGACAAGAAAAAAAGAGAAAAGTTTTTTTCCTTTTTTTTAATTTTTCTTTTTTGTACATGCTTTTTGAGTTATAAACCGTTGTGGTTGAATAAAATTACATTCCACTTTTACGATAAAAAACATCTTGGTAAAAAAAAGCAGACAAAAAAAGAAATGGGAGGGATGAAGGAAAACGGCGTGCTTTGAAACAAAAAAAAACTATTTTTTTTAACTATCAAAAATTTGCAAAAGCATCGCTAATTTAATGATTAAATTGATTAAATTCAATAGGAGAAATATAGTCATGCTTTTTTTCTTACATAAAGCTATTGTCTCATTAGAAAAACGTTTTGTCATAGCAAAAAATCGCGCGTACAAAAGCCCCGGTGTTGTGCAAAAAATTGCAAGAATTTACTCACCATTGTGTGCGTGTTTTTCTTTTTCTTTAACCGATTTTCACACCTCGTTGTCGAATATTTAAAAATCAATTAATGCTGATATACCCGGTTGCCGAGGAACTCGTAGATTTGTTTCGTTGCCGTCGAAAGAACGCGATCTTCAGACGCGAATGACAAGGGAAAACTTACGACCTTCCTCTTCAGCGTTCCTTCCTTGAATGGCGTTTCTATGTTGTATGCCGACCTCAGAGGCTTGTACGAATTCTTAATTTTCAATGTAATTAATTATTAAGCGTTTAGATCTGCTCATTTTTGGCAAATATCAGTGCTTGTTAAACGCGTTTGTCGTCTAGGCTGCCGCCATCTTATCTCGCCCGGCCCACGGTGCACCACGATGCAAATACAAAAACATTGCACTTGAATTTACCCATGAAAATTTTGCGACGTTGCCAGATTGTTCAATTTACCACCCACGCTCGCTACTCACAATTAACCAACGCGCGAACAAATTCAAAATCTAAATTAATTTTTAAACCTCTATTTTTTTAGCATCATGAATATTTAAATATGCCACAAAAAAAATTTCTAATTTTTACCATGTAATATAAATTTAATTTCAAATTAATGCTCATTCGGGTATGAATGTCATTTCTGACATTTCGTATACAAAATGTAAATAATTGATGTTGGAGAGAAAAAAAGTAAAAAAAAAAATGCTTTTGCTTGGCACACTCTTTCAGAGATGAATAATCAACATAATCAGATATGAAAATCGAAAATAAGTAATAATATCAAAGAAATAAATTATTTTTAATCGAAAATACGGTGTAGTTTGGCTAAATAAACAAAATAATTTTTTATATTTATAAAAAAAGTTATTTGATTCCTGTTGAGAAACGGGTGATACTGCAATAATTGATTTGGCAACGTTGCAGACATACAGCGCTGATCGTTACTATAGTTTAAAGTATACGCGGTAAAAAGAAAAGAACGCGAAATTGGACTCCCAATATAACGCGTTTTTAGGAGAAATTTTTGTATATTTACAATTCTCATAAGTCGTGGACATTTTCAGAAATATTCTCCACCTAAATTAATATCTAATTATGTCAAATTTTAACATAGAAGCATAAATTTAGACTTAAAAATCAAAGGGGCGGCGATGCGATCGATCCATGTTCCGCGACTGCAGCGTTCTCTGCCGATGGAATCATGAAACACTGCAGTTGTTTGCATTTTTTTCGAATTTCTTATAATCAAAATTCCATATTTGCTTTTTATTTTCCATTATATAGAGTAAATAAAAACTAACAACTAATGGAGAAAAAAATTTTCTTTTTTAAGGTTCATTCAACTTTCAAAAATCTAATTAAAAATTGACGCTTAATGAATATTTAAAAATTCCATTTTTTATCCCCTCATGTGAATTAGCCTTGAAAGAATTATTTTCATAGAAAAAGGACGCATCGTTGTGTTTATATTGTTCGCGTTCAAAACCAACCTATAACGAAAATTGACGAAATTTTTTAACTTTATTTGCAGAGTACTAAAAGTACAGAAAATAAATTGTGTTTTTTTAATTAAAAAAAGACAATTACGTATTTTAATAACAATGCTGAGGAAAAATGGTCAAATATATGGAGAATGTGTAGACGAAATTGCTCTTTAATTAAGAGTAAGATTAAATGCAGTAAACAAATACAACAAGTGCTTAATTCTTAACCTTAGTGAAAATGACGACAGCCTTGTATTTGGAGCATTATTTAGACAGTGAGTATCCCCATAAATCAATACTAAAGGGATAACCAACCCTCATGAATCATTTGTGCATGTTTGCTGCCTATATTGCTCATTTCAATTACAGTTAAAATATGTTTTCAAGTATTATTAGCATGAAAATAAAATGGCGGGTATACTGAATTAAAATATGTTAACCATGTTAACCTACATTTAAAAATTTATTTTCTTTTATATATATACAAAATTAAATTACGGATAAATTTAAAGAAATTTAATATCGAACGTGTTAATAAATAATATAATTAATAAACTTTGGGCAAATTATTTGACAGATTAAATAATATTTGACAATGTTTTGACATTTTATTAATTTTGTTTATCAATATGAGTTGAAATTAATTCGATAATTAATTTTTATTTCTTTCAAAGGTTTGGAGCATTTACCAATTGAGTTGCAGAGGAATTTTACCTTGATGAGAGATTTAGATGCGAGGGCACAAACTCTTATGAAAGATATTGACAAATTAGCGGATGATTATTTAAAGACTGTGAAAGAAGAGCAAAATGATAAGAATAATGATCAACTGCAACAAATACAAAATATGTTCACTCAAGCGAAAGCCTATGCGGACGACAAGGTGCAACTTGCAATTCAAACTTACGAGTTAGTCGATAAACATATTCGAAGATTAGACTCGGATTTAGCGAGGTTTGAGGCTGAGATTCAGGATAAAGCTTTAAGCAGTAGTCGAGCACAGGAAGAAAGTGGAGCAAGTAAAAAGGGTCGAAAGAAACTTAAAGAGAAGGAGAAACGTAAAAAGGGCACTGCTAATGCAAGCAGTGAAGATGAAACCAAAAATGCGAGGAAGAAACAGAAGAAGGGTAAGATTTACTTAAAAGATAAAATATTTTCCAAATTTCCTTTTTTTCATTAAAAAATGTTTCATTTTGCAGCTACTTCGACTGGAGCTGTTGGTAGTGGAGCACAAGCAGACGCTTCTCTAGGTCATCCAGCGGACGTTTTAGACATGCCAGTTGATCCAAATGAGCCAACATATTGCTTATGTCATCAAGTTTCTTACGGCGAAATGATTGGTTGTGATAACCCAGACGTAAGTCAATTTCTGTCATATTTAATTAGATTAATTCTATTAATTCTATGAAATTATACGAATTTACACAGAAATAAAATTTCCTTCTCGTTGAAAATAATGAATTTTTCTTGTTTATTTACAGTGTCCCATTGAATGGTTCCATTTCACTTGCGTTGGACTTACAACGAAACCCAAAGGAAAGTGGTATTGTCCAAAATGCACGCAAGATCGTAAAAAGAAATAAATCATAGATTATTAAAATTAGGTAAATTTGTAAAAAGGCAATTAACAAATTTTTTGTATTAAATTTTTTAATATTTATATTAAAATTTTTTTATTTTTAAACATTTTCAGTTTTAGGATAAGTTTTCGTTTTAAGAGAAAGAATTGTTTATTATAAGAAAATAAAAGCTTTTATTTAAAAAATAATTAAACTGGAATTTCATTTATATCAAACCTAATATTATCCTGTGAATCTCTTTGCCTTTCTAAATAGAAATTTTTACAAAAATTATATTTGAATTATACAGAAAAGTGTAAATATGAATAATTTTGCTTCATCGTGGAAATATTGTTTCAAGTAATGAATGTTATTTATTTTTCTTTATAAATATTTTTACTAAATGCAAGTACAAAATACACACTATTTCTATAGCGAGCTTCTTCCTCCTAATTTTTAATCGTCATTACTTACTAAATATCACAAAAATGTCTTATCTACAAGCCTAATGGAAATAGAGAAAACTCCACAAAGCAAGTTTCTTCTATCAATTGAAAAATTTGATTTAAAAAATAAAAAATTAACAGATGAAATAGAAAATGACAAGTTAATCGATATTAAATGTTTCTAAATAACGTCAAGATAAAATTTAGAAATGGTTCTAAAAACAAAACTTAGGGAATACCTGACTGTCGATTACAACATTGACTAGGAGGCACAGTCCAATTATATTGGTAACTCATTCGTCTTTGTATTTCTTTCGAACACAATATACCATTTGATTGAAAAAATTCGTGGAGATTTCTCATATTGTCAATTGTTTGTTTGTGGGTAATTAAATATTGATTCGAGCATCCTCTGGATCGGTATTCAGTATCAAAGCGGACGTCATGTCTTCTTTCTATATTTGCAACTGGTGCAAGCCACAAGCCAACGGAAACATCTTCAGAATTATAGAGCCTAAAAAATTAACATTTTTTTAATTAACATTCTTTAATTAAAAGAAAAAAAATTATTTTAATTACTACACTTACTTTAAATGTTCTGCATTTTTGGCAATAAACTCAACAAGTTTGTATGATAAAATATAACCACCACCTAGAGCATAGGGTAAATAATTATCGCACATTATCCACTCCGTCTCCTTCCAAGGTCCACTTCTCTTAACTTGTGCTTTTCCATTAAAAAATCCCCAGTATAAATATTTCTTCGTTCCCTCTCGCTCCCATCTTTCCAATTCTCTCAATATTCGACTAATAAGAACAAAACTGTCATCATCACACTTAAGAATAAAATCAAAATCATACTCATTCTGAATATGGAAGAAAGATTGAAGAACTTTTTTTGTTATTGTTCCATAAGTGTCTTGAAGATTTGGTAAAAAGAGAAGATCGTTAAATTTCTGTTGCTCCGAATCGAGGGTGATTCTTTGACTCGGATGAATATTTAAGGTCCCCAAGGCAAATAGGTATTTAACATCAATATATTTTTCGGAAAGCCAGGTTTTTCTGATTGTATCGCGATGCTCCAAATGATCAATACCACTTAAAACGAGAACGATAAGGCGATATTTTGATTTGTTGTATTTTGATAAATTGTGCTCCTTGGAGGAACATAAAAAGGGCATGAAAAGATAAATAAAGAGGAGGAAAATTGAAATAATTAAAATTAGAGAGAGAATATTTATCTTAATGTACGATCTTCTTAAAATCATCTTCCGAATGGAGAATTGGTGATTCTTCATCATTTGTCAAATAAATTTCTTCTCGTCATTCTTAACACGTATCTAAATCTATTAGATTTCAATTGTGACATTCCAAGTGAATATTTTTTAATATTTTATTACTCTAATGCTCTAGTATGGGTAAAAATCATGAAAAAAAATGTAGCAGCCGACAATGTAAACAAATTTAAATGTCAATTTTTTTAAGGTTATGTTCAATCGAGTGAAGGTGTCGACAAATTCAGATTGGTGGAAATTTCCCGCTGAACTTTTAAAATTTTTTCCTGTCTGTAAAGATAATTTATTTAAAAATAGAGTATATTTTTTATCATATCCCTTGTAGATTAATATTTTTATTACCGAAGTTACTTAAAATAGAAAAAATCATAATAAACTTTATGTAAGCAACAAAAATTGTAAGAATTGTCTACATTGTCTAGTGGTCTAAACGGTATAAACACTTGTCACGTTTCGTAGTTAACTTCACAGTCTATTAGTTGAACAACATGGTTGAAAACGTTGTTTGATTGTTTGATGCCAAATAAAAGTTTTGTTTTAAAGAATAGAAAAAAAATATTAACAAGGACTTGTGTGTTTAATAAATAAATAAATATGCATCTTTTATAAGTCCTGCGAATTAAATTTTTCAATAAAAAATGGAGAAAGCGAACACTGAAACACAAATTTTAAATATTGTTCATGATATTCTGGTGAGTTGTCATTTATTAAAAATATTTACGATACTAAATTAACTGAAAATGATATTTACTAGTGTTTTGTACAATATTATTTAATTATTAATCAACACTTTGAAAGAATTCGTTAATAGTTTAACAAACAAAATTTTTTTGTTAGGTTATGTTATGAACAATAAAAAAAGGTGTTCTTTTATTTTTTCTCTTAAAACGCTTGAAACAAATTTATTCTTTATATGTTTAATAATTAACTAATACTTTTTTACAAAGTTTCATTAGGGTAAAATAGTATTTAATTCATATAATTAATTATTTCATACTAAATATTTGTCTTTTTGTTACTTTCCCATAATTTCTTTTAAATCTCTCACTGTCATAATTATTGAAGAATTTATATTTTAAATTGTTCGAATTTTAAGTAATTCATCAAATTCAAAATATAGATTTAAAAGAATTGAATTTATTTTTTTATAACAGAAAGTAGAAGCAATAGAAGAAGCGTTCAGTTGCGTTATAGTTCATAATGCAGAGTTGGAAAGTGAAAAAATAGCAGGATGGCAAAAGGAATTATCGACAATAATGACTGGATTAACAGCCGAACAACAGGAAAGTGCTGTTCGTCAGTTTCTTTCTCTGGCTGCTGGAATGACAAATCATAGACGTTTACAATTATTGCTCTCAATGTTGGAAACGTTAGTTACAAAAGGAGTTTTGCCAGCTAGGTACAACTTTTTTTCATTTAAATTTACAATTTTTATTTGAAATCAAATTTAAAATATTTTCTCTTGCCTTACAGATTAGTGTGTGAATGTATTCTCAATTGTGATAAGCTTGTTTATCAAGCAGAAGATTTCTGGGTGAAGTGTTTTTCATTAATTCGAAATATTATCGGTGGAGTTGATTATAAAGGTGTTAGAGAAATTTTAAAGGTAATTTAAAAACATAATTAGAAAACATTGAGTTTTTTAAAAAATATAATTATGATAATGATAATAATAATTGATTCAAGGGGTGTAGAGATAAGGCTCAAACAATTCCGACAAGACTGCCAACAACCGTGCAACCTCAATTGAAAGCTTTGGAGAATGTAATTGAATATATTTTTGATCGTAACGCTTGTCTATTGCCAGCAGTATTTATTATTAACGAAATAAGAAAAACATCGCCCGATCATAAACGATGGCCCCATTGGGTAACTATTTAAAATTTTCGAAAATTTTGCAAAAAGCACAATACATAAAATTAATTTTTTTTCCCTCTTTTTAAATTCAGAGATTGACGAAGCTTCTTTCGGATTTCGTGGAAAGTTTTCGACCCGCTGCACAAATGGTATCAATTGTGGGACATTCGAAAATGTTACCAGTCGTCGAGCATTCTGGTTACGCAGATTATTTAATAAATCCTTGGGTATTGGATCGTGAGAATTTGCAATTTTCCCTTAAGGGCAATCTTCCATACGATCAGGATTTATTAAAGCCACAAACGGAATTGTTGAGATACGTTTTGGAGCAGCCCTACAGTCGTGATATGGTTTGCTCTATGCTCCAACTTCCAAAGCAGGTATTTACATTTAATGGAATTTAATTTTTTTTTTAAATTTTTAATTTAAATATTTTCTATTGTCTACTGAAAAATAATCTTTTTTGCAAATAGCATAAACAGCGTTGTATAGCTTTAGAAGAACAACTCGTGGAACTTGTTATTCTTGCCATGGAACGATCCGAGAATGATCCATTGCCTTCGGAATCTACTGATGGAACAGCCGCAGCAAATCATTACGTTTGGCTGCATTTGTCTTCACAATTAATATACTTTGTGCTCTTTCAATTTGCATTTTTTTCCGAATTCTGTACAGCAATTCATGACAGGGTGAGTTGAATATATTTTCTTTTCAATAACTATTACTGAAGTTTAATTGGATCTTAAAGTAAACAGAATTTAAGAAAGGATTTTTTTTAAACTTTAAAATATAGCTGGCGAGTTGTGAATTGAGAAAAGGACGAGATCATTTGATGTGGGTTTTACTTCAATTCATTTCCGGAAGTATACAACGAAATCCGGTGAGTAAATGTTCTAAATACTTAAAAAAAAATCTACATCGTTTGTTTTTACGATTGTATATGTAATTATAATTTATTTATTTGGAAAGATCAAAGTTTCTAATATGTAATTTATTAATTTTAATTTCTGCAGTTATCAAATTTTCTTCCTGCTCTGAAACTTTATGATCTTCTTTATCCTGAGACGGAACCTTTCCCAGTTCCCGATCTGACTCAACCACTTTGCACTCATCAAATGGCAAGCACCTGTATTTGGATTCATCTTCTGAAGAAAGCTCACAGTGAACACGCAAATTTTCATCGACCAATTCCACACGCCCTCAAAGTTCATCACGAGTGAGTAATCCCCCCGATTTTAAATAACTAAAATTTTCCAGTAATTCAAGTAAATTGTTTTTGAAAATTTAGAAGTAGTTAGATTTTACTGATTAAATAAAATTAAAATAAATTTTTTTTAGATTTTTACAACATTTAGTAATACCGAATACTCAATTGTGTATGGGATCCGACTATCGAATTGCTCTTTTGTGCAATGCTTACTCGACGACTCAAGATTGTTTCAGTAGACCAATGGCTGCTCTTGTCGATACAATACTAGGCAATCAAAAGGTAAATTTATTTCAATTAAATTAAAATTTTTATGAAAATCAAAAAATAAAGAAAGCAGAATGTAAAATGTATTTCTTTCTGTATAGGGACAACAACAACAGTCGTTGCAAAATTTGCAAAATAATGCAGCACTCGTCAATGGACCAACGACTCCATTGTCAATGTCAATTTTAGATTCACTCACAGTTCACTCGAAGATGAGTCTCATTCATCATATTGTTACGCATGTAATTAAATTGGCTCAATCAAAAAGTAATATGGCCTTGGCACCAGCTCTCGTCGAAACGTACAGTAGATTATTGGTCTACACCGAGATTGAGAGTTTAGGAATTAAAGGCTACATTGGTAATTGCTTCAAGTATTTTTAAATATTTTCAAATTTTTCTCTTTTCTGCTTTGAGATTTAATATAAAATTTTTCCTTCCAGGACAATTGTTGCCACAAGTTTTTAAATCTCACGCTTGGGGAACGTTGTACACTCTTTTGGAAATGTTCAGTTATCGAATGCATCACATTCAACCTCATTATCGTGTACAACTTTTATCGCATCTTCACAGTCTCGCCGCTGTACCGCAAACAAATCAAACTCAACTGCACTTATGGTAAATGTAAAGAATTATTATTATGAAATTTTTTTAACCAAATATAACGATTTGTATTAAAAGGAAAATTTTAAAAATTACTTTCAGCGTCGAAAGTACTGCTCTCAGATTGATAACTGGTTTAGGCTCTGCTGAGGTGCAACCTCAACTTTCACGCTTTTTGTCTGAACCAAAAACTCTCGTCTCCGCCGAATCGGAAGAACTGAATAGGGCTTTGGTTTTGACTTTAGCACGATCGATGCACGTGACGGGTAAATTCATTAAGTTTCTATTTTTTAAAGTTAAAAAAATATTGTTTTTCCAAACTTTAAAAGAAATTATAGAGAAATTATTAAATTAAAATAAAAATTTACAGGAACTGGAGCTGATTCAATAAGTGGTCCATGGTGTAAAGAATTGCTCAATACAATTATGCAAAATACACCACATTCATGGGCAGTTCACACTCTACAGTGCTTTCCACCTGTTCTCAGCGAATTTTTCCAACAGAATAGTGTGCCTAAGGAAAATAAGCCACAAATAAAGGTAAAACAATTTTTTTCCTTTTCACAATTCCTTGATATCAATAATATAATATAATTATAATTAACTATGTATAGTATAATATAATTAATATAAGATACTATAATTAACTCCAGTTTCTTTATTATGGTCACTAGAAAGAAATTCGTATAAATTTTGAATTATTTTCTCCAAGAAAAAAATAAAGTAAAAAACTCTCTTTTTGTATTTTTTAGAAAGCCGTGGAGGAAGAATACAGAAATTGGGCGTCAATGAGCAATGAAAATGATATAATTGCCCATTTTACAGCTCCCAGTGCGCCGCCACTATTTCTTTGTCTTCTTTGGAAAATGATACTTGATACTGATCGTATTAGTCCAATTGCCTACAAGTATGAAAAATTTATTCAAAATTTTCTTTCAAGAAAACTGTTTAATATTTTGTAATTTTATTTTTGTAAACTTTCTTTTTTCTTACAGAATTCTAGAAAGAATAGGAGCAAGAGCTTTATCGGCTCATCTTCGAAAGTTCTGCGATTATCTTGTTTTTGAATTTTCAAACAGTGTCGGCGGAGGACAACATGTTAATAAATGTGTCGACACAATTAATGATATGATTTGGAAGTACAATCTAGTAACAATAGACAGACTAGTACTTTGTTTGGTGAGTATTTTTATTGTATATATATTTAAATTGCAACTATATTTAAAAAAAATTCCTTAAGTTTAATTACAGAATTTATATTAATTCATTTTAAGTTCGTTTATTTGAAATTGGAAATTTTGATCATAATTAATTTTCACTTTTAAAGAATGTATAATATTTGCTTTCAGGCACTGAGAACGCAAGAAGGAAACGAAGCGCAAGTGTGCTTTTTTATAATTCAATTATTACTTTTGAAAGCCACGGAATTTCGCAATAGGGTTCAGGAATTTGTTAGAGAAAATTCCCCCGAGCATTGGAAGCAATCAAATTGGCACGAGAAACATTTGGCGTTTCATAGAAAATTTCCGGAAAAATTCGCACCCGAGGGAATTGTCGAGCAAACGAGTGGCGGACCGGGACAATATCAAAATTTACCCGTTTATTTTGGAAATGTTTGCCTGCGATTTCTCCCTGTATTCGATATAATGGTTCATCGATATTTGGAAATTCCGCCCGTGTCCAAGAGTTTGGAGATTCTCCTCGAACACCTAGGATGCCTCTACAAGTTTCACGGTAATAAAATAAATCCAAAAATAGAAATATTCAATTAATTAATTTTCAAAAATTAATTTTCTAAAATTGATATTCTAAAATTAATTTTTCTCATTTATATATTTTTTCGTTTTTAGATCGGCCAGTGACTTATCTTTACAATACTTTGCATTATTATGAACGAAATTTGCGAGACAGACCGAATTTAAAACGTCGTCTGGTATCGGCAATTTTGGGATCATTGAAGGAAATCAGACCATCAGGTTGGGCTCTATCGGAAGCTTATACTTTGTATATATCGAGACCAACGGAGGATGTTATCACTTGGGTACCTGAACTCGATTATTATATTAGACTCGTTCAAAGAATCGTCGAAAGTAAGTTTCAGTTTCCTAATAAAAAATAATTCAAAATAAATTCTCATTTCAACAACAACAAAAATCAATTCAATTCAAATATATTAAAAATTTCAATTCAACAAAATATTTCAATTGCAGCAATGTCGGGAACTGCGAATTTTCCAGCCACTGATTGGAGATTCAATGAATTTCCAAATTCAGCCGCTCACGCCTTGTACGTGACTTGCGTTGAATTAATGGCATTACCAATGGCACCAAATTTAGTTGCTAATTCATTACTAGACGTCGTTGCCAAAGGGTAAATTTGATTTTCTTTTAAACTAATTTAATTAAAATTAAATCTGTTAATTTATTTGTTTATTTGTATAAATTATTTTTGTTCGATTTTTGAAAATTTTCATCAAATTTTCTCTTTTTCTTATAGATACACGATCATTAATTTTAACGAAATTCATTTATGGATTAATTGTGTTGGTCTATTGATGGCAGCGCTACCAGAATGTTATTGGTCAGCACTTTACGATCGCCTTGTTGAAACGATCAACACACCGGCGTTGATAAAATGGCCTTATGGAAATTTAAGTCCGTTTCAGCTCTTTAATTTTAACACCACGCACAATGGTCTACTGGAAAACAAATACAGTTATATGCTCGCCTTGGCCCATTCGATATGGCATCACGCTGGAGTTGGACAAATCACAACTTTGCCACAGTGAGAATTTGCAACTTTATTTTTTTAGATCTACTTTAGAATTTTCTTTAATTGTTGAATCAATTTTCAAGTTTGCTTTTCAATTTGAATTTCGTTGGAATAAATTTTAAAGCAAAGATTTTTTAAAAACAAAAATAAATTTCGTAATATCGAATTAATTTTCGATTCATTTCGAATATTAATTCTGTTTAGAAATAAAATTCCAAGATTATTTGTGCTTCTTTGGAATACTAAAATTTATTTTCTTTTTCAAGATTCGTGAAAGAAAAGCTACAACCTGTTGTCACCAGTGAGGAACAATTGCTTTACGCGTGTCATCTAATAGGACCAACTCTGGCACGTTTCAACGTTGAAAGACCGGCCTGTGTCAACAAACTCACGGTCAATTTGTACGAAATGTTGGAACAGGTGGACAAATCTCAGGCTCATTTAAATTACATGGATCCTGTTTGCGATCTTCTGTATCCTTTTCACAAAACATTTCTATTTGTTTACATTTTCGTTATTTTCAGCTTTTTAATAATATTATTCTCTAGTAATTCCTTTTTTAATTTATTCTACATTTGAGAAAGAAAATTGAATTAATTTGAGTTATTTATTGAAGCGATTTCCTTACATATTTACGTATTAATTAGATATCACATTAAGTATATGTTCGTTGGCGATACGATGAAGACTGATGTGGAATCTATAATTCGAAGACTGAGGCCAGCTCTACAAATGCGACTTCGCTTCATCACGCATCTCAACATTGAGGAAATTCAAGCTGATGGACAATCGCAAGCAACGCTCCCAACAGCATAATTTTTTCAGGCGAATTTTAAAAATCATTTTTTTTTCTTTTTTTTAATAACATGACCATAATATTTATATATATAGATATATAATTTATCTTAATTATTAATAAATTGAAGAAGGCGAAGATTACTCGAAGCAGAAATCTTTTGTATTGTCAATCAAATTGTATAAAGTTGCATTTATGATAAAGGTTAAAAGAGTCAATAATTAATTTTTCAGTAATAAATATTCGATATGTTTAAATAGTCTTCTTTCTGCAATAAGTGTAAGCAAACAATTATTTTCCACAAAAAGGCTTACTATTTAATTATTGATTTATCACACTCTTTTTCTTTTTTGGAAGTTTTTTCGCGTGAAGACAATTTTTTTTTTTTAGAAGGAATCATAATTGACTGTTCCCTCTCTTGAGGCTAAAATTAGTTCGGCAAATTTATCATAAGGCCCTGCGTTCTCGATAACAAAGTCTTGAGCTTTCATTTTTGTGGTCCAATTTATCTTTGATTTGAGAAAAAAAAAGAAGTTGGAAATTATTTGAATGTAGTCAGAAATAATAATTTATTTAAACTTTTTACTTACCACATTGGGAAATTTCTCTTTTTCAAAATTTCTCAACGGTTGTTTATAGATCAAAGGAAGAGCTTTCGAACGTTCAACCCATGGCCAAATCATAATGTCAACAATTCCGGGTTTCTCACCTGAATTAAACATTTTCGAAATACAAAAACAAATATAGATTAGATTATTTTAATTTTGTTAATATTTAGATTATTTTCCTTAGGCAGAAATGTGGTAATTTACCTCCAAAGAAATCAGTGCCACGAATTTTCAGCTCCTCCTCAAACTCCTCCAAGTGGTGCGTAATATCGCCAACAATATCATCTAATGATCGATCATCTTTTCCGTGAATGCAATTAGAAAATATGGTACTTATCTGAAAAATAAGTAATGACTCGTTTTTAACGATAAATTTTTTCTACTTAATTTTCACATAATTAGTTAATTTAAAATAATCATTAAAATTAAACATTTTTTCATCCAGTTTCATTAAGTTAATTAAAGCGAAAGTTTCAGACACCTTTCCAAAATTTTCAATCAATTCCAAATCTCGAGTTTTTGTATCTTCATTGCAAAGAGGCGGATCGGGATACATTTCATCTAAGGTGTAAACAATCACGTCTGATTCGATGACGACTTTGCCATCCGGTCCGATAAAAGCCGGAACTTGTCCTTTCGGATGGATCTGAATATTAATGAGATATGAATTTTTAATCGTGAAGAAAAAGAAAGAGAGAGAAATAATAAGTGTCGAAACAAAGCTATTCCAATGTGAATAACCTTTTAATTATTTTCAAAGTATTCTATGAAACTTACGTCAAAATACCATTTTGGTTTATCTTTTAAATTGATATTAATAATCTCGTATGGGATTTGCTTGAATGAAAGTGCCAATCGTGCTCGATGAGCATACGGACAAAATTTCATACTAAAAATATATGGTTTTCCTTCCACTAATTCCGGCTTTGCAGAGCCTGAAATTAAAAGTAGAATTTACTCACTATAATTCGATAAAACTTGGTTAAAATAAAACTTAAACATATAACAAAAAATATTATTGCTATAAATTACGAAAGATTCGTTTAATTTAGCAAACGATTCATTTTTCCAAATTATATTGAAATTAAAAAATTATTTAATCCAGATCTAATAAAAATACACAAAAAAAAAAATTAAATGATCGATATCGGTGTAAAAAATATGTTTCTAATTAAATTTTAATTAATAAATATATTTAATATACCTTCAGAGAGATGAATTGAACTCATATTTTCTCCTTTACTTTTTAGTTGGAAATTAAAGAAATGTTTCAATCCCTGCGTTATCCTTCTGATGCCGGGATTTATTAATTGAATGACGTGGATGGCAACTTTCACTTTTTTTTCTTATCAAGGTCTATAAAATATGAAAATTCCAGAAATTCTTATAGCAATTAATCATTAATTGCTCTTTAAAGTCAAGAAAACTTGCTGTGAACTGTGAATATTTCCGAGATGTTACTTCGAACACAAATGGAATTGCACTGCCGGTCTGACGGGTCGATGTTGTCTAGAGGGGAACTCAAATAATGATAATAACTAGAATGTGACTCCCACTTTTATTTATTTTTCTTTCAATTTTACTGTTGATTTTTCTTTCTTTCTATCTTTCTTTTTTTTTTACTATTATTGACGCTTCGAAAAAAATTATATTTTCAGAAATTAACGAAAAAAATATTTTTTAATATAAACAATTCTCTAGGAATAATAAATATTTTTATTTATTTTGAAAACTTATTTTGAATTAAATAAATAAAAATAGTAAAATAAAAATACGGAAAAGAATAAAAATGAAAGAAAAAATAATCTTTTTAGTGAAATTTAATTCTCTTTTAATGAATTAATTTTTTCCGAGTTATGTTTTCTGCAATAAATTTTTTATTTCATTTTTATTTCCATTGAGTGCAATCTGAAAGAGCCAATTATTGTTACAATAATATTAATCTTTCAAGGTGATATTTTCAGTTATTCAGCATCAAAAACTGATTCAGTGGGAGATTGTGACAATTGTTCACTTCCAAGCTCGGTAACACTGATACGAATTTCCGGTAGATCGGAATCCAATTCCTCCACATTTTTTGATACACTAGATAAGAAATTTATTAGCTCGTTTTTCAAAAAGAAATAATTGAAAATTTTTTTTCTAGATACTTATTTATACTTACCTGGAAAGTGCTGCTTTTCGCCACAATTTTCGAATAGATTCATTACGACTCGAAGGTAAATTTTGATCATTAGGTAACGATTCCAATTCACCTTCGGTGCCTTCGCCAGGATCTGATGTCACAGACATTCCTTGAGCTCGTTCTACTTGTAATTCAATATTTTCCTCCTTCGGATTTTCATTTTCATCTGAAAGGAAATTCTTTTTCTATTACTCTATTCCTTTTTTTACTTTTCTTTTTATTTTACTATTTTTCAATTTTCAATATTTCTAATGTATTCTAATATTTTTAATACATTAACACACACAATAATGAAAAAAAATTTGTGAATAAATTAGTAAATTACCTTTTAGAATCGAAATTCCAGTGTCCTTTCTAGGAGGCATAAAGGATGGTAAAATATTTTTCCATCGCGTAAATGGTGTTTCTTCTATTTCCTGCCTTTTTTCTGCAATTTTGAACATTTTCCGCCTCTCCTCAGTGCGTTCTTGTCTCAATTGTATCTGAAAACAAAATTATTAATTATGTTAATTTTCCTTAAAGAAAAGGAAAGTTATGAAATAAAAACTACCTTTAAATCATTATTAGCTTCTCGTAACGATCCAGTGAGGGAGACCATGTAATAAATAATTAACGCCATTAAAACAATCAATGGAATAATTATTCCCGGCGAAACAATATAATCAACAATTCTGCAAATAAAAATTGACTTTTAGAATTTCAAAGAAATTATTATATTTCTATTTCTTAAATTTATTTTTTCTTAAATTTTCAACTTACTTTTGTAATTTTTCAGGTAACGCCTGTTGTAGAGTTTTCGTTCCCAAATGATAAATTCTCTTGTACTGAGAAAATGGACCACAGTGCCAAGATGGTTCAACCCAAACTATCGCATATCCAACAGGCAGAACGCAGAGGAATAACATTGTCAATAACAGAGCAAAGTAAAAATTATTCGACCTATAAATAATTTTTTTTTCAAACATTGGTATTAAGTAAAAGTTTCTCTTTCAATTTTTCAAGTAAAAGTCTTTTGTTTCAATTTTCTTTTCCACTTACCTGGATGCACGAAAAATTACTTTATGCGGTACATTGCAATTGAGAACAGCCCACGATCGAATATGCATAAGAATGCCGAGTTTCAAAACATTCAGTGTAATTAATCCAGGACTAAAGAACATTCCCATCCAAACCATACCCTGATTATTAATCAAATATAAAATATTTTCCGCAATTTTAAAATCGCCATACTGTGGGAATTTCTTCTCCAAATCCCAGCACCAACAGCTATTCATGTAACGAACGAAAATCGCACGGAAAAAATCCAGTGTCAAAACTGACAGTATTGTCATTACCTGAAACACGAGATTTTAAATCAGAAAAAATTATATTTTGAAACAAATCTAAAAATTTTCCATCGCTAATAATATTTAATAAAGTAAAAATTTATTTAATATCTATTTCAGTTCGAGAGAAAAAAGAAGAAATTTACCAAGTCCATTACAGTCAGTTTTGCAAGTTCCTGACCAAACATTGTCTCCCAACAAAGGCGACGAAGTTTTGTGCGAATCTCAAGACTCAGAGGAATTACAGACGTCTCTAAGGAGAGTTAATAAAGATTAATTAAAAAATAACAAAAATTAATTACAAGCTCGTCAAGAAGAGTTAATAATTTGTTATTACCTCTCTCCTCTATGAGACTAGACGGAAGATCACAAACTTTTACAAAACATCTGTTATTGTAGATAATTGGATACGATCCTGTAACTTCCTTGACTACTAAAGAAGACTCGGTTTCATTTTCATTCCCAAAAGTCGTCATTTCAGTTGTTTCTGAAAAAGATAATTTTTTATTATGTATTTAATGTTTATTTTATTTACTTTATTTTATTTAAGAAAAATAAGTTCAACAAAAAATCTAATTTACAAAATTTATTAGAAAATAAATTCCTTTAAAAAATACCTTTATCTGTATCTGTTGATATTTCCATTTCTGGAGTAGAATTCACAAAAGTATGTAAAGTATCGGAAATATTTAAAAAATCGTAATAAGTATAGTCCACGTGTGGATCATCATCGTCCTCGAGGTGATAATTATCAAAATCAGTCGTTAAATCATTTTCAGAAGTCGTTTCAACTATTTCTTCCTCTGTTGTTTGAGATGATTCTTTATAAAATTCATTAGTAACCGGAGAAATTTCACTTGTAAATTGAGAAATTATTGTTGTTTCAGAATATTCATTTGTATTTTCTACACTCTGTGTCGTTAACGAGGAGAGATCATTGAAATAATGCAATTTTGGCACATGAAGAAATGTTTCATTTTCGTTGAGAAAATCGTCTTTTACAGAAATTTTCTTCTCCAACGGAGAGACAATCTGAGAGGAATTCGTCAACACAAGACTCAAAGAGGCCAAAGACATTGTCACATTTTGAAGATTAAATTCATAACACGATTTCGGAAGATATTTGCAATTTGAAATGGAAATTTTCGTTTTATTTGGCTTCAAACTTTGTAGTTGCTTTTGCTGAAAACAAATATTTTCTGATTTTAATAATCAAAGTTATTAATTTATCCAATTAACTAATTATAGGCAATCATATTATTGGAAATAATAATTTCCATCAATTTGGAATATTACTAATTATCGAAAAACTAATTATTGAAAAATAATTATTCGAAAACTATACTACTAATTAAATAGTAATCTAATTTGTAGAATTTGTTCTAAAAACAACAATTATTTACCATATCGTCAATTTTACTGAAGAGAGCAAAAATTAGTGAATATTGATTGAGAAGATTAAGCACCATGATTCTGTGAAAGAAAAAATTGTTATGAATATTAAAAAAAATTGTTTTCATCAATATTAGAAAAGTACAGTGAATTGAAGAATTTTCAAGTAATTAAGTTTAAAATACCTGGCTAGTTGTAGTCTTAATTGTTTTCTCGGATGATAATTTTCAAGAATGCCGAGTATTTCGAAAAAAATGGGAAAAATGTAATTTATAAGTGACATTATGACTGTGATCTCATTCTGCCTCCACCAATTACTATTTGCTTCCGGCTGAGTACTTCGAGCGACGATTTCAATAACAATATAAGCGGACAAAGATAAAAGGAACAAAACCGACAAATTGACAAATATTCGACAAACCAATGTCTTCCAACTAAAAAAATAAAATTCTTTACTTACAGAAAAAAATTTTATTGAATAAAAAAAAATACCAACTTTCGTTTAGCTTTTGCCTTCTCAGCTTCTTCAAGTAGAGCTTCTTTAAATCCGAGAATAATACTGGAGGTTCGATTATCAGATGTTTCTGAATTGCCAATCATAAAATCCCAACTGGTGAAGAGTTTCCACGAAAATGCGTACTCGTCTTCTTTTTCCGATAGTTTACTCATTCGAGAATTTTTCGCCATCCTTAAATAATTTATAGAAAAAGATATGTAAAAAATGTTTAAAACAATAATTTATTAAATGTTTAAATAAAAAAATCATGAAAATATATTTTTTATACTTTCGTAAAATGACGACAAAACTGTAGGTATAGACAACGAGATTTGTGATGAAATACGCCATGGGTAGTTGATAAATTTTATTCGATTTTTTATTCGTATACCATCCGTAAAAAAATGGGGAATACTTTAAGACGCCTTCGAATTCCCATAAAGTTAATAGTTCCTTGGATTTTATTTGTTCGTCGGGTAACATTATTTTCCTTTCGCCCGCATCTTTTGGAACCGCTATCAATATCTGTAATAAATTAATAGTTTCTTATTTCAAGAAATTTTTTTTTGTATTTTTTAAAATATAGAATAGAATTTTGTGGAGAAAATAACTTACTTCTGGAATAGCGATAAAAGCAGTTAGAATTCCGGAAATGACGAGATTTATCCAGAAGAGCCATCGAAGAAACGTGAAAAATGACGCGACCGCAGATCCAAAATGAGATTCTATGTCTTTTATTCGATGCTCCCAGGGTATTAGGAATGTTTGAATATTGACAATTTCACGTTTATAGTACTGCCATTTCTGGGAAAGGTAAATATTTTCTAATTAAGTACTATCATTTTTACTAATAAATAAATAAATAAATTAATTAAATTAATAATTTTATTGAAAGTAAAATTAAAATAAGATTCAGAAATTACCTTATCGAGTAAAATTGACATTCTTGCCAAAACATCTCGAGTGCTGTGCCTTTGGGCAAGTCTGTCATGAAGAGCACCTTCATGCTGCCTCACATAAATTTTGGCTTGCCTAACGAGTTTAATTTTTCTCCGAAGAGGCCAAGGTTGCTGCCTGATTCCACTTAGAACTTCCTTATGAAGTTTCAATTTCTCAAAAATTAATTCTTCCCCTCTTTCCTCCATGGATATTGATATACTAAATTTTAATAAAGTATTTATCGAAACTGAACAAATTATAAATAAAGGTGAATTTTTATTATATTAATTAATTTAAAAAATTGAACTTACTCTCCTGAACTCGTTGTATAAACAGAAGATCTTCGTCTCACGTTCGCATCGAGACTTTCGGGATTAAATGGAGAAGATGATCTTCTTCTGTGTCTTCGTTTACTTTTTCGAGTTGAATTACGTCTTTGAATAATAGCACAAGCAGAAATTGAATAATCGTCCTCCTCTCCAGGTTCCTCTTGTCCATCTACTCATCCAAATGGTGATCAGATTTTGTTAATTTTGTTAAATTAAAAATTTCCATATTTAAAAAAACAAGAAAACTGAAAGTACCCCGTTGAGTCATTTTCGAATTTCTAGTTTTCACGTTCTCCAATTTAAAATTATTATTTTCTTTACTAAATTCGCTTCTATTTCCATCAAGAGCAAATGAAACCGATAAACGATCCGCCGTTGGTTGTAGAGATTTCTCCTCCTGAAGCAATGTTTTAAAATAATTTTAAAAAAACTTTTTTTCTAAAAAGTAAGCAAAAATATTTGTTTAAATTTAATTTTCAAAAATTGAAAAATATAATTTTTAGTAATTACAATTCAAAGTAATTCAAATTTGGATAAACTTCAAAGTAGAAAATAAATTAAATTTTTGAAATGTGGAGTAAAAAAAATATAAGTCCTAATACTTTTGAAAAATTACAATTTCTTTAAGTGAAGATAAAATTTAAACACTTGAAAATTTGCAGGCACTTGAGTGGAATATTTAATTCAGAACCCGAAGAATGGGAAGAAATCATTTTTTCTCTATTTTTGTATTGAGAGGAAGGAAAAAGCGGATAACAAATGGAAGAAAAAAAAGATATGGACTGTATTAAATCACGAATGCTACTGCCAACTTGGTCAATTCTAGTTTACGAAGCAACCTCATATTCTCATAACCCCTGCCGCACCTTTGCAGTATTTTGTAGCAGGTGACTCAAAGTTTAATATGTGGCCTTTTCTATTCACAAGACTTCTGTATTACATACAAAGCTATTAATTAGAAATCATTTCTTTTCTTCTAATCATCAAAAGGCACGACATCATCTTTTCACTAATTTCTCAAATATTACATTTAATACATCTGTTACTCTTGCTAATTCGACTCAGAAAAAAAAAATTAGCATTTTCATCAGAGAAAAAATTCCATTTTACATATTTTACAAAAAAAGTAAAAAAATTTGTTTTTCGACATAAATTTTCTACATTTCAATTTCATTTCATTTTGAAAAAAATTTTGACAATGATTTTTTTTCTAAGGAGTTACAAAAATTTGAAAGAAACTTAAAGACAGACTCTTGAATTTTTAATTACTAATCCTAATGAGAGAAAAAATCTGTCCCTTCATTCGGTATTATTTTTTCGATTTTTTTACATTACGAGACACTTAACATTGCGTGCCGTTTTCATATTACACACCCTCAGTCACCTTATGTTATCTTTTTTCTCCATAAACATTATTAACGAGAAATTTCATACAATATTGGGATTTAAAGTTAATTTTACATTCGTTTTGCAATGAAATCGAAATTTCTACTTATTTTTAAGAGAAAAAAATGTGGAAGAGGTACAAAATAATTAAAAAATTTTTACTGGAACATTTAGAATTTTTTTCAATATTAATTAGTGTTTTAATAATTTTAATAATATTCTTTAATAACAAAAGTACCTAATATTTTAATTTAACTTTATTTGAAAAAATAAATTACTCTTAATTTTATTTTGAAAAAATAATTACTCTTAATTTTAGTTTGAAAATATCGAATTATCTAAAAAGTAATTGATTTTTTTGTGTCAAAGTATTTACAAATTATTATTGTGTGACTCCACCCATTAAACCGAGAGCTAATCACTTCAACTAACCCTCGCGACTAAATCGTTAGACACGCCACTTCTAGAAACACACAAAATTTCCCTTTTTCTATACAATATTATATGTGCTATATTTTCACAAAAACGTGTAAAAACATTATTCTCTTCTTTCTTTTTTTTTGTTGAAAATCGATAACAGCAGACAAAATGAATTGATCTTTCGCGTGCCTTCAATTTTTCATCAAAAATTGCTCAAACGAAGGTATATTTAAATTTCATATCTTTAACAAAATCATATACCTTTTAATCTAAACATTTTCGCCTCTCACAAAGAAATTCTAATTTTTCATCGTAAACTAATTTTCATTAATCTCTTTCTTAAATGAATGGAATTATTAAAATTTTCATTAATCTCTTTCTAAAATAAATGGAATAATTAAAAGAAAATAATAAGATAAATTAATGTAAACAGTAGAATGAATTTAGAAATTATTTTTATTTTTACCTGTCGTGATTGACGAAAACTAGATTTTGTTCGTAGAATTCCAATCGATTCTTTATTATTTTTCGTTGAAAATTGAAAACTTTCCTCAGCACTTGCATCAATATCTTGACTTTCTGAAACTTTTCCATCATTTGTAATTCCTATTTTCTTTGGTTGAATTATAATTTCTCTCCCTTTCTCCCACTGTCTGGATTTCATGATTTCTTTAGCCACGAATCTTTTTTTTTTTTCTTGTCGTCTCAATATTTGTGTTGCAAAACTATTCTAAAAGTCTCTGTGAAATATTTTTGAAAACTGTGAAAAAAAATTCAACAAGTATTGAAATTACTGAAATTATGTAGATTAATAAACATAATTATAATTCTAATAATAAATATAATTCTAACAATAAATATAATTCTAACAATAGATATAATTGTAATAAATATAATTTTAAAATCAAATATAATTCAAATAATAAATATTTGTCAACCAGTCGAAAATTCAAGCGAGCTGCTCGTTTGTTATCCCTTCGACGTTAGAGTTTCACTGGCGCTTTATGAAGCGCAGAAAAATTGCTACATTTGCTAATGAATGCGGCGTTATTAATTGGCAAGTGCTAAATGCTCACTGTTCACGTAAAGTGCGCTTTTCAAAGACAATTTTTACCCTTATGGACATGTAGAAAAAGCAATGTATTATATAGGCTTTTATTTACCAGAAAAGTGTCGGACACACCCTCTTTCCTTCGAAATTTAATATTTTAATGAGAAAAGCAAACATTTTTTTTTAATATTAATTAGCTGACAACTAAAAATGATATTTTATATTATATTGCAAAAGTTTCTCTCATAGAAAATTTTACATTCAAAATAAAAATTCCAATTAAATAAATGTGAAGAAATATCAACAAATATTAATTAAATATTTTAATTCAATTCAATTTATTAAATATAATTCAATTTCAAAAATTAAAGGAAAATGGATTTGTTTGATAAATAACTGAAAATTCAAATAACATTTTAAATATTTTTTTAATAAAAACTTTTTTAATTCCCAAATAAGTGTAGCACTTTCTTTTTCGGAAATCTTGTGCTATCTTAGAGGTTCCTCGAATTATTCATAAATTGTTATTTATTGTTAATTAAATAAATTTTCAATTCAATTCAAATTTAATGTAAACTAAACAAATTCAAAAAACTTTTAGTTTAGTCAATTAATTTTTCGATTTAATTAAATTTAGTTTAAAAATCTAATATCTTGAATAAATAATTTTAGAAAAAAGTATGTGAAGTTACTAATTTTGTGATCCTCAATTATCTGGTTGTGTGACGAGCCCACGTGGTCCGTTTAACTTGACCCATGATATCGTTTCTTGGCGGTAATCTGGCACTGGTTGTCCTCGATGGCGGTGGTCCGGGTGTTCTTAGTACACTCGCTAATTTTTTCTCCCTCTCCTTGGCCTTTTGAACTTGAGTTTCATTTTCCTCGCGAATTGTCAAATTACTCCTAGATGGTTGCGATAAATTTTCATTACGCTTGCCTTGTGGTGGCGGATCAAGTACAATTGGCGGTATTTCATCGTAAACATTTTTCCCTTTCTTTAAATCTCCAACAGAAGCAGCAATCTTACGATTATCAGCATTTAACGTTTTACTGTAATTACTCTCCTGTCCAGGAATCATGTAGTTTTCCATTTTTTGCGACATCACTGGTGACGATGTGAAACTACTCGGCTGTGAAACTCTTAATGACATGGATCCAGGTGAGAACTGCGAGGAGTGTGTCAACTACTTTTATTAAATTGATAATGACGTTAATAATCTTTTTATACTATTCACTGGCTGAGTTTTGTTTCGCTTTTTTAATTTCAAAATTTTCATATAAATTTTCCAAAAAATTAATTGAAATTAATTGAAATTTTTTAATAAATTGATTGAAATAAAATCAAAATGAATAATTCAAGTATATTTACGGTGAATTTTTGTAGCAAAAAAAACTCAGCCAGTTTTTGATAACTTACCGAGTGCCTGCTATTTGGAGGAATCAGCAGACTTGTCCCCATGGCAAAGGGTGACGGTGTGGTGTACGGAGATCTCTGAAGTTGATATGGACTGATATTGTGCAGCCTCTCGAGAAGCTGCGTCTGAAAGTGTAATTGGTCGGCTCCTTGAAGACCAATATTGTTCGAATTGCCGGGATACAATAGCGATTCAGTTGGATGTGGTTGAAAAGAGCAATACGGAAAAGTCGGCGGTTCCAATTCCCAGGGTGAATTCTGACGCTGAGGGAAACGGTTTTTTACAGGAAAGCCTAGTTTTCTCAAAAATTCAAGGCCACCTTTTTGCTAGCATCACTCTTTTTAGCAGCTCTACACATATCCATTCACAGGATTCGTAGTGGAAATTTCCATTTTTTTTTTTTTGGCGCAAAACACAAATATTACCTAACACTTGAGACGCAATAATTATTACTCACTGGAATTTTATTTTTTTTACCAACAAAGAATTTTGTTCAAAAGAATTCCAAGAGCGATAATTTTGTGTCTCTTAAAGAAAGCCGTTTGTATTAGTCAACATTGATCACAAAACAAGAATTTTTGCATTTTTGTCAAAAATGTTTTTTATTAAAAAAAAGGTATAAAAAAGTTTAAAAAGGCGGTTACACTGGTATCAAAAATGTACAAAAAAGAATGCATTGTTATAGTTAACGTTACTTTATAAATTAATTAATTAATAGAGGATAAAGCAATGTTCCACAATGTTGCGCAAAACTTCAAGGTATGCGGTAGAGTGTTACCTGGCCAAGACCTGGTAAATCGGGGATTGTTGGTGTTTGTGGTGGCACATTGGCCGAACCTGGCACTTGTGATTGACCCGATATATGTCCAACTGACAGACGCTCTTGTTCACGTAGATGACCAACTAATGCACCGATGTGTTCCAGCAATTCCTTGTTCTGAACAAGCAATTGTGTCTGAAAAAATGAAAAAAAAAAGAATTACAGAGGTCAAGTTTGTAAAAAAAAAAATGTCAATCAACATTAAAATAATTAGCTTAATTAATAATGTCTTCAAATTGTGATTCATATTACTTGAGCTTCAATGCGAGCAGCAGTTTCTGCAGCGAGTTGTTCTTGCAAAAGTCGCGCGTGCGCCACCGCAGCGCGAGTTTGCTGATTCTGTTGATCTAATCTTTCGCGAAGCAACTGAATTTCGTGCTTCAACGCTGTGAGTTCACCGCCTGCCAGCAATCCACCGCATTCGGATGCCACTGTTCCCTGATAAAAGAACTTTATTTCAATTTTAGTGGCCATTCAAATTATCATTCAAGACGAAAAATTCTATTCATTCTTCATTTTAATTTCTGAATGCAATGAAAATCGAGTTCTACATTAAAAAAGTTAACAACTCCCTTCTAAAATTGTATGTTTGCAAATTTTGAATTACAAAAATTACAATTGAAACTAAAATTTGCAAAATTGATTGAAGAAAAATGGAATTTTTCGCTCCTGATTTTATACTGTAAGAAAAAAATGTTTTTAATGGATTTAAATCTACCGATGGGGATTGCCCGACAGGGGAGGCAGAAGCTGTTGTGATTGGAACTTCATGAGATCTCAGGAGACAGGACATTGGAGTCTGATCTGGAATAACGTCTTCGCCATCACCTAAAAGTGACATGTCTGAAAGAAAATACAGAAAGCGAGATAAAAAGTAGAAAAAAATTAATTAAATCGCATTTGACTAAACTAATCCGGTAATAATTGGTAATTAATAAAAAGGAATTTACCTTTGTGAAGTGAAGTTGGGGAAGGCTGTGGTTGATCGCTCCCAATTTCTTCGCGATCATCGTAATCATCATCACGATGAATATTCTCTAAATCCCTACTACTCCTGTCGTTGTCGCCTCGCTCTTTATCATCAGCGGCACCAGTGATGCTGAGTTTATGGCATACTTCAAAAGCTTGGCCCACCGTTCGGACCACTCTCATTGCTTGACTCTGAAAAATTCCAATTTTCCATAAAATATCTCGAATTGAATAAAAATTATTTCTCCACAGTCTTCCTGCGAATCGAACTTATCGATTTCATCTTCTTCGGTGGATCATTTAAAATGCAGTGACAAGTCATTAGAAAGAAGAAGAAAGAAAAAAATACAAGAGGGAAGAAGAAAAAATTCGTCACTGATAAAATTCAGAATTTGGAAACAAATTTTGGAGTAAGATTTAGAAATATAATTCACCACGAACCGAAAAATCGAGTTCTAAATTTCTCCCAATATAATTAAGACTGACAGTCGCAAAATCTTACGGCCCGAATTAACTTTCCAACATTCCGTCGTCTGATTCAAATTAAATTACTGTTGTAGCTTTAAATATGAAGACAATTTTGATCGAGAATTTTTCTTTTCTCTGATCTATTATTAATTTAAAAATTCTATTGAATAACAATACTGTTATTAAAAAAACAAAAGATAAAATAAAAAAAATATACAAAAATAAAAGATATACCTACATTTACAAGAAAGAGGAATTGAAAACACAAAAATAAAAAAAAAGAAATTAGAAAACTAATGATTTAGTTAATTTGCAATCGAATATAAAAGATCAAAGAAAAGAAAAATGAACTTCACCTCGAGTTCGGCTTTAAATGTCTCATCATCTTCATCGAAGAGATTATCGGTCAAATTCTCCTCAGGAGTCGAGGGAACATGCTCAATCAACGGTTGTGGTTTATTCTTCGAAAATGGTTTTTTCAATTTCAAATAACCGAAAAATTCCGGTTCCTTAAATGATAGTTTCTTTCTAGGTCTCGCGGGACCCTCAACATCCACCGGACTTCCGGGACTTGAATTTCCACTTCCAGTCGCCGTGACATCGGCCAAAATACTGGCCTGTCTCGCCAATCCACCTCGTAGCATTTTTTTCCTTTATCTCGAAAAATTCAAGCTCGAAACATTTTTCTTTAGCTAAATTCAAATTCGAAACTTTTTTCCTCAGCTAAATTCAAATTTGAAACATAATTTTTCTTTTAGATTCTTTTTAAAAAGCAGACAAGGTCAGAAGAATGCGCAGTATGTCATGTAAGTGTATATAAACAAATGATTTGTCTCGGCAGATGAACTTTTCCTCTTGACAGTAAAATTGGAGAATTACCCGGCTAACATGTCATTTGTCAAAATTGTGTAGACAATAAAATGAAGATGTCAATTCTAAAAGTGATTCAAGTTATGTCGGGTGATAAACAAGTTACTTGGTTTTAAATCTTTCAATTTTGACTCACAAACGTTTTCGAGTTTCGTTTGAAGATCGTCTTTGACATTTCTTCACTGTCAAATAATTCCGACGTCGCTGCGGTGAAAGACAATTTTTGTTCCTTCTTCTGACGAAATTCTCTGCAATCTTTCGTTCTTCTTCCTTTTTTTCGTTATTAAAAAGTTCTTCCAAATTCTTTAGTCCTTGAATAATTTTCCTTGATTACAAATTCTCTGCGCGATCTTCCTTCTCCTTCTTTTCGTTATTAAAAAGTTCTTCCAAATTCTTTAAAGTCTTCTTTTCTTTCTTCTTTTCCCTTGATAACAAATTAATTTTTCTCTCTTGTTCCTAAAAATAAAAAATATTTTTTTACAGATGTTAAGAAGAACTTGGTAATATTTCTTCTACTATTTCTTTCTTTAGCGGTAAATCCAATGCACTATGACCCGAAGGAAAAATTCGCTAATATTTTACAGTTTAGATTATTTTTCACGTGGAAATTTGATATTTAGAAAGCTTTCTTTTCATATTTCTGCGGGATTCACGATGGCAGTTTGTGTCGAGGATTTATCACGCCGCGTGTGGTGAAGAAGCGGATGGCTGACTGGCTGGTCGATTGGTCGAGTTAGTCGGTTTAGGTGAATTGGGTGGGTGGATAAAAGTTGTTGGCTTCTCAAACTCTTGTAGTACGTCTGTCTTTTCCTTCATCTTGCAAAACTCAACTCTGCCAATTTCGCATATATCTATTGTAGACGTCGCAAATCGAGTTCTCCAGGTCACGAGTTTCGACCGCAATCGAACTTGGGTTTCTTATCCTACATTCAAAAATGCAACGAATTTTTAATATTTCACCAAAACACAGAAAATAATTGAACCGAAGCAGAAAATAAATTCTCTTTCCTCTTTTCGAAAAGTGATAAATCATCGTTGACTCTAAATTCCATTCCTAAATGTGATAATAATTGGACTAGACACGAAATGTAAATTAATCTATTTTCGAATTTTCCGTTTCCTTCTGGAAATATTTTTAGTAGAAAAAAAAATTGTTATCCGGGAAAATTCAAATTGATAACAATTTGAATTTTCCCGGATAACAATTTTTTTTCCACTTAGAAAATTTGCAAAATTTTAATATAAACGATTTTTATAAATAAAATTATTTCGTGAAAATGTTCAAATAAATTATAATAGATGCCAAATAGAATTTTTCTCGAGGGGATTATTTGGAGAAAAATGATTGTGACTCTTTTACATAATTGTCGGAGAGTAATCATTTCCGCAATTCATCTGGCATTATTTATCATAGACAAAAATATTTATCGAGCATGTTTTACTTTTGCAAAAGTGAACACTTTGATAAATAACAAAAAGTTGAACGTTATTTATAGAATTCCAAGTAGAATGATACGTATATAAATATAATCGGAACACACATTGTTGGTGTTTGTAAGGATCGCGTCCAATATTGCCAGAGAACAAAACTCGAAATTACACTTTTCAGAGATATTTCAATTTTCCTCAAAGGTCAGGTCATTTGCGAAAAAAGAACACGAAGAAAAAGGAGAGCAAAAAAGAAAGAAAGAGTAGAATGACAAAAAGTTTCGAAATATCAAGAAAGGTGTTATTAGTCGCAGCTATATTCAGAAAAGAAAATAGTTATTCTTTAATGGAAATAATTATCCGCTCCAATTCTCTTTATGGGAAAAATTATTTTTCTACTCAACAAGATTAATTTTTTGGTCTGTATAAAAATTATCAGAACATTTGTCATTAACCCCCGTTTTTTAACACTTGGATATTAAGAATTGATTTTTAAATTTAGATAAAAGTGAGTCATGAGAAATTGATAATACACTGAAACCTCGAATATTGAGACAAACGCGAATCTTCACTAGCATCTCTCTCTGAATTATTAATGAGCTTTCAATGTGAATAAAATTATTTTTAGCGTGCTTCTAATTGTAGAAAAAGGTCAAGTGTCATTGTTCGAAGAAAATAAGAAACCATTCCAAGAATGAAAAACATTGAGAAGAAGAAGAAAGAAAAAAAATGCAGGTAATGGAAACGCGGCCAAAACGTCATCTCACCCACGTGTCATCATTGCGCGCGCGTATTAAATATTTATTTTTAGAAGCACAATAACGTCAGTTGATAAAGCGCCAGACGACGGCGTGCACCGCGAAATTATTGTATATATACATTTTTTGCAACATACACACCTGCACGTTTGTATAAGTCATTTAGCCGGTCGCATAAGATTGCAAGTTTACAGCGCGAAACCCCTGCGCGCAATTATGATCCTATACAAGAATAGAACTTAAACAGAAATGAGAAACAATTCAAGCGGAACTAGTCACCAGAGGGTCTTTGAAATCCAAGAGTCGTAAAGAGAGAGAAAAAGTTCCTGATGACTGAAAATAGTAAATTGTTCACCATTTTGAAATTAAATTCTTTTCTCCACAAGAGTGTTTAAAGATCCGCTTACCTTTTTACTAGATTTGAAGACATTACATTTAAAGGAATTACCGCTGCCGTCACGGGCAATGTAGCTAAATATTTTTAAGTCTTGGCTATCATGGGAGACGTAGAATATCCTAAAAATAAAAATTTTTCTTAATATAATTCTCGTAAAATTTAATAAATTCTCTCGATAGTAAGCAAACACAATAAGAGAAAGAGAAAGAAAAGGATTGTTACCTGTAGATTGGATGATGCATCAGGTACATCTTGTTCTCGTCCATCCAGTGTTGTTTTTTCTGTGCAGGAAATAAGGATCGCATTAAAGTTGGTTCCAATCCAATCGAAAACAAACGATCAATCAATGGTGCTTCCTCAGCGGACGAGTTCGCGAGAATTACCTTTTTCTTACGCAATGTGACTTTAACACCGTCAACCGAGACCTCCAGCGTCACTTTCTTCTTCTTGATCCCCTTGGCCTTGAACTCGTACTGAAAGCGAAAGGAAAAAAAACAATTATTCTCTGCTACTGTTTACATCCGCGATATATATGCAGTGAGAGGAAATTCTACATACATATATGGACCACTCTCACTCATTATATATTGAAAATTAGTACTCACGCGAATTTTTCGCATCGCCGCCATAATTTCCAGTCGACTCGTTGGACGTGGAACCTCCATAGAGCCAATGAACTGGAAAAGAAGTGAAAAAAATAATAATGATTGTACATCAATTTGCTATTCATGAACAGCGAGATTGGCAGTCTTTCGAATTTACATACAAAACTAGAGAAAATTTTCTTCTCAGCAATTTTTCTTTCCCATAATTTTGTTTGTCGTGTCTTTAGAAATCAATTTTTTCTTTGAGAAAAATTTATTTGTTTAGTTCTCAGATTTTCAGGCTTCGCACTCGATAATTAAATTTCCGAAGTAGCAAAAAGTAGCTTTAATACTGAAAAAAGTAGTCAAAAAAAGTTGCTGTCGAAAATTAATTTTGACGACAAAAAAAATCGTTTTAGACGATTCACATGAATTTGATTCTGAGTTTTTCCTACTTTTCATAAAAAATATTTACTTTTATTCTTATCTTGCTAAATAACTTGAATTCTAAATTTTTACAAAATTCAATTATTTTATAAATTTTTAATTAAAAACTTTCAAGAATACAATTCTGTTTAAAAATAATTTTTAAATGTAAAGAAATAAAATTCTTTAAAATATAAAATTTAATTTAAATTGTTTATAGGAATTTAACTATCTTCAAAAAATTTTAATTACAATTTTTTTAAGACTAATTTCTTTCGTAATTTCTAAATTAAATTACATTCAAAACACGAATAATTTTTGTTAAATAAATATTTAAATACTTTTTTTCACAAGAATTAAAATATTTTTAATGATTTCAATGTAAAATTTTTTGTAAAATTTTAACTGAAATTCATTTTTAAATCAATTTTTATTGGAAAATTCAACTAAAGTTCAATTATTTAAATACAAAAATAAATACTAATGTATCAATATTTAAAAAAAAATTAATTGTTGACAAAAATTTTATTATTTATGAAAATAATTGAATTCTCGTGAAAAAATTTATTATTTAGGCAAATAATTGAATTCTTGTGAAGAATTTTATTCAAATTTAAAAAAATAATTGAATCCATCAGAAGCATTTTATTATTCATTAAAATAATTAAATTCTTGGGTAAATTTTGATTCAAATTTTTTTAAATAATTGAATTTTCGTGAAAAAATTTATTGCTTTTGAAAATATGTAATTGAATTCTTGCGAAGAATTTTATATAATTTTTTTTAAATAATTAAAACTTTCGTGAAAAATTATATTATTTGAGGAAATAATTGAATTATTCCGAAGAATTTTATTCCAATTTTTTAAATAATTGAATTCTCGTGAAAAATGCTATTATTTAGGAAAATAATTGAATTCTTGTGAAGAATTTTATTAAAACTTTTTAAATAATTTATTTTTCGTGAAAAATTTTATTGCTTGTGAAAAGAATTGAATTTTTGCGAAGAATTTTATAAAAATCTTTTTTAATAGATTTTTTTCGCAAAATTTTATGAAAAGTATTTTAAATAATTGAATTCCGGTTTAAAAATTTTAGTATTTATGAAAATAATTGAATGTTTGCCAGGAATTTCATCAAAATCCTTTTATATATAGAATTAAATTCTTTTGTGGAATTTTATTAAAATAGTATAGTAGTGAAAATAATTGTCATTTCGAAAACAATTAAATCGTTTCAAAAAATGTTATTACAATTTTTGAGAATTATTTTTCTATTTCAACTATCATCGAATTTGAAGTGTTACAAATTCTCCCAAAAAAAAGAGAAAAGAAGCTTTTAGTGTCACAAATCTAAAAAAAGTATCCAAATAGTAGCAAATCGTAAAAAACAGTGGTAAATAGTAGGTTTTAGTAGACGAGTGTAAAGCCCGGATTTTCCTTACTTTTTCAAATCGATAAAAATGTCATGACATTTACAAATAAAAAATAATAAATAAAAATACTTTCAAAGAGGAAATACGTTCCAAATACCCAGGTGTTGAACCAATTTTCCTCAGTTCGATGAAAATAGGCGATGGTTCCGCCTGGTACATCACAATTTCAAACTAGAAGTAAATCATGTACATAATAAAAAATTTCCAAGAAACTCCAGCATTTGGAGAAACGGTAAAAGCTAATTGTCTTTTCTAATAATTTAGAATCTCGTCAAAAAAATGATGAAAATATCTATTGTCAAAGGAAAAAGAATATTCTAACTTTTTTCCATTGGGAAACGGAATATTATTTCCTTCTTCTTGCATTCAGTAAAAGAAATGAATGGATAATAAAGAGAAGAGTCTCTCTTAAGAATTTTCTGTCCGCCCACAATCTTACGTCAATTACGCATCAAGAAATAATCTGTCTGCCTCGATAAAATACCTGAGTAACTATTCTTCCCTTTTAATCAAAAAAACATTCTCCGTCGAAATTTTTTTTTAGTCTCACAAAATAAATATTTGGGAAATATGTTTCAAATTTTCCGTTGAAAATTTTGAAAAAGAAGAAATTTGCCTGAAAAAAAGAGGCCAATAAATTTGAATTGGAATCGAATGTATAAGTGAAGACAGATGGATCATAAGAGGATGGATCGAGAATGACGGAGATTTACTCTGCAAGTAGGCAGTTTCGAGTCATACGTACAAAGCTTTCAGTCTTTCTTGGAATGAGAGCTACTGAAATAAACACGTGCAAAGTGCCGTCACCATGTGTACGGTGTATACTAGAGAAGACCAGCGGCAAAATTTTCTAAAAATATCCCTTGTCGTTTCTGGTTTTCAATTTTTTCCCATTCTTTTTTTTTCTTTAAATTTCGCCCTCTCTCCACAACTTCATTCTTGCGTATCAACATCAGTGAAACTTGCCGAAGGAAAATTCATCAATTTTATGGCCGGGAGCTTCGTTGACATTATTTTTCACCCGTTTATCAAAGCACCGAAGCCAGTGAATTTGAAATTCAGAAAAAAACTTCAAAACATAGACTGAAATAAAAAAATTTTCTATAAATTATTATAAACAA